GTGATTAATTCATTGTTTGCTTACATGTTTTGTTGCAGCGCTGTTAGATACTGATTAATTGTCCTTGATTGGGCTTAAAACTCCATAAGTATTCTTTTATGGTTACATCAGAGGTTTTAGGGGTAGTATCAGATCATTGATCTTGAAGGATTTAGTCTGTCATCAGTATAGCAGAAATTATAAATATAAATCTGATTTCTAAGTTTCCAAGTTTCAGTTTCTGAGGTAGTCTGATCATGCTTTTAATATGCACTCAGATAATATGAAAGTGTTGGTCAAAGGTTTATCTTGTTAGGAGCCATATTAATATATAACAATTGGCCATAACCGAGGTTGTTAGTGGGTGTATCAAAAATTAATCTGAATGAAGAATTCAGTTTTAGGGTCATGGTTGTGCTGATTTTTACCTTAAGTCTGTCATTGTTAACAGATTGGTTAAGATCTGTATAAACAGGTCACATATGACAGAGTTAAAAATGTGTATTGGTTTCTTTGGAAAAAAAAAAACAAGATTGACTTTTGGATGCATTTTATTTTTATTTTTGATGATATACCCAGACTCTCATTGCTTACGCTGAAATTAAATTTGTTTTTGTGTGACAAATAATGTGTTACAACTCACCAGACTTAAATTTAAGAAATTAAAGCAGTAATGGGTAGGTATATAATAATAATAATAATAATAATAATAATAATAATAATAATAATAACTTTACAAAGTGCTTTAACATGCAGGAAAACAAAGAAGATGAAAACAACATAACAAGAGAACACTTGGCGGAAATGACACATGACTGGCAATAAAGAAATAAAATAAAATAAAATAAAAAATTGGTGGGAGACATAAAAGCTTTGATGAATGTCACATGAGCTGAGACATCATTAAAATGAGGACATTAGAACAAATTCAATGTAAGAGCCCATGATACCCAGCCAACACAGGAACCCGATCACAAAAACCTGAGACCAAGGGGACTATTATAAAACATGAATAAGAAGAGTAAAAGAAGACAAAATCACATAAAAGCAAATCTATAAAAATGAGTTTTAAGATGTGGTTTAAAGGCAGTAACTGTTTGTGTATATAAACTGTTATCACATGCTCAGATGGCCTTTAGTGGGTCTTGTTAGAGTCTGGTAGGCTGTTTAAATGTATATGTAATTACACATATTTCTTGCATTTTTATTAAAAAAATATATGTTGCAATAACCTACAATCTTGACAATAATATCAACGACGACGGGCAGTGTTTTTTTTTCTGCTTACGATGCTGCGGTCTCTTGTCCGTTATTGAAACTAAAGGCATTTAGCGACACTCCCTAACAATTTGCTGAGAGTCATCAATTATGCAGGGTAGCCGCACGCACTGGGAAGGAAGAAAGCAGCAACAATATGGCGACAGCCGCAGTTACTCTCGTCTGTTTTCTACATCTGCAGTTCACTGGCGGCTGTCTGGATTTCTGTTGATGTGAGAAAAAGTAAGTAGACAATCCGTTTTCTGCTTTGCCTGAGATTTTGTGTCGTGGGATGGATCGCAGTCCTACTTTGTCGACTGACTGCATCCCGGTTGCCGCAGAGCGGTCCCTCTCAGCATCTTTTCATTGCTCTCTATGAAGGGCTCAATGCCAGTACATGGAGCAATATGTATGTCGGGGAACACTCACAGGTAGCGAGGGTGTGATTTTAATGTGGCAAAACGTGGATTTCCGATGAATTGTGGTGGAAAAGAGGGAAGCAGCTTGTTATTTAGGGTGTTGGCCTGCCTCTGGATGGGTTGACATTTCAGTGTGGCAGTATGGGAAACATACGCATACGGGATGGAGAAGAAGTGAGATCACGCCAAACTTCTGAGTGGCGACACAAACTCGCCTGTATGCTCCGAGTGGGTGAAATAAACGCAGTTAGAATAATACATTTAGATTGCATTCGTGTATTTTTGTGGCTACCATTATTTTTTGTAACTATGGTTATGTAGTACACCCCCCCCTCCCCGCACACACACATACACTCACAGCCGCCCCCACACTCCACCTCCGCCCCCCTCCTTCCCTCTTGGAGACTGTATTGCGTGAGGAGGAAGGTGCGTCTTTACTTTGGCAGTCCTCGAAGGGGCCGCGGCACCCATTTCTAGTATTTTCTCGCTGTTAAATATCTCTTTTATGACCCAAAATACATGGAGCCTCCTGGTGTCTGTTGCTGAATAATATACGAATGGGTGTGGTAGCCTATAGCTTTAAGGCCGGTTTGGTTTCTTTATGCTGATTGCTGTAAACAATTTCCTCTGGTTTTTTTTAAATAATGTAAAATACATTGAACTTATGTGCTTCTTCGAGGGTTGAGTTGTCGGGATATGGCTTGTGCATCCAACTGACCAAATAGGAGTTTGTTAGTTAGAGCCCATAGCAGCGAGAAACCACACTGCAGTATTTTAGGCTCTGGCCCTATAGGACAGCTGCGCCTAACTCTTCAACTGTTAAAGTCTGCTGTCTAAACCCCCCTCCTTTACACACTGAAACATAATAACTCATCAAAATTTGCAGTCGGGACGTCTTGACTGTAGGCTACCTGTAATTGACTCATCTCAGACAGAAAGGACATGGCACGCACCCTACTAGAATAACAGAGGTTATTTGTGGCCACTGTAATATTTTGCAGGTGGGAAAACTGCATCCAGGAGCCTTTAACCTCAATAATGTTGTGGATTCGCAGTTAACATCCACATTTACAGACAGGCAGCATTTAGACACCACTGCAGGAAATGAAGGATGTTTCATTCCTATACCGCCCCGCATCATGACTCCAAGTCCACCACCTCCTCCTGCTAACCAGAGTCCGGTCAGCTCCTCCATCAGTTGTCAGAGCGCATCTGAGCAGATGACAAGATTCGTCCGGTGACGGGACGGAAGCCGTGGTGCGTTTGGATGTCTCCCCTTCGAGCGGAGGACGCAGTTACAGCAGTATTTTGATCAGAAACAGACAGCTACAAGTTTTTTTCCCTTCCTTTTTCTTTTATTACCTGGAGGCAAACGAGACAGACGGCGTTGGCAGTGCTCTCTACCATCCATCTTTTATTATTTGATCATTATTGGACTCTCTTTGGAGCACTCGTCATGGATTAAAGAGGCGAAAGCAGGGGTGTGCACTTATGGTGTTGATTCTGTCAATGAAGATGCTTCTGCTTTTTAACTTTAATATTTGAATTCGTAGCCTGTGTTACATTGTAGCCCTGTGTTGTTTTTGATATGACCCAGCGAGTAGTTAAGTGAACACCGGAAGCAACATCTGCAGAATTTTGGGCACTTTCCCTGTATCTGCATTTCAGAATATCTTTTTTAAGATTGGCACCCTGCAATGTATGGGGTATAGCTGCACCACTGGCCATGCTCTTGCATCCTGCTTTGAATCACCTTGACGGTAGATCAATTGATGTAGCAGTGGTGGAAGGAGACTTGGAGGTTGCACCGAGCTTGGGTTACTTAAATTGGACTAACAGTTTCTTCTGGTTGGCTTTTACTTTTCACGGAGATACCGGGCTGTTGGATGTCTGAGCCCCATCTTTTTCACTTCCAGGTCTGTAACTGCATCTGTCATTATTGCATTGAATGTTGCAAGCTCTGTGTAATTTCCAGAAGCCTGACTAGACTGTCAAATACAGTGCATCAAACACCAAAACTAGGGAGAGAAACTCTTCTGTTGTTGGAGAATGGAGAGACGCAGATTGTAATACTGATATTCCAGCCTAACTGGTTAACAATGAGTCAGAGCTTTAGAGGTTGAATAATTTACTGCACTATTTTGGGGTTAACTTCGATGACTTTTATTTTTTTGTCATTGTTTTGTTTCAGCATAGATGTTTCTCAGCTAAGGTTGGGTGTGCTGTATCTAATGTGCAACGTGGGCTAGTTGAGATTTGTAAAAAGAAAAAAAAAAAATCAATGAAAACACATTTACCATCACATTGAATGTACTTTAAAATCAGTTCAGCATCCTACCTCTTCAAAATATATGTTAAATATGCATATCTCTGCATGCATATAACCAATCCATTCCCCCCGCTGGCAGTAATTTATCTTTCTAAACTAATATGTGTATTAATGGAAATGGTAAGTTGATGGAAAAAAAAAAACAACTCAAATGTGCATCAATGAAACCTTATGTACATTATCACCTAATAAATGCTAAGTAGGCCTTTGCTAACTTGCTAGTATGAGATAGTCCTTTTTAACTCACCTCATTTCAGACTCAACCACAGAGTCTTTATTCAGTACAATGAGCTGAAATCTTCATAAAGCAGCAGATCTGTATGTAAAAAGTCTGGGAGACCAACATCTCTGTCATATTTAAATTTTCAAAACAAAGAATGTCTAAGCCTTAATGGTTACCTTTAGCATAGTAAGGGACAAAGAAAATATAAAAAGAGAAAAATGTGAGTTATGTAAGGCAGATGTAAAATGGAAACTCAGACAGATCATCTATGAGCATAAAAACAGCAAGAGACACATTTTCTTACAGTCATGAACAAATCAATCAGAGCAAAAAAATAGCAAATCAGTGCTGTCTGCTGATGTGCTGGGTACCTGGGTGCAGCTTTTGGGGATACAGGATCGGGGCTGAAGTCATTAAGGCTGATGAACAGAGCAGCAACCGTGCCTGCTGGACTGTGTTCCAAATGTTTGCACTTTTCCAGCTTTACTTTGCTTTGTTTGCTCTCTGTGGCAGAACTAGAGAAATTACATCTGAGGCTTTCAGCAGCAGTTGACCAGAATCTGAAACTACAGTTCTGGCATAAAACAAATACTGTGTCTAAGAAAATCACTTTAAAAACCCTTAACTTCTTTTAAAATGATTCTCATGATTCATCTTTCTTCATTTTAGTTCATCTATCAGTACCTCATACTGACTCTCCTTCACTTCCTCACCCTGTGTTTCTCTCCCCCTCTCAGAGCTGGATGTCTGGGATGGAAAACCAATAAAAAGGAAATAGCTGCAGGATGAAAACATGGCCGCACTCCTTCTTGCACCCCCAGGACCTGACAGCTTCAAGAAATTCACCCGGGAGTCGCTTGCTAACATCGAGAAGCGCATCCAAGAAGAGAAGAACAAGAAACCACCCAAGCCCAGGTCAGACAGCAGTCACCGTGACACGTCTGATGACAATGAGCTCAAACCCAACAGTGACCTGGAGGCTGGGAAGAGCCTGCCCTTCATTTACGGCGATATTCCTGATGGAATGGCCGCCACACCGCTGGAGGACTTGGATCCGTACTATATGAACCAGAAAGTGAGTTTGCAGGCCATGCACCACCCAGTGTTCTCCCAATGCACCAAAAGCACCAAAATCTAGAAACATCTCCTCAATGAGGCTGTGATATTTGTAAAACTAGAGTGAGAGTATTTACAGACACATTCCTCTGCTGTTTGTTATAACCTCTAAATCTTTTTCTCAATCACTGGTTTTGTAGACTCACCATGTAATACATTCACTTTCACAACAGATTCAGGTTATATATTTTTGTTATTATGTCTTATAGGGGTGCACTGAGATTTTTTCATGTCTACAACAACAGTGCAGGAATGATGTGTAACGCAAATCCTGGGCAGTGGTAATTCTTATAAGAGGTTTCTGCTGTGTTCATTAATTATCTGCTATGATGAACTGTGAAATGATGAAACAGCAGCAGGGGCTGACAGATTCACCTTTGTTGTTATACACTATCCATCAAATGGAATATTCAATCATTTTGTGACAAATAATACTCCTAGATGTCAAGTGAACAACACATACGCTGAATGTGTAGTCAGTTTATTTCATTGGTGTAGTCGAGTAAAACACTCATAGTTGAGTTATTATTGTGCTTTGTGTGGCTGCTATTGCTGTGTGTACTATCTCTTTAGCTTAGCTTAGGTTAAGTTCAGCTGAAACAGGACTCACAGAAATGCTGCTGTGATTTAAACTTGATGTGATAGCTCTGTGCCTATCATGCAATGGGGCAATATACTTCTCATCACCAGCTTAATGTCTGATGTGCTCTTGCTGCTGTTATTGTGGTCTGCAGTGTTTCCATTGTTGCTCACATTTCCACATTGTTATGAGATTAATCAATAAGACTAAATGCAAATACACCACAAATGATGCTGCACCATTATTGAGATCAATACATCAAACATTTATGATTATTTGCTTCTTATACATTACCAGCACACCGACCACATGCCCTCCTTGCAGGCCTTATAATTGTGACAATGCTGGAATTAACAACTGTCATGTCTGGTTGATCATGAGTGAAGACTTAAGGAAAAAGTGTCTGTTTACATTATTATTGCACTATTGTCACTTTTAATGTGCTGTCTGGCAATGAACTCTACTGTTCAAAGACTGGAATTTGTAGGATTGACACTACAGTAAAATCCAATCTTCGATAAGGACAGAGAAGAGTGCACATGTCCATGCTGACAACACTATTGGCATCACTACACACTCTATAGTGCCCTGGGAAGTAAGGTCTTTGAATGCAGGGGAGGATTCAGGTTGCAGCCAGAGGTCATACCCCCCCCCCCCCTTCAAAGAATAATTTTTACCAAATTACAACATATTTTGATAATCCATATCTACCGTCAGACAACAGCTAATGTTAAACCATCCACTTCCTGGCTAATTTTACCATTAGCTTTTGAGTGACGTAATACTGGCATTACCTAGCTTTTTAAGTGGCCAACGCCAATACTGATTTCAAGAAAGCCGGTTGATTTATAATGCCAATACCACTTTGTGTTGTTCATTTTTTTTTGTTGGTTTTGGTTTTTGTTGCATAACGCAGATATTGGGTTATGCTGTAAATTGCTCAACATGGCTGATATTGCTGCTAATACTAAATATGAGTATGTTATGTTTACAGGTACATGTTCTTGGCTTGTTTTAGTTTCACAACAGATACAGATAAAGACATAAGATCACATCCATAATTCACAGCTATAAAATGTTTTATTGTGCTGAAGGTCATATAAGTGCCATAACTCAGGATAGCCAAGCAGTTGCTGCATCTAAGAAAAGTCAGTGTCTTTATTATTGTGGGAAATGTGGGGAAAAAAAAACACACAGAGATACTCTTGCTTTTGTTTCCAAATTATGTTTTTTAATTAAGAAACTTCAAAGCATTTTATGCTGTTGTCCCAAACCGCCCAAACTGGATCTAAGCTGGGCTTCACTGGGTTTTTTTTATTAGTGAAACAGGAGTGAGTGAAGGCAGAAGATGGCAGGAGAGCACAGAAGGTGGAGAGAAAAGGACAAGAGTTTGCTGTGGTACCTTCAGCTGTGTCCTGTGTGGTGGTGGTGGTGAAATAATGAGTAAGAGAATCTAAGGCCAGTACAGGAGCAAGAAGCCCAGTCAGCAGGATGGACGATCTTGGCCAGCAGCACTCCGTCATAGAGCGGATGAAACTATCAAGTGCATGTTCCTTTTGTGATCTATTGATCCACAGTCCTAGTTCAGTGGTGGTCACAGGAAGAGATACAACCTCGTCTTATTATCCTTTCTCACTCTGGTCATTACCCATTGCATCTTGCTCTTTATCTCCCTGCTTTCATAATCTCCAGTGATGATTTAAGGAAAGTTTCTGCATAATAGTTTTTCATGGCCACATATTGTTAAGCCGTTAGTGCGTTACCATTGAAGGTGTTTTGGAAAGACAAGAATTAGAAAGTAGTGTGTAATAAAATCTAAATATGTAAAAATATTGACCTTTGAATGGTAGATTAGAGCATAAAAGCTTGGCAGCTCAGGATCTGTGTATAAAACCTTTTTAATAAGGGTTCATCCAGATAAAATACAGTGATACTCTTCAAATTGCTGAGTCATTAAGGATTATATAAAAAAAAAACTGGAATATGGACGACGTGAAAGTAGTGAAAATGTGAAAACATTCTGGATCATCTCCTCATCCATACTGTTAATGAGGAGGAGAGTTTGGTTGCCTTATTAACATGCCAAACTCTGTAGCCTCTTTGAAGAGTACTTTGATGACAGCTCCAAAGCCTTAATAGGATCATAAATGAGCTGTTGTTTAGAGCCTATGAAATTAAAACTCTTTTAGAGTTATCAGTATTAGGTCAGACTTCAGTATAAAATGTGCTGCCTTTTTCAGATATGATAATAACTCCGGCTACATGTAAAACTTCATTTGTACGAGCTGTCCAGACAAATGAAAAATATATTATAATGATTGTTGGCCATAAATGTGTGCCTCTGGTTAAAGTCTTGTATAGGATATTAATGAGTACTCCATTAGCACGGGGAAGATTGTTTGGTAACGGGCCAATGGTGTGCCAACATGTATAAGAAATGATAAAAACGTCTTTCCTTGGCATTGGACAGTTGTAAAAGTTCATACAGTCAGACTAGCTGTAACACAACATAGCCTCAGACTTCTAGACTGCAATTTCAAAGGAAGGGATGGCGTATTTGACCCCAGTAAGCATTCTTCAATTTAAGAATATATTAATATCTAGGGCCGCCATTAAAGTAAGAGAAAACTTGTTGGAAATTTGTTAAAATATGTTCTTAAAATGATTATACTTGGAACAGATTTTACTGTAGAATCTTCCCATGACACATGATTTGTCACATAATCACAAAAATTAGTAATAATTTTCAAGTAGCTTATTGTCCATATTGTGGTTAAAACTGTTGTATTCAAGTGCTTTACAGTCCAGTCATGAAGAACTTAAGTGACCGAGACAGGATCCAATCCTACAACTAGCTGTACACAAGCCTGCCACTTTTTAATGTTAGCCACCCAAATCTTAACCAACCATTTTCCCAACATTTATGCATTTAGGGTGTTAGCATCTGGGAGTTTTTTTACCTTTGTAGTCAAAGTGTCAAAGCTTCAGTGCCAGCATATGCTTCTTTTTGTCTTTCTCTGCTGTCTTTGGGATTGTTCTGCATTTTCTGTAGGATCACACAGCCCATAAATCAATGAATTTTATTGAAAATAAAATGAGTTTAAATTACATAGATGGGATTTCACCTTCCATTTTGAGTTGGCTTTGTGTGAATGCAGTAATAACAACAATACCTGACCTCCTTTCCACCCTAAAATGAACAGTTTATCAAATTTCTGCACAAAATTGTGTGTCCTGACTTGTTATTCATTTTTCAGCTGACTGGAAAGGTAACCTTAACATCCAGGCCCGATTTCAAACACAATTTAATACTAAAATCCTGGTCTGTAGTCCCTGGGATGGCCAGAAATGTGTCATCTTAAAATTAGGCCAATATGTGTTGCATAGTTCACAAGCTCCAGCTTCCTGTCTTTCTGCCTGGTTGAGATCTGCTTACTCCATCACAACCGTCCATATGTCACATCAGCAAGTTTAGTCAGAGTCACAGGCTAAGACCTCATCTCTCCTCTCCATCTTACTATTATTCACATCAATCATGTTCCTAATCCGCTAATGTCTTTGTCCTTTATCACACATGACCAGGTGCCTGTGTGAGCACAGTCATGGTTCGGTTCCACTCCTCCTCTAGCACCTCTGTCCTCACCTTCCTAGGCTGCCCGTCTCCTCTACTCGACCCACAGTCATCCTGTCGCTCACCATTGCTCTGTATGTCAATGAGTGTGTGTCAAAGTCTGTGTGTGTGCATGCTTGTGTGTGTGTTACCATCAGCTGCAGGAAACCTGATCACAGCACTCATGCATCAAAGAGAGGAAGAGGGGGCAGTGGCAAGGAAAAGAAATGCAGCGTTGCAGTTCTTGTTTTCCCCTGTGATGGGGAGAGGACTGCCTAGGCTTTTCAAATGTCTGATGCGATTAGGCAACATTACAGCCACTGTGGTCATACAGGGGGAGCAGTGCAGGATAAATGGAGGGCATTAGAGTGTTTTTTTTCCCTCCATGTTGCACATGTAAACATATTTGTGTTCAGAGTCAGGATTTCAAACTACATGGAAATATAAAGATGATTCAGCTGTTTTTGGCTGTGGGTTTGTTTGGACAAAAGGACTTGAACAGAACTTGATGCAGAAGCTTCTTTCACCTCCCAAATGTGGCGTTTTGTGGACTGTTTTATATTTCAGTCCAGTCATTTCTGTTACGGCCTCTGCAGGGCAACAGTTACACAAGTGAGTGCTGCTTTTAGCTCCCGGCTAAAGCAGCATCCTCTGAATCTCACCATGAAGCACTGTACACATCATTGCATTATGTTCTTATACCACCATCTCTCTATCTCTCTTTCACTCTTTCTCCTTTTCTCTCTCTGTGTCTCTGTCCATTACTCTCCTTTTCCTCCCTTTTCCTTCCGCCGCCTCCTCTCCAGCATGCTCTCTTTTTTTCAGGGAGTTGTAAATTAGAGCGAGGGCCAGGCTTTAGTGCTCTGTCTGAGTCCTCAGTCTCTGATGACACAGCATCCTCCTGTGCTGGGCTGAGCGAGAGGTGGGGGGTTGCCTTCGATGTTAGACAGGTTTGTGTAAAGAGCGAGGGTGGGGTAAGGAGGGGAAGAAAGTGTGGTTTTGCAGCACAGCATACACATGAAGCCGAGGGATGACGCATTTTTTTTAATCTGTAACATGCAGGAGCGTCGTCGTTTCCTGTTTAGTTTGTCACAGTTTGTGGTCAGATTTAATGTATTTCTGGCATATTTCAGTCTAATCTGTGGTAAACTGAAACAGAAACACACAAAGAGTACATATTCAGGCCAAGAGTGATAATAATGTTAGATTAAGCTCCCTTGTAAGATCTGTGCATCAAAGCATCAAACCGACTTCCTGTCGATATTTATGCGTCTCTGTAAATCTAATCAGGATTGTGAAGCTGTAGCGTGTGTGTGTGTGTGTGTGTGTGTGGGGGGGGTTTCTCTTTCTTGTTCTGTGAAGAATCTTTAAAATGCAGATGTGTTTTTTTTTTAAGAAAATCTCATCTTATTGTTACTTCGTATGAAGGTCATCACACTTCGTAACAAATTCATGACAAATAATCTTTTAAAGGTCTGTAAAATGATGAAATAAGGTCAAGTTTTATTTCTTCTCGAGCTCTTTTGTTGATATTTTGAAATGACTTACACATTACAAAGGTTTCTTTTTTTCAAACAGAAAATGCTCTGAAACTCTAATTTCATCTCTAATTATAAAAGGGTGGGATGTAAAAAGTATAGATCCATTATAAGATAAGTATAAGGCCATCAGTAAAGAGGTCTCCATGTCAGTCTGTGTGGTTCAAGCTGGGGTCCTAAGATGATAAAGAAATGTACAACACCCCTCCCAACAGTGTAGTCTCTATTGTTTCCCTTTTCTAGATCTCACACAGCTCTCTTATCAGCCCCCACCACCTCCACATCTTCATCTCATTCTTAGTTTCTCTCTGCTGCATGCCTACCCAGTCCTCTTCTTCTTCTTCTTCTTCTTTCTCCTCCCTTTATCTACACATCATCCATCTCAGGTTTGGCTCTCTCCCCTCTGCAGCTCTCTGGCTTTCTGTTCTGCATCACTCCCCCTCCACCCCCTCATCTCTATCTCTCTCTCTCTCCTTTCTCTCCCTCTCTCTCTTCGGTTCTCCTTGCTGCCGCTGTCCCATACCCCTGCAAACCCCTCTCCATATCCTGCTCCACTATTCCTCCTCCTGACTGGAACACACACAAACACACATACAGGCACACGCATGCACAGACTGTCCTTGCAGCTGCATTCTCTTTTCCTTCGGAGTCTTGCAAATGTGCCTGTTTCTTTAACGCTCCACAGAGGAGCAGGAACACCAGCTTTGCAGCAAATAAGCCTTTCTCTCAGTGAAGCTTGCTCTGCTGAGCTGTGTACTTTTGCAAATGTGTATACCAAAATATATGTTTTTAACTGTGTCACCATATGGGCAGATTAGTTTGCATTATGTCACACATTTTGTGATCCCTGGTACTGTTCACAATCACAGTGACTTGGTAAATACATGTGAACACAACCCATCTTTCCAAGGCTTGGCAGGTCAAGACAAAGCTACTACATCATTCAATCTGGCTGTAGAAATAGATCTTTTTTATGAATGTGCTGAAGGCAAAAGCTTAAACTCAGAGTTTGTCTGGAAATTTGTTAGACTTGTAAAATGATAGCAGTAGCAGTTTTGTTTATAAAGCACATTTTTATTACAGGTTAGCCCTATAAATTGGGGATATAAATATGGAAAAAATTATTATATGGAATTAAAATAATTAGAAATAGATAGAAAACAGTCTCAATGTACCATTTTGAATCATTTGATCAAAAAATTATCTGTGTATTTTATGTAATCTTGTTTGTAGTGGTTGGACTTGATGTACTTTACTTGAAATGCTCAGGTTGACATAGATGAACATGACCTCGTGAGCTGAATGTTATTTGGCCCAACTGCCTAACGTGGATATTTCATAACGTGAGCCTATGATGCAGCTGTGCAAGAGTGGCACTATCTTTAAAAACACGGACTGCAGATTTTGTTTACATTTGAATTTAAGGGCACTAATTGACTGCAGATTTTCTTCAATCTAATTGTCTAGATAGAGGTTGTTTTCCTCTTTTATTTCCTCTGTGAGATGATAATAGTCTTTGGCACTTTCTCTTAACTCAGTAATGTTAAAGACTTTCGTTGGCCAATGACAATGCAGCTCTCATGGAGAAAAAGCACACCTTCAGTATTTTAGAAGATTCAAAGGTTGATAAGCTATTGATTAATGCGTCAGACGATCAATTAAGGAAATTGCCCGACATTTGCATCCCTTGTTGATGTTGTGCCAGGTTGCCAAGTTTGCGTCAACAGCAGATTTTTTCGTCTCCAAATGGTCACAGTTCATTGAGAAACTGGAGTCTCAATTTATTAGACCTTTGAATCTTCATTCACAGAGGATGAAGTATATTTAATCTCAGAGCCAACAAGGTCAAAGCAGGCTTTGTTCAAGGTGGTAGCTTTATACTAATCTGAGATTGACAAAAACGCACAAAGCTGAATTCTTCACACTGAAATAACACAACTACATGTACTTAAGTTCTACATGTGGGCCATCTGCAAACTGCTAATAGAGAAATTGCTTACATTACCACCTCTGCTTCCATCCACACTCAGTATTTGCTCGGTCAGCAAACATACAGTTGACCTCTGAGAGCAGCTTTACCCTTTAAACGTGACTTTACTTCCTGCGTTTTCTCGTTTGCATGGTGTTGATCTGGAGTCGATTATTCTTTCCTCCGCGTGACAGGAAATATGTTGTGAGGATATTTAAAGTAGTGCAGATGCTCTGTAGACAAAAAGACCATGTGAGGATGGGAGAAAGAGAGAGAGAGAGAAGAGTCTTCTGATGCAGAGAATACATTTTGTCTTTCCCCAGACTGCAGCCGCTATTTATAATTTAATTAGATTTCAGGACACCACTTGTCTCAGGACACTTCAAGGCGCCTCACCATTTCCTTTGAGTGTTTCCCATGGTGCAGGCCATGAACTCATGATGTGTGTATGTTTTTGTTGTTGGAGGCTCTTTATTATATTATCTAGAATTAATATACCTGGACACTGAAACGTAGCAAGGGATATTGGTTAGTTTTGTGAGATGCTGCTGTTAATATGTGTACCCAAGTGTACGCAGGTTTTACAACATAATAACTGAATTGAGGAACAGCACAATCATTTAATTATGTTTTTTTATTGTAGATGTTTGTAGTTTTTAGCAATTGTAAGCTGTATTTATATCAACAACCACCAGGAACTGTTTTCAAATAAATAAAAGTTGGTTTGTTAGAGTGTAACCTATGAATATGATTTATAAGTTTTAGTAAGAGTACACAAAGTTAATCAAAAATAGTTGCATCCCAAATCCAGACTTTTGTGCTTTCTTTTAACAGGTTGAAACACTTGCATATTATGCTGCAATTGAGTTACCTCCAAAGTCAGATGTCCGAGCTGGGAGTGACGTCACACCTGAGGTTATCAGCGTTTCAGTTACCAAGTCGGAAAAAAGCAAAATCGGAGGTGGAAACAAGATGGCTACATCTACGAAAGGGGATGCTAAAACAACTTTAAATAACTAAAATAACATTAAGAACTAATGTTTAACTGAAATAACTTTCGTAGATGTAGCCATCTTGTTTCCGCCTCCGATTTTGCTTTTTTCAGACTAGGTTAACATAAACGCTGTTAACTCAGGTGTGACGTCATTCCCAGCTCGAACTTCTGACTTCCGATGTAACTTGAACGCAGCATGTGACCAAAGTTATGTAATTTTAAATTGTGATGCAATGGAATCTAAAAAAGATCAGATTTTTGTTACGTTTTTTTTTAACGATCCATCAAATAACCTTATGGCCAGTCACATACAAGCATGAACTTTTGAAAGGCTGTTTTTACTCAGATTTTGTGGCTGCATATCAGATTCTTACCGCTGATTTCATTTATGCATTCCAGTATTTATTATGTTTAGTTTTGAATGCCCTGGATGCAAAGCAACCAACATTTGTAAAATAATGATAATACAAATAATTACGTACAACGACAATGACTTCAATGCTTTTCTTTACTGGTTACAAACAGCAAGTTAATGTGCTCTGTAAATACTCATCTGTGGGGTCATAAATACACCAGAGGAGATGTGGTGAAGAGGAAAAGAGCGTTCTCACAGCTAACAGGGTTTCATTCAAACCACGCAGAGGTTACTTTGTCAGTTAACCAGCTCTGACTGTATCACATACAAAAAAGAAAAAAGAGAACGCAACTGCAACAAGTTATAGCGTTATAGTGACTCCCACTTTCTCATTTGTTAGTAAATATTGCTCATTCTGTCCTCTCTGACTTTATATTGTATTCAACCCCCCCCCCACACACAAACACACACAACACACACACACACACACACACACACACACACACACACACACACAGTGCTGCCTCACCCCGGAGCCTCAGCCCCACTTGGCCTGGTTGCCGTTTACGGGTGGGGAGTGGTTGTTGAGAGCCTAGAGTCAGCAGATCTGGTCCTGATCGATGACAGCGTTTGCGGTTCTCTTCCAGTAAGAGCTTTAAACTTGGGCTAAGAGAGTCATTTGGCCACAGTGAGGGGGGAGCTTCCCCATGCACCTGTCTGATGCTTCAGGGAGGAGGGGGGGCGACTGACACAGCTACTGTCATGGTGTCCGTCTGATGCAACCAGACCAGGACAGAGGGGGAAACTGCACCCCTGGTTCTGAGGTTGCGGGACAGGGAGAGTGATGTCATTGTCGAGAAGCTTTCACAAACCTTAATCCTTGCGTGACACTGTTTGATATCGTGGTCTTTCTTTGTTTAGTAAAAGGACCTCACATCCTGAAGTACACTGCTCACTTTTCTCTTACTGCTTGCTGGGTAAGGGCGTCAAAATCTAAAAAAGGCGACACAGTAACAGTTATCTAAATGCTCCTTTTCATGTGTATTTTGGTTGAATATATTGTGAGCATCCAGCCTGCAGTTAAAGTGCCAAACTAATGCAGTGTTGTCCCATGACTCAGAGGTGAGCTCAGGACTCACATCAGCTCGTCGGTGGAGCTGCAGTCGTCCTGCTTTCTTCCTGTTTTTACAGATAAGGCTTTGTGCTGAATATCTTGTGACTTATAATTAGCTCTGATCATGTCCTAACTGTATTGTTATCTTTTTCTCTGTCTCTCTCTTTCTTTCTCTCTCTCTCTCTCTCTCTCTGCAGACATTTATAGTCCTAAACAAAGGGAAAACAATCTTCCGCTTCAGTGCCACGCCCTCCTTGTACATCATAAGCCCTTTTAATATATTCAGGCGAATAGCTATCAAGATTTTAATACATTCATATCCTTTTATGAGATTCAGATCTTTTCTCTTCAGTAAATGTAAAGAATTTGTACATTCTCTTGGCCTATGTTACATGTTTTCATGAGAAGAGTCAATAAAATCTTCAACTACTGTCTTCTTTTTCTGACTCTGCCCTTCTCCCTCAGCTTCACTTGCTGATCTTCAATCTCAGTTGATGAAATGTTGATAATCATGTCTGCTCAAATTTTCCTTAATTTCTGCCTCCTCACGTTATTCAGCATGATCATCATGTGTACCATTTTGACCAACTGTATATTCATGACATTTAGTGACCCCCCTGAGTGGTCCAAACAAGTAGAGTAAGTACAACAACATATTAGTCTTACCAGTTTTCATGTTTGTCATCGCTCCGTCGTGGTGTAACTCTCTTCTCTCTTTTATTAAAGGTATACCTTCACAGGTATCTACACATTTGAGTCACTCACAAAAATTGTTGCCAGAGGCTTCGCCATCGATGGGTTTACCTTCCTCAGAGACCCATGGAACTGGTTAGATTTCATGGTCATCTCCATGGCGTAAGTATTTTATCTCAAATTAAGATTTTAGAAAAAGTTTAAACAAAGCAACTCTGATCAAATATTTAAAAGATTAAAGCAACGCAATCAAAGCAAGCAGCAAAATGGGATTTCCATATAAAGGATAAAAGTATGTCATTCTGGTTACTTAACCACAAAAATAACTGACCACATAAAGAAAAACTTACAGGCGGTAATGCACCAGGGTTCTGTTATTGGACGCACTGTCTGATTAAGCAGTTAGGTGACCTTTTTTTTTTTTTTTTTTTTTTTTAATGCAGAAACATGAATTTTCATCTGATTTTGTGATGGTCAAATATGTATAATACACATTCATAATTAGAAATTGGTGTTACATTTAGCTGTAGTTTAACATTTAATATTTCCTCCTGGCAGTGAGCTGCTGTTTTGATTGTGAATAAAATACTCTCTGACCACAAACCACTCTCCACACATTAGGCAAACTTCAATTTCATAATTTTTCACTATGTTTCTTTGTGAGTTTTATTTAACTATCAGTGATAATTTCACTACTCCCTCCCTCCAAACCATAGACTGTTTATAGAATGGACAGCGTCTGCCTCCTCGCTGGGTGATGCCACTCTGAGAACAGCACCCTCTGGTGACGGGCTGCAGTATAGATCAGAAATCCCGCCTCCTTCAGCAAAGCTTATAGAGCTGTGGACAAACTTTATAAATTAATGACACAGAATACAAATCTTTCTCCCCCCTGGTTGCGGTGTTGACATGTAGTTACTTTAAGACTGGTTTGTGCTCATGTCCTCTTTTTTCTGTGAAGCTCAGTTATTAAAGGGGACCTGCCATCAAAAATGTAATTTTGTGTGTTTTTTGTGTCAGATAAGGTCCATATTATGTTCGTCTTATGTTGTGAAAACAAACCGTTACGTCGTTTGCATTCTGTAAAGGTTTAAAATAAAGGAACGAGTAACCCAGGCCAATTGAAAAAGCAGGTCCCTCTGACGTCACGCTGACCTTGCTCATTATTATTCACGAGCACGTCCTCGGTGAGCCGCGCCCACTGTATCTGCTATGGGTCTCTTCCAAACGACCGGTGTTTCCTTGGGTTCACTGCCGGGAAAATGAACTTAAAGCTGGGCAGAATGAATGAGAAAACACCGCTGGAGATCTCCGGCTTCTTCTTCAACTTCCACCTCCTCTTCGGACTCGGGGTCTAAAGTATATGGTTTAATACCTGCCGTTTTTAGGCTTTAGCATAAGGTGACCAGACGTCCCTGATTTCTGGGCACAGTCCCCGTATTGGATGATCTGTCCCCGGCAAAAGCTGTCCCCGAAAATGTCCCCGATTTAAGCGTTTCATGAATGAGAGCAAAAATGTTGCATGTGGGCTTGAACAACGGTTATTACAGTAGCCGAATAGGTAGGAAGCACAAGTTAGCAGTCCTGAACAACAGTTCTTACGGGGGTTATCACAAGGGGCATGCACTGCTACTAAATAGTACTGAGATTTGTCTGTGATCACACAGCCCCTGCAGCCCCTGCACCCGTCGCCGCCGCACCGAATATCCCCGGATATCATTACAGACATCTGGGCACCTTATTTTAGCACATATTAGCATAATGGATAAACCGAAATCCGAACCTCCACTGCTGAGCCAATCAGAGCACAGCAGGCTTCACAGCAGCGATCAAATCAGAGCAAAGCTCATTACCATAAATGTTAATGAGCCAAAACCAGTTGGTTTTCCTGTAAGGTTTTTTAGGCATACTAAAACAAACCATCAAATAACTTTTCAGCTAAAATTATGTTGCAAACATGATCAGAGGACATCAAGGATTATGAAAAAATGATAAAAATTGGTATGAAATTTTGGTGGCAGGTCCCCTTTAAAAGTTATAAGGGGGTTCATGTTTTCTATGATTGACACCTGATACAGCCTATTGGCGTTCAGGGATTGAGTAGCTCACCCGGGGGATACGCTGTTTGAGTTGAGGCGACTCCCCCGCCGAATGTGTACAACGCTACTGCGCAATGCTGGTTTCAGGAAATGAAGAAAAATCGCAGAAATACCGAGAGCTTTTTGGCTTCAAATCCGTAAACAGGCGGGAGGCGGAACCAAGTTGTCCATAGTATATACAGTCTGTGCTCAAAACCTATCACAACCAGTTTTTTCTGTTTCTTTTTTTCTGTGGTTTTGCTGTTTGCAGTCCTGTAAAAACTAGACCGAGTTTTGTGTGTTTGGTTGATAGGTGGTAGGCTTTCTCTCTTAAAGGTCTCCTATTATGGCATTTTTCATCAAGTTTAAATCAGTCCCAGAGGTCCCACAATAGTAAATTTGAAGTTTGTTGTCTAAAACACCAGTTTATTTGTGGATATCAGCCAGCCTGTACACCTCTCTTCTGAACTCCACCTGTACCTTTAAATGGTAATGAGCTGTGTGTAACCACGTGATTGCAGCCAAAGCACTAGACATACGGGCGGCGGTAAAGCAACATAAAATGGTAAAACTTACAGCTTCTGTGTTTGAAGTTGGGTCCCTGACACGGACCGTCAGTACAGGTCCAGGTTTTATCTTCAGCTTCTTAGCGAATCTTGCTTTGAACTGCCCCTTGTTGGTAAAACAGTCCATGATCAAATGGTTAGCACACAGATGCAACATTTTCAGAGTTGTTGTGGGCCTACATTTCCATCAAAAATAAAATTAATCCACTGGGTCCTCAAATCTTCCGACGAAGGAGGCAGAAATAGACTCCTGTCTTCATTTGTGCAGCCAAGAATCAAGCAGCGGCTGGGTCGTAGCTTCGACATGGTTGCTGTATGCGGGGAGAAAAAATGGTGGACGGTACCTCAGCAAAGATGTTTTAGAGGGCTGGGCTAACGATTATCGGGGGCAGTGCCACCAACATGTAGGAGGGGCTTATGCGGTTATGTCGTCATAACTGTACAGCTTTTCGATTCACCCGTTTGCGCTCATGTTTTCAGAAAGGAGGGGAATGCAAGAGAGGGAGAGAATGACATTTTTTCACATCAAGGGGGGGTGTCGGCTTCGAGGGGATGCATATTATTGGTAGAAAAACACCCAAAAGTGGATATTTCATAATAGGGGACCTTAAAGCTACTCTGAAATGATGATTGGTAATTGAGATTGTAGAAAATTTGAAAGGATAAAAAGGAAAAATTCTCAAAGGTTAGTTCTCTTCTTGTGCATATGGTCAAATTGCTCTTTAGGGACAAAGGTCCAGCAGACAGTTACCCACAGCATCTTGAATCACACCAGTCCTTCACTCCTTCATGTTGATAATGTTCATTAAAATATTCTGTAACTATCTTCTCTCTCTCCTGTGTGCGGGGCGGCTGCTGAGTAACTGTATCTGATCCACCTTGCAGGTATATAACAGAGTTTGTAAACCTAGGCAATGTGTCAGCTCTGCGTACGTTCAGGGTTCTGAGAGCTTTGAAAACAATTTCAGTTATCCCAGGTAAGACAGTCCAGGTGTTTGTGTCTGCGGGGGAGGGCGAGTCACGGGGGGGTTGATGTTAGGTGTGGTTTTGTTTCAGTCCCTCTTCCTTCTCCTCTTCCTCCTTTGTTCTCTTCCCACTGGTTGGACAGGCGTAAACTCTCTCACCATGGTGTACCCTCCCGGTCTTTGATGGTGGTGCTGGTGTCGTGCTCTTGCGCGTACATGCGTGCGTGTGTGTGTTGTGTTATCGTGTGTGTGTCATTGGGTTCTGTTCTGTGTGTCATCCTACCTTGTTACAGATATATAACAGAGTTTGTGGACCTTGGGAATGTCTCGGCGCTGAGAACGTTCAGGGTTCTCCGAGCCTTGAAAACCATTTCTGTCATTCCAGGTGAGACTCCCATTTAAACACTAAGGCTGAGCTTACCTTGTTTATTTATGTAGATTTCTATTTTTCAAATCAGGTTGTTTGAGATTGTCTTTTTATATGTTTTTCTTTTCTTGATATGATAATCAAAAATGGTAGCCATACATTTTTGATAGGCTTAGCAGTCTGTTGGCAGTCTTGGGGCTCACGTGTCTTAGTTGTACAAGTGGGTTTCAGCTGCACCTCAGGTACTTAACAGCTACCTTTGTGTGCGTATACCTTAAGGGACATAGATTGATTTTTGTAATCCCAAATGGTTGACTTCAAGATAAAATCATACAAATTCAACTAAACTAATGTACAATATTTGAAATCTTGATTTTATTCAGTTTTATTTTGTTCGATTTATCCAAATTCCAAGAGTCAATACATCCATGACTGCACCTCTCTTTTCCAAATCTTTTAGCTCCCCAAAGACTGCCAAGCCTAATATGACAGCACATGGACGCTGCATGAAGCTTGGGACACATGCTTTAACAAGTTTGGCTTCAGGAGGCTTCTTTTTTATTTTATTATTTTCTAGTTGAACAAATAATTGTCTTTTGAAGATCTTTGTCCATCCTGGGAACAGAAGGGAAACATAAACACAAGATAAATATTCCAAATGAGCAGAAATCTGGGCAGATTCACCAGGACTTTGGTCTTAGAGGTATTCCCCAGTCACATAAGACATGATGTGTCTATCTGAACACAATTTGCATATCCAAAATTTTTGTAACACTCTTGTACACTGTGATTTTACCTAACATCAGCATCTACATCTACACACCTGCAAACACAGACAGAACACTCAGTCCAGTACAGTAAACTTTACCTTCAGCACATACTGCTCAGGTGTGCTTGGGGCTAAAGGAGGCTGACAGCTCACCCATCGTGAGCCAGACCGAAAGAAAGGGTTTGCCTGGGATGGGAACGGTTCCTTGAGTTGAGGCAAGGTCACCATCACAGCTTACAGATAGGTGATGCTGACACAGAGTCAATTCATTCAGCCTTGGAGTTTAAATGACCTGCATGCCACCTCTCATAGCCCCCCCCCCCCCCCCGTGAGCCACCAACGCCTTCTCGCCTGTCCTTTCTTTCTCCTCCTTACTTCCTGCTCCCTTTGACCGATTCTGCTGCTGTTTGTGGTGCTGCTGTGCTGCTGGGAATCATCCTCTGCAGGTAGTCAGGAATATTCCCATTGAGTGGCACAAGGATAGATGGAAATAGTACCTCCACGATTTGACATAGCTCTTCCAAATAAACACAAAATCAAGTGACTTTTTGTGTGGAAATCACTCTTGACATTGAGGTTTTTATAAGACAGATGTTAACTTACCTGAGTTTACAAAGGGAAAATGAAATAGTGCCTTTCTGATGGGAAAATTCCTTATGCTTGCAGAGTGTGTTGTGATGCTTTTTTTAAAGAAAGATGAATGACCTTCGGTTCAGCGTAAATACTTTGTCACAGTTGAATCACTGAGTCATTTATACTAGATATACTAGGAATCAGGACCAACGTGTGCTGTAATACACTAGTTCTTCATTCTTTAAACGTGAAATATTTGATTTGCAGGGGTCTTAGGTGACAGTGAGGGGAAAAAGTATGATAAACCAGATAGGATTAAGAGTAAAAAAATCAAAAGCTCATTATCAGCTTTGTTAGGTCTGCAGGAATTTGATCTGCTCAGTTCTGTCCTCTTTAAGCTCATAAGAGAGGCTAGAGTGTTTTTTCCTCTATCATTTACAGCAATAAGCAAACAAAATCAAAGTATTTCCTGTCAGACGGCCACTCACTTGACACAATCAATCAATCAATCAATCAATCAATCAATCAATCAATCAATCAATCAATCAATCAATCAATCAATCAATCAATCAATCTTTATTTGTATAGCACTTTTCATACAAAAAAAGATGTAGTGCTTTAAGCGCTTTACATAGCAAATGAATAAAAGAAAAATGTAATCTACCCCAACAACTAATTCCCACCCTGCAATCTAAGCACAATAGAAATGTGTATTAAAATGCATGAACTTAAAAAGGACTTGATTTCATACAAACAGGAATGTGTGCACTAAGGAAACGCCGTTTTAAAATTCAAGATAAGGAAACACTGAAACATAAAATGAAATTTAAGAAATAATAAATAAAACGAAATAAAAACAACAGTAAAAGAAACTAAAATAAGAGCACCAAAATAGCTCAATAAAAGATGATGCCTCATTAAAACTAGAAGAGATAAATGCTAAAACACCTAATCAAAATTAAGATATAAAATTAAAATATAAAATTTAGTTTTCAGTTTGCCTTTAAAATCATTAAGATTAGGTGCAGTCGCACTGGTGACTGACTGATGTACACTAGTGGTACATCAAAGGATCTATGTGTTCTTTATGCATTAAAGATGAATATTTCACCCTATTTTATTCATGCATACATACTATTAACCTGATGATTCAAGAACTGGCCTCAGCAGAAGATTTATTGACTACAAACCAAACTTTTTAATCCAAATTAGGCTCTAACTGTGAAACCTTTCTAAATGCAAAATCTAAGCCTGTCTGTGAAATCGGGGAAAGTGTTCAGGGTCCCTCATCTCTACCTTGTCTCTAGCTGCATCATCAACTGTGCTAATGGATAACAGTGATTTATGGGAATGCCTCAGAAAGATAATTGTGGTGGTGTGTCTAAGTATTTCAGCCCATGATAATACCAACAATAACAATTCAAGTGGTGCTCATTGTATTGAGCCTTTGGACTATACCTGTGTTAGTTCAAAACTGTGTTTTTGAACCGCAGGGATATTGTTGGCTTTATGCTGATAGGACAGATCGTTTTCTCAAATTCAGTCATGATGATTATCAAAGGAAGTAATTATTATAAGTAATATTAGCTCAAAGGTTTTTTCCATTTGAGTATGTACAAACACAAAGAAAGTTATAATCTAAAGAAAATCAGCATTTGATCGTAGACAGGGTCTCCTCTTCTCAGGAGAAACAGGGACGCAAGACAACATGCTCTTTTGCCTTTGAGCTGCACATTTTTACCTGCAGACAATGAGCGGTGATATTAAACCACCACACAAACTCACACAGGGCAGCTTTTCTTATTACAGTGCTGAGATACATGTGAGGTTATTGTCCTGTGCTTAAATTATTGATGTTGTGATATCAGAGAATTCCAATTTCTTTACTAAATGTCTTTCACACCCAAACCTGGTTCTCAGCTTTGAACTTGCTGATGTAGGCTCTCTGATTTTGACTTTGCAGTAACATGATACCTGCCAGAAAAAAAGTGTTGTATGATTGTATAAACAGGTTAATTTGACATATAACATTTTATATCTTATACTTAAAAAAAATAAAAGAAATAAGAGTCGCCACTCTGTCCACTGGGGGTGCCAAAATCAGCACAAACGGAAAGGTCCTTGCAGGAGCTTAAATGACAATGCAAAAACTCATCAGATGATATGGAGCAAATGGAATTAAATTTAAACTTTGGCGATAAAACTGATCAAATCACACTCACAACAAGCGTAACTTGAACCATTTTAGCTCGAAAAACTTGGAAAATTTCATTATAACTTCCTAATTAACAACAGCAGCTGTTTCAAAAACAGTTGTAGTATTTAACTAAATAGAAAAAAAACCCTGATTTGGCAATTGTGATAATATTCACACACTGCTGGTTTGTAACAACTCAATTCAACTCAACTCAAACTTTATTTATAGAGCACATTTAAAACAACTGGGACAGTACTATATGGATTAAAAGCAGCAGGTTTGATGCAAGTAACCCATCAGCAATTACAATAAATGAAAAGAATACTTAAAGGTGGGGTAGGCAGGATCTGAGGAAATGCCAGTTTTTTGGGAGAAATCTTGAATGTAAACTCTACCCCTCCCAACCAGTTTTCCCATCAGCTCCTCCTCTCCCCTCCCTCTCTGCTCCAGTAAGCCCCGCCCACAAACAGACGCTCCTCCTCGCTCGTATCGTTTCAATTAAATTCAGATATAATGCAGATAAATACTTCAGATAATTAGAAATGGCGCCCAGTCAACGTGAAAGTAAAAAGCATTGATGCTACTGTAGATGCCAACAGACTACCAGCAAACACAATGTTAGCAGGACTTCTACGACTAGGATGAAGTGACATAGTCCAGGACCCGAGGTCAACAGTTTAGCGGCGCTACAACACACAGCAGGTCCCGCTTGACAAGAAACACTTCTGTTACAGACATTGAGCTTACTTTGTTAAAGCGGTTTACCTGTCCAGCAGAAAGGTTACAGGGTCCGTAAGATCCTGAAGCATCCCCCATCATTGTTGACCCGGCTTCTTAGCTCTTGTCCGGTCTACCTCCTTTTTAAGCACCCGTTATTCTGCCAGAGTCTCCGGATTCAGCAGGATTCAGACAATTTTCTGTACTTTCTGGTTGGTTTCTACTGTGTGATATTATAGCACGCTAACTTTGTTTGGGCTCCTGAACGACACAGGGGAGCAGTGTCCGCCTCACAACCAATCAGAATGGGGGAGGCGGGGAATGGCTTTGTTCACAGTCAGAAAATTTTAAAATGTTGACTACACAGACAAAACAAAACACAGTGATATTGTCACCAAATGTCATCAATGACTGATAGCTATGGACTGATATTAAAAGCTTTGTTGTATATACACCACAAAAAAAAAGATGTTTCTTTAACAGATTCCTGCCTACCCCACCTTTAAATACATAAACACAGTGCTATAAAAAATAAGAATAAAATGAATCAAAATTAACTTAAAATTTTGCCAGAAGTTCACTTAAACTCAATTGAAAGCCAGGGAGTAACAGTTTCTGAATGCATTCATTTGTAGGTCCAGCTGCTCCAACAAAATGGCAACCAGTTAACAATATTAACATGAAAACAGCCCAAACTGCAGATTTCTATCAAGGCCGGAGTTGCAGGAAATGAAACAAACACTTCCACTGTTTTTATGCCAAAGGAATTCATGAAAAACACCAAAATTCAATTCCTGCTGTAGGAACTGGCAGCATGAGCGTAGGTGTTAAAGAATAACTCTGATGTCTGCCAAGTTGATATTTATGTAAGAAGGTGCACAGCACAGGGTTAAATACAGGATTAGATATATGTTACCTAACTTTACTTACTTTGTTTGTGACCTTAGTCAGATCTAAATTCCAGCTGTAAAAACAAATTCTGGTTGTGCACTATTTCAATACCATAGGCTGCAATTTTTTTATTTGAGTCTATCTGTGTGCTTGTGTGTATGATTGTGTGCATTTGAAAATGTGTGCTTGTGTGTGTGAATCTGGGAGTTTGCCTGTTTTCATAAATGTGCATATGTGGACACGTGTGTATGTATGTATGTATGTATGTGCGTGTCTGTGTGTGCTTCTTGTATATTAATTGACAGGCCTCAAGACCATTGTGGGTGCTCTGATCCAGTCTGTGAAGAAGCTGTCGGATGTGATGATCCTGACCGTCTTCTGTCTCAGCGTCTTCGCTCTGATCGGGCTACAGCTGTTTATGGGAAACCTTAGGCAAAAGTGTGTCATCTGGCCGATCAACATGACCGAGCAAACCCTTGCAAATGGCAGCAGAGGCTTTGACTGGGACGAATACATCATGAATAACAGTGAGTGATTATCTTGAAACTCAATACTGGCTCCTCATATTAAAAAGTAGGCTCAACAGAAACTGCATCTTGGTAACAATTTGCCTTTAAAGAACTTTTGAAATCTTTTAATTTTGATGATTCATGAAACTTACAAACATGTAGCGTTCTCAGGTAACACACATATTCGCACAGCGACTAATGTACTGACTGTTCTTGGTTTTTATAGCTAATTTCTACTTCCTCCCGGGTCAACTTGATGCTCTGCTTTGCGGAAACAGTTCAGACTCAGGGTAAGTTAGCATCTGACTTCCTACGTACATATCTTTAAGCTCTATGTGTCCTACTCTTTTAGCATTTCATTGATTAAAATAAGTTGATGTTAAAACCGCATAGTAAGGTCATTGCATCTAAAAGGTTGTATTCGGAAAATTTAAGCTACCAAACATTAATTTATAATTTGTGACCCTGCAAATAATCAGCTACAAAATTCACAAATACCGCAGCGAAGCTTTTTTATGTTCATAATATACAAGATGGTTCTGTTGTGCACTAGTAAACAAACTGAGCATGTAAGATTGTTTTGATCATGATGATTACTGGACCACAGAACCTCTCCTGATCCATCCTTTGAGTGAGGCATTAATGAATGGAGGAACAGATAAATGGATGGTTTCTTTGACACTGAAAATGCCATGACTCCTATTTGGATCATGCTAAAGTGGCAGATATCTGTCACTGATTCTGGTTTATTCTTTTGTGTTCCTTTCAGACGTTGTCCAGAAGGTTTCACATGTATGAAAGCTGGAAGGAACCCCAACTACGGTTACACAAGCTTTGACAGCTTCGGGTGGGCTTTCCTCACCCTTTTCCGACTCATGACCCAAGACTTCTGGGAAAATCTTTACATGCTGGTAAAGCAATATTATACTTCATTCCCCTGTCTCTCCTTTGTGTGAAACTGACTCATAAAGGTCTTAAAAAAACCTTTTAAAAACTGGTAACAAAGCACATGCAGCAGGTCCCAGAGAAACAAAGAACCCCCCTGTGCAGTGCTAATGATATTGTCTTCCCTTTCTCATAAAAAATGTACACATGCTCATCCTTTTACCTGCATGAATCAGCAAAAGTGCCTCTCAGCAGCTCCTCCCTCAGCTCAACTGCCCTCTGAACAAAATGAAAGGAAGGACAGTTGATTAGTTAAGGTAGGAGTGTGTGTCTCTGCCCGTCGTAAAAATCCTGAAAAATCATGTTTACATCTCCACTGGAGCAATGAACAAAAGTGAATTAATTTGATGACCTTGAGCTCATTATTTAGAAATGAATGAACAATATGATACCACTGTATCTTGGGGTTCTCTCACTTTGTCAGGTATACAAGTGGATCAACAAAAATTGCAGTATCATGACAGTTCACCAGCTTTCCTTTCATCCCTCTTTAAATCTGCACCACTACAGGCAGAACAATAGCCCAGGAAAAGAAACAGCAGTGATGCTCACCTGACTAGATGACAGAATAGAAAAGCACTGTTAAAAAAAACTCCTCCACAAAGATTCATTCCATTTTAGACTTCCCAGTGGGAAAAATATTTATTTAAAAGCATTGTGATCCATGTTAAAGGAAGGTTTCCACAAGAGGTTTTCCTCAGGCTACAGCGAGTGAGCTACCTCAAAAAATGTGTGGCTATCAAGAGTGCACTGCACTTCATTCCCCACCTTCTCTTGTGAAGGTCCCCCTGCTTCTTACAGTGGGGCTGTTGTGCTTATTTCCTTGCTTATTATCACCATCCCTCTGATTACTTCTTAGCAGCTTTACATGATTTACTGTTCAACAAATCCTTAACATATTTCAGGCTGCTGTCTTTAAAAACCTTGAAAACAGCCTCTGTCTGACATGCTTCATTTAAGCCACTGTCCCTTTAAGGCACCCCTAGCATTCCAGAACCCAGCATTTTGGAGGCCTCCTTTACTGTTGCCATGCAACAAAGTTTTTTTTTCTTTTTTTTCGTAAAATGACAAATTGGACTTTTCATGGTGATTCATTGTCTGGAGATGTCACGATTTGAGCAAATCTCAGATTGATCTTGCTGAATTCTCACATTAATTTTTGAACAAGCCATTTAGATCACCCTGTCGTCTCATGTAGGGATTATTTCAACACATATTATCATTGTAATCTGAAACTTTGCTCATGTGTAGTACTGATGGTTATTTTTTTAATAGACTATATTTGAAAACTTTTAGGTTTTTTTCAAACACGACAGAGGAAGACAAGGACAAATTTAATACCAAAAAAAAACCTGCCAGTTCACAGGAGAACAGGAGTCCGGGAAAAAAGAGTCCATGTCAGATCAAATGATGCAGTGTCTAGAGGTCAGGAGTCCTTAGAGGGATGTTCCGGCATAAAATTAATTTGCCTAATTTCTTTAGCAAAGAGATGAGTCAAAGAAATGAGTCAAAGTTAAAAAGATGTTTGGTGGCTAGGACCTTATATGTCCTGTTGATGAAGTTAGGTGCTGTTCTGAGCATTATTTGTGGCTACAGAATGGTGTTTTGGTTGAGGTTTGTTTATGGCTCCTCAGACCGCTGTGTATTGCTATCATACAGTCGTTACTAAAGTTGGTATAACTAGAGAAGCAAGCGGTCGGCAACATTCATCTCTAGAGGGGGTGTCTAACTTGGTGTTACGGCGTTTTTGACCCCAAATTAATTTTATGCCGGAATATCCCTTTAAGGCTGGCATCAGATGAGGTCACAGACATCATCATTGATTCCACAATTAACAACACAATACAAAAATCTAAGCACTGAACAAGACAATAAAAAAACTGATGTCTTACATATTAACCTAACATTTGTTTTCAAAATCCACTTAGTACTTAACTGTGTTCAGTGGGAGTGACCTTAACATTTTTCTGATCTGATCCAGCCTAAACCCACCTCAGCTGCAAAGCTCCTGTGAGTAATTTTTAGCCAATAATGAAACAGACTAAAATTAACACTGGTGCTTCTGTTTAAGCCAATAAAGCAAAAACAAACAATTGATTATTTTATTGTAATGATTTCTAATGCCTTTAAGTGCTGCCAGCAGGTAGATGTCAGTCAAGGTAATTTATTGCTCACTGCCAAAACATCCTTTGTTTACATTTTCCATCCTACAGATTCGTGACATGTCTGTTGAAAAAAAAAAGGCAGAATCAGATAATCAGATTTTTGTCGGAAAACATGACTTAAACACCAATAATTGATTCCACTTTGTCTATAGTGGGCAACAAAGTAATGCAATCTAAAAGTTCCTCACAGGAGATTCAAATCTTCTCATCATCCTGTGTGTCTGATTGCTCCTCATTGCCTGTCTGTGTTTATCTATTAGACTCTACGTGCTGCAGGGAAGACATACATGATCTTCTTTGTGCTGGTCATCTTTGTGGGCTCCTTCTATCTGGTGAATCTCATCTTGGCTGTGGTGGCCATGGCCTATGAGGAGCAGAACCAGGCCACTATTGAGGAGGCAGAGCAGAAAGAGGCGGAGTTTAAAGCCATGCTAGAGCAGCTCAAAAAGCAGCAGGAAGAAACACAGGTGTGTCCCATTCTCTTTCTTTCTGACACACTATTACTCATTTCTCTCGGTTTATGATAATCATCTGTCTTTTTTTTTTCCCAGGCTGCTGCCATGGCGACTTCAGCAGGCACAGTGTCGGAGGCAGCATTAGAGAACGAGGGAGGGGGGCAACTGTCCCGCAGCTCTTCTGAAGTTTCCAAACTGAGCTCAAAGAGTGCCAAGGAACGCCGTAACCGCAAGAAGAAATGGCGTCAGAAAGAGCAGGAGAAGGAGAAGGGAGACAGTGAAAAGGTTGTTAAGTCTGAGTCAGATGATGGCAGCAAGAAAAGTACTATTCGTTTCCCAGGAAGCCGGCTGGGGAGGAAGACATCCATCATGAACCAGGTAAACTCAAAGTGTTGAATTATGCAGTCAAGGCAGTCTGTGTTTGATCAAACATGTGGACATATGATATGACTGATTTTTCCAGGTATATTTCTTGATCCAGTTGTGCAAGATACACTTTCAAGCAACCAAAACCATATTTGGTTATACTTGAATCTTAGTAGTACCACTTGTTTAGTTGTAATGAGATTGAGGAAACTACTTTGACAGCATTGCAGAAGTGGATTATGTGAGTGTGTAACATAAAATATAATAATCTGTTTAGTATGCTGGATTTAGACAAGTCTTGAATTCTACCTGAGATCCCTGCAAAGGCAAGACACTTGTATTTTATGTGGTGTGCATTCATTTGATAGCTCCTCCTTGTCAAAGTAAAATTGGTATTTTTTTTCTTTTCTGTTCTTCAGTTCATTCTTGTTCACTATTTGCTTTACTTACTATCCTCACCGTGTTTACACATCACCTAACTCCTGCTGTTTTTAATAAACCTCCCATCTCTCTCTCTCTCTCTCTCTCTCTCTCTTTGTATCCATTTCCCACCCCTCAGTCACTCCTCAGTATCCCAGGCTCTCCCTTCATGTCGCGCCACAACAGCCGGAGCAGCATCTTCAGCTTCAAAGGCCGCTCCAAGGACATGGGCTCGGAAAACGAGTTTGCAGATGATGAGCACAGCACGGTAGAGGAGAGCGAGGACCGTCGAGGCTCTCTGTTTATCCCTTACCGCCGCAACAGCTACAGTGGCTACAGCCAGGGCTCGTCACGTATCCACCCGCTGGCACCCCACTCTGGAGGCAAGAGGAACAGCACGGTGGACTGCAATGGCGTGGTGTCTCTCATCGGCCCTGGGCCTGGCAGACGGCTTCTGCCTGAGGTGAAAATAGATAAGGCAGCCACTGATGACAGTGTAAGGACGTCCATGGGACACCAATACAGTTTAGGCATGATGGTGGTGGCCCTGGTCTCTGCAGCTTCTCCTTTACCACCTCCTTCCCTTGGCTCTTGTTCTAGCTCCTTTTCCTCCCCCTAAATAGAGTCTGTCTTATTATTTTGTCTTTAACTTCTACTGACAGCCATGCCCTAACCTGATAACCCTTTTCAGCTGGTCATATTACAACTCTAATGGTGCTAATCGACTGTAACAGTACCCGAAAACTCAGTGCCTTACAAACACCATGGTTATCATTTCAATAATTAACATCTAACAAGCAAAGATTTTTTTTTTCAGTTTTTCCCCTAACAATTTCATCACCAAGCTTATGCATATACAGCCATGGTCATTCATACATGGCTATTAAATTATTTTACTTAGGAAAAAAATTACTTATGTACTTTAAGTATCCTGTTCCCAAAGGCTTTCCACATCCAGACTCCCACAGATTCACCCACCTCTCTGTTTTTTTTTTCAAATTTCACTTTCTATTCCCCACCTCTCTGTCCTCCTCTTATCATGTTTTATCCTCTGCTCCTGAGCCACTGGATGGTGCAAGATCTCCAATCCTCTACTCTAATCTGAACCTCTTTTTCTGTAACAATATTCTTTTTCATTCAAGCTAGCATGGTAGCCCCCCCTTTATTCTTGACCAGTGTACCTGCTTTTGTCTTTTACCTTTCTTCAAATGTAGCATGGGGTATGAATCTTGAATTCCCCTCTGTTCTTGACATGCATGCGATTGCATGCAGTTAAATGCTGTTGATTTAGGGGTTGTAGAGGTTTTATTCACAGTACCAAGAGCAGGTCTAAGAAAGAGTACCGTAAATTCTCAAAATAGATCTGTCACTTCAATAACTTCTGCAGATGTTAAAGAAAGAAATCTGGCAAAACTGGAAAGCAAATCGTATGCTCAAAACGTTCTGTGTTTATGTCCTGCAAAGTAAGGCAAAATTTGAGAATTTACCGTATAAATTTGATGTGCTACATGATATGACACAGGAACAGCTTAGAATGGGCAAATATCTAATTTTGGGGAATCAGTTATGCAGTATATTAGGATTTTTGTCTTCTGATCAGACCTAAACGGGATTATTGGTCTGTAGAGCTTTGGAGCATGAGCTGTAATGTGTGATATTTGTGGCTGTGAATTCATACTGGTGCTACCTCTGATTTATATTATGTTGATCTCTGAGCGCAGACTACTGACGTGGAGATAAAGAAGAAGCACTCTGGCTCTCTCATGGTGTCTGTGGATCAGCTCAACTCCTCCTTCAAAGGAAAAGATCGGGCAAACAGTCAGATGAGCATGGTCACCAACACACTAATAGAGGGTACAGATGATGCAAATCCTTCTTCTCTTTTCTTACTCCGTTTCATCCAGGATTTAATGTCTACATGCACAATCACAGGACCTGTATATTTGAACTGTGGTTAGCTTTGCGTTTATAGCTGTGGTTGAATATGTGTTCTTGTTGTTTATGTAAACAGCCTGCATTAGACACAGGTAGGGCTGGGCAATATGGGAAAAATTTTATCACAATATATATTTTTTTTGTATCAGTCGATATTGATATTTATCACGATATTAAAAAAATCACGTCAGTCTTAAATGTTCCCTGTTACTCTTGAATGAAATTTAACATGTACTTTACATAATTTACAGTACACATTACTGTACTTCATGTCCGACCTCAAAAAAACAAAATACCTCCACACCACCGATTCATTTTCCTTTTTCTCACCAACAGTGCTGTCGGCTTCACGTGTTTAAGTGCTATGATTGCGTGTAGCTGCAGCCTGCTAGTATGCAGTTGTTTGCTACTTGGTTCCAATTCAGCACATGATTGGTTTAGCGTGACCCTGAGCAACTCCCCTTTTCATTTGCCATTCTTGTAGTCTACCAAAACATGGCAGAATGCCGGATATCGAAAAACATATTGACCATGTTTCATATCGATATCGAGGGAAATTAATTTTTGATATATATCATAATCATTTGTCACCCAGCTCTCGAGACAGGTATGGAAATTGAACAAGAAGTTAGATGTTGACAAACTCCACCTCTCTATTGTAAATGTGGCGTCAAAAACCTCAAGTAGTTACACAAAAAATGGCCCATATGTATGGTTAGATTCTAAAGTGATGCTGTGTTTGTGTAACTTTAGGGACCCAGACTTTTGTGTCTTTTTTTGTCTTAGCTCTTTTGTTTTTCCTGCTCTCTCCCCTAACCCTCCCTGCAGAGTTGGAGGAGTCTCAGAGAAAATGTCCGCCCTGCTGGTACAAGTTTTCCAACACCTTCCTCATCTGGGAGTGCTGTCCCTTTTGGCTGAAGCTCAAACACATAGTCTACTTGATCGTCATGGACCCGTTTGTTGACCTGGCCATCACTATCTGTATTGTCCTCAACACTCTCTTCATGGCCATGGAGCACTACCCCATGACTGAGCACTTTGAGGGGGTCCTGGCAACTGGCAACTTGGTGAGAAAGGACCGATTTTCTTCTTTTTCTTTCTAACATGACTGCTGATAAACCATGAAACAATTTTATATCCGCATAAGCTACATTATCTCTGCTAAAGCTTTCCAAGTTCAGTTTGCTCCACCTCCATAACCTCAAACCAATACATCAATGCATCATTTGGTATGTGCACTTAAGAATACCCACGGCAAAAGTGAATATAGGACACTGATGGGGTCTCATTAAAGATTTAGTTCCATTTTAATGCAGCCTGCCAGCCTGCTCCCCAAACTCCCATCACCCCACTCTTCTACTTCCGCTACACCCTGCTTACCTCCACTCTACTGAACTCTGACTCACTCTATCTTTCTCTCTCTTTAACACACACATGCAGACACACTCAAAGTCGCAGTCATGATAACACATCTGTCCAGGACTGTTAAGGCTGATTACCTATCAACAAATTGTGCCGCAGATATTTTGATCTGTCAGTGCTCTGCCCTTGCTGTCAGGTACCAGCGTAGCCCAGCTGTCTAAGGGCAGCACGATTGGCACAGAACCAATGTTAAGACAGGAAATGAGGTCATAAGGATTGGCACCCTGTCAGGAATAAAACAGGAACTGAAGCTGGAGGAATCAGCCTGATGGATGGTGCAGCATGAATCATTGGGTGTTCTCTGCAGCACTGATTGGATACAAGATAAGCTGTTTGACGACAAGGAAAAGCTCAGAAAAACTACAGTCTCTTGTGCTCTTTGCTGAAACACGGACACTCAGCTCCATGACCTTGCACTGTCAGAACAGTCCTCACTCTCAGCAGATCTCAGTTCATTTTTAATGAGAACCAGGTGAAGTTAAAGCAACTGAAGCACAGCTGTTTTTTCTTATTTTGCACTCAATTCTCCTCAAGGTGAAGTAAAATTGAGGTGTGTTGCAATATTGCACTGTCATTTTAAAGAAGTTGCATCGTTAATGTCATTCAGCCTAAAAGGTTACTTTCAAGGGCATTTTTTGAAATTGTATTTTAAAAGCTGGACAGAAGAGAAGGAGGCGATTATTTTGGTAAAATTGCCTTCTCCCTCAGGTTTTATAAAGTCCGAGTCTCATGAAACAAAACTACACTTATGCTACTTTCAGAAAAGCCCTCAGCAGTGCTGTCACAATAGGTTGATCTTAAAGGGATATTGTGGTGTAAAATTAAATTATGGTCAAACACCCCGAGTTAGACACCCCCTCGAGAGATGAACGTTGCCAACCGCTTGCTTCTCTAGTTATACCGACTTTAGTAATGACCGCACTCTAGCAATACGAAGACCCACGTGCTCAACCAAAACGCCACTCTATAGCCACAAATAATGCTCAGAACAGCACCTAACTTCATCAACAGTACATATAGGGTCGTAGCCGCAGCACTAGCCACCAAACATCTTTTCAGCTTTGCCTAATTTCTTTAGCAAAGAGACTAAACACAACTCACCTACTCTCTTCTAGCAGCTGCTTGTTTGTAGCGAAACCTCGGGCCAGCCCATTATGGACTACAGCAGGGTGACGCAGCTCAAGGAAGAACATTTATGATCATATTTAATGGAAATGTAATCAGACAGAGACGCTTAAGCAGAAGAATTACCGCGTCTGCAGTGTCAAATGACTAATATGATGATTATTACTTCAAGGAAATGATAAAGTATTGATGTGTATTGCTATCGTGCGGTTGTTACTCAAGTTGGAATAACTAGAGAAGCAAGCGGTCTGCAACATTCATTTATCGACGGGGTGTCTAACTCGGTGTTACAGTGTGTTTTACCCTAACTTAATTTTATGCTGGAATATCCCTTTAAATATCCAACACTTACAGCAATCATAAATCTTACACAAATCTATTATTTTACACTGACTGTTCCTTTTAATCAATCAGTGAATTTATGTTTGATTCTTATTATTGATTCATATTTTTCCTTTTCAATACTGATGTGGGATGTACAAATTTGAGAGAGCCTTTCCACAGACAAAGAGCTAATTTATTCATTTGTATATGATAAAAAAAAACCACAGCTACACAGGCGTGTAAGAAGGTGTGAGGAAAACTGTCCCTCTGGTGCTCCTCAGTGTGGGGATCCAAATATAAACTGATTTAAAAGATCTGAGGCACTCTGAGCTTAATTTATTCAAAAGCCTTTTTTTCCAGAGCTACAGACTTGTTAAAAAAATACCAATGCTTTTCAGCCATCAGTGGAGAAGGTACAAAATAGTCACTCAGCTGTCACATGATCACTTTGGTCACATGAGTGATGTAAACGGGTTAAATGTTAGAATAACACTGCAGTCCTATAATACTGCTGTAATGTTCTATTTTGAGACATCAGTGGCAGCCATCTTGGTTGTTTATAACAATTATGCTCTGTTGCTTGAACAGAGATCAGAAGATACATTGTGGTGTCTATGTATCAGTAATTAAAAAAGCACATAAAACAAAGATAAACTGGATTTTTTTTTTTCTCCCAGGTTTTCACGGGTATCTTTGCCGGAGAGATGTTTGCCAAGCTGGTCGCCATGGATCCCTACTATTATTTCCAGGAAGGCTGGAACTGCTTTGATGGCTTCATTGTGACTCTGAGTTTAGTGGAGCTGGGACTGTCCGACGTGGAGGGTCTGTCAGTGCTCAGGTCATTCCGATTGGTGAGTGGGAGAGAGTTTCCCTGGATCTGTTTGCCTCCTTTGGCGACATAGAAGTTAGAAATAGTCCTCTTTTAACACATTTTTTTCTCTATAAAGCTCAAAATCGATTCAAGTGTGCCTCTTACAACACTCAAACAAGCAAGTTAATCCAGTCTTCTGTTTCTCTGTAGTTAAGAGTCTTCAAACTTGCCAAATCATGGCCCACCCTCAACATGCTGATCAAGATCATCGGTAATTCTGTAGGAGCTCTGGGTAATCTGACTCTTGTGCTGGCCATCATCGTCTTCATTTTTGCCGTGGTGGGCATGCAGCTGTTTGGCAAAAACTACAAAGACTGTGTGTGTAAGATCGCCCAGGACTGTGAGCTGCCTCGCTGGCACATGAACGACTTTTTCCACTCCTTCCTGATCGTGTTCAGAGTGTTGTGTGGGGAGTGGATTGAGACCATGTGGGACTGCATGGAAGTGGCTGGGCAGTCCATGTGTCTTATCGTCTTCATGATGGTCATGGTCATTGGAAACCTGGTGGTAAGAAGACACAGATTATACTATAGCTGCAAGTATGTGTAAGTAAGCTGTCCTAGTTTTACTCCATTTAACACTTCGGTGGTGTTTTTTTTTTTTTTACGTGAGGTGCTGAACCTGTTCCTTGCCTTGCTGCTGAGCTCATTCAGTGCAGACAACCTTGCTGCCACAGATGATGATGGTGAGCCCAACAACCTCCAGCTGGCAGTGGCTCGCATTCATACAGGGATCGCCTGGCTCAAGGTTAACGTTAGGCTGTTTGTGGCCACAGTCCTCAAGAAGGTATCATGTAATTCTCCATCTATATGAATAACTATTTCTTGTTGTTTTTTTAGCTGCAGCTGTTACATCCATTATCCTGTCTTTGTATATGTTTTTTTATCTCTGTCGTTTGAACATACAGCCCATAGAAGATGAACAGAAGCCCTTGGACGAAATGTACGAGAAGAAGCTCAACTGCATCGCAAACCACACGGTGGATATCAACCGTGAACTGGACTATGCTAAAAATGGCAATGGGACAACCAGCGGCATTGGGAGCAGTGTAGGGAAGTATATGATTGATGAAGACTACATGTCCTTCATCCACAACCCCAACCTCACCGTCTGTGTTCCCATCGCTGTTGGCGAGTCGGACTTTGAAAACCTCAATACAGAAGACTTCAGCAGTGAATCGGATGTGGAAAACAGCAAAGATGTAAGTAAGAAGGAGAGATAAGAGTGAGAATGAAGGAAAGATGTTTACTGACTGCAATGGGCTCCTTGCTTTACAGTTTAATGGGAAAAAAGGGAATTGGATTATTTGATTGTGGAAGTTAGATGATTTTTATTTATTTCCTGAAGATCATGAATGAAAACATCTTTTTCTTGCAACATGCTCCAAACAAGCTATTATGTTTCTAAAAGAGATGATTGAAACATACCATGAGGTGATGTAATGCGTCTGTGTGCACATGTGTGAATGTGGTTGTTAGTGCCCATGCAGCATTTTCAGATCCATTTAGTAGGGCTTGAGCTGCAGAGCTGAAGACATTGAATTTATTTGACATTTTCGAACATCCGTTTAGACACAAGAGCTGTACCAATGAGCCTGAGTGCTGACTCTGGGGGACCAGATAGAGAGGCAGTTTTTAACCAGGCAACAGAAGGAGAGACACACCGTTTCCTGAATAGTGCAAATGTGTGAAAATGGTGAGGCAGAGCTTGTAGTGAAGTATGATTCATGGGTCACCTTGACCTGGTTTGTAGTTGGGGAGGAGATAATGCAGTAGTATCACTACTGTACCTGCACCAGGTCTATATTCCACTGTGCTTCCTCCACCAACCACACACCAATCCTCCCTGCACCACAGCCAGCCACAGGGAACACTGCAGGAGGGGACACAGACAGAGCCGCTGACAGCCAATCAGAGAGGCAGGAATCCATCGGGCTGTTTGGTAGAAAGGGAGAAGAAAGAGAGGGAGCAGAGAAGAATGTGAATGCAGCCTTTGCTGACGACATAAGATTGTAAAGTGCAGTATCATTCTCGAGTGAATTGAATAGCCTGAATGTCTTTGCATGTGTGCAAAAGTGTGTGTTTATAGTCTATTGCAATAAGGCTGCTGTTCTGCTAGTGTTTAGTTAGTTTGCCCTGCATCACCTTGACCTTTTGTTAAGATATGGCATGATTTATTGGTACAGGTGAGCTTCACCAAGACACTTGAATCTAAGTTTTTTTAAAATATGGCACCAAAACAGGAGGATAGTGGACTAGACCGAGAGAACGAAATAATCAAACAAAAGCAAAGTAGAAAAAGAGGGGTGGGGGGATACATGATGCATATTTCTAAACCTATGCTAAGACAAAAATAGATTTTCATCTACAATGAATAAAACTGGATGCTATTTTTATCATCACCTCTATGACTGAACAATTATAGTCATGGGAAAAAAAATATAATAATTTTTTTTTTTTAAATCGTAATATTGTCCCAGTATTCTTAATAAAAGTTCCAGTTCTCATACTGCCAAAGAAAACAAAAACAGCTGTTTAATAGAAATACACTGAGATAAAACTGGGATTAAAAACTGTGAATGTGAACTTCATTGTTTAGTCATACATGGTGATATTAGGAGTACTTATGTTGTGGTTTATGAGTAGTAGTAACATTGATAACAAGTATTCAGTCAAATTTGTACTTTTTAAAAACATGTTTCTCGACTCTGTCATTGTCCTCATGTCTACAAGTATTTGCTTGTTCTTTCATTGCAAACAAACTCGTCATCACCAAAGAATCTTTATGTATGCATGTATGACAATGACCGTGATTACCAGTGTGATTAATCACTTGTCCAGTTAAATTAGTTTCCTGTCAACTGCTAATAACACTGCAGTGTAGGAGGTGCTGCAGGGGGATCTAGCTTCTCTACATGGCTCTAACATGTTTACCCCCAGTAATAAATCATGCCCTGGACAGAAACCCAAAGGGAAATTAATATAATGGCTGCACTGGCAGTGTGCCGCTGCTACCTGCCTCCAACTTCTTACTGCTACAAGTCTATGAAGCTCAGAGAGAAAGTCAGAAGTTGAGTTGACCCCACCGGTGCTCTGTTTGTCCTAGCTGGATGACACCAGTTCGTCTGAGGGCAGCACAATAGACATTAAACCTGATGTGGAGGAAGTGGCGGTAGTAGAGGTCGTGGAGGAGTACGTTGACCCTGATGCCTGCTGGACAGACGGTAGGTGGTGTTTAATAACTTACTGCTAAAGACATGATAACACTTAACAAAAAGCAGTGATTAATTTACACTGCATGTATGCATTTGTCTCTTCTGTACCCAACACTAAATGTGTTTTTGATTGTCATGCAGAGTGTGTGGCCAAATACAAGTGCTGCGATGTTCCCATCACTCACGGCTGGGGGAAACACTGGTGGTTCTTGAGGAAGACCTGCTATCTGATAGTGGAACACAACTGGTTTGAAACCCTCATCATTTTCATGATCCTGCTCAGCAGTGGAGCCTTGGTAAGGCCACAAACACACACACAAACACACACACACATTCATAACATACATCGACACAGCAGAGTGGATGCTTCCACTTTTTACACATGACGCTGCTATTTGTGCCTTCAGATTTTGATATAATGCACCCCTCAATTGAAGTTTCTCATTGCTTCACTGATGATAAACACAGGGAATAACGTAAACACAGATCAAAACAATAATCTGCATTCGTTCACTGAAAGTGGTTATCTTATAAGGGAATATGCACACAAATCCACGTGCTGCTTTTCTTCTGCATCTGCTCTTAATATGATTGTTGCTAATGGACAGCAAAGTGCTTTAGTGCACCAACCTTTCAGCCGGCAGAATCCAGCTTAGGTTTGCAGCTTTGTGGAGGGGGAAGAGGCCAAATCAAAACACTAATGCGCTGAAGAACGGATACAGCCAATGGAGAAGGGTAGAAGAGAGGGAATGAGAAGTCTGGTTTGACTCGTCAGTAAATGCTGTTTTTCTGTCTTTGTACAAAACTCTGTCTGGGAAAGTTAAACAAATTTACACATGTGAAAATGTTCGAAAAAGAGAAGCCCAGGTCACTCATTCATTGGAGAATTTAAAAAGCATCCTGGTGAATGATTATAATGGATGATAAATATGTTATGCCATTATCCATCCAGTTAAGTCATTTGAAACAAAAAGCATGATATACCAGAGACAAATGCTAAAAAGATATCAGTACAGCTTTTGTTGACATGAAGATTCTCTGTTTTCCTCAAGGCCTTTGAGGATGTGTACATAGAACAAAGGAAGACAGTTCGCATCATTCTGGAGTATGCTGATCGAGTTTTCACCTACATTTTCATCCTGGAGATGTTGCTGAAATGGGTGGCGTACGGCTTTGTGAAATACTTCACTAATGCCTGGTGTTGGTTGGACTTCTTCATTGTAGATGTAAGTACATTTACACACCAATTTCTCATTCACTACTATTGTGTCAATGCTATCTTTGTAAATGGATCTACAAAAAAGTCTTGTTGGTCAATGAACTTAACCATTTGCCAGGCTCCAACATGATCGTTTTAAGAATCTGGAAAGTTCATTTTGTTCAGTTTTTTAGCATTATTATTAAAAATTTCCTCTTTAAATTTTTCTTTTTCACATTTCTGTCCAAATTAGATAGGGCAGCTGCAGGGTGATAGGAAACATAAGAGCGGGGAGTGGAGGAATACATGCAGCAAAGGGTCAGAGCAAGATGTTAAACCAGCAGACAGTGCCATGAAGACAGCTCTGTACATGGGGCATGTACTGAAACTGCTGAGCAAAGAGGTGGCCTTAAAGGGATATTGCAGTGTAATTAAGTTTTGGTCAAACACACCGTAACACTGGCCCCGGTAACATGGGTAGTTTTCCTCAATCTGATTGAAATCAATCAGATTAAGTGAATCTGATTCCATCTGTATACATGAACTTTAAGTAAAGAGATCCACGTTCAGTCCGCGTTTTCATGGCCCCAGCTGAATCCAATTGTATTGTATTGTATCAATGGGAATTGTTAATAGGAACCATTGTTTTAGTTCCGTTTTAGAGTTGCGCACGGATGTGTTTGTGTGTGACACCACCGGAGTTACCAGACCGAGCAGAGTAAGGAACCCTATGTGTCGAAGTTTAATAAAAGTTTAATCCAGCCGGGTTACACAGCAAGAAGTGTACGCATCGTCAGTCGCACGAAACAACACACTTTAACACTCCACCGTCCAGTTTTTCTGTTTGTTCGCCATGTTTGTTTTCGTTTGGGCTCGCTCTGCGTATGTCACTACGTGCCTCTTACGTACTACCGAGCGCCTGCGCAGACCAAACAAGCCTCTCTCTAAACCCAATCCGCTCCACTCAGCCGTATATACGGAGCATGGAGCGGATTATCAATCGGTGTAGACTACCTCTTACAATCCGACCCGAAATACAATCAGATCCGGGTGAATCAGATTGGCTAAGGTGTTTATATGAGACATTTTTAATCTGATTGACCTTTCAATCTGATTGTAAATAGGATTTTTGGACCCATGTTAACGGGGTCACTGAGTTAGACAGCCCCTCCAGAGATGAATGTTGTCGACCGCTTGCTTCTCTAGTTATACCAACTTTAGTGACGACCGCAGGATAGCAATACACAGCGGTCTGAGGAGCCATAAACAAACCTCAACCAAAACGCCACTTTATAGTCACAAATAATGCTCAGAACAGCACCTAACTTCATCAACAGTACATATAGGGTCCCAATCATAGTACTAGCCACCAAACATCTTTTTGAACTTTGTCTAATTTCTTTAGCAAAGAGACTAAACACAACTCACCTACTCTCTTCCAGCAGCCACTTGTTTGTACAGAGACCTCGGACGAGTCCATCACTGACTGCAGCGGGGTGACGCAGCTCAAGGAAGAACATTTATGATCATTTCTTCATGGAAATGCAATCAGACAGAGACACTAAGATAGAAGAACTACCGTGTCTGCAGTGCAAAATGACCTATATGGTGATTATTACTTCAAGGAAATGATAAAGTAATTATCATAAATGTTCTTCCTTGAGCTGCGTCACCCCACTGCAGTCGGTTATTGACTAGTCTGAGGTCTCGCTACAAACAAGCGGCCGCTGTAAGAGAGTAGGTGAGTCGTGTTTAGTCTCTTTGCTAAAGAAATTAGGTAAAGCTAAAAAAATGTTTGGTGGCTAGTTCTATGGCTAGGACCCTATATGTACTGTTGATGAAGTTAGGTGCTGTTCTGAGCATTATTTGTGGCTATATAGTGGCGTTTTGGTTGATGTTTGTTTATGGCTCCTCAGACCGCTGTGTATTGCTATTGTGTGGTCATTACTAAAGTTGGTACAACTAGAGAAGCAAGCGGTCGGCAAAGTTTGTCTCTTGAGGGGGTGTCTAACTCTGTGGTACGGTGTGTTTGACCATAAGTAAAGACAACTTGGAGCGTAATTACATGATTTTGTATACATTGGTAACACATACAGACCTGAAAGGTTGAAAGACAACAACATACAAGCAATGTTCAGGACTGGATTTATTTCAGGCCAAGAGATTACATCAGAAATGAAGTATTAACTTGTTTGGCTCTCTTTACAGAAGAACTTATATCCCTAAAACTCACACCCTCAATTTGGTATGATTTTGAGTACTCATTAGGCAATTATACATGAGCATCTCATAAAACAAAGTATCAATGGGCCACAGCTTAAAGATACAGTGTGTAGAAATGTGACTATTTAGCAATATTTAGCATCTGGCTCTTATGAGGCTCATTCTTGTTATCAAAAAAATAAAACAGTTTATTCCTGGATTTTGCTCCAACATAAACATGCTGTTTAATGTCAAATTAAATTCCTGCCAAATCTGTTTTGCAAACTGCCTCTTATCACTGTATGTTGCACCTTTAGGAGACATTTGTGAGGAAAGAGTTTTGTCTGTTTAGATTTTGGACAACATTCCCAGACAGTAAAATCCTGCACTGTTTTTGTTTTAAGTTTATTTTTGGGCTTTTATGCCTTTATTTAGAGGTTTGGACGGTGGCTAGAAAACAGAGAGAGAGGGGGGGGGGGGGTGACATGCAGCAAAGTGCAATAGCTTCTTTACATGGGGCGCCCAGTTTAACCACTTAGCCAAACAGGTTCCTCAAATCCTTTTAAACTGTATCTGGTATGGAATTAGTGTGTGGAGGAGAAACAGTGGTCTTTGTAGCAGTTAGACAGTAAAAACATTTCAATTGTATGTTATGTATTTATAATTCACTGGTTGATTGACAGGGTCTGTGTTTTCCTTGAAGCATTGGAGGTCAGTGTCGCATCTACACTGACACAGTAAATCTCTATGAACCCTCCTGGTGTGTTTAAGAGCTCCTGTCCCTCAGGACTGCTGAGTCATTCTGTGTTGGTCTCCATAATGATTACTATACACACAGTTGATTTTCTCTGCCTTTTGTGCATGTGGTGGTAATGTTATTTATAGGTCTAAATCAATCCGACAATAGAAATTAAGCGTTACATTATTTAATGAGATTGGGTCCTTACCTCCTTAAAATACCAGCCAGACTGAGCATGGCGAGCCAGGTAAACTACAGAAAAGTTAATGTGTCAATCATTAAATTTGCTAAAAGAAAGGCAACCTGAATGAAAGGCTTATAAGTAATACATGATTTATATCCTGCAGTGGGGGAAAAATCATTGCACAAATTCCTAATTCACATGTAACTTGATATTTTGCTGCCCACTTTAAAATCAGACAAATCTCCCGAACTGACTGTTTCTCATAAGTGAAACAAAACAATAACAATGTGCAGCAAACACCGCAATATATTTTGTGCGTATGTGTTCTTTTGACAAGCTGCGCATTGTGGCATCTGGAAGTCTTGCTTTGTTCAGTCTGATGTATTTCCTGTTAAAACAGAAAGTTAAAATGGAGCATATTACTGCAAAAAAATCTCATCACTGCAAGCCAAAGGACTATTTCAAGGAGGGACCTCTATTAGATGGCCTTATTTATGTTTGTAACAGTGCATGATGTCACTTTGAAGTACTGACTGCTTTTCAGATGTTTGCACTTTTCCAGAAACTGAAAAGCATCCCTGCAGCGTGCCTTTAAATTATGTCATGTAAATAAAAACAGTTCCGAGATTTATGTCTGAAATCTGGAGCAAAAGTCTGAATCAGTGAAAAAAATTGCAGTGGCAAATATTGAATTTACAGCTGAGTGTATGGCTGATTTTTTTGTTGCTGTTTTAAGATTTCTGAGACAACATAATTGAGTCCTACTGTACATATAGGAAAAAAACAAAGTTGTCCAGACGTTTTGGTGATTTCTAAAGTTCTGGGTAAAAGCTACAGAGCCCGTTTTGTGCAACAAATATTTTTGGATATAATTCTGTTTTGCAGTTCAAATTCTCCAAAATACACAGTCTCTGACTTTTGTTCTAAATTAAGACATTTTCCTTTAAATACAGCAATCAATCTCAGAAATCATATTTATTCTTGTTGTCCTTAATGTCCAAAATGTACTCAGTGATATGTTTTATGTCGTGCTGAGTCTGGTGTGGATTTGTAAGTCATCCATTATCCTTTAACCACATATGTTCCACTGTCCTTGACTGCTGGTGCCAATCTGTCTGTGATTCGATATTAACAACATGAACTAATGTATACGGTGCATCTTTGGTTTTCTGGACTTGTCTTTGGGTCTGTGCCACTACCCACACTTGTGGTGTTTGGGGATAATACATTGTGCTGATGGTGACTGCCAGATCTCTGCAGTGCCCACTAGGACCACAAGTGTGTGGGGTTGACCAAGTTCACCAGGTCACAAAGGTTAATGCCATCCTATAAAAACGCAGGTCAATGTAGATAACATGCTTTATTGGTTTAATTTTATTCACATATAATGAACAATCTGAGAGAATCCACAGTATTACAGCCAGATTAAAAGTCCCACTCCGATCGTTTTCTTTTTTTTTTTGTAACTACTTAAAGTGTTAAATTGTGATTTAAAGTTTTTACCAAAAATCGCGGCACCTGTGTCATTTTCAAGGGCTTTTCTTCTGCATAGCTCCAGTAGATCATTAGCAATCCGCCTCTGAGTCGTGGGTGGAGACAGCGCTGCTCTTCACACTCGTCCTCATCCTAGCTTGCAGCCTAACATTGCTGGTGCAGCAGAAGTGGCAGGTAACATAGGGGCTATTCAGCTCTTGGACATTAATGTCTTTCAGGACACGATGAAAGCTAATATCATAATTAGCTTTCTTACGAGCATTGCAATCCGCTAACGCACACGCTTGTTCTGCGATCGTCCTCTGTATTTCTACTCTACATGCAGAGTGTGGCTCTAGGGGCGGAGCTTGGATTGATTACGTATGCAATCTCATTGTTTCTGAACCCGCCGTTTGGGTCTGCCAGAGATTCACAGTGATATGAATAAAAGAAATACTCAGAAAAGCAATTTCGCATTTAATTTTCTCAGGATATGTCCTGTAGCATCAGAAAAATGACATATGAACAAATAAAAAAACAAGAAAAACATGATTTTCATCGGAGTGGGTCTTTAAAGGACACTGAAAAAAACACATTCAGAAAGTGGTCATCAAAATTACATGAGATCTATTTTTGAATGGTTTTATGTATTACAACATTTTTACATTTCTCAAATATTGATTACAGTCAAAAACAACAGGACCCATGTCACACAGAAAACGTACAGAGGGCGGAGCTTGAGAAGAACCCAGTGATAAATGCTGACTTTACAGCTGATGCGAGCACTGGCCGGGGTGTATTCCTAATTAACAGTAACTGTTTTACTTCATGGATACTCATGCTAACTGCCAGGTTTAGAAGAAAATGAGCAACCAACTCGTTTGAGTATTTTCAAGTCATCTTGACTCTACAGAGCCTGTGATGACAAAATTGGAAATGAAGTTAGAGTTGGAGAGCCAGGTTATAATGAGTGCCTGGTCACTTTGGAAAAGAAAAAGATTTTCTGATGAAAAGAAGCTCTGCAAACATCCAACACCCTGACCTTAGGACCAGACACACACCTAAGTGAGCATATCCCTGAAGCAGGATTTCAGCCTATGACACTACGCCTCTTGGAGGTTTAACAGGTAACACTGGCATCCTGGAACTACCGCCTCTTACCACCTGAGAGGGAAGGCAGAGCCATGCAATAAGTCCATGTGGGCAAGAACGCACCCCCTGCTGAGCTGGGCCGTACATTTCATCTCCCCCTCTTTACTCTTTTAATAAAAGAAGAGGAGAAAGCGAAAACAGAGAGAAGAGTCTGTCCAGAGGTGGTGGATTGGGAAGGTGACGCTAGGGATGGAGTTCAGTCTCTTTGAGAGCCATGGGTGAGAACTCATCCCCCCTACAGTTGTGATGTACGCTCTACCTCCCCATGCTACACTATTTTCATGAGGAGGAGGAGAGAGGCGAAAGATAAAACAGAAAGAAGACTCTCGAAAGAGGAAGTGTTTCATTGACTCTGGTCATCGCTGAAGGAAGTGAAAAGCCAAACACTTAAAATAACTCCCTGTTGTCTGGATTTGCTTCTCCGCTCTGAAATAAAAATCAAAAATGACTTATTTCCCCTACTTTCCTTGTTGGAAGCCTTCTTCATGGATCCTGTGATCGAGGGAAGACAAGTGTAGTGCGACAGCACATTGGTGCTTATCAATCATCTGACAGTTTCTCCAAAATTGAAAAATGAATTTGCACACACGGACAATGTATTGAGTTTTTATGCCAAACCTTTACCTAATGTGGACCTGTCCTCTCTCTCACAGCAGGTGCCTCTAACTATGTCTCTCTTTAAGTTAAGAGAGACATTGTGCAGCAGTCGACAGGGCCTGAGGGGTCGGTGTATGAGGGTGCAGGGTAAGGTTTATGTGCTGTGTTGGGACTCCTACTTTCACAGGTTATCCTCTCTCTTCTAACCCTGAAAGTTGTCCTCAACCTTCTGCGTTTTTCTCTCCCCTCTTTAAGTGCGATACTCTCTGGTGTGGAAACTGTACTGTTTTGTACTGTGTACCGTGTGTATATTATTGTGTCACATTGATTTAGTGTTTGTGAATACATCTCTCCTCTAATTTTTCCCTTTGTTTGACTCTTTATCTTCTCTCCCTCTCACTGTGTCAACCACAAGTTTCTTTCCAGGTGTGCTCACTGTGCTGTTAAGCTGGTTTTCACGCCAGACTGGCTTGCCAAACTAAACCAAACACAAACAGGAGCGAACAAACACAAAAAAGAGAAAAAGAAAACTTGTGTCATATGCACTTTTTAACTTATGTCTTATGTAATCACCCCTGTTTAACCGTATGTCATCTAGATCTACATACACTTACACAACTCTTCTTGTACTTTATTTATCTATATATCTATATACATATCTCTGTATATAACCCTTTAGCAAGCATATACAGGGCCCGCCTTTCTCTTCATATCCCCTCTAACTATGTGGGTCCTCTCTTCCTTTGCTTCTGTCTCTTCCCTCTCCTTCTGTCCCTATCTGTGTAGGTGTCTATAGTCAGCCTTATAGCTAATGCGTTGGGCTTCTCCGATCTAGGCCCGATTAAATCTCTCAGGACACTGAGGGCCTTGAGACCCCTCAGGGCCCTGTCACGTTTTGAAGGGATGAGGGTAAGACCCAAGATACCAGGCAGCTGGTCCTTCTGCATGCCAGTTGAAAAAAAAAGCAGCAACGCATGCGAGAGATGGCAACATAGCAAATAAAAAAAAAGACAAAAAAAAAAGGAAACCTTTGTAAATAAAAGCTTTTATGAGTGAGAAGCTTTTTTTGCATGGATGCAGATCATCTCAGATGGTCACGATACATCTGATTTGATTTATCATATTTTTTCATTTCATATTTTATAAATTTAGTGCTATGATAAAGTAATTTGCAGTGACTTAAGAAATAAAAAAACAGCTAAAAATATACCCAATACTTTATGAAACACAAAACCGCACAGGAATTGAAGAAGAATGATGCAACACGTTTCAATTAATATTCAGATGTGGCACATTTACGACCAGCTGAGAGAACAACTAGAGGTTTGTATGAGCCATCACACAAATGTGTTTTCACTGAATCACCGAAAACTGAAAGTTATTTCATCACAGCCAAATTTAAACTGTTTGCCAAAATGGCAAAAAACATTTGTGCACATTGTGATTCATATGTGCAGTTGGAATTATGGATAAATTAAATTGATGTGATTACAATTGGAGTGTCAGTTCATTTTGATCCTTTCTGAGAAGTTAATAGAGTTGCGCCTCAGAAAGAAGTATTTTCCTTCCTGGGTTCTATGGTTATTATCTAAATGTGTGATGGGTTTTGATCAGCCTCTCGTTGTTGCTGGGCAGAAAAACAAACCTTGTCAGTGTCTGAGCTCGGCATCCTCTGACTGTCGCTCTGCCTCTAGTGTCCTGATCCTATCACAGTTTGGCTTTGGCATTGTCACACTGGAAGAACAACAAACTTCTGGTTGCATACCCCCCTTTACCCCTCGCCATCCTCACTCATCACTCCTCAGTAAATGTCATTGCCATGATTTTCATGATCACTATTTTGCAGTAGTTATATTAGCTTGTCATGCTAATGCTTTGTCTCTGTACTATTAGGTAGATCAGTTAGATAAGAAGAACAAACTTAGTGGGTCTGATATATGCAGTTTGTTGTTCGGTTTATTTGGCTTTTTGTTACCATGGCACCTCTGTGTTAAGAAATGCACATTCTCAAGGTTTCCTGTTGAGTTTCTAGCTTTACGCTCTTCAGTATGCACTGCACTGCTTTAGTGCAGCAACAGTATTTGGCTGTATCAGAAATATATGTTAATAATTTGGGGTGCAACAATATACTGTGGCATAAAACATTGCTATGCAAATGGGTCAGTACTGATGTAAAGCTGCAACTGAATCGCAGTGTCTCTAAAGGGATTCCATATGAATGTGATTTATGTACACCAGATTCCCAAAGCTGCAAAATGTAAAGATGATTAAGTTGTATTCTTAGAGGATGTCACTACTCAAGAATCTGAAAATTAAATACTGAAATCAGGAAATATGGCAAGCAAAGTTGGAGTCTTTTTCCAAACCAGGGCACAAATGTCCCTCACCTGCAGAGCCCAGCTGAGCCTCAAAGTGGACATGTTTGAGGAATGACATACTATAAGATTTTCAAAGTTGCAGTCATTTATTTCAACTTTGTATAGATTTGTTGCATCTGACCACAAACCATTATCCTTGTGTGGTATTGAACCATGATTTAAAATTATTGTCACACCCCTTAATTTTTGGTTATAATGACATGGAAAATCAGGAAACATATTGAGAGCTCTGATGGAAGGAGAGAATGTGCATTTCCATCTCTGTGTGTATGTTGATGTTCTTGTAAATGAACTAACTGCAAATAGGATGTGAATGCTAAGTCACAGAGGCTCTGTTTCACTTGCTCTTCTCCTCAGGTTGTGGTGAACGCCTTGGTGGGTGCTATCCCCTCCATCATGAATGTACTGCTGGTGTGTCTCATTTTCTGGCTCATCTTCAGCATCATGGGTGTCAACCTGTTTGCTGGGAAGTATTACTTCTGTTTCAATGAAACATCAGAGGAGTACTTTGACATAGAAGACGTCAACAACAAAACGCAGTGTTTGGCACTCATTAGTCAAAACTATACCGAAGTCAGATGGAAAAATGTCAAGATCAATTTTGACAATGTGGGTGCTGGCTACTTGGCCCTGCTACAAGTGGTGAGAAAGATTTGCTTTCAGATGTTTCTTTCTTCTGATTTAAGTGAGTAACCTGTTTCTAACAGTGTGTGTCTACCTGTATAGGCGACATTCAAAGGCTGGATGGATATCATGTATGCAGCAATAGACTCTAGAAAGGTAGGCTTTCACCGTTTGTGTTGGAAAGAACATGTAAGTTATATCAAAACAAAAAATATTAGTTGGAATTTTACATAACGGAAGAGTCTTATAAATTAGCTTACACTTGTACTGTGCCTCCGTACTCCCATTCATGAATTACCGTGCGGAAGTTTGGGGGAACACACACAAAAAAAATACAGACCCTGGATTCATCCCTCAGACAACAGCTGTAATAAACATCAGTAAAACCGGCAACAAAGAACTTACAAACCAACTCTTCATGAAACTGAAAACACTCGAATTTGAGGACCTGGTTGACTTCAAAACAATCCAAAGTTTCATGTTCAAAGTTTTGACTACCTGACAGTATTCAGGTTTTTTTCTTAAAGAGAGAAAAATTCAGCACAAGAACAAATGCTATCACAGGAGTAAATCTTTGGAGCAGTGTTACGGATGATGAAAACATGTAAATCATGAAAGAAACTTAAACAAATCTTCAAAGAAAACATTCAGCAGATACAGAATGGAAGAATAAGGGGCGTAGTTATATTAGTGTGTGCTCTCTGCGCTATAACTTGTGTTATTTTACTTTGTTGATGCATCGTTGTTGCACTCATAGACATGTATTCATTGGTGTTATTTTCAACACCTCAGCTTATGTAAACTGAATTATATTATCTAATTTGAAATGAAAAAAGAGATAAGACCAGATTTTTTCCCCCTTCCTTCTATACCCTTTTTTTCAAACAGAAATTGAATGTCAGGTCTCTACATTAAGTATGTTGTAATAGGTTACTGCTTTGTTAGCTTTCTCATTTTATTTTGTTATACATTTTGTTAAAATATTTTCAAATAAAATTGATAGATACATTTTTAAAAGTCTGATTTAACTGTACCATTTCATGTAAATGTTCACTTTTCCACCCTCCTCTTCAGGTGGAAGATCAGCCTGTCTACGAGATCAACTTATATATGTACATCTACTTTGTCATCTTCATCATCTTTGGCTCCTTCTTCACCTTAAACCTCTTCATTGGTGTCATCATTGATAACTTCAACCAACAAAAGAAAAAGATAAGTTTATTTTCGTTACTTTCATGTTATAAGAGCAGGCAGCTGAGGATCGCTACTACTCTCATATCTGTCCATTAAATATAAAGCTACTGCTAGCAACCAGGTAAGTTAGCTTAGCAATAAGACTGGGAATGAGAGCTGTAGTTATTTCATTCATCATAAGAGATGGCTTTTGCGAGTTTTAATTGAACAAAGTTAGCTTTGTAGCTTTGAATTTACTGTCCAGACATTAAAGTAGACTGGTCTAACTATCGGCAAGATAGAAGTATAAGTAATTCTTTTACACTTACAATCTTTATGTTTTAAACACAGAAATGAATAAAAGAAGAAATCCTATGTATCCTGCTTAGTACTGGAAATAGTCGTCTAAATATCAAAGATTGTAACCAGCTTGTTTTTGTCCCTGCACTTTGGAGGTCAGGATATCTTCATGACAGAAGAGCAGAAGAAATACTACAATGCTATGAAGAAACTAGGCTCGAAGAAGCCCCAAAAACCAATACCAAGACCTCAGGTTAATGTTGTTTAACACACTCAGTCTTAATCACCAAGTATATTTGTAATTTGAAGATTTAGAATATGACTTTCAATACTTCCTGTCTTTCCCTCCATTTGTCTTCAGAACAACATCCAGGGCATGGTGTTTGACTTTGTGACGCAGCAAGTGTTTGACATCTCCATCATGATGCTCATCTGCCTCAACATGGTGACCATGATGGTGGAGACAGATGATCAGTCAAAAGAGACGGAGGAGGTGCTCTACTGGGTTAACTTTGTCTTTATTGTGGTCTTCACCGGCGAGTTTTTATTGAAGCTCTTTGCACTGCGTCACTACTACTTCACCAACGGATGGAACGTCTTTGATGTGGTTGTGGTCATCCTGTCAATTGTGGGCAAGTATTGAAAGCAATTTATTCATGTAGACTAACTGCTGTAGCTTAATGTCCTCAAATACTACACAATATAATTGATCACAAACTATGGTCAAAAATTATATGGCAATGAAAGCTCCTGTGAGGAACTTTTAGGCTACATCAAGTTCAGAAGCCCTAGTAACAAAGCAAGACTATTTTATGTTTTGCTGATCTTGTCATGCGTGTTTAAGTAGTATTTGCCAACAAAAATTTGATTTTGACATTTTCTACCAGCCAAACAAATCACATGCCATCAATCTTGGCCTTGGAGAAAGTAAGCAAAGGATGTTTTGGCAGCGTGCTATGAATTGCCTTTGGAAAAAAATTATACTTCCAAAAAAAACTTCATCGGGGGATTGATTTGTAAATTGTTATTTGTCAGTTTTTAAATTGTATTTTGAAGTTCTCTGAAAACTTGACAGCAAGATTTTCATCCAGAAACGATACCCTTCATTTATCTTGATAATCAACTGATCATGTAAACTTTCTTTTACGTGAAATATCTCTTTCCAATCAAACTGATGTTATTGTAATATTCTCTTGAATTGTTACTGACTGTTTTAACTTGTCAGCGTGATAGTCTAATGCATATTTAGTAAAATAGTAAGTGATCAGATTACATATTTACACCAAACGTGTTGTTTCTCATTTTGCTTCCATTGACCCTCAGGAATGTTTCTGGCCGACCTGATTGAGAAGTACTTTGTGTCGCCAACACTCTTCAGGGTGATCCGTCTGGCTCGTATTGGTAGAATCTTGCGTCTCATCAAGGGGGCCAAAGGAATCAGGACTCTACTGTTTGCCCTGATGATGTCACTTCCTGCCTTGTTCAACATTGGCTTACTACTTTTCCTGGTTATGTTCATTTTCTCCATCTTTGGTATGTCTAACTTTGGCTACGTAAAACATGGGGCTGGAATCGATGACATGTACAACTTTGAGACCTTTGGCAACAGCATGATCATCCTGTTCATGATCACCACATCAGCTGGCTGGGACGGCCTGCTGCTTCCCATCCTGAACTACCCTCCAGACTGTAACCCTGTTTTCGAGAACCCTGGCACCCCCACAACAGGGGACTGTGGCAACCCATCTGTGGGCATCTTCTTCTTTGTCATGTACATCATCATTTCTTTCCTCATTGTGGTCAACATGTATATCGCCATCATCTTGGAGAACTTCAGTGTGGCCACAGAGGAGAGTGCTGACCCGCTCAGTGAAGATGACTTTGAGACCTTTTATGAGATCTGGGAGAAGTTTGACCCTGATGCATCCCAGTTCATCACCTATGCCAAGCTTTCTGACTTTGCTGATGCACTTGAACACCCACTTCGAGTCCCCAAGCCCAACACCATTGAGCTGATTGCGATGGACATGCCTATGGTGAGTGGCGACCGCATCCACTGCCTGGATATCCTGTTTGCCTTCACTAAACGTGTGCTAGGTGACAGCGGCGAGTTGGACATGTTGAGACAACAAATGGAGGAGCGTTTTGTGGCAGCGAATCCTTCCAAGGTCTCTTATGAGCCAATAACCACCACTCTACGGCGCAAGCAGGAGGAAGTGTCGGCCAGAATCATTCAACGGGCGTACCGTGCTTACCTGGCGAGGCGGGGTTTTGTCTGTAAGCGCAAACCAGCCAATAACAAAGTGGAAAATGGCGGGAACAATCAGGAACAGGAAAAGAAGGAGGGCACCCCCTCAACTGCCTCCCTGCCCTCCTATGACAGTGTAACCAAACCTGACAAGGAGAAACAGGATGAAAACAACGAGGGCAAGGGAGGAAGGAAAGAGAAAGGAAGAAACCAAAAAGACATCAGGGAATCTAAATGTTAGAGCATTGGAATACTAATCACAATAATAACAATAAAAAATATAATAATGTAACTTCAAGCAAAGCGAGAGGAAACTCACCCACACAGATGTACAGATTATTTCATTTGCAAGTCAGAAAAAATAGTATTTAATAATTTTGTTTACAGACTTCATTCTTATACTGATGCAGAGGGAAACAGCTTGGTCTGTAAGAGCTTGAAGACTCTTGGACTTCAGTAAAACCAAACATAATCAGTATACTGTATGACTTTGTTTTGTTTGGACAACTGATCTCAACGAAAGGGAATGAAAAACAGACATGGTCTGTGTCTGCTGGGAGGCAGATTGATCACTAACCACTGGTCTGCTATCAGGACCAGTAACTCTACTCCAAGAGGTAGAATGAAAACACAGAATTCAACGTCTGGATGCAAAAATGGATTCCTTATAGGACAAATATCACGAGGGGAAAAACAAGGATGCTGCTATGTCAAAGGACTGTCCTCTCAACGCAGCAAATGAGTGGCTCTGTCATCTACTGCTGAAATGCGAGGAGGAGCAAAATGACACACCTACGCTAGAGCAAATGGAGAGATGACTAATGAGTGAAAGACACTAATGACAGAGGGTTGGAAATACTTCTGTTTTATTAAAGCTAGGAATCGTTCATTTGATCAGCAAAAATGCAAACAGACGAGAAAAAAGAACAATATTCAACACTCTGCCCATGTCACTTAACTCTTCTACTCATTTTATCTTTGTTATACCCACATCGAAATGCTTTTTTTACATGGGCTTTCACACCAGTTGGTTAAGGGTCTGTTTATAATGGGGTCAACTCGGGCCAAGGGCTTACATTTACCCAGAAAGATTTCCAAACAATTACATAAATAATTGTGCTTGTTCAATGCATAGAAATGACTTGCATGATGGCATGTTTTGATCAGAAATCTTGCATGAATTATCATAGTCCACAAGACACTAATACTCAGACCACAACAGTGGCTCGACTGTAAGATTGAGACTGTCAAAAATTTGAAAGCTCAGAGTTTAGAGTAATATGTTTAACAAAGAAATGAAATGTTGGGTTAAATCATCTACAAAGGTTTTGGATTTGAATCTCATTTCACAACACATTTTAAGCGATGATATGTTTTAACAGTTGCCTCTATAGACAGAAGAATGCAATATGAGGGTAAATAATACCACCGTCCTGGATCAGAGGTTGAAGTCCAACCAGTTATTTGCTGCTCTGGAGTTTCGGGAATGAAAGATGTGGAAACAGATGTCTGTGTGTTTCATGGGACTGTCATGTTTGTTAATTTGGACTGCAATGCAAAATCTTGAATCTAAAAAGCTTATATTTTTCATTTGTATGCACCTACGTAATGTTCCATGCCATCTGCCTTTAGTTTTTTGAGTTAGCGGGCATTTGGGAGTCCTACTGTTGGTTTTAAGAGGTGTGTGGGGATTTCACAGGTTTGGCAAACTCCCTCCTACTTCCGATGTTTCTCTGTATGTGGTTAGACCTTTTTGAAAAGGGCTGAGAAGTCTTTTTGTTCTTCTTTGGTTTGTGTCATGTAATGTCATGTAGCTTCTGTACATGTGCGTGCTTTTTTCTTAATTTTGTTATTTTATTTTATTCCCTATAGTAATATCCATGTTTTGATTGTCAACGAGTCTTACTTTACGCACTTTTATAAGCCACATCAAAGATGATGTTGAGGGAATTGGTAGTGAGCTGGGACACATTTTTGAGAGTTGATATTATCCTATTTTAAAGAGAAACAGTAAATGTATGAATGGGTGACAGAAACATTGTGTGTGGAGAAGCCAAAGAGATCTGCCTTGTTATCCCTTGTTGCCCTTTGTCCATGGAGTGGGATTGGGTGAAGTATGCCCTGCCCATTCAGTTTTTCACTGTCATTACTTGACAGAGAGACCCTAGAAATGTATGCAATGCTTGAAAAATTCATCCCTTTTTCTCAGGAGATACTATAGATGTACTATTATGAGCTCTGCAACAAAATGCAAGTGAATGTGATGGGAGTATTTATGAAATCATGTTTTAATCTTTTGTGTTTTATGCCATGTTGATGGACAATGATCTCGGCTTGCTGCCTTATTTTGGCGGCCGCCTGGTCTGGGGCCAGTGTGGCGCTTCCTGCTTTCAATGCTTAGAATTATAGGGCTAGTAGCATCTCAGTGAAACAGTAACATTTCTCTCACTTGTATTGGCAGCGTTTATTGATAGCAGATTACATTTGTGGTTAGGTAATAACGGACTGTAGTCTGGTCTCAGTTTCAATAAACTCACTAATAACATTCACCCCAATAGCAATCACAAATACAGGAAACACTGTGAGGAGATGTCATGAGAGTTAATTGGGATATGTCCAAGCAGCTCACTTCTGTAGCTGCTCAATAGGCCCTAGATTTCAGTGTTCACGACAAGTGCTCTGAGCCTCTCATCTGCCAGTTTTCTTTATCTTGCTCTACTGCATAACAGATACCAAATAACCAACAGAGCACTGGATGCATCCTTATGGTACTATAAGCCTAAGCACCACACCACAGCTTTTGCACTTCCTGTTGTGCAGTGATGTCACTTCCTGTTTATGAATAACTCCCTCATCCGTTCTCCAAGTTCTATGGTCCAGTTGCTGCATGAGATCTCCAAAATCAGTGTGGGTGTTAACTTGAACCAAATAAAACTCTGAATGATAAGCATAAAAGCTACTGCCGTCCATTTTCTCCCAGATCACCGTGGAAGTACAGTCGCGTATTGCAGAACGAAACCCTTATGAGTAGACACACCTACATCCATTCGGAAAAAAAATTAAATCAAATAAATAAACACAGTTCAGGCTATGTTCTATATGGCACAAACTGCAAAAGCTAAGAATGGACTTTTTATGAAACTATAAATAATGTAATATATCATTTTCTTTAAACCGCATGTGTAGTTTTTTGTAAATACAGGATTACATAAAAAACTACAGCTATTTATCTAACACTAAATATAAATAACCATAAATAGAATGGCTTCCAGCTGACACCCGTTGTCACATTTGATAGGCTGTGACACATTTGTTAGATGAGGTAGATTTTTTTGAGTCACTTTTCACAGAAAAAAAAAAAGTGGGGAGTAAGCTAAAAGAATCTATATAAAAGCAGAAATTGTATTTAGAACTGTATAATTCAAAACATACATATGCAGAGCTATATTACATATATATTATATATATATTCTACCATATATATATAGTATATATAATCTCCTGTCCAGTCCTTGCATTGAGGTGAAACCAGAATCAGAGTGTAAATGATCATGTTTTTTTCTTTATGTGGTACGTTCAGAGAAAAACCAAAACTCTGCAAACTTCTGCATATTGGGTACCAACGTACAATGCATGGTGTTGTACTGGCTGCTTGCTGAGAATTGTGGAGCCTGCCTTGGTGAGAGGATTGCACTACCAGCATACCCTTTTGTACATGTGTGAAGATGTCTTGCCCAGTTTCCTATACTGTACACACAAAAAATACAGATGCAGACAGACAATACACACACACTAACATGCACACACTCACAGCCTTTTGCAGGCAACTGCTGGCTTATCAGTGTGCCCCAATATGACCAACAGCTCACTCTTTGTGTGACAATTTTTTGCTCGTTTCCCTCCTCCATGTTTCCCACCTAACACACTGCTGCAGTTTGGAGTTAACTTTTGATTTTCCTGTCATTTTCAATATGATATAACTAATGATTTAAGGGTTAGTTGTCTTAACTGTCTGTGTGTTTGTTTATGGTGCAATATCTCTTAACGGCACGTGCCTTTTTAGCTTCCTATTTAGTCTGTCAAGAAAAATCAGCAACAAGGATCTCAAAAACCTGAGGAAGTGAATCAAAACGGAGCACGATAGAAATGATGTATTGAGTTCAAAATTATCTTGTAAAATGAAAACTCACCACCTAGATTAGACTGTCTGGACTAACATCTTGTAGAGTCATGTAGTACAAGTGCTTTCTCTGTGTGTTCTGCTTACTGGCTCTTGGGCTAGTAGGAGAACAGCTTGCCTTCTGTTTTAACACTTCTGTTCATTTCAAAATGTTAGTTTACCGATCTGTATAAGAGGCCATTTCTTTTTGTAGCATGACTGGGATAAATTTTCTTTTCTTTCCTGAAAAATAGGCAAACCGAAAATAAGAAAAAATCCTTCGACTGTCATTATCTCTTGCAATGATGCAGTCAGAGAGAGGACGTGTGTTGCACAACCACATGGGACAATAAAATGAGAATCAGTGAAAGAATATCTTCATTTGAGCACGAATCTATTTCCAAACAATAAAGCAGCCTTCCAGTTATACCTCTGGCTGGTGTCATTTTTATTACTCAGAAATTGTTCTCACATGCAAGGAAATGTATGTTGTTTCATGCATTTACTCATAAAATAACAGTTTAGCTGTCAACGTGATGTTTGACACGCTACAGAAGCTTTTGTAGTTGTGCTTTTATGCTAATAATCATTCGAATTATTTGTATAGGTCGCACAGTGGCAGAGAAAATGTTCGAAAGCCACACGGGAAAGTGAGACTACAGTCTGTCCAAAATAACGGTACAACATAAAATAGAAATACCTAAAGTACATTGTGTCATTTACACTTGGATGCATGTTTTGAGTTGAAGTTGGGTGTGTCATGGTGCAACAGCACTGAAATGGCTGTAAAAGCAGCTGTGTGTGCATGCATGTGTGTTTCTCCTGCTTCCCCCTCCTTTGTGTGTGCGTAAGGTGGCGCACTGAAGGGGGGGGGGGGGGGGGGGGTAGGCAGGCAGAGACAGCACTGCAGTGCAGATAGATGAATGCAGTGGCCTGGGCTGAGTCAGCAGCATGTTCCCAATAGGCTCAGACTGTACAGTGCACTGAGTAGCACCTCGTTATCCACAGCAAGCAAGCAGAGGGAAGACCGACTGGAGCAAGAACATGAGAAGTAAAAGAAACCATGAACAGAGGCACACAATCCAAATAAAACAGTCTGCAGTTGTGGATTTATCCCTCTCCTCTTTGCTGCAGTGTTGCATGCTAAGGTTGCACCATTTACTTTGTATTGTTTGTTGCTGTGTCATTTACTGAGTGAACAAAAAGTATGAATTTTACTATTGTAACATAACCACTGATATTGGATTGATTAGGAAAACTTGAACAGCTTTTATGTATTTGTTAAAAACTAAAATGATAAAACAACAACTTTAATTTTATCTTTATTTATGAACACGTGTCTGTCTCAAGCACTGATAGCAAATGTCTGTATGTTGCATTGTTTTTTAATCATTTGCTTCTATTTCTTGCATCAGATCTAATTTGTGGCAGAGGTGGGGCTCAGATTGGCAGGATCTGTTAGAGATGTCTGTGGTGGGTCAGTTTTATGTAAAGGAGAAAAGAACAGCGAAAGGAAATGATGGTGTGTGTGATAATTAGAAAGAGATAAGGAAATATTATGTCTTTAAGGAGTCAATAACATGCAAACTATATTGATGCACTAAATATTGGGTGAAGCTGTGATTCACAGTTTTTTTTTCTTTGCCAAGTCACTTCCATTGTCCATTAAACAAGGTGCACAGATCAAATTTTGTTCCAAGATCAATAATAGTTTTCATAGAATTTTTCTGACATTATTGTTTTACAGATTAATATTTTTTACAGAGTATGGCAACATTTTGTCCTTTTTTGACAAATCGTCTGTTGACAACACGGGCAGGAAATTACTTTGATCCATTTCATTTAGATAATGGTATAAAATGTGACAGAAATACGCCCCTCATGCTCTTACAGCTCTCTAATGCCTGTAGAGATCTGTTTCTGTTTATTATTATAAACCTTTCTGCAGAAGTAGACAGTAAAGGACCTTAAACTGCTTTCTGCAGCTATCTAACACCCTCTGGTGGAATCTGATGGCAATAACTCCTGACAGCTGTGTCACTTATGGTTACAAAGACAGTATTGGTTTGTTAAATTAGTTTGAGTGGTGTGGTGGTGGAAATTAATTCTCAGTAGCATAAGAATGGTTAGAGATATTGGGGCAGTTAGAAAAATATTATAATTATATTATAGATGTTGGACCAGATGGTTGGCACCTTAAAACATAGTCTTTCTTTGCATTATAAACACCAAATATTCACAATGAGTGACACATATGAGTGTTAAAAAAAGATAACATTTTTTTTTAATAGAAAATTGTACTTTTCCATTAACAGTACAGAATCGGTGGGGATAAGATATACAACTTTAGCCATAGAGGGCACCAAAATTGACACAAACCAAATGTTCCTCAACAACAACTTTAAGTAACATTGAAAAATATCGACAGCTATAAGTTTGTGTTCCCGTTCCCATGAAATAAATAAAACATTAAAAAAAAAAACTCAAATAATCCAACTATGTAGCTATCAGTTGATGCTGACGACTAAAGTTATTTTTCAAGTGTCTCCTAACTAATAATGCTAAACCATTAAGTGTTAAAAATATGATAAATCTTCTATCTTCCAAGATAGCACCTGGGAGGCATGAAGAAGCACAGGAAAAAAGTATGATTATTCAGGTGATCTAAGCACAGTGTAAAAAAATAAATAATATCTTTTAGGTAATTTAATGATAACCCCCCAAAAATATGATAAAAACCACTGGTCTGCCTAGAAGACAAGTTTGAGGGCAACCATCCTGCTGAAGCTCTACTCTATAGCTAAGGGTTCACCTTACCTACACAGGCCTATGGGCCCCGACTGCTAGCTTTGAGTATGTGGACCTACCTTAGCAAACGTCTCCTGGCCAGCATAATTTCACTAGCAAGACCACCATAAAATCCCAAAGTTACAGTTGAATCGCCATAATCAACCCTCACAGTTCACCTGCTGTTAGTCCGTTTCAAACCACTGGCCTCGAGTGGTTTGAAATGGCCGCGTCAAAAGGAGGGCTGCAACTCACGGTTTTTCAAAATAGGTTTCAAAATCTTTAACGAGTTTTCTACAATTTGTGTGTTTTTAAACTATAATTGTGGACCACATGGTCACAGGTTCCCCCAGCTCAGACTGTGGAGTACCTATGTTGACGCAGGTATTAGCTTTAGCTTCAGCTAACATGGACGACTCCTCCAACGGCTCTGCTTCAGTTCAAACCTTTATTTGTTCTCGAAGGGACATTGAGAATTCCCTTTTACTTAATTCTACTGGAAGAAATTATAAGATAAGACCAGGTCATTTTTTTTCCCTGGTGGACCTAGTGGTTGATGGTGTCGAGTGTGGCCTTCTAAAATTTGTAATATTTAAGTTTTCTTCACATTTATCCCTCTTTGCCAACAAAATATTAGGAACCCCTTCAATTTGATGCACATTACTACATCAACACCCAAAACAGCATTTAATTTTAAAAACAATTATCACAATACACTCACCGGCCACTTTATTAGGTACACCATGCTAGAAACGGCTTGGACCCCCTTTTGCCTTCAGAACTGCCTCAATTCTTCGTGGCATAGATTCAACAAGGTGCTGGAAGCATTCCTCAGAGAGCTTGGTCCATATTGACATGATGGCATCACACAGTTGCCGCAGATTTGTCGGCCGCACATCCATGATGCGAATCTCCCGTTCCACCACATCCCAAAGATGCTCTATTGGATTGAGATCTGGTGACTGTGGAGGCCATTTGAGTACAGTGAACTCATTGTCATGTTCAAGAAACCAGTCTGAGATGATTCCAGCTTTATGACATGGCGCATTATCCTGCTGAAAGTAGCCATCAGAAGTTGGGTACATTGTGGTCATAAAGGGATGGACATGGTCAGCAACAATACTCAGGTAGGCTGTGGCGTTGCAACGATGCTCAATTGGTACCAAGGGGCCCAAAGAGTGCCAAGAAAATATTCCCCACACCATTACACCACCACCACCAGCCTGAACCGTTGATACAAGGCAGGATGGATCCATGCTTTCATGTTGTTGACGCCAAATTCTGACCCTACCATCCGAATGTCGCAGCAGAAATCGAGACTCATCAGACCAGGCAACGTTTTTCCAATCTTCTATTGTCCAATTTCGATGAGCTTGTGCAAATTGTAGCCTCAGTTTCCTGTTCTTAGCTGAAAGGAGTGGCACCCGGTGTGGTCTTCTGCTGCTGTAGCCCATCTGCCTCAAAGTTCGACGTACTGTGCGTTCAGAGATGCTCTTCTGCCTACCTTGGTTGTAACGGGTGGTTATTTGAGTCACTGTTGCCTTTCTATCAGCTCGAACCAGTCTGGCCATTCTCCTCTGACCTCTGGCATCAACAAGGCATTTCCGCCCACAGAACTGCCGCTCACTGGATATTTTTTCTTTTTCGGACCATTCTCTGTAAACCCTAGAGATGGTTGTGCGTGAAAATCCCAGTAGATCAGCAGTTTCTGAAATACTCAGACCAGCCCTTCTGGCACCAACAACCATGCCACGTTCAAAGTCACTCAAATCACCTTTCTTCCCCATACTGATGCTCAGTTTGAACTGCAGGAGATTGTCTTGACCATGTCTACATGCCTAAATGCACTAAGTTGCCGCCATGTGATTGGCTGATTAGAAATTAAGTGTTAACGAGCAGTTGGACAGGTGTACCTAATAAAGTGGCCGGTGAGTGTATGTAGAAGCTCTGTCGAAACAGGTCTCATGGTAGAGCTGCTGTATCTAGTTGCATTAAATCGCCCAGGTGTTCATAATGTTATGGCTGGGGTGGTGTAGAAGTTCATCTTGTCATCTCTCACTTGATATTGATTAATTTGGCCTGCAGTAGTTCTCGAGTAAATTTTCTTGAGTGCCCCTTCTGCAGTCCCTCCTAAGAGTCTTTGATGAAGTATTTCCACAAGCTCAAATCTAATCCTATAAATTAAAATGACTATGACCACTAGTAACTTCTTAGTTTCTCAGCTAGATACACAATGCATGGTTAGTTTCTGAAATATGGTGGGTTGTTCAGCTGTCTTAAGTGATCCTTTACAGATTAAAGTATAATTTACAATCAGAATTTATGAAAGAAACTGTAATTGGGGTTCTGCTTGTCACCTTTTGGCTTAATTTAAGATGTTTCTGTGTTGACTAATCTGAGAGGTCTCTATATATCATTTGCTGCTGCCTTTCTTCTTCCAAATCTAGCCCTAAAAATTGTTTATTCAAGTTGGCCTCTGGGACAATGATAAACAAAGACAACTGCATTGTTTCACAGGACTAATCGTCTCACCCATCCATACACTGAAGTTACTTCTCAGTCTGAAAGACAGAGTCCTGCAAACCAGACTGCTGCTCAATATCACCACTGGGTAAGATCCTGAAATATTTAAGAGAGTTGAAGTGTGGACAAGGAGAGTGGACATGGGTATAAGGTTACATTTGTTTAGACACAAAATATTCCATGCTTTTTTATTAGCCCTGTAGGTGTCACTGTTGCACATGTGTTAGGCACCAAGTCAGCTGTTTGAGTGAAAAATCAATCTTAAAACAGCATTTCATGGGTCAAAAAAATGATATTTAATAATTCCATTTTTTATTCAACATTGTTCCCTTCTAAACATTTTCTTCTTTTATATTCCACTCTTAAGTTTGGTCATTACTGCCTCACTGTTAAAACAACTGCCGCAGATGAAAACTGAATTTCACTTAGCCAGCTCATATTGAGAACTAAATCTATGTCTGATGTTTAATTATGCTTGACAGAAAGTATTATTTAGGATGGCTGGTGTCAAGGATGTGGTTAAGTTTGCCTAAATTACGGAAACATAAGATATACTAGCCAATAGAGTTAAATATGTTTGCTGACATCAGGTTTGAGCAAAGAAGGGTTTTTTGATGTTGGATACTTACATGTGGCAGCAGGGTTATGTTGACCATGTATGGGAGCACAAAGGTTTCAGACCTGTCTCAAGCTGGCGCATGTCCTCCGCTGTCCAGACAGTAATATTTTGAGGGAATAATTCATGCACTCAAAGATTTTTTTGAATTTCAAAAGACAAAAACACAAAGTCAGGTTTTGTTTTTGGTGATATCTTCATTTCCATGACACAACAACCTTTAGTGAGGTAGACTATAGCAGGTCAAGAATTAGAAACATTGCTCTTAAACCGGCATGTGAAATGACATGAAATAAATATTTCCATGTACAATGTCTTCAAAATGAGGTAGAATTGGTTACAGAGAATGTACACGAAAAAAGAAAAGGACAAGTAATGACAAAGTTAACACTGAAATTCCACTTTCCATCTGTTGGACAAGCTCAACCCCACAGAGTTTATTGAATCAGAGTAACATCAAATACTAACACTACTCTTTGAAGCCAAATATTTAATATAGAGCACCTTTTTGTGCAGCATTGAAGAGCATTCAATTGTTGAAGCTAAGCGCTTAAATACTTTGAACATCTGGGGGTAAGAGTACATTGTTACTCGCCAAAGTCCGATTTATTAATCAGTATTTGTTCTTCAGATTGTTTTTTTAATGGTGTTTTCACACTCGGCTACATTCTTAGTATATCTAATTGTATGAATGTGCTTAATTTTCCAAATGAGGCATTGATATAGTTTTGAATCACAGAGTATTCCAGATGAAAACCAAATCATCTTTTCAGTCTAAAGCTAACTACTAAAAAGGATTTGCTCTTTGGGCAAGATTTTATGCAAATATTTTTGGTGATTTTAGTTCCCAAAAGGCTATTTCACATAAGTTTATTTGTATGGCACAACTTATGATGGGAAATTCAGAGTTTTAACTATTCATATTTTGTGACTGTGCACATGTTTAATGTTGACATCTTCCTTCTTTGTGTCATCAAGTCAGGTCAGGGCCAACTCCAAGCTGAGGTATCGTGGCATTGGGTCAGATGGATTTAAAATACTGATACGGAGGGAAGTTGCAAACTATTAAGACATTCAATAAGCAAACCTATGATAGAGCATGAACTGTAATTTGTGTGTGTACATCTTGATATGTCAGAAGTTGTTTAATAGGAGTGCTTTGACAGTTTGTTCACAAAACCTCTTCCCCACTATCTACACTAACACTTAACATGTCATGCATTTCTCCACCAAAACCTACCAGAGAAATACATCTATACATGAAGAAAATATGTTTCATATATCTAAAAACATCATTGATGTACATTATGGCATGTATTGTCCTTTTAAAAAAATATCTGAATTACATTCAACATTTCAGGCCTTAGTACAAAAACCTCAAGTTTATTTCCCCAGAGCTAAGAAGTGTGAAGTGTGTGTTTATGTGTGTGTTTGAGTGTGTGCGCGTGCTTCTTTGCAAGTATACGTGTGTGTGTGTATGTGTGCTAAGTCTGTCATTTTTCTCAAAGGCCTTGTAAGTTTATTGGTTCCCTGCACTGATCAGAGTATGTTTTGCTCTAAGTAAAGCCATGGCTCCATTTTCATCTTGCTCCATAAAGCTCCCCACAAACACCCTAAGGTAATAACATACATTCTTTTTTTTAAATCATTCTGAGGTAACAATATTCTTCCTGAGTATTTAATAACACAACTATTTATCTCACTTAAAGAGGCAAAAGCAAAGAGAATGCATATTAAAAACAAGTAAAATCTATGAGACAAGCAACCATATCTTCATAAGCTGTATACTCCACTGCAAACTGCTTGCCTTTTAGTCTGGGTTGTGCATCTGACAGAGGTAACAATCTGGCTAATGCAGTTATTTGAGTGAGTATTTCCATGCAGATATATGTGTCCTTTATTTTTGGTAATTTTGTTGATTTGTGTGGTGAACAATCAGTTCTAACTTGTTGATCATATCTGACAAGGCAAAAGTTGGACCTGGACCAGTAGCAGATTTTTTTTGGAGAAAGCATACTTTGTTTTTGGATCAGCAGAAGTCTATGTAAACAATACATTTGAACTACTTCTAATAACATTATTAATCGAGCCAAAAAAATCGTAGACCATTCCTCACTCTTTTCATTCGTTAAAACAATTTAGGGCGGCTTCATGGATGCTATGTTTTAAATTGATGAGATTAGCAGCTTGGTATGTGTAAACTGGGCAAAAAAGTTGTTCAGTTTTGAACTTTTATCAAAAAAAAAAGTTGAGAACAAGAAGCAAAACACCTTGATAGTATAAGATAAAGAACACGAAACAAAGGGGATAAAGAAACTAAATACAAAGCAGACGTAAAGGCGGGGGGAAGTGTTGGCTGAGTAGGGTACACATCATTCCCAAAGTGGCCAAACACCAGCCTTGGAATCAGCTGTGTGAAGTCGCAGTGATTGTGCTCAAGTAGTGGCTGTCTCAATAAGTCAGTTATTGCTCTGCATATTTTTGGTCAGAAATGATTTTTGTGGTGTGATAGATAATATTGCAGTCAAAGGCCTTAAACAAACATATTGGCCACAAAAAATTACACCAGCTTCTGGAACAGCATTGTTGCAGCGCTGCTTCCACAGTAGCAGAAAGGAAATAAATAGGATCCTGAGAGAAACTGGCATTCATCCATTCAGACAGTCTGAGTGCCGCTTATGTACAGAATGCCTTAATCTCACCCCTAAGACTTACCTCAAGCTTAAAGGGCACAATGCTCCTCTGAATCTTTGGAAAAACATGAATTATTAAAATGTTAAAAATGCACAAGAAAAAAAGAACTGCATTGTGCCCCCTTGTGTTCACTAGTAAAATTAATCTTTGCATTGACAGATCCATATTATTGCCACAAGTTCGTCTTGATTAGGAACCCTGGTTGGTTTCAAGAGTGGGAGAATCCTCACAATTGCCAGTCAGTCGTCAGCGGCCTCCGCTGGCGTCCTCAGACCGTGTGTGTGCTGGAGGTATCTTCATTGACATTCTCTGTTGCTGGGGAAAGTTGTGATCTGATATACTTTCTCCAGCTAGGCCTGATGGAGGGCTGTAATCTCTTGCCCCTCCATAGGGAGGTGACATCAGGGGCTTCCCAGGTTTGAAGGACTGTGGGTCTGAGGCAGAGCCACTTGTATCAAAGCCATTGCCAGTTCCGTTGCCTTTGCTATGACTGTTTCCGTGGCCATTACCATACTTTCTGTAGCGTGATCCCTCCACTTCTGTTCCTTCCTGTCCTTCCTCTGCCATCTCAAAGGCCTTGCGTTTCATTGGCGCCCCTGCCTCAGAGCCCCCTCCAAGGCTGTGAGATGGGTAGCTGTAACTGCCCCCCACCATGGTAGGCCTTGGGGCCAGAGGAGCAGGTGCACTGATCCCAGAGGGGAGATAGGAGGCACTGGGGTGACTGTATCCAGTAGATAGGCTGGTCTGGGGGTAGCACCCTGGAGGATAGTTGTAGACAGGGGTGTTTGCGCTGTAGCTGGGCACTAGAGTGGGAGCAGCCTGTAAAGAGTGCAGAGAGGCAGGCGGAAGTGCTGCACTTGGCTGAGGGCAGTAACCTGAGGACAGGTAGGTGGTGTTATAGGCAGGAGGGTATTCCTGAGATGACGGGGTACTGCAGGAGCCTGCACCACTGTAGCCTGGCTCAGTTGTCAGGTTACTGCTCACCACTGTCACACTTCCTGTAGCTGGGATGCCCACAGAAGCTGTGCCCACCTTGGTGCCTGTTAGTGCCTCCAGTCCAGGGTAACACTCAATGCCTTGACCTAGAGTCCAGGGCTCGGATTCAGTTTTTAAGAAAGTCCCAGGCTCTGGGTAAGCCCCTGAAGTTGGGCGATCATAGGACAACTCCAAGCCTGAGTACTTCTCAGCATAGCGTTTGAGCAGAGAAGAAGCAGTAAGGGCTGATATGTCATCACTGGCCCATGGATAACCTGTTGGGGCATAGCTGCGGCGAGCAACTGTAGAATAGGGATCATGTTTGTGGGCAGATGGCGGCGAGGTGGTAGAGGTGACATCTAGGTGCTGCTCAGGCCACTGAGATAAGGGCGCTGCGTGCTCCGGAGACCAGTGCATCTTCAACAGACCTGACAGAGACAATAACAAATTAGGACTATCTGAACAAACATCATGTCTCAAATGTTTAAAATAAGTAATTTTAGCATTATAATTTGAGGGATATAGATAATCATATAGATACACAATTTGAGGAATTCTTTCTCTCACAACTCAATGGCAAACAAAGATTATGACCTTTGGGAGTATCTGCCCTCATAATCGCCTTGGCTAACTGAGTCTTTTCCAGAATCATGTCAATACTTAGCCCATGCTATTCTACAAAGTCTCATCCAGGCAGGGGACAACTGTTTTAATCTTTATGTGAAGCTAGCAACATAACCCCCAGCCTGGTCTCCACGGTGATAAGCCTCTATCAGCCTGCGCACTGCCTGCTGCCTTTGCTTCTCTCACATTGAGGCCATTGTTGTCTCTCAGTGACTCTGAGTCCACAAAGCCACCCCCACCAAGCGTGTGATCTAATTCGGCCCAAACCTCAGGGGTCTGGTGGACAGAGGGGAGGGGGGTTAGGTAGGGAATGACCAGTAGTTTTTGCTCATGCAACAAAGGGAACTTTGAGTACATCTATGCACACTGTATCAATTGTAAATATTAACTGAGTGTTAAAGAAAGGCTGGTTTTCATGTGCCATGTACATTTACATAAACAAACTAATCCTCTGGTTTAGCGGTTGAGGGCTTTGATTGGCTTTTGCTGGCCTTGTCTTTTTGAACAGGCATTAGGCTGACATTCCAGGCATTTCAGAGTATTATTAAACTGTCCTGACCCCAAGCCTGGGCCAGAGGGGCTTCCCTACAATAGCTGTGGACAGAGGAAGAAGCCACTAACTCACTTTCATGAACAGAGGTGGACAAACATGCCCCTGTAACATGCTCTTGATTGTGTGATCAATAAAAATGGCATTATATTACAACAGAACACAAGTTTATTGTGGAGGAGGATATATAATTCATTTAATGTATTATCTGTATCTGCTCTGTGAAAATCTCAATCCAAATCAGAAAATATGGCACATAATGACATGTGCCATAGATGATTGTGCTTAAGGAACACATTTGTCAATTGATTTCCTGTCTTACAATATCAGACATACTTTTGCCAGTTTTCATGCCAACATTAGTCTCAATGTTCGAAGGATTAGGTTTGGTTTAACATTTTAAAAAATGTTATAAATGTGGTTCAGCAGTGCAGAGTTTTTTTTTGTTTAGTTTTTTAATTGTTTCATACCCAAGCACAACCACTTCCATGTTTCAGCTGGAACATTCTACTTGTAGACCATGCATGGTGGTGTCACATGTTATCCAGGACCACCAGATGGGTCTCACACGGTCCACATGTTGATCCCTAAATTAAATGATCCTTCAGCTCAATAATCCCACTCATCCAATCCAGGGATTGCAGTGTTCCTGACCAGCATAAGCTCTACCTTGGGTCTGAGAAACTCATCCTGCTGTCTGGGAATTCTGACCAGTCAGTGCACACAGTAGTCTCACAAAATAAGATAACAGAAATGAATAAACAGAATCTGTTTCAACTAACCAAGTACCAGAGATGCACTAAAAACCATCCAAAAGACACAGTATGGGTATTCCTTGTTAGAATCTAAACAAGTCATACTATTACCTTGGAAAATACCTAACTTTAACTAATGAAAGTTGCTTTTGTATTAGATAGATCAGATCCTTTATTAGCCCCACAAGAGGAAATTAACTTATAAATTTACTGAATGTGCCTAGATGAAAAGACCTGTCCCTGGGTCTGGGTTGATTTTAGGGTCGGGATAGGCCCCTTACCAGCAGCCCCTACGATAAAGACGTTGGTAGTAATATCTCTTCACTCAGATTAAATGCTCTGAGTCAGCAATGTTAAGCTTTGACCCTTAAAGCTCTGCTAAAATTCTAGGAGGGATAAAATAAAACTGACTTGAAAACAAGCCACCTTGACATCTTTGAACAGATTGCTCATCCTTTGTTGTCGACCAAAACCAATATGCACATTTCTTATCAGCACTACACAAGAGGGAAAGAGAAGAGACTGGAAACAAATGTTTACTGGAAGTACAAATGTGGGCTCATAGCAACATTTTGTATTCATCAGTCTGTATTTGTTCAGGGCACACAGCAAAAAAATCTTGATGTAACTGAATACTTTGGGTAACATTGTAGTTCAACTTGCAACCCATCCGTTATCATTAACGAACAATGCTGGACAAAATTTTTTTATCTCATCATTGTTTGCATTTTGATTTGTACTTTAAGGGTGAGATCAGACTTTAATTTGAGAGGAATGTGTGCAAAACTGTTCTAGAGATTGATATGAGCTAATGATCATTACAGAAATGCCACTGGGTATTAGGATTGCATAACAATGTTTCTCTTCCCCTATTCAAACTAATGTTGTGTTTGTATTCAATACCTGCTAAATCACCTATATATGAAACATTGAGACTACAATCACAGACTGTAATGTGCCCAACAAGAATCCCCTGCCAAATGCTTCCTGATGCAGCATTTCTACATAATCTGTAAATGCAGATCACCTCAAAGGTGACACAACACCTATATTCAACTATAACAGTTGCCCGGAGCTCACATTGGAAGTAAATATTAAATGTTGTTTTTTTTCTTTTCATTTACTGCCTCCCTCTCCTTAACCTTATGGGAGTGGACAAGTTCCATTATAAAATGAAATGACCCTGTTTCAAAATAAAGACCTCTTCACTGTCAACTTGACGTCATTCTACATCAAATCTAGGGATCAACCATGACAAACGCACATACAGGCTCCCCAAGCATTACTCACTGGTCATGTTGGTTGCAGGCACAAGCCGTTCGTTTACTGCAATTTAATCCCCTACTCGTGCCCTCTCCTCACCAAAGGGGCTTCGGTTTATCCATGATATCTAACCAGACTATACTGCTGTGTGTTGAATTCTCATTGTTATTCAACCGATCAGTGTGAAAAATAGAGCAAAAACAAGGACCACTTAGGGATCAGACAATCCACAAACCAAATGTAGGGTCTAGATGGTTTGGTGACCAGACCGTGGAAACCAGACTAATGAAGGATTAGATCACAGAGGGCTTATAAGAGTGTCAGAGCTTGGTGACAATCTGACAGGCATGGACTAGAATTAAAGACACATAACCACTGGTAAGCTTAGCTCTTATCCTTGTGGTAAGCTTGAAACTTAGATGAAAGGTTTACTCCTTGGGGATGCTTCACAACCCATGTTGACCAGACTTTTTGTATCTACAAGAAGTGAATACATACTCTTGTATTATCAGATGGCCAATGATGTGCATTTAGTTATCTTCAAACAGTTATTATCACGACAAAAGTTTAAATTTTACCTTCTGTGAGATAGGATTTACCCTGCTAATAAAAACCCATAATTTTCAATGATTCAAATTCTGAATGACTTTAAACTAAGTGACCTTACTACTTGTTATTTACTTAATATGTGTGTTGCATAAATAAAAAAAGGATCCCTCATGGCACAACATGCAGAGAGTAAACAAATATACTAATGTGCTTAAAACCCATAAAGATGCTGGTAAATGTGTCTAAAATGTCCATGGATAAAGGCATCAAAAAGTGGTCAAATTACTTGGATTTATTTGGACAGTTTAACAGTCTGAGAGACCGTTTTTTTAAATCAAACTTGGTACAACAATTTTCTTCTTTTTAAGGTTAATGGGGCCTTAAGCATTAAATTAAAACCTCCTATTGTTCATGAGTGCTGTTTTATCAGACATCATTGTTTTTGAGGAGATATTAGGGAGTGGGTTAGGCATTAGGAGGGATGAGCGAGGGAGCCCCTAACCCTAATCTAGCACCTCATGTTGGCTTGGGGCTTGGGAGCCTCCATCCATACTTCGCAAAGCTTGTCTCTCCAAGAGGCAAAAATGAGTACTAAGCTGACTTGGTGCTATGACAGCATCCTTTAGACACTGTGATCATCATATTAATGACTAGCACTAGTGTTTCTTCTCGTTCCAACAGCCGTCTAATTTCTAGACATATTATAGAACTGAGAACATGAGAAACCTGGATGAAGACCATGTAAGACCACTTGTCTTGTGTCGGCTGTTGGACAAAAAAAAAAAAAAAGAACTTCTCTGTTCCTGTTCCTTCATTTTTCTGACTCACAGTATGTTGGTTACAAGCCTAAAATTTTGTACAGACTGATCAATGTCACTGGAAATCTAAAGACACTCTCAGTTTCATAAAATTTGGCACACAATTTGAAAGGTTACTTCTTATGAAGGACTTTCATCTGCATTGAGACTAGCACCAAACTCAAACAACTATTTCAAGTGTAAATATTGGACAGGTGTGATGGACTTGCTTCAACTTGTTTGCCTGTTCTGCTAGTTTTCTGTTTTGTTACCTGCATTTAGTCTTAGGTTAGCATATTTCCCTTTAATTCTGCGAAAACCTGTCTCTTCACAACCTTTTGGTACTGGTTAGACATTTTGGTCAGTGCTATCATTGATCAGAATGTGACCATTGCGTGTTCATAAATGTGAAAAACTTCAAAACCCACCAAGAGAGAGATATATAAATTATTCCCCAAAAACAAAACTAGAGGTAAGGAACTTGTCCCCAACACTACTCTGATAACCAAAGCAGCCCTATCTTTTTTAGGTACTGCCTGTTGCTATTAGCTAAGAAAGCTTAAAGAAAAGTATTGCAAGGTCTCAAAAATAAGTAATCTGTGATATTAATAAAAAAAAACTTCAACATTTTGATTGCGGATGGCAGTGCCATTTCAGAGCACGAGAGGACATAGCAGAACAAGTTCAGAAGGATGAGCCCAAATCTAAAGCGGCATAATCAACAAAATTACTGTATCCACTGATCATACACCTTTGATCTGCAGCAACTTCTTTAGGAACCAAAAGAAACATCCACCCACTGCTGGTAAGCTTCTTAAAAAAGCAAGATTTACAACTCCATCATATGTGTGCAGTAATTTGTCCCAGCACTAGCAAGTAAGGCGATTTTTATTTTTTAATTCTTCATTGTGTTCAAGAAGTGGGTCATGACATTGCCTTGACATGCCCCTTCACCCAGAAAACAGAAAGCAAGAGATTGTCAGACTAAGCTGCAACCACTGATCTTGAGAAATAAAGTCCATGATGTGGTAGTACAGAAAACCATCCTCCCTAGACTGTCTAGAGGAGGCTGGCTCCAAAAGCCAAGGAGATCCTACGGTACTCTAACCTAAATGACTGTTACAATGTGAACAAGGTTTTGATTTTTTTGTTTTTTTGGTGGGGGCAGGGGGGGGGGAGGGGTGTCTTGGCCTAGAGGATAGAAAATACTCCTCATATAGAAAGACTTTAATCTTGGCAATGGGTGGCATGCATCGGTTTTCAACCCGTGGTCCCTTTACTGCATTGTCATTCCTCACTCTGCCCACCATTTTGCATGATCAGCTGACTTGACTGACAGGCTGGTGCATTGTAGCAATTTGCCTGAACTCCACCATTTTGCCTCTTGTCTAGGTTGACTGAAAGTTAGATTGGTCACTAATTGGTGACATGACAGAGACTGTGTCCATGTTTTATATACTCTATGTTTGGGGCAGGTTTTTTTCTACTGGAGGCACTCTTCTTGGTGTAATTCATGTCTTGTCCACACGTTGCTGAGTATTTGTTTAAACAAATATATTTTTATACATTTTGGCCTACCACCCACATGGAACCACAGGATTACATAATTTTAAACTTTCGGAAAACTCCGGCCAAAGTGAGGATTTCGGAAAACTCTGGTTTTGTGTTTGTGGACATAGATAACCAGAGTTTTAAATTCCCAAACATCATTGTCCGCGACAACTAATAGATTAGCTTCATATACTATGCCCCCCCCCCCCTTGTTTATGTCAGGCAGTCGACAGCACAGATGCAAAATATGTATTTTTGTGAGGAGCAAAGTCGGTTTGCTTTGCAGTCGGTTATTCTACAGCGAATAACACTTCCTCCACCTTTCTTGTGTCTTGTTGACTTTACACTCCAAAACGATGCTTAAAAGCTATTCCACCTCTTTGTCGGTCCACACATACGAACGAACGTACTACACAGCATTATGTTTCATGTTTGGGGAAGTGACAACGAGAAAGAGAAGCTTGATCTGATCGGATAGAATGGGTCTAACTTTTTGGCAAATACTACCAACTTCAGGTCTGGCATGCTTATAACCGCAGTCAATAGCGCATTTAGGCGGTTTTCTGTGGATGGGATTTTATTTGAAAACAATGATGTGTGTGTACATGACTTTTTTCTAAATGAAGGGGGTTGGATATTTGTTTACATAAATACCCAGCTACGTGTGAACAGGGCTTAAGAGGCAGCACTTTAGTACAGAGGAGGATGAGGACTCAAGAACTCAAGATTACAATCCTACACATATTTGATTGTGTCCGCAGTGGATATGTAAGAGTGAAAAACAATAAATATAGATGAGAATAAGCAGTAAGAACAAACTTATGCCAACATATTCTTTCAGCAATATGTTGCATGCAAGGTGTTCTCCTACTTAGAGCAAGATCTTTATTATGTAGATGCTAAATGTCCTTATGATTCACTAAAATCTCTGCCATGTCTGTTGGTGCATAGGTCAGGAGTTGCAAACACCAGTCTGTCCCATTTAATGAATCCATAGACCAAATATAATTCTCCCAGTTCTCTCACTCGCTTTTAAGATCTTGCCTTTTAACATTTTCTACTTCTTAATTTGCATTACTATCAGTCAGCTGCATAGTAAACTCTTTAAATTCTCCAGACAGTCCTGTCTGTCAAGGAATATGCAAGTCATGGATTTTCTCTTTCCCATTGGAGGCTGGTTCCACTCGTGGTCCACTGCATGATCAGAATAAGTAATTAGGGGTTAATTAGATGAAAGTACTAGTGGGGGAAGGGGCAGACTGGAATGGGATTTGGGGGTTGTGGAGTATCAGAGGTTGGCTGGATGGGCAGTGGATCCAAAAATCACCCTCCTGGAGCTGAGAGGTCCTCTGTGCTTTGAGTTCACTCACAATAGACAAAGACTTACATTTCCTGAGGGTGAGTTGACACTCAGAAACACTCCAACATGCACATTCAAACACTCGCTCAGGCCCTCTCATACTGTGCTTTCAGCACAAGCATTGAGTTTTAGCTGGCCAGCAGGCAGAAGATCTATTTGATGAGTCAGACTGCTGGAATGCCAAGAATCTAACCTGAGATCTATTTACAAAGCACATATCCTCTCCATACTCACAACGCACACTGTCCACTCCCAGACTAAAGCAAGCAGAGTGAACATGCTCACTTGCAGTGCTGATAAATGACCCTCTCAGCTGTTTGCACATTATTGGGTGATTTGTATTGGTTAGACCTAATCCACACCCATTCTTGTAAGATCAATACATAGTTCATCAGAAAAGAAATCGGGTAGGCAATATGAACGCAAGAAGCATCTCAGGATTGGATGGACAATGGACTTAGCACACACGCATTCAAGCTATCTCTGTCCACTATAAATGAGGGCAGGATTGTTATGTAAGCAGTGGTCATAGTCCAAAACACTAAGCATAAAGCCAATGTGTAGGTGGAGAAAACCCTCCCTCTCCCCCCTTCTCCTTCCCCCCCTTTTCTCCAGGCCTGCACAGTCCACCAGGCCATGCTGCTGACAACCAATCAACTACTGTGCCATATCTGGTTCAGGTTTTACACCTCTCTAACCAACACGTCATTTACACAAACCAATTATATTGTGTTCACGGCCAGAATTCATCTTTTCATCCAAAAAGACAACAACTGACTATAAATGTATCTCTTGAAAAACAAGTTACTCCAAACAGTTTAGCTTTTTTTTCTTATCCACTCATTTTATTTTTGTCTTCCACTCTGCTTTTGGCTCCAGCTCATTCTTCCCTGAGCCTCCCAGGCAGGGCTGTAGTAAAGACAGGACCATGTGTCCGAGCCTGTGTGGTCAGTTTTCCCCTCCCCCACTCCTTTAGCTCGCGCACATACACACATGTGGCAGAGGCTGGCCTGGCCCCTCATTGCTTATTGTGTCCACTCATATATCAGGCTGCAGCTGACCAGTCCTTCCTTGTGTCCTCTCCATCTGCCCTTCACTTTGCTCTTTCTGTGTCTCTGTTCATTTTACCACTGGTGGCATGTCTTTACTATAACACCTAATAAGGAGCTATCCTGTACTTGCATTTCCTAAACAACCTTTCATAATGACTGTGGAGGACCAATGTGTGTGGAGGCAAAGGGCAATGTTTATTTGTCCTTCTGTGTGGGACTAATGAGAAGCTCTTGACACTGGGATACTAATGATTTGGCTTTCATTCACAGAATCACTAGTCCAAATAGTAGTAGTCCAAAATGGGTCATTTCTATCTTCATACTTAGCTATCGTGTTGTGGTAAGTGCTCATTACGCAGTGTGGGTGATTTGGATCGTACTTTAGTTAGTAGTTAGTAACCTTTATTTAACCAGGAAATAAACCCATTGAGATTCAGAATCTCTTTTACAAGGGAGTCCTGGCCAGGAATTTGTTTACATAGTGACAAGAATTCTTTTAGATTTTGTGCAAATATAAATAAATAAAAATAACGTGGTAAAATTTTCTGTGAGTTCAACACTGTGAGTTCTTCTCTGAGTTTTTTTGGGGCAGGAATGTGACATTCATATGTTACCGAAGCTTATGTCTGCTCTAAAACCTCCCCCTTTCTCACGAGTTTTCTGTTTCTTCTTCTTTTTTTTTTCTTTTGGAGTAAAATAAGTAGCCTGTGAATCCCTGTCCCTTTATTCCAATAAGGTTTGTAATCCCGTTAAATCTTGGTCAAGTCAATATCCCAATATTCCAATGTCCCATCTGATCAATATTAGCATATTCACCAGCAACCTTTCATGATTAGCAAAGAGAGGACTGCACTGTGATGTCTCACTAAAATGTAGGTTGTTCTAACTGCCTTCGCAGTTGAGTAGTGCAAGCAAACAAAATCATTTGTCAACTCTAAAAAAACACATCAAATGCAGAGTATCACATGTTGCAGACATTGTGAATGAAGATTTCCGGTGTTTTGCTCTTAAATTATCAAGTTTTCACTATGAATTTGCTGCTCCATGATCAAGTCAGACAATTATGTGCTAATTTCTTTCAGTGTAAACAAATTGTTTCCAAAATCACTCGCAGAGGCTTCAAAAACAGATTGAACACTTTCTGTTAAACTCCTCAATGCAAAGCCCAAGGAGACTCAGCTGTTAAAGCCATTAGCATATCTGCTCCCTCAAAATGACTTGTCGGAGACACCCCCAGCCCCTCGCTTTCCCTGAACTACCCCAGATGAGATTATTCTAGTTGGCTAGAAAAATAGACCCAAACCACTTGCATATGTACACATATGGAAAAATCAGAGACTTACTGTAAGGGGTGACAGGACTGAGCATTCTGCAGCCCTGGCCCCCAAGTAAAGAGGAGAGGACTTGGTCCACTTGGTGCTAGCAAGGGCTCAGCTGCATACTGCGGGGCCTCCCTGGGCTGCTGCTTCTCCTGAGGCTGCTGGCTTGGCTAGTTATGGCCTTCTGCACCCCTCCATGGCTCATTCCACAGTTGAACACCACTCCAGCACTCTGCCACCTGACGAGAACAGGATCAGAGACAAAAGTTGTGAAAATCAGATAAAGTTGTTTGGTATATGCATGTGCAGATAATATCTGGACTTGCTTGCATTAAAACTGTATAAAATTCTCACTTTTTCTTACACGGTTGTTTATGTTGTCACACACCTACACGTGTGTCGTTGACCTATCAACAGAGTTTGAATGCTAAATGCCTTGACAGAGAGAGGTCTTTCGCCCTCTGACCACCAAACTGTGCAGCCAGCAGAGTCAAGTTTTTTATTCTTTGAAGCCCCCGTGTATTACCACTAACGCCACAACAGCAAGAGGAACTTTGAACCCTCTGCAGAGCAAGGGCACAATCCTATTTAATGTGCAATACATGAGGACAAAATGAGGAGAGAGTAGAAAAGGAGGTTAAGTGAGTAACCTGGATTGACACATAGTAAAAGAACAAACTAATGAGGCAGTGGTAAAGAAGTCTAAAGGGTGAACAAACTAAACCACTCTCAAAAAATTTAAGCACAAAAAAACCACAATAGGAAGGGGGTGTTACAATATCAGAAGAAATGGGGAGGGAAAATGACAGGAATGTGCAAGAAGCAGCAGAAACATTGTCATTAAGGCTTTACAGAGACAGTAACCAATTCCAATGAGTGAGAAAATGTTTCACTGACCTTAACATGCCTGGATTGACTTGATGAGTGGTTCAGTCTGGAAAGTAATCCACCATTCCAATAAAAAAAAGTACAACGGGGCCAGCATGAATGTGTTTGTATGATTGTGTGTGTGCTCTCTTCTGGGACCCTATCCTTCTCTCCTACACTCCCTCACTCGCCCTCCAGCTCTCATCTCCCTCCCCCCCTCTCTTGCTCTCCCTTCGACCAGTGACAACAAGAGCAGCACATACATCCCCTCCCCCCATCCACGCCACCCCTCCCCCTTCTTCTCCCTCTCTTTTGTTAAAACTATTTCAGCAGGAAGGGAGAGAGAGGGAAAAAGTGACCAATCATGCCGTGTCAGAAAAAGAGCCTTTTCCCCCCCTGCTGTGTGTGTGCATGAATTTCTGCATGTGTGCATTTGTGGATGATCTTATTCTCTTGTGTGTGCATGCTTTTATTCTATTTCGGAAACTTCACAGTGATAAATGAGCATGTGGGGCACATGTCACAGAAAAATACTAAATTTTCTTCTTCACTGATCACATGAGAAGTTCAGTTATTGTCAATGACTTCTATTGATCTGATACATTGATCTCCGTAGTGTTAGGAGGGTGGGGTTGAACCAACCATGTCAATATTACCTAATTCCTGTTGAACCCCATCCCCCATTTACAAGCATACACATACTGGCCTGCCCACATGCATGGACAGCAGCAAATGACCTCCACATTGGCCTCCAATCTTTGACCAAGAAGTAGGTTATTCTCGTCTTCACCCATTGATCATCAAAATCAGAAATACCCCAAAATACATAACATATTATTTTTATTCCAGAGCTCATGTAACTCATTTCCTTCAGTCCCACTGGTTTTGGTCTAATCCCAGCTCCACATACATAGGAACACAGCTGTGGTTCTGCATTTAGACATGTGGGAGTAGGCGGGACATGCTGGTGAACTCCTCATGTTACTCTGCTGTAAACACTCAAGTCCCTGCAGGACAAGCTTCTTATGCTTTGGCTGTTTCCAACACCAGGTCATATACAACACACACACACACACACACACACACACACACACACACACACACACACACACACACACACACACACACACACACACACACACACACACACACTCACAGAGTCCAGCACATGTTTGACATGTGTGGGTCGTGTTTCAGAAGCCCCTTTTTACTGCGAGATTCTGCCGAAGAATTAGACTGATTTCTTTATATTTCTGCATTGGACCTGCAACACATAATACTTGTGTCCCAATATTGTGTGTGACTTTGCTTTGAGTTATACTACTGCAAAGCTTCAAAGGCACAAAAAGGCATGTCACATAAACACAGCACTGTTCTGTCCTGCTGCCTTCAACTTTCACATTGAAGCTATGACGCTATTGTTATGACGGATGACATAAGTATGTTCATCTCCTCCACAGTAGATGGTGATGTGCCCCTCTTACGGCAATGAAAACGACTTTCACCTTCACAGCTTGGACATAAGAAACAACATCTTTGTCTGTCTTCTGTTGAGGTCACTCCCTTGTTCCCTTGCAATGAATTTGTGCTTTTCAACTCAGTGTGCTAACTAAAGAGCATGCACAAATTGCAAAATACCAGGCTCAGTCAGAGTAATGTTAGGTGACCATACGTCCTCATTTACCCGTACATGTCCTCTTTTGGGGGCCGTTCGGGGGTCTAGGGGGAGTTTATAAAAGCCGTCCAGGGTTTTGTATGGGAGCTCGTTTCCACCAATGAAAAAAAAAAAAAAAAAATGGAATATGTATTAATTCATTATAAAACAGTGCAGTGCATCTGTGTTCTGCAGTTCTCTGCTGCTCTGCCCCTCCACTCACTTCTAAGCAAAGCCACTGACTCAACGCATGCATGCACTGCCTTTGGGAATTCAGAATATTTGTTCAGCTGAGTTAAAATTTATACCTCAAAATTTTGCACACAACTCCGCCTCGCGTAGTAGTATCCTCTTGTTGGAGATTCAGAATATGGTCACCCTAACTAATGCAATGAATGTATTTTTGGATGTATTTGTGTTAATGTACTGACTGCTATCACATTGATTTAAGTGGCAGAAAGAGTTGCGTCTTTGTGGTATTGACAGTATGTTTATACGCACAATCTTGTTTAGCCACGGTTATCACTTGATCGAGCAGCTTAATTGCACTGCCCTTGTATAAGCAAGCTAGGGGAGAAGGTCAAATTACAGACCAAAGTAGAAGAAGAAGACGAACTTTATTGATCCCTGACGGGAAATTCAATATGTCTGCCTCCACTACAGTAGATGGCAGTATGCGCCCTTTCAGCTATTCTCGGACCTTCTACAGGTTGACCTTTCAGTCACATACCGAAACGACTGGCAAACAAGTTAGCAAGATGCAACTGGCAAGAAAATAGATAACTTCACATTTACATGCCTTCCGTTCTTATGAAACGATATCTGTGTCTTTGTTTACCTCCCTTCTTCTTGGATTGGTTTTGTTTACTAACCCCCTTCCCCAAACACATAAATGCAGAGTTACTTCCAGGTCAAAGCCCTGCTAAAGTTTGATTTAATGAAATCTCATCAGACTAACATGTTCACTGTTTTCACTGTACTACCACAATTATTTCTTTTTTTACATCATATGTACTAGGGTGACCATACGTCCTCTTTTACCCGGACATGTCCTCTTTTTCGGGGGCTGTCCGGCTGTGCGGGTTTGTTCAGCCTTGTCCAGGGAAGTTAACAAAAACCTTCAAATGTCCGTTTTGAGTTTTGAGTTTGTGTCATGTGGACTTATTGAGGTAGAAGTGTGTAAAAGACAGTCGATCTGACCCAAAAAACTCTCAAAATTAACTTTGAGCAACTTTCTGATTCCATCCCTGCGTAGTCGTGTCCTCTTTTTGGAAGGTCAGAATATGGTCACCGTAATATACTGTATACACATTGATTGATTGCAAAGCAAACCAGGCAAAACAGTCCTGACTTAAACAGCAGCTGTAAAAGGGTTCAATTTTTTAGTTTTTTTCCAAGGAGAAGGTGAAACTTTTTATTGGAATTAAAACTTCGTAGATCATAGTTGCAGACTACGACTTAAAAAATAATCCTTAGGACTTATTGATTACCAGTTAAACAAGAATAGTATTCTTCTTTACAGCTTATTATTACAGGGTCCTTCCAGTCCAGCTTTTTTAAGACAAAAAGCAGACCATTATCTGAAATTTTAATGACTACCATCACAGCAGTGGAGGCGGAGGCTTTCCAGAAAACCTTATATTTGGTGACTCAGAGGAGTAATGGTGTGTGCAGCACTCAGCTCTTTCCCTCTTACCTGCTTTGCTGACAAACACTGAAAAAAAAAACAGGCTGTTTTTTTGCAGGCGAGGAAACAATAGATCTAGACAATCCTGAATGTGCTGTTGGGGCTGTTCTTTTCATTGCAGATCAGGTAAGCTGTTTGATACATTCTCCCCGCAGAGTCGAAGCACCCAGATGTGGTCACTTGTTACGTCACATGCAGCCATGCAGCCCTAAACAGGTCACTGGGACAAGCAGAAGGACAAAAGGGTAGAGTTTGCACTAATGACAGTCACACAGAAAGGTGCGGTTATCAGCAGGTTAGGGGAATAGGTTACTGGCAGAGTATGAGAGGAAAGAATCCACTGCTGTGTGTAACAGAAATACATACCAATTTTCACACATAAACATATAGAGACACACAGGCTATGCTGGAAATTGGACATGGTAACTTCAACCTTGGATCCCTCTGGCCCCGTGGGTGGGATAGGTCACATGATAGCACCCCAGAGAAGCTCAGCTGTTTGCCACTCTAATTCTGTCCCAAGCAGCTGAGCACCGGCCTATTGCTCCACTGAACTGTCCCAGTAATGATAATAGTGCAAGTGTGTTCAAGTGTGTTAATGTGTATGAAGCAGAAATGGGGTTAAACGTGGAAATAGGTCCAGACCAAAAGCAGGAGTACAACTGAACTCTGAGTCACATAGCTGGAAAACGACTTTCATTTCCTTCTCAAAGGCCACTGTTTTTAAATATATGCAAAATGACATAAGATGGTTAGAGAATAAGAGAGGGAGAACAACTTGTATGACAGAAAGAGCAGAGAGACAGAAATGGAAAAACAGGAACAGGAAATCTTTGGAAAGAGAACAGGAAATGTGTGTATTGTCCTGCACAGGCAATGTCAGTGCCAGCACAAAGCTGGTCTTGTATTAAATGTAAGAGTCTGATACTTTTGAGTTTTCTTAACAAATCCCAAAAACAATCAGACCAGAATTTACAACTAATAAAACTGATCTGAAAATGAATATGAAGAAGACATATGACAAATAAAATCTAAGGCCTTATGGTTGCAAAGAGTTACATTCTTCAGTATAATGTGAATGATTATTATAGTCAGTCTCTATCAAGCTGCCCTAAATGCTAAATGTTTATAAAAATAGTCCTTATACTCATGACCATCTGATGAAATTGACTTTAATTCACCCTTGCATATTAGTTGTTTTTCATGTTATATCAAGTGCAGAATGTCAATAGGTCAAACCAACTTTCAAGACAATCTTCAGTATGAGGGGACATTTACTCTATATGGTTCAAAATCACAGAACTACACTCCATAATTGTGCACAAGCTTTAACTGGTGTTAATCTTTTAATGTAAAAAGATTAAGAAAAAAAAAACAACCCTCAAGTATTGTCATCCTGAACAGCAAAGTGTGGGAACATCCTTTATTTTAATTCACATTGTCTATATTATCATCAAAAACACAATTGAAGGGGGTTTACTGGATGTATACACACATAGAAGCCCTCTACCTCCCTTTGTCTCTCACGCACACACATGACTGCACACAACACACACACGAAGCGCAATGCTCCATGTTAGAGTGGCTTATTGTTCTCTGGTATAGAGAACACAATATCCAAGTCTAGTAATAGAGGTTAGATTAATTGCTGACAAATCGGCATTCAGCAGTTCCCTTTCTCTCTGCTTGACAGATTTATGACAGAGATTGATGGAGGGGAGGGCAGAGCCGAGGGCTGCCTCTGCTTGTTGAGAACTGAGAACCACAGCTCAGTGAGTCAAATGCATATAGAGAGGAGAAAGAACAAATACCGGATTGTTTTGTTTGGATTTCTAATATTTACATTAATGATGGTGTTATTCTACCCAAGGGCCCCAGTATGACAGAGAACCATAGTGAGAAGAGGATCCTGAAACTTCAATACCTACACTACAGGCCAAAAGTTTGGAAGCAAGGCCATTACAGGCCGAACAGTTGGGAGAAACTTCAAGTTTTTGTTTACAATGCTTTTTTTAAATCCAGCATGAGTTTTATGTATTTTGGGATGTATTTACTCCATGATCAGATGTTGCTTTCATGGAAATGCACCATTTTACTCCATTTACCTTTAGATGTACATTGATGTTAACAGACCATTGCTAAATATTTGTCAGCAAAAGATATTAAGGGCTTAGTTTTAGGGTTGAAAACGTCAGAGTTACAACTTCAGTGCAAAAGCAAAAAAACAAATCACAGTTGGATTATTCACTTCAACTTTTGGCTTTTGAGAGTCTGCATACAAAAATCCTAATAAATATCAACTGCGTTCAAACTACCGCAAAAATGTCTAGAAAGAAGCCACTGAGTAAAGAAACAAAAGTACTGATTTGTGCATTGAGGAAAGAAGGATACACAGAAAGAGAAATTGCAAAACACCTAAAGGTGTTTAACAAAGGAGTCCACTACACTCTGAAGAGACTAGAGGAACCTGGAAGTTATGATGATAGAAAAAGACCTGGACAAAACAGAGTTACTACAAAAGCAGAGGATAAACATAGCATTGTCACCAGTAAGAGAGATCAGCAAAAGACAGCATCAAAAATAAGGGAGGAAATCAACACGACAAGGTCGAATCCCATATCTCTGACAACTGTGAAATGACGTTTGAGAAAGGCTGGTCTGAAGGGTTGTGTATCTGCAAAAAACCACTACTTCGGCCACAGAACAAGAAAAAGAGATATGAGTGGGCAAAAGCTCACAAAAATTGGACTTATGATGACTAGAAACAAGTTTGCACTGTTTGGTTCAAAATGCAGAGTCTATGTCCGCAGACAACCTGGTGAACGTCTGAAAGCACCATGTGTTACACCCACAATTCAGCATGGAGGTGGTAGTTCCATGGTATGGGGATGTTTTGCAGGTGATAGAGTAGAAGATTTGTTTGAAGTAAAGAGTATCATGAAGAAGGAACAGTACCACTCCATCCTCCAGCACCATGCTGTTCCATCTGGACTCAGACTTGCGGTTCATAAGTTTGTTTTGCAGCAAGACAATGACCCTAAGCACTCTGCCAAGCTCTGTCAGGATTACCGAGACAAAAAAGAAGAGGGAGGTGTTCTTCAAAAGATGGTTTGGCCCCCTTAGTCTCCAGACCTTTCTCCAATTGAGCTTGTGCGGGATGAATTGGATCGATCGGTCAGAAAAACGTGTCCCACAAATCAGCAGTCTCTTTTTAATGAACTTAAGAAAGCTTGGAATGCAATCCCTGGAGCATACCTTAAAAAACTTGTGGAACGAATGCCTGGTATATGCCAAGCTGTTGTTAAAGCCAGAGGAGGTTACTTTAAAGAAAGCAAAGTCTAAGCAACAATAACTCAAATACCTAATAATTATAGTCAAAATGTCTTCTGATAAGTTACTCTTTACACAAAAGTCATGTTTATTGTGTTGCAAATTATATATATGAAACTATGATCTTTTTTTGTACAAATCTGATCTTGCTTCCAAACTTTTGGCCTGTAGTGTATATTCTGACATTATTGGTTTCTTTACGCGCCTCTGCTCCTTTAAAGAAAATCCTAGTTCCATGATGATCCTGCGAATGCTGTATAGAAATATACAACTTAAAAAAATCTCCATTTGTATGGTAAATTGTCAGAGCCAGCAGCCAATTAGCCCATCTGAGCACAAAAACCCGTTTTTTTTAAAGATATTTTTTGGACATTTTTTTTTTTGCCTTTAATTTATAGGACAATAGGACAGAGTGGAAATTTCGGCGCTAGTGAGAGAGGAGAGGTGGGAGTAACAGTAGCACAGGATTGGGGCCAGATTACAACCCGCAACCACTGCAGAGACCATGGTCCTCATAAGTGCACCCCTGGCATGGCTCTTTTTGAAAGTTGCAAAAATAAAGCTCCACAAAGCCTTGTATAAAACATATCCAACATTTGTTTTTTCACTATTCTTGTCCTCACTGCAAAGCCAAGCTTAGGAGAAACAGCTATGACAAGTGATAATATGTGCGTAAATATCTCTAACATATAACTTTAACTATATCCTATATGCAGCCTGTCATGACACCCTAAATATGTAGAGGACTGTTTTTCATGATTTCAAGGACTATTACCTTAATTTTTGCCCTCTCATACTGAGTCATACTGAAAGGTTCATTAGCCACACTTGTCAAGTGCTGAAACTAGATTTTTTTCCCACTGTTTTTTGAAAAATTTATGCTGTACAAAAAGGCCAAGGCCTCAAAGCAATACTGGATGTGTGGTATATAGATTCTGATTGAAGAAACTAATCAGTTATGAGTCACTTCATTGATGATAAAAATAGTTTTTAATGACAAAACGAAGTGAGTTTATTTCTAAGTATGTCATAAACTGTATAATTCATGAGAGGTAAAAATGCTAATTCATGAAGGGTGGAACATTTCCCTTAAAAGGTTGTACACTAGGGGCGTGCAGATGGCTAAGTGGGTTAGTGCGCCTCATGTATGGGGACCGCGGTCCCCACAGCAGTTGCAAGCTCAAGTGCTTCCCCCTCCTCTTTCTCTGTCTCCCCATATTTCCAAAACTGTCCTATGAATGAAGGCAAAAATTCCCCAAAGAAAAAAATAAATAAAGGTTGTACACTGAACAGTATACAAGTCCCACCCTAGCTGTTAAACTGACCTACCTGCAGTGTGACTTAAAAAATCCTGGACAATAATTTTCTTTCTTAACACTGACCGGTCTTCTCAAACTCCAAATATATACAGAGTGTTGCCAAAAGAACAGGTGATACCAACAGTGAGCATGCCCCTGCCTGTACTTGTTACTGTCATCTAATATAAAATGAGCATACTTTTCAGCAACTGATAAAATTCTTCATTATCAACATCTGACATATTGCCTCTGCACTATTTTCAATTACTTACAGAGTTTAAATGATTTTCACCCAAACCACCAAACTGTTATTTACATTTATTTACATTTGCTCTAACATTCTCCTGAGGCTCTTCTCTTGCTTGTTATGAATGCCTCTTTCTTTAAACTAGCTCAGTGACACAACATTCATCAGCCCTGAAGTTAAAGACATGTCTGACAATTGAAAATAGATCAATACCCTAAAGTGTTATTTAGTCATTTAGTATTTTGTGTCAGTACAGCAGAGACGATAGCCATTCCCTCCTACATACCATCTCCATTTGGCTCTTTGGCTTTCCTTCAAAAAAGACCACAGGACCTTCACATGAGCATAAAGGATTTCTTTGAATACATAAGTCTTGGAAATGAGATGGCCTTCAGCTATTATGTCACTGTTCCTCATATGATGATAAAAAATGAAATGCACAAACAGGGAGCATTCAAATTATTAACCACCAAACTATGTAGGGAATCAAACACAGCTTCAAAAATCCACCCATTTCAGACCTGTTGAACACCCCTGATTGAATCCATTAGCTTAAAAAAAAAAAAAAAAACACCTCAAATGTACAGTCCACCTCTCTCTTACCACCTGATGTCACTGCTAACCACACCTCTGATTGGTTAAAACCACAGCCTGCCAGCTGTTTGTAATCAGGAGCATTTGGGAGTCAGGATCACATGACACCCTCAAGGCATCCAGGCAGCCGTAGATATATTCATACCAAGTGCTGAGCATCTTTAACCTCAAACCCCTTCCCACAGGCTGCTCCTTTGCAGTCGGGATCACCTCCAGATGTGCTTACTGTGTTCTCACCTCTGGCTCAAAATATGGGGGAGGGGCTTGGGATGAGGGAAGGGACAATCCATCGAAAATAAAAAGGGTTCAGTGTTTGGGAGAAAGAAGTTTGATCATCTCATGTTGGTGCTCCCCAGGGTCTTGTTGTGGAACCACTGTTTGTCTCACATTAAGAAATGATTTGTCAGATTTGGGATTCATGAATATCAGGAGGGTAAAGTGGAACCAGTGGAACTTCCTCAACAGGATTTTGGCCTTGCTGCCCCCTGGTGGGACGGCTTATCAAATGCATCAAAATAGATCAGAGCACAAACATGTCATCATCATTATCCCAGCAGTTTTTTTTCAATTGTGAAACGATATTCAATAACAAGTCACAATTTAATTCCAGCTGCATTTATTTATTTTATTTTCCATAGTCAAAAATTAAATTAGATTTACATATACATATAAAACATGTACTTTGCCTAGACTAATCATTCAATAGTTGAAGAGAAAAGGCATCACTTTTTTTCTATGGCTCCAAGACTTAAAGATTGAGGGTACTGCGATACGGCTGTTGTTCTACCTGAAAGTCTCCTGCTTTCTGACAACTCTTCCTCCCATCCTCTTCCTCTTTTGTCAAACTTGCCTTGTCCTTGAAACAAACACAAACTTTTGACCTTTTCATTTTTGACACTGCCACACTCTGGACACTTTTCACTTTTTATATACACATAAATATGAAGTACAGATTCAAGAAGGGGAAAATTGACATGACTCTGTTGCTGTATCATAATGGCACAGAGGAACTGAAAAATTGTACAAAATGAGACATATCAGTGGAGTTTCTTTTTTGACATTCTGCAACTCCTTGTTGGTTGAACATTGTCTTCTTTTCTTTCCTTTTTTTGGTCACATGTAGGGAAGTTATTCATGTAAAAATGACAGCACAACAGGAAGTGGTTATGTTTTCTATGACAGGCACAAATGTTATACTCACATCCATTAAAATGAGTGACTTCATGGTCACATGTATATGCAGACACCCACAGTATTCTGAGGGCATTTTGCTGTATGCTTACCATACATCCTTACATATACATTAATCAGCTAAAACCAAGTTTAAGACACATGATGGCTGTGGAAATGACTCAAACAATCACTAAATAATCGGTCATCTACAGTCATAGAGCACTGGATGGTTAAGAGCGTTGGTCTAGTTCGTTATGGAGGCATTTTTCATAGTTTTTCTCAGTCATGAGATTTAGATTACATAGTGTATTTACACAATGAATAACATTTTGTCATGCCAGTTATAAGCTACATTGTGGTTCCTCAGACACACAAAGACTATATCGACATTCAAAAGTCTGACAGTCAAAGCAGAAGTACATTACAGCAAATACAGTATATAAAACATTCATACATTTCTATGGGGAGGTACAGCTGCATGAGAGTTGATAAAAGGTTACTGTTCTCATACACTACAGTCACTTTGATGATGAGAACTGAGGAGCCTTGAAAATAATTATAAATCAGTTCGTGAACTAACATTTCGCTGGACCTTTGAAAAGTTTGAAATTGAAATTCAACTCAATTCCATGACTAAATTTTACTGAATTGATTTTTTTTTTTAAAGAAAAAAAGTTTATTGATTATTGAATATTTGGCCAAGTGAAGTTAAATGTTAAAATTTTTTTCTGGGATTAAGGGTAGGGAAATGTATTGCTGCTGTATTACTTTGGAATGTATGAGTTAAAGTTATCTGGTAGCAAATGTCAAATAAGTTTGGATTTGCACTTTACCAACCACAGTGTCCGTCTCTGGTTGTGGCACTAAAATGGAAAAGTTTACACTGGCTGCAGATCAATAACAAAGTGGTAAAATAATAATTTGTTATAAACCCAGTGATAAATACCATAAAACCTGGGTCAGAGCGGTAATGCATTTTATCGGTTTTTGAACATACCAACCTGAACATAACTAACAACCTGACAATGGCCATTGTTAGACAACATTCAGCTAATTTATGATAAGTTTCAAGGCTCTTCTTAGGAGACAAAAGGTGTGAAAATCATGAAGGTTATTAAACAATGTCAACCACCAGAGATCCTCACTCTCAAATTACTTCTGATGATATTTCATTGAATTCATCCATTTATAATAACTGCTGCATTCTTTAGCAATCCTCCCGTAGCTCCCCTTCTTTTTTACAATTAACTATATACATAAAGAAAACACTTAGATTATTTCATCTAAAAATATTATTGTTATAATTAATAATAGGTAAGTAAAACATTATCTTTACGTAATAGATTTCATGAAAATAAAATATATCACAAACTCTTTATCTACAGAAAGTGCAACTACAAATTAAGTATTATTGAAGATCAAGCTGTCACACCATCATGTCTCTGTCCTCTTTGGCTCTCTAAGCTTTGAGGCGACGCTAATGCCTGAAACCTACAGAAGGAGCATCCCATTGAAATGAATCAATGACAACAGCCAGTAAAAGTATAGAAAACAAAAGAAAAGAACTGAAAGACAATAAACTTAAGGACGCTCTGCTATTCATCAAATCGGACATGAGTCCAGAAAGTGAATGAGAGTGTGCCTTAAAATATCTTCTCACTTCTGTGTAATTGAGGACATTTCCTGTTTTTGGCTCAGAAAGGTGTTTTGATGCTTTCGATGTTACATTGTCTTTTTCAGTCAGACATCTTTATAATGGTGCTGTAGCACAAAGAGACTCATAAATGAAACTGTGAATTTGGATTTGCTTTTTGGGTAAATTATTGCTGGTACCCCTCCCCACTCATCCTAAAAAAATTAAAATCAGAACCAACCAAACAAACAATAAACTCATAGCTGTGTTCCTGATTCTCAAAGAGACATAAAAACTCCCTCTTTTACTCACAGTAACACACATACTCACTCAGTTTTTCTGCTCCGCTTCCTCCCTGACCTGACGTCAACCAAAGTGCTTTGCAGGAGCGTTCATGAACTTGTCTGAGGTAAAGAGATAAGACACTAACACATGACAAAGACTGTAGAACAACTTCCTTTCTACACATCTAGAAGTCCAAAGGAAAAGGCCATATACTAAAAGAAGTGAATGTGTTTACAGATTTATGCCACTGCTGTGGGTCTTCTTACATGAACAGTTTTCAGTTTACATCACTGCGCAAAACTGACACCACACAAGTGTTACACTCCCAAAAGAGGAAAAGTCTACACATAACTGAGCCGGCAATGATGCTTTAACTCTTACTAAGTAATCAATCATGTAATCACTATTAGAAAAAATAAACAGTCATGGCACATTAAAAAAAAGTTTCTCTACAAGATTTAAGGAACAATGACAGAAAAAACTACTGAGGTTATTGAAAAAAGAACCTGGTTTGTTATTAAAGGAGGATTGAAACTCCATAGGTGTACAGTAGAGGCTGGAAACCTGGGTGTTGTCTCTGATTAAATGGTGGAGTGTGGAAGTTGTTGTTTTGTAATTGCATTTGCTCTCCTATTGTGATGAGGACTAAGTCTTTTCAGCAGCTGCAATCATTAAACAGAAGATGTCATTGGCAAAGTGCAACTTGCAGTACAAAAAAAAGAGTAAATTATTATTAAACCTCAAAGTTTCCCTTTTGTTACCATTACGCTGCAGTTAAATTTAGTTAAACATTTAGCTGCCTACCACTTCAACACCTAATGGAGGGTAACATTTCAACTTACATTCATTTGGAGGTCAGTAACTTAAAATTAATGAATGTCATGTTGTGGTAATGGCAGGTTGTAGATCAGCAACTGTTAGGTAACTTGTTTGGTTTGGTCTATAATAGTTAAAACATGCACTGTGTTAATATCGTCTGGAGAGGACAAAAGGTTGAGCAGGTTATACAAATGTATAATTAACGCGTGCCTTAATTTATGCAAACGCCAGTCCTCAATCATTTTCATGGAGTCAAGAAAAGCAAAAATCATAACCTTCATGATGGCAGAATTTTTCACAGGGTTGTTTTGGCATAATCTGAATATATTGTGAACTTGTAAATATTCATCAACTTATGATGGGGGTCAGTGTACTGCTCCAGCCATTACAAGTTCTGACATTGGGAGAAAAATCCACCCGACAAAAGAATTTACAATGGGCTGTTTCACTGATGCCGGGCAGTAAAGTCGATATTTATAGGCAAACAACAGCTGTGTCCCCGTAAGCTAAAAGAAAACCATCCACTCTTTTTGGTCGACACTTTGGAAATAGACCAATGACAGAATTTGGCAGTTTGAGATGTCGCCTTCTAATAAGTATTAAATAAATGCAGGGCTCTCAGCAGCGAATGTGAAGATGTCCCCATATCTCAGTGAAATCACTGTGGCTGCCAGCAGCTGTCACAGTGTCCTCACAGTTTTGTCTTTATTTACTGTCACTGTGGATGGAGCAGCTCCAGGGTTTGTCACTAGATTATATTATCAGAGCCTGTTAATACTCCACTCCAAAAAAAAAAAAAAGAAAAAAAAAAGAGAGGAAAAAAACCCAGACAGAGCTGCTCTAATGTAATTTGACTTCCATAAGTAAAAAGGAAAAGTTTTATTTCTTCTATCATCATTAAGCCTCTTAAATAAGATGGGAAGCAAATGGCAGTGTTCAGAATGGCAGAAATGATCTCAAAGGGCTTTCAGTCCAGTTTGGTTGTGCAGAAGTCTTAAAGTACAAGATGTAACGTAAAGATTATGCTTTTTTCATTGGTTAACTGGCGAGGATGGTAGGCTAAAAAGTTTGGTAGTACTTTCTGCTCATAAATTAGAGTTAGGCTTAGATTTTATCATATAGTCTTGGTTTTGGGAAAGAATCCTCACAACAATAGAAGAGCGTATTTTCGGTGTGTGTCTGTTCTATGTGTGGTGGGTCGCTGGTAGAAATCATTGAGACTTGTTTCCCTAAGCACTGAAGTGGCTGACAGTCAAAAGCGTCAGATCTCAGTGTGCCAAGGTCCAGAACTGCAGTCATGTGCCTGCCTGGACTGCGGTATCCTTCATTCATCTATGAACTCGATCCCTTCAATCCTGCAGAGCAACACAAACACACCCAGAGTGAACACAGCACAAAGTATAGCAAGTTTGACAGCATAGCACCAGTTTGAGTGACAGATACCATGTTCAACAGGCAGCCATTTTGCACTGAAATCACACCTCAGGTAAGAAGCTCAATACGATTGTAAATTTGATCAAATTGTTTAACAAAAGTTTTGTCATCTGTTGATCTAGAAAATCTGACAAATTGATATTTCATAATGTGTCAGATTGAGAGTCAAGTGATGGAAAGGATGGTAAAAATTGGTGGGAGATGTGAAACATCACCCATGTCCATTTAGCTACCATGGGAAACATTAGTCTTGACTTTCTTCTACACTTGTTAGCTTGTTTCATAGAGTTAAGTGATATGTTAAGAGAGTTGTAAATTTCTATTTAATTGTCAAATGTTAACTTATTCAAAAGAAACAGTAACTTTTTATCAAACAATTTGAAACCAGGAACACAGCAATCTGATATGATCCCAGCAATGGTCTTCAGGAAACTGGCTGCCTTGTGAATATGGTGGATTAAAGAATCAAGTGACCACAACATGTGGTGCAGTTTCCCAGAAGGTAGGGTTAAGGATAAAGAGGGTGTGGCCTTGCCTTTTTAGCAGCCACAGGACGAGTGTCCTTTTGATTGGAGTTTAGGGATTTCCACACGGTTGTTTTAGACATTTCATCAGATATATTAATATCAGAGGGATCACACCTGGGGAGCAGGGAGAAGAGAAGGAAGGTATGGAAAGAAAGAAGATTTTGATTTTGGAAAGTGTCAAGGAAAAGTTTCTTTATTAGTTACAGGGTGCACTAGAACCATCACAACCAAACAAGACAAACACACACACACACGTCTTACCACTTAGATCAGATGATGCTCATGCTGTTGGTATGTGTGTGTGTGTGTGTGTATGTGTGCTCTAACCTGGGGTCATGTGCTCTTGATGTCTGAGCAGGCTTGCTGCTTTCCATAGGAATCTGAACTGAAGTTGTATCATCCGTCTTTGCACTGAGCATAACCTGTGATTCCTCAAAGTCCCCCCCGCCAGACACAAACAGACAGAGTCAGTACATGAATGTTTTATCATTTTCATGTGTGCTTTTCAAGATGCATTTCAGACTACCTCTTCCATCTTTTTAGAGGCATCGTCCAGGTTTTTCTTCTTCCATTCAGGCATCAAATCATCCAGGTAGCTTAGCTCTCGCTTGGAAAAGCAGATGTCCAGGACCTTGCGAACAAAAACCAGAGCCAGAACCTGCAGGCACAAGAGGCAGCCAAAGCTCATTACTTTGGTTTGAGAAAAGCCGAGGCTCAGTGTGTTATTTGTTGGTCAACTAACCATCATAGGGAAGACGATGGCAGCAGGTGATGTCTTGATGACCCAGAGCAGCACCAGACAGGTGAGTTGGGTGACAGTAAACAGGTGGACTTTCCTCAAAGGGACATGGCGCAGGTAGATAAAGTCAGGTTGGTGCTTTGCTGGCATGCCGAACAATTTCAAACGGTCAAAGAACTGAAAAGATACGGTGGCAGAGAGAGTCAAAGCCGGAGAGGTTAATGAGAGCGACGGATTAATGAGAAAAGAACCAGGACACAGATGGTGATAATGGAAGGAGAGAGGAAGTGATTATGAATGACAAATTCACTTAGATTGGTCTGAGTATTAGCTGTCAGGCCCCGCTGAATTGAGACCAAATTAATTAGATAAGGAGAGGGCATAACTGGGACAGCCAAATTAAGAAGACACTGAGATGAAGAGAAAAAAAGAAAAACTTGGAACAGTTTATATTTGAAGCACTCCAAGCTGCATTACCTTTATTCATAAAGAGTTTAAAAATGTCAGTGCACATGCCAGTCTAGCTATATTATCTCGCTAAATACTCGTGAATTCTGGATCAATATCACAGCTAGGACTGCAAATGTTAGTAGTTATTCTTTACTGTGCTGAAAAAATGTTCTTTTTTTTTTCATTGTTGGCAGATTGTTACCTGGATGCCTTTCAATGAGGAGACTCCCATGTAAAGGAAAACGCCATACAACACAGGCATAGGAATGAACTGGGGGGAAAGAAGATACGTCAGTGAACTTTGGTTACACCTTAACATTATCAGGCTTTCAAACGTCCTTCTACATGTTCCAACCAGAGGAGGGCAGCGTTGAACAACCTGTCCAACTAACCTGCAGGGCCCCAGTCATAAACACAGAGCAGCCCATGAGCAGGAAGATGACCAGGCCGGTGAACCTTTGCTCTCTAATGCCCAGGAAGCGTGGCTGCTCTCCTGGAGCCGAGCTCTCTGACTCCAGCTTCAGGCTATTGACATGAGAGATGGACAGGACGGTGGCTGCCACAAACCAGGGCAGGCCCATGATGGAGCACACAGCCAGCATCACCCCCACCATCAGCAGGTCTAGGTGGTACCCACAGCCTTTCTGAATGACAGAGAGACAAGAAATGATGGGATGTACACATTGCATAAGTACATTAATGATAAGTGGATTGTACTTAAAGTCTTCAGACCACATACACTTTATCCTGTTTGTAAGCACCACTGTGAGAAAACTTTATTTACACCTGGTTAAATGTTAAATTACTGTTGATGGTTTTTAGATGAAAAAAACACAATAGAGAGGTTACATGGAAATGTAACATGTTGAATTTCTGAAGGACTTCAGAAATATTTATCTCTGATGCCCTTGTAGCGGTACTATCAACTGTGATGTACTACAATAAGTTTTCAAAAAAGCCACGGGCAGCCTGATGCAAGGTTGCCCAATCAGTTTATCTTAAAACAGGATTATCTGTCCTCCAACCAATGAGATAGCAAATCAAAATTTGGGATTATGGGATGGTCCCTTAGATGTCAAGACAGTAGCCACATTCACATGGGCAACATTTCTTGATCCGATTCAAATTTTGAGGGATTGGAAAATATGAATCTACTTTTTACATGGGTGCAAAATCAAATAATCTGATCATGACACGCATAAACATGCATCAAGTTTTATTCAGTTTAGAAGCATTTGGACATGCACAGAGTTGTCTGATTTTGCTAAAACAACCACAGAAAAAGAGTTGTATTTATGCCTGTGCTGTCAACAAACCAACAGATGCGGTAGTGGCTCACCCTATCCAATTCAGGAGTTTTCCCCCTGTTAAATATTGTCACTAGATGGTGCCCTTGCTTACTTATTTTAATGATCTGTTAAAGGTTGCACTGTGCATGCACATGTGACATCATTACACTGTATGTACACCTTGTTATGTTACCGGAAGAGCAGACAAGGCACTTGCGGTTGTGTTTCATGCCAGTGTTAATAATGAAACCTCCTGTACTGGCTAAAGAGTGAAGGTCGAGTCAGGAAATAGAGTCACGATTGGAATAAGTGTTTACATGGACGCATTTCGGAAAAACGATCGGCATAAACCACCCCTCTTGATCGGAACACATTGTCTTTCCGATTGAGTTGAATTGGATCAGAATCTTACGATGGACGTGTTTACATCGGGCATTTCTTCAGATTATTTGTGCCCATGTAAACGCAGCTAATGACATTCTAGGCTGTCCAACTAGAAACATCTCAGGTATCAAGGAGGGAAGGTACATTCTGTGGATTTCAAGACTTCTTTTCTTACCAGTAGTTTGTGCTCTTTGCGGTTAATGATAACAGCAGTAATCTGCTGGTCCATGAAGATGAGGATTGTGCAAAGAAGAGCAGGAATAGATGCAGCCAGGACAGTCCACCAAGGGTTGGGCCCTATTGGATTGATTAGCCAGCCTCTATCATCTCTGGTGGGCTGGGGGGGATTCAGTAAGAGAGGCATGAGGTCTTGATTAAAATATGACTAGGTTCATTTTAATATCAATGTCCAAGTAATAATGATCTTCACTTCTATACCTGGAATTTGCTGGGCACCTTCAGCTTCTGGGAGGGGACTCCTATTGCATAGTCAAGCAGAACCATGACAGCGATGGTGAGGAACACTGCAAAGTCACTGATCATGGACCGCACCTAAAAGTGGGAGCAAAAAATCAAGATTAGTGGTAGCTTTTGTGGCAAGTCTTTGCTTTGGGATTAGATTAATTACCTTAGTGGGGAAATAACGACTTGTTTTGAATTGCTTCAGAAAGGCAGACATGAAGAAAGTAGAGAAGAACAAGATGGTGGACCAGAAGAGAACGTCTGGGGTGTAGGGTCCATGGTGGCCACAAGCTGTCCCAACAAAGTGGCCTTGCAGACTCATACACTCCTGTAGACATTCAGAGGGTAAATTAGAGTAATACGTTGTTTGAGGATTCAGAGGAAAATTGAACAAGGATGTTTTTTTTAAAAATAGCCAGACAGGAGGAGGACAAAAATAACGCAAGAGGAAAGACAAGCTGTTGGTTTGCCCAGTTACACTCCAAGGAGAGAAAGGTTAATCGATTCCATTGTTTGCAAAGGTCCTCAAAAGAGGTTAACTGCTCGAGGGAAGGTGAAGGGTTTAGTTGAATGTTAACAAAAGTAAACATGTTGGAGTGTGTGCTATCATGTTACGCTTGCATTAGGAAGCAGCGTGTTTCCACATATTTATGTTACCTTGACAGTGAGGTTGGTCCAGGGTACAGCAGAGGCTGTGATGTTTTTTTCACTCCACAGTTCCAACGTCTTATTACTGGGATTATCAGGCTCTGCACACCTACAGCTGCAGAGGAAAAGACAGAGAGAGAGAGAGACTGAATACCACTGAGGAAATTTATAAATAAATAAGGATAGACTCACAGTAAAAGAAAATACAGTTCAGACTTTGCACGATTTGAAAGGAAATGTGATACAAAGAGACAATATGGAAAGACACACTCAGAGAAAATATACTCAGTGAGCAAATGTCAGTTATTGTAAGAAAAATCCACAATATGTGAAAATATGTCTTTCAAAATATTTTGTCTTGGGCTCCAACTATTCTTCCGGATTGATGGATAGAACCACACAGCTGATATGTCCCTTGCTTTAATATTGTGACAGTATTGTGCTGCATTTTTATTGCTTGTCATAGGCTTTTAATACAATTGTTTATTTTCTTGTCATTCTCTAAAAGCAACAATGGGATTGACTCTATTGCTTGTACACTGTTATATATTCTTTTACTGATAGATTTCAGGGCAGAATTTTCTCCTCTTATAAAGGGAGTTCCACAAGGGTCATTTCTTGGTCCTGTGTAATTCATTGCTTATGTTATTTAAATCTTCTTGATGGCTGACCATGTTACTGCTTTTTTTGCAGGTGATACTCACTTTTGTAACCCAACAACTGTCTTTTAATCCTCTTTTGAATGCTTTTCAACCTTAAGATAAAACCTTGGATAGCATACAGCTATGCAAAAGAGTCACCATATTATAACTTACAAAGCTAAGGTGAGTTTGTCCAGATCGCTGTGTGTATTAAAGGGGTAAACCTCCCCCAAGTGGAAGAGCTTCTCCAAGGCCTCATAGATGAAGATGAGGCAGATCAGGGCAGCAAAGGCCTCCTCTGTGAACCGAGTGATGTAGCACACTAGCGAGCTAGCATCAGTGGCTACAAGCACCAAACAAAGCAGGGCCGTCCACAGGCCAATACAAGTCCTCAGTGACAGATAGGAAAGGCTGTAGTCCCTGAAATGAGAGGACAAAATGACACATAATTTGATTGAAAAACTCAACTCAGGATAAGATAATGATTGAGCCTTGATACGCATGTCACAAGGAGATTTTTGTGATACCTACTTGCAGAACTTGTAGAGGATTTTCTCAAAAACAAGTACAGGACCTGTGCTGCCAAGAATGGTGAGAGGCTGACCCGCAAACAATGAGTAGGCCACTCCAGTCATCGAAGCACCCAGTAAGGACTCTATTGCACTCTGCAGCAAGTCAGAAAATACAAAGAGAAGGTCTCATGTTCAGTTAAGTATTCAAATCTCTATCATGTATGTACAGTACTTGTCTGAGTTTAGATAAGTGTCTTTGTGTGTTTGTTCTCTCACAATGCGCCCCTCTGTCGCCTCCCCCAGCAGCCCTCCAAATGTGATGACGGGAGACATGCAGGCACAGTAGAGGAAGAGGAAAGAGGCTATGCACTGAAGACTCATACCGTCCTTAAAGTCACTCAGATAGTAAGGAGCTTTCCTTTTGATGTCCAATATCAGACCACCAAACAACCTGATATCAGAAACAAGAAGAAAAAAAAGAAGACAAAGGTGATGAAGTGCTTAACGTAAGTCACATTTAGCAAAGTGAATGAAATTATTTGCATTGACAATGGAATGGTTTGACATTTGGGAAACATACACATTCCCTTGTGTAACATAAAACTGTGATTAATGGCTCAGCCGAAGTTTTAGGTTTGGAAAACTCACCGCTAGGCTTAAGCCACAAAATCTGTACACAGGGAAGTAGTATCAGTTTTTTAAGTTACTTTCAACTGGGTGAGTTATTTACATATAACCTCTTTACTGGGAAAGCTTGTTAATAATTGACCCTTTGCTATCAGAGACTATCTTTCACTTTAGAATATAAAATTATTAACTTTATAGAAGCAAAAAACAACAACAACAACAAAAAATAAATAAATAAATAGAATACAATAACTTAGATGAAAGTTACCAAACTCCCTTTGGTTTGGAAAACTAACCAATGTCACATAATCAGGCAAGTGTCAACATGACATTTTAAGGTAACTGTTTAAGGAGAGAGGTATTTCAAAGCCTAAAGGTGTTTTATTATGTTTTTCCCCTGTTTAGACCTCTTTACACATTTACAGACTGTATCAGTGGACTCTATTTGACTCCTCCTGTCTTTTCCACTGGTCATAGCTATATTGACTTTGGGAAGTCATGTCATTCTTAGTTTTCTCTACACCCTTGGCCTCTGCAAAGTTCTTGACTACCAGAGTATGCCAACACACCTGTTGGGCATGCACGGCTGGTTAAAGCTTTCAAGTCCATTTCATCTCTTAGAGGAACCAAAACCCCTCTGATGTGTTTTTCTATTGATAATATTATGAAGTGATTAATATCACTGCACTGGAATAAGAAGCTACACAACTAGATTCCTGCAAGTACTAGATTCTGCAATTAAGAATGTTATCCTACATGTTCATGATTCAGGCTGTCGCTCTCGGTCATTGTGTTTGCCACTTGATCCTCACACCTCGATTTCACAAGAATCTAAATTTAGAGTTTGTGGCCTGGGCAGCTGTCAGACATGGCAAAGAGTGTCAAGCCCATCATCAGGCCCTCACACATCCCTACATGTTAAATCAAATCTTTCCACGGGTTGTCTTTCATGGCACCACATGAGTGTAATGTCCCCCTAAAATCCTAAAATGGGCTCAGTAATTATCATGGTTATGGAGAATCTCTGACACATATAAGCTGGGCGAACAGAACATCAGTAACAGGGCACCTTCCAGTCCTCTGTAGTTCTGGCCCATGGTGTTCAGCATGTAGTTCCTCCTCCACCTGATAGGCAGTGCCATTAGGGACTCCTGGCATTTTCCTTTTCTCCTGCAGATATCCAGGAACAGTCCAGGATCAAACAGGGATCAAAATCTCCCTCAAAATTTAACATAATTATTGCTCTGATATCTTGCAAGAATAAAAACCTGAAGTGTATCCATTTTCATTCTCGCTGCGTACCTGAGAGGGGACGCTCTTTGGAGGCTCGATGCGAATGGAAGGGTCCCACTCTCCAGGTGGTAGCACAGTCACTTGATCCAAGAACTCGTCTATCCCGGCCAGCAGGTCACTTCTGTCCTTTGCCTTGTACGCAACATCATGAAAGATCTGATCCACACAAAAGTGAAGGACAGGAAAAATGAACGGCCTTCCTTTGCAAGAGCAGACATTTGAGTAGTAAGCAGATTTTGGCTGAAAGATCATTCTTACTTCATCTGTCATGATGGTTGCCATTGAGCGTCCAATTTCATGGTATTGCTGAGCTTTTCCATCAGGACCCAGGAGAATGAATAGGAACCTTACATACACATGACAGCAGAGGATTTAGTAAATGAAACATCCAGAATAAATGGACTTTGATTTTTAATTTTTAGACATTATTTTTGAATCAGCAACACAGAGCTCATCATCTACCGAGTAGGAATGGGGACTTCAGTGAGTCCAGTGAGCAGCACAGCTGGCGAGAGGCGGACAAACGCCACTATGGGTCTCTCCAGGAAGTCCAATTCTCCCACCAAGACATTGGAGGCCTCTGCACCCTCTGGGATCTTCTTCATAAAGTGCATGTCCACCTACTCAGACAAGGAACAAGTTGATATCAGTCGTGAAGGCTTTAGAGAATATCTCAATCTTTCTCAATCTAATCAAATGTAAAGCGAGCTGTGGACAAGTGAAATCTAGTACCAAGGGAATTGTACCAGCATTCTTATGACCCTCTGACTATGTACTCAAAATCACAGTTGCATTTATTGGCTAAACGTGTGTCCTATATAACTGTGGCGAGACATTAGTGATGCTGCCTTTAATCTGCTCAGATGCAGTTCTACCATTGTTTCCTGGGGGGCACTATTTGACCTATTGGATGTTGTTGACAGCTCACCAATCATTGATTACAGATCCATGCAAAACAAGGTACATATAAAGATTTTTTTATATCCGTCACTCATTTATCGTCTACTAACCCATGGTCTGTTGGGTTTTTCCAAACATATGCCAATCTAAGCGTACTCTCTAAAAAAACCTGTATATATTGATGAGAAAATTTTTCTGCCACCCCTGGTTTACCTTGCTGAGGTCCACCTGTGCGCTGTCCAGTCCACCACCATTTTTAGCTGGTTCTGTGGCTGGTGGAGGTTGAGGGGACGTGGCTGATCCTGCTCAACAATGAGGGTTTGAGACAGAGTCAGAGTAAGTACATTATGTCATATAAATTTGTAAAATGAAAAGATTAACACCCTGGAAAGTAGACATGCTAATAAGCAGATGTTTCACTTATTTACAATCATCAGTGGATGATTTAATGTCTGATTTTGCTTTTGTCTGCCGTTTATAAAGAAGTGTTTTTCTGCCTTTATTGTTCGGCCAAAGCTCATCGTTCCACATGAGTCAGCAGCACAAACCCACCCGTCAGGTGTGTCTCTGACTGTTTGCGTGTTCCCTCTGTGATGGAGCGCACAATGGGGATCAGGTTTTTCTTCTTCTCATTCTGGTGGTGGTGTCTTTTCAGAAGAGCCTCACGCACTTTCTGCCGCACGCTGTCGTCCAGCTCATGAGACGCCTCCTGATGGTCCAGCACCATGTCTGCAGGACACATAAAAAAAATGACACATACATATAGCGACAATATACACTGTGAAATATGAGCATCTCGTTAGACACCTGTCAATATGTGAAGGCATGGTGCTGAATGGACAGTGAATGTTGGGAGCGGGAGGTCAATATGTGTCAGACATGTGTGGTCATGTGGGATCGCAGAGAATAATCAGCATCTCTCCATCCCTCTCCTTTCTGTACTTGCTGAGTCAGGACTGAATCTTTTCTTCCCTTCTGTCCTTTTCTGCCACAGTCAATCAACCCACTACACACACACGCATGCACGCATGAAAATTCACACGAACGAAGCTAAAATTATATCAAACTCACAAATGGAGAGTCGAGCTGCTACTCTCAAATTACTGTCCTCCTCCAGCTGGTCTCAGATTATCAGTAGCTCATATGACAGGATAGATTCAGTTATTTCATGTTCATGGTACCAGTGTATCCAGTGTCTGTTATTGCTATTCCAGTTGCAATTCGCAGTTAGCGGTACTTTTTATCAAGATATACATTCAAACTACATGAAAAAAAGAGAGATCAGTAAAAATGCCAGACTTTTTAAAATCAGTCTTGTGAGTTGGAGGGCCCTCTTAATTATTCCTGTATAAGATTAAATGTTTTTCAAATACCCTCTCTGGTGCACTTTCGGTAAAAAACATGTGAAAAGGCCATTAAGGTGCCTTCTTTGTGGCATCATAAACATGATTAAGCGCCCTTTAAAGGCCTCGTGGTGTATAAAACATTAAAGTACCCTCTGAGATGCCCTGGCAATAATAAAACATGAGGAAGCGCCTAATTAGAGCATTATTGGTGTTTGATTTTTATGCAAGGTTTGAGTTAAGTTTCATGCTCTAAAAAGTCTTTTTTTCTTAATCATGTGTGTGGGTAACATTAACATACTCACTTTCAAAATGACGATGTAAACAATAACAGAATAAATCTTCCAGGATGCGAGGTAATGTAGGAAGTAGCATTCTCTTTTTAGCTGTGTATTAATAATTCTGGTCTTTTATCTACGTAATTAAGTTTCTTCCACAGGCAGTTCAACAAATAATCAACAACACACAGGAAATTAAATGTTAGAGTAATCAGAGACCCCCTCCTAATTACTCGTGCCTCACCGCGTTTAACTGAACTCTACACCGTGAGTATCTGGAGTCTGAAAATTTATACCGTTTTGTAAAATGCCCAGTTTGACTCTTTAAGATTTCACTGGCCAACCGTTGTTTTTGTCATTATTTTTTTTTTCAATACAAAGATCCACGGTGGGTGGTATGTCTGACTTCTGTCTGAATTCTGGAGATCAAGCCTAATAGCAGACTCCAGTCTTTTCTGTGTTTCAGCTAAGATGTTTTATCTGAGTACTGCTGATAGCTGTAGAGACTACAGAAATGATATTTTTGAAGCAAACTTAATGAAAAAAAATGTCCTAACATGCTGCAAGGGCTCAGTGTGAAGCTCTCCCAAAAATAAGTAAGCGAATAATTTAAGAAGTCTTTCGCTTCCACCATCTTGGCTCCTGTTTTAATTGCAGGTACAGCTGGCAGGATTCAAGATGGAGAAGAAGAGAGAAGTGGAGAAGAGGAGAGGAGGATTGGCCGCAGGCAACAAGGCTGTTCAGGTTGTTATCCTGTCACAACCTGACCATGGGAAACGGTGACTGACAGAAAGCATTGAGCTTATTTTTATACCAATCTATATGTGGCTGAACTGCAAAAGTACTGCAGTTCTGTGCATTTTACATCTGCACTTGAACATGGATCATGTAATTACCCATGCAGCTTTATTCAGACATTCATTGCCATGCACCGTGAAGGAAAGCAATGAGTTTTTACCTGCCTGCAAATTCACGACACATGGTTCATTGTGTATGCAAATGAAATTTAACGTGTCATGGCTTCTTCTGATTATAGATTATGATGCAAATGAGGGTCAATCAAAGTTCAACTATAAAAGTCAAGTAAAAATACAAAACTGTTCAGCTTTATGCCACATAGCTCCTGCATCCACTGATCCACTTTGAGTTCGGTGTAGCACCTGTAAGTTTGATGGGTGTCTAAGTTATTTTAAATCACTGTAGACTTTCTGTCACTGACAACTTGAGTCTGTGTTTTTATATTTTTCCTGCACCCACCACAATGATGACACTCCCCTGAGGCCTGTACAGTGTCTGTGTGTGTGTGTGTGTGTGTGTGTGTGTGTGTGTGTCATCTCTAAGAATAAATCACATTGTAGCACACAGCCTAGCATCTCAGCTGTCATATGGAGCCTGTTTTATGTCAGTGACTGTAATATCTTCTCAAGGACATGCTCAAGATACGACTAAAGACTGCAGAGGGGAAAAGGTAGGAAAACAAGGAGCTCAGTTGTATATTCTGTCAAATAAGAGATAGAACGATGACTGTCATATTATAAAACAGATTTCCTGTCATTGATTAAAAGTTAAAGACGATAGCCTTTTGTAGTCTGAGGATAGATAATGTTTAGCTCCAGAAATGCTCACCTGCGATCTCCTCGATGCAGTCAGCGTGCATATCCAGCAACACACTGCCGTTGATAATGCAGCTGCGGAGCTCAAACAAGCTGTGGAGGGAGAGAGTTGCCACATATGGCTTGCTCCATCTCTCCCCGCCATCTTCCACATCTTCCTCAAACTTTAGCCACCTGCAAGTTAAAGACAGACCAGAAACCAGGGCCAGGGTTTATCAAAGTTTTATAGGATTTACTTAAACTCATTTGTGTGTGCAGCTGGAACAGATTTTCTTTTACCATCCTTAAACCTCAGAGAGCCACTCAGCTCTCTTAAACTGGTAAAGAGTGAATCTAAATGACTTCAGTACAGACACAGAGATATCACCTTTTGACAAATATCCCACAAATGTCTCTGACAAGAAATATCCACAGTCATGAGAGATTAAAAACTATATTCAGTGTTTTTTGTGTTTTTAAATAATTATTTGACTTTTTTAGTTTTCAGCGACTTGTCTACAAATGTATTTCTCTTAACATACAGGAGTTCATTTAACTTATTTTCTTTTTACTTTTTATTTCTCAATGTCTTATATATTTCAAGATCTACAAAACCCAAATTCTAGCACTTGATTGTTTTTTTAAATTTTGTTTTAGCTTCAGAATTTGTTATTTAAGCACAGTAACAGGAATATCCAGCAGTAGACAGGGTCTTGAGGGAAAGGGGGTGTTTGCAATGTGTTTCCTTTGTATCTTGTGCTCTTTCAAGAGCTGCACTGTATTAATTTGTATAAAACTAATAAAAATATTGTTGAGTAAAAATATATATACATGTTTTTTCTACTCCTGACTATAAGTAGGGCTTTGTTGCTCAATAAATATACAACTTTTTGACACTTGAAAATACTTATTTTTCTTAAAGTAGCTCTTGGGAGCATTTTTATGTCACTCAAAGTGTAACAAAGGTCGAGCTCGGTGCTAAAGGGTCTAGCTTGCCTTTTTTAACACTGTAGTTTACATGCAATTTTGTCTCAGTGCATTTTGATGTAATATCTACAGCACAATAAAAGAATCTGACAGCAGCTTTTGGAATTCAGATCGGGCAGGCAGGATTATTTTTCCCCCTGTGGAGTCTTTTGATTTCAGTAAACTGACCAAAAAATGATCCACTAAGCTGTAAGAGTAACCACTGCCTGTAAACGTCCCTATTCCAAGCAGTATAGCTGTAGAGCTGCCAGGCTGTCAGAGGCTTTATTGCCAAGCATTGCTGCAAACGACTCCCAGTGGAGGTCCTGACCTGGCTGTTTCCTTCCACTCAGCATCCTTGCCATCCTTCACACAGATCTCATCCAGCTCAGTGAACAGCTCGTGGGCCACATGTTCAGCATCCTCCTCTGTGCCCAGAATGAACTGGACCCGCTGGGACGGTGTGTCTGATGAAGTGAGAGGATGTGAGGGATGAATGAGAGTTAAACTGAAGTGAGGTAAAGAAGTGCACACAACATCACACACATCTACCGAAATATCTACCAAAGTATATACCGGAGTAACAGACACGCAACATGCTGACTAGTCCCTGCTTGTTGGCAGCTAATTATCAGGCTTGTCAATTTTAGCCTGGAGTGCTGTGTGTGTGTCTATGCAAGTATGTGAAGAGCCCACAGTATTGATGAACTCTGTTAACAACCTCTGAACCCTCCACCGGGAGCTGAATTTTCAACACTGAGCAAAACAATCCCTTTTTATTTTTCCTGGTCTTTCTCACTCTCTGACTTCGAAGACACTTTGTGGAAAGGTTCATCCTATGGAGAGTGTTTCTGTGTTACCATGACTGGAGGTGGTTGTCTCGGTTCCCTCGCTTTGTTGTGTTGCGATGCTTCCAGCCCGCCTGTCTCGCTTGCGGTGGCGAGAGCTGTGGGCCTTGTGGTGACGGTGGCTCTGCCTGGGCATCCGAACCCCCACAAACAGAGTCCTGTGGCCTGAAAGAGGACACAAAAGAGGTGTTATTTTCATAAATATAAATTGTGCAATTATTCACTGTAAACAGCAGATAACAGCCTTTTATTGTCTCGGCACTCTTGATATTTCTACTCTTTATGATAAGGTCTGTTTTTTATTATGTGTGTCTTAAGTTTGCTCCATTGATTTAAGTTTTTTCTTATCATTATATATACTTGTCAAAGCTGACACACACTGTAAATCTTATTCATCATAAATACACAACAGCCATGTTCCTCTAACACAATCTTCAAGGTGAAATTCTTGTGTGTTTGGTTTACAAACTGTGACATGTGCAGTAAATTAAAGTGGATGCAATAAGGCTGAAACTCTGATGTTTGCCAGGAAATGTTTTATTGCTAAAATTAGCAGTTTTTAAATTGCAGCTTTAGTGTCTTTTAATTTGTTGTTTCGATCCCAACATTAAGAGGAATATGAGCCGCCCACCCTGGGTGCAAAGTCAGGTGGACATGTCCATTTATTTAATCATGATATATGCAAACAAGCAGCATACTGACCTAAATATAAGATGCCCCCCTGTCAAGATGAGTCTAATCTTTCAAGACGTTTGACAGAAAAGACTTCTAAAACCAAATCTTGCTTTAATGCAGAAAACTATTTTACTTTAATAATAAAACCTGATGCATTTATACAAAACATGGTAAGTTAAATGAAATTTTTCCAGTTAAAGTGTTTTGGAAACGGGCTCAGATGAACAGTGTTGCCTCTCTTAACATGAACAAAAGCAAGTGAGACCATCAACAAACAGACCGTCTCTTGCTATATTGTACATTTTTCTGCCTGTAACTTCTGTGAAGGGTCAGGTTAGCCGCTTCACTGTAAAAAGACAACAGGAAGAGATTTATTTGTCAGTTAAAAACACTTGAACAGGGTAAAAAAGATGCCAGCTTTGATGTAAGGGCTACTACTTTATTCACTACGAGGCTGTTAGGGTGACGTCCTTTTTGACCTGGACATGTATTCTTTTTCGAGCTGTCCGGGTTTGTCTGGGTTTGTCCGAGGAAGTTTATAAAATCCTTCAAATTTCAGCAGTTTTGTACTTTAGTTTCGATTTTGAGTCATGTGGACTTACTGAGTTAGAAGCGCGTAAAAGACACTTGATCCAAACTGATAAACTCTCAAAATTAACCGTGCGACTCTGTGATGCCTCCTCCACGTAGTTATGTCCTCTTTTTAGGAAGTCAGAATGTGGTCATGGTAGCTTAAATTAACACAGACAGGAAGTTCCCCACAGGAGCTTTAAGTAAAATGGCTTCTCATTCCACCTTCGCAGGTCAGCTTATTGTAGATACAGCCTCTGATTGGTCGATATACTGAAAATGGCAGCCATCATTCAGCTGCTAACCCTTACTCATTAAATTTATACATAAATCATCACAGACTATCTTCATTTTTGATTTTTTTTTTGGACCTAACAGTCCCTGAAAACGCAGTAATCTTCTCGATGGATTGGAAAAAACTTTGAATGTTGCAGAAACCACCTTAAAAGCTACCCCTGGTCTCTTGAAGTGGGTGCATTTTACACTGCCATTGCTACTCAGTACAATTCTGTTTTTTAAGCTGAAATTGTAAACCACTAACATGTCTATATGATGGCCTAGACCCCCTAAATGACTAAACTCTGCGTATAAGATGACTACACTTTTTTCAGATGTATTTCAGCTGTAAGTTATTTTCTAGGATTCATATTTCCCTGGCTCAGATGCAAGCTGCAGTTATGAAGGCTGTTGCCAACACAGTTGGCACAAAGAACATTATTGGAGGGGGAAAAATGAAGCTCTGCAATGCAAAAAGGAAACTAAGTAACAGCAAACAGCAGACAGACGGACATTAACCTGTCTCCACAGTTTTAAGTTTTTTATATTGTCAATGGTTTGATATTATGGCATTATGTTTACCATGAAACACAATAATACTAATACATTTTATTTATAACATGCTTTACACTAAACACAATTTAAAATACAGAAAATTTGGAGTAATAGACCAACAGTGTGAAAGGTTAAAAAAGACATTCGATGAAAAGACAAACTGCCTTAAACATGGAGTTTAAGGCAGTTTAGGTGAGAATAAAGAACCAAACAAAGAAAAATGACAGCAAACATTTACAGCAAACAATTACTCCTCATAATCTGAAGTTTAACAATGGATGTGAAACGTAAATGACAGATTTGGAACAAATTTTTCCACTTGTGCTTGTTACCCACCTTCTAGTTCTTCCTTCTCATAGTGGATGTTCAGCACTGAGCTTGTCCCTCCCTGGTCCACTACCACCTCCTCATCTGGCCTCTAATGGACACACACAAAAGAGTATGACATACAGAGTATTCAATGGCAGTGTGTTTAAAAGGCTTAATTCTCTGCTAGATTTAAAAAAAAAAAAGTGAAAAGTTGAACTTTCTAGTCCACCTTCAGGTTTCAAGATAACTTAAAAGGTCAGTGTGTGCAGAGGTGTTCTTTGAGACCAACAAATGATGCTATAACAAAGCCACTAATTGGCCAAACTGGCAAGAACTTTCAGCAGTGAGCATCAAATTCCAGACAGGCTATTCTCAGACCGTCTGACACGCGCACACACACACCCATACAGGACGGATGCACACATCCAGTTGACACACACACATGAGCCAGAGGTGAACAAAGTCAATTGGAGAATGTGGTCAGCTCTACTATCGAGGGGAAATCAAATCAAATTAGCAGAGTGCCACAACCCTCCGCAGTGCTGCTGCTGCTGCTGGCAGATTGCTGCAGGATAGTGTTGTGTTTTACCAACACGATGACCGGGCTTTCTCAGAAACAGGGCTGTTTGCACAAGCGTAGGATGAGTGTAATCTGTGGACATGCATTCCTCCTGTAATAAGGAGGTCAGAGTGCTGTGGGAACTTTAAGTGCCACTTCAGTGTCTGATTTTAGGATCTCTTTTAATCCCTTGCACATATGGATGCAACAGGCAGGAAATTTTTGAATTCCCATAGGCGACTGCTTCAAAATAATCCTTGAAAATGATCTAACCCCGGTATTTATGGAAAGAGATGTAACATATGGCATATTTGGGGAATTGAGTGAATGTGAGCACAACATGCAAAAGCTGTTACAAATCAATAGTTAAAATCTATAACTAAATGCAAGTGCTTGGGGGACAACATGCTTATACACACAGACACACAATGGTACACATTTGCAGTTCTATACATGACCGATTTTTCTGTCCGCTCGATATAAAGTCACGAACTGTATGTAACTTTATATTAATGAAGGTGGTGAGAGCAGATTTTGCTTGGTGTTTTTAATATTGTTCAACTTTATGTAACCAGATAATAACCCTTGAGAAAAATAAATATAGCATGGAAAAGAGACAGATTTCAGACAGTGAGTTAAAAATAACAAATGAAAAGGTTGTGCAGTAGCTGTTAGATAGATAGAGTAAAAAGCTTCAAGTGTGATGATACCTGAAAGTTTCCATCACTTTAAAGAACTCTATGCAGAAAAACTGAGCAGTCTTTTGCTCATCTCTGTGTGAACATGAGTCACTGGCTAAACCCACAGGATCCGGAACGGGTCAGATCCGCAAGCCTACAGCGCCCACCGAATCCGATCCGCTCGCGAATCAGAAGCGCTCGCGAGATATGCGATATTTCTCACGAGACTGGACGAGATCTCACGAGCTCTTGCGTGTGTCCCCGGGAGTCATAGAATAAGATCCGCCGGTTGGTGTATATAAACAGCGGTGTAAATTAACACCCACATCCCGCAACCCTGGCCTCTCCCATTATCAAGTTAAGAACAGTTTAACTTATTGACTTTATTTTATTTTGAAAATTAACCGGATATTTTACTCTATAACTGCATAAAACTTCTGCTGCTGCTCATGCTGCGCTGCACTGAATTGATGCACCGCGCTCCGGCATCCATCAAAAATAGAAGCCTTGCGTATCTGATCTGACCGCCGGACGGATTCTGTGGAATGACTCACATTGGCTGTGTCCAAAATGGATCTCTAACCCCTATATAGGCGACTATATGGGGGTTATCGCCATTCTGAGGGGTGTCAGAAACCTGAGTGATCATTTCCAATGCCTTATATAGGCGACTCAAAATTTCCCATAGGGCATTGCAAAATGTTGTGATCATCGAATGGTCACTCACAGGTGGTGGAAATCCTGTCATGCATTGCATCTGCAGCAGCAATTCAAAGATGGAGGTGCACCATGTAGTGTCGTAAACCTCCAGTGATTGAGCTCACTACATAGTCAGCTATATAGTGAAGGCCCATATGGGGGTGAGGGGTTTGGGGATCGATCGAGTGATTCATTTCAGACACAGCCATTGATTAAAATGCTTGCGGAGCCATTCCAGACCCTGTGGGTTTTGCCCGACAGGGTTTGCCTGTTAGACCTGCTGAACATTAAAATTGCGGTGTGGGTTTAGCAAGTGTGGATTTAGCCAGTAATGTAGTAATATTTCCAATTCATTAACAAAAATAGCTCAAGGGATGGAAAGCTGGGATGACCATTTTAGAGGGGGGATGATTTTTCCCATTTTCATTTCTCATTTCCCCTCATCTCGAGTACTGGTCCTAACACTGAACCTTATGGCACACCCAAACTAGGGCATAGCTTGTTTTGATATGTCAATATGATGGAGGACATTAATCAGTAAACTGTGGCCTACTGTGTCAAAGGCCTTTGATGGGTCAATGAAAACAGCAATACGGTATTTTTTATGCTTCAGAACATAATTTAAAGAGGAGCTCTAAGAGCTCGGTGTTGCTTTCTAAAACTAGACTGATATGTAATGAATGAGAATCAGAAAACATCTGCTCTTTAAACTGATGAATGGTGAAGGGTATTGAACATCTCCAAAACTTAATCAGTCTTGGAATAAATAAAAATAAAAATAAACAGATGTAGTCAAACCACACAGAAGAGAAGTGCATAAGACAGATTTTGTTGGTAGCAAAATCCAAAGCAGAGCTGAGGTAATCAAGTTAGTTGATTAATAATCTGATGAAATTATCCCTCCTTGATTGAACTAAGCCCCTGTGCAAAACCTGCAGACCCCTAATCAGAACAATTAGATAAGATAATCATCTCAATGCTGAGCAGAGTATGCCTGTTAGAATAGCTTAGAAGCTGTACAAGTGAAGTATGTTTATGTATGTTCAAGAGAAAGATGTTTAATGATGTGCCTGCTTGTCAGGGAAGAAACAGAAGATTTACAGTCTCTGTCAGTTTTTTTTTCTCTGTATCAGGTCGGTCTAGTTTCTAGTGAGAAGAAAATGCAGCATGCACAGCAGCTCATGCTGCAACAGGATGAACAGAGAAGCAAAAATAATTGTGATTTATCTTCCTGAAGTGTGACCAGAAGAGCTGAGAGATTGTTTTAGTGGGGTGGAATTGAACATGTCAAAGTTGCCTGTAAGAGTAGGATCTGTCTTTTACTTTGGCATAAAAAACATCACTCTGAGCTGTTTCATTTTAGGGGTATGCCCTGTTCATGACAGTTATTCACACTAAATTTGCTCCCTCTGTGTGTGTACAATTGAGTGTATTTCTGTAAGATGTGTTGGAGCATTGAGGCAGTGATTTTTCCCAGGTCTCCTGGGGTTTGGCTGTTAAGATACCATGCACAGTTAATTCACAAAAAAGGAGACACGCTGGTTTATGCCTAAAGTAATGAAATGTTTAAAAAAATGGGGGATAGAGCTGCTTGTGTGTGTGTGGGTTTTATCTACATCTCTGACTGTACTTCTCAGATTTTGGTCCTTCAGATGTTTTTTATCCTCTCTCTCATTGCTTTCGCCTCCTCATGGTGCTAAAAAAGCAAAAGCTAAGTACATTAAAAAGAGACTGTGATAAGAGAAAACTGCTAAACATGTAGAGCACACAGATGAATGTCTTACCTTATTGAAAGCAAGAATCTAAATCCGACTCCAGAGAAGTGTCTTGTTTTATTTTTAAACCAATTGCTCTAATATCGGTGCACACTTTAATGTGATTCTTAACAGCTTTGTGATTCCCCCAGATGTCTGCTTATTCACAGGTGTGTGTGTGTGCATGCGTGCGTGCGTGCGTTCGTGTGTGTGTGTGTGGCCTGACACTGCCTCCTCTTACACCTGCTCCTCCCTATCAGAGCTGTGGGATCTTTCATTTTCCATGACTGAGCACTTTTCTGTCCCAAGACGATTCTGCTGTCTTTGAGAATAAGGCTGTTCAATTAGGAAGTCATGCTTGGGCCAAACACTGGATGTGACTCATGGTTGTATAATGATATTTATGCAGCTAAAATATGTGTGGAGACAGAAGAAAAAGCTTGCACCTTTATGTAGATTTACATATGTAGTCTCTGGCCTGGTGGTCTCAGCGGTCACCACAACCTTTTGCTGCGCATCTTCCTTTCCTCTCTACTCCTCCTTCTTCTCTTCACTTGTTCTACATATTAAAAAGCAAAAAATGCTCAAGAAAAAAATCTCTTTTCTAAGTCGTAGTATGTATGAGAAAGATTCTGAAAGCAGCATTTTTTCAATCTTTCACAAACAGTAAATTAGTACTTGTCCTGAGTAAAGGCTGAATCTTAAAAGTGATTCGTTAAAACTGTCTTTACATCTTGAATTTTACTCAGATTGACTCAAAAGTCACGATAAGTTTGAATGAAGTTTCATATGTTTTAGTTGTAAAAGAGTTCATTAGAGCTGGCCAATGAAAAGTTTCATCCATACAAGCTCAGTTGCTCATAAACATGAAAAAGAAATGTTGTTTTATTTAGAATATGGGTTGCAGAGCTCATCCTAAAAGTGTGGATAATGGATTCTGTGCCCACTTAAGACCTGTAGCTCAGAAAAAGAGTCGATGCTTTACACTCAGAGAGACTGAGATGATTTGACATTGAGGACAGAGGAAAAGAGTTTGGCAAGATTTAGGACCCTTGTTCAGTGTAAGCCATTCTGCTGTGTGAAGTCGTTCTTGTTTTTGTTGTCTTTTTCTTCCTCGTGTTCATGAGAGGCTGCTTTGTTCTTCTTTTAAAATGTGGATGTGGCTTTTGACATCAGGGGCTTCAAATGTGCTTTTTCATTTCTTTTTTGGATGAGATGGCATGAGATGGCTCTGTTACAATTTTTGTCTTGTCTTTTTTGTCCTTCTTTCAGAAAAATCAATGAATGTATTAGACAAAGAAAAAAGTCTTATTTTAAAATGTCTTTTTTTCTATGTGGGTTGGGTTAAGGGTTTTTCTTTTTTTACCTAAATGAGTTAGGACAACTGAAGAGAGACAGGAAATGTCATGCAGCATATGGTCAAGGCTGGGAGTCAGAACCGTGACCCTTGTGACAAGGACTATCACCCTACATGCACTTCAACCACTTGGCCTCACTAGCACCTTGACCTGCCTTTCTTTTAACAGACGTATCGATAGTTGTGTCATCAAAAGTTATTTTTCTAGGTGCTGCAGGATGATTACAAGCATTAAAAATAACTCAGTTAAAAAGGATCTTTCATGTCTCTGGTGGCCTTGTTTGCTTTTGTGGGTTATGTAAAAGTATCTGTGTTGATTTCAGTCTTTCACAGCAACTAAAAACTTGTCAAAGGAGCTTTAATTATGACTGATGTTTGAGCCAAAAATTGTCTGTTTACTTGTAGATCGTATCCAGTGTGTGTGTGTCCAGCTGTGACTCTCTCACACTCACAAAGACAGCTATCTCAGAGACTGAATCAGTTTTCTCCCGCTGGCATCATTAAATAAACCAATAACAGAAATAAAGCAAACAATCCTGTGAATATATGCATCCTCTGTCTCAATCTGGATCTCATTCCCTCACTCACATGCACACACAGAGTCATGGTGTTATCAGTAAGTGCAGCTGCGGCAGTGTGTGGGACTAGTGCTCCGGCTAGAGGCTGTGAGCTTCATTAGAGCTGGAGCTCTACCAAACACAGATGCACATGAGAGGGAGTGGATAAGAGAGAGAGAGAGAGAGAGAGAGGGACTAAAAGCTCTTTGCTCCAGAATAGACGGTACACCATCAGATCATCAATTAGCAAGAATCCATTTGGTCCACACACACACACACAGACACTAATACTGACAGAAAAAGAGAAAAATCATTATCCTGAGGCTCAGTCAATAGTTGTAATTGCGACTACTGGATAACGTGGTGCTTCAGCAAACAATATGACAAAAGAAAAACCTTCTTTCACGTTGTCCTCTGTGTGCAGGATAATACGACACTGCTGTATGTCCTTGTGATAGCGCCATATGACTCAGAGCCTGTGGCCATCTTGGTCACAGTTCACTAAGATCACCTTCTTAATGTGAAATTAATGCAAGTATGTGTTTTTTTTTCAACAGGTTAATGGCTCCTCGTCACTCCCTCGTGTCACATCAAGCTCCTCAGCTAATTAAAAGCTCACATGGCACTTCAAGTTTTGTTTGCTTGCTGCTCGCTCTGGGTGAGCACATCTGCGACCCTCAGAGTATGCACGTGTGTGTGATTTTCCACTGACATGGTGAATAATTTGTGTTTTTGGAGCCTATTTCTATCTCCTGGCAACCACCCCCCTTTTTTTCGTCGCTCTTGTCCTCTAGCTCTGTATCAGTCACAGCGCTCAGGAGAGTTTATGACTCAAAAATAATTTCCACACAGATTATGGCCTATGCACCATGCAAACGATCCACATAGTGGCTGCTTGTCCTTGAGTCTCTCTCCTTTAGAAACAAATCATTTGCTACCAGCTATGAGAAACAAACACTGGAGCTGCCTTGTGGCTGGATTTGAGAAATGAAGCCCCAAACAGGAGACACAGTTCTGAGAAAATACCAAGAAAAAATAAACATCACAACTCTCCTAAACTGAGTATTGCTTGGGCAGTACAGAACAGATAGTTTTGTGTCCTAGATTGCTCCAAACAAGAGAAAAGTTTCATCAAACTTTTTAACCCTCCTCATGTATTAGGGTCTGCAGCGACCCGATTTTTATTTTTTGCTTAAAAGAACCACTTAAATTAGCGTTTTTTGCATCAAGACTTTTTGACTTTGTCAGGAACCTCTATTTCAACAAAATAAAAAATAAATAAATAAATTGAGTAAATTATAAAATGCTCTTATTAAGATTACGGCACTTGCCATGTTAGGATCACTGTTGACCCAGTTAGAATAATATCTAATAATTAGAGCAAAAACTGAAATCATAAGTGAACTGTCAGGCACCACACTGACAGTCAGATCCTCTTCCAGTCATGTGAGATTTAGGAAATCATAATTTTGCCATGTTTTTCCCTGCACAAAAAACAACGTCGGACATGTCCAGGCATGTGAGATCAGTTCAGTATAAATGTCTGTGTGAGGGGTATACTGACAAAGAAAGGCCCAGAGGCCCACAACAAAAAATAATACAAGCAATGTTTTCATGGATAATGAAGCCTACCAAGGTAACCTAGAGATGAGACCAAACTGGATGATAGAGAAATGTTTTTAGTGTAATTTACAGCTGATTTAAGATAAGGGTCAAAACTGACCCTTAATATGGTGGGTGTGTAGTAAAAGCCAACACAGGAGGAAGGTTAAATTATTACAGGGTCTCTGCAGGTTTCAACAAGTCAAGTTTAAGACTTTTTAAAGATTGTAATAAATAAAGTTTGAGACCCATTTAACATCCAAACTGGAAAAATGTACAAAAGACATGAAGGGAAATCTGAACATTTTACATTACCTCAAATCGATCTTTATTTCTATGGCACGTTATTTATTTGTATTTTGTAAGAGGAGTTCATACATTCTAAGACCTTTCAAAATCATATTTAAGACATTTTATGAGCATTTAGTTGCTTTGGACAAAAGTGTACTAAATTAATTTCTTACTTAGTAAAATCTGTGTCGGTGCTCACTGACATAAACTACATAAGCTTTTTGACAATGACAAGACAATGACAGTGTTTATCTGCAACATGTGGCTGAATTGATCTGTATGTTAAGAAGATGACAGGGCCAATATGAACAAGATAAATTATTCAAGTGAGTAAAAACACCCCCAGTGTTTATCTGCTGATGTTACCTAACCATCTGTTGTTTCAATTTTAAAACCTGTTACTTTATCTTGTAATTTTAACAATTAGATACTGACGCTTTCTTGAATTTCGCCAGTGAAAACTATCTTTTGTGGGATTCATTTGTCACAGCTTCTCATGATGAAGACTTTGGGCATCCTAATCTAGTTTCTAGAATTTGAAACCACAATATAGTGAGATGTTACCACTTGACTATGTCTAATAGCTGAAAAAATACTCCATATATTTTCTGACAGAGCAGACTATCCCAAAAAGATGTCAGACTCCCAGAGCAGAACAAGCAAGCACACTGCAGCCTCACACAGTGTCCTACTTCAGATCCTAATCAAAATCCAACTGATGCAGAAATTGATTCCACTTCATGTTACGAAAAGTGCTGCTGATGAGTCTTTAAAAGTCTGATTTGGCAAAGAATAAGATTCCTACGTTTCCCAATTGTGGTTTTATGACTTTAAAACTTGTGAAACTTTTCATCCATCACTTGTAATCTGCATTTGAAGCTCTTTCTCAGTGTACCATGTCTCTCTTTTTGTTCATATCTGGACAAATCAAAATGACAAAAGAAGTAATCGAGTAAAACCTTACACATAGAGCAGGTTTATACTGTACAGTTTTTTTATTTTTTATTAATTTTTTTATTTATTTTATTTTATTTTATTTGCAGAGCCCAGTAAGCAATTTCTTGGCCACAGTGGCAAAGAAAACGTCAGGCAGGGCCAGATTCCTTTTTGGACAACCATTGCTGAGAATGGATGGGATAGATACAGACAGACAAACTGAAAGGAAAATGTGGGATTCAAATAATAAAAAGTAGATAAAGCATAAACTTACTATCCCAAAAAGAGTCATTAGAGTCTTATAATTTAAACTTCTTCAGAGTATTTTTGGCCACAGCATCAATCAAAGGCAGAGATTTTTTTATCACAGTTCATTACTGTGAAACACAATGTACCAATAATGCCCCTGAACAAATAGAGCAGCAGTGATTTTCCTGACTGAGAGAGGTAATCAATGTGCTGGGCCAAAATGCCCTTTCGCTCCATTAGGACCGTGAGGGAGCAGGGGTGACACGGACCCATTGAGCCAAGTTCAAAGAAGTGAGGCCTGCTGGGTAATATGAAGAGGTCAGAAATCCAATGGGATAACTAACAAGATCACAGGCACTGTTCAGTTTCTCAAATGAAAGATATAATAACTGTTGTGGGAGTAAATCTCTGCTGTTTGAAGGAGATGTTCAATCTGAACTCAATAACATCATCTGAATGCTGGATCGACTAAAGTGCATTCATGATTCAGCAGCACAGTGAGCTTTCAAGGCTTTTAATGCCTGTCTCTCCTGACTCCACTGACCTCTTTCTCTCTAACAAGATACTTGAACATTGCTCCAGAGACTTCTTTCGCTACTTTGCCTGATTGTCTTTCTCATCGGTCCTCTATTTTTATCCGACCATGCCAACAACACCCCCACTCCTCTTTCCTCGCAGACCACTCCCCCCTCCTCTTCCAACAGCACCCTGAACTGACAGCAGGGACACAGACCCTGACTCAGACAACTGGGCCTGTCACTTCCAGACCTGGCTTTGTGTCTGAGGTTGTTGTTACAGCCACAGGCTAACACTGCCGCTTCACAGTGTTGCATGACCATTTAACTGCTGCAGGAACACAGGGCAGAACTTCCTGCACAGAAGGGGTTAAACGAATGGTTGGATGAGGAAAGGTAATGAAAATAAGTGAGACAGGATAGAAGGAGATAGGATTAGAGGGACGACTGTTTTGACTGCTTCATCCCACGCTCGGCATGAGTCATACACACCTTATTTAGCTCGGCACATACAATTCTGCCTCCTAATGGTCCTTGCTCTCTAATTGTTTCATTTTAGAGAGGTGACAACAGCCTCGGTGGGTCTTGTGGGGGAAAGATAGAAAGGTTCGGAATAATTCCACAGGGAGAGTTTGGTATTTAACCTCCAATTATGTTTTAATTAACAGAACAAAAAAAGAAAAGAACATTCTGTTTATGAAAAAAAAACTTTGAAGACCTTGTCCACTCTTTTCAGTTTTTCCTTTTTGTGTTGAGTTCAAACCTCTATGGATATACTTCCCTCTAATGTGTCTGCTTTCAAACCAAATTAATCCCATTAAACAGAACCATTGGATATGCTGCAGCACTGTCATGGTTTTCAAATATGATGCAGTGTACTGTAAGATTTCAAATTGGAAGGATTTTGACATGTTTCATAGATGAAAAATGTTTGTTTTATATTGATATGTACGAAACAACAGTTACTTTTAAAAAGAGGTATTCATTCATTTGATACCATGGATCAGTCTCTCTAAATGGTCTCTGTAGCACCAAACTGATTAAAATGAAAGATTTGGAGGGATGCCAAAGAGTGACGCACGTAAATGAAGTGAATAAGGGAACATTGCAATCTAGTGTGGGGACTCAAAGCTGAGACAAATTTATGTTGTGGTTTTCTATGAATTAATACAAGAATAGATCTAGTGTTACTGTCAAAAAGCTTCAGCACAAGTGTCAGTGACACCATAAATCTGTAAATTGTAAATAACAGTGAATCTATAAATGCGGCTGTGTATCTGCAGAGTGGTGCAACTCGGGACTACAATTTACCAGTTTAAGTGTGTGTGTCTGTGGTGCATATCAATAACTGATAAACAGTCAGCTGGATATCTACAGACAATGTTCTTCAACTACCTTTGGACCTGCACTTAGGAGAACAGTAGGGTCATACAATTAAATTATAAGGGTCTAAGGAATTTGTTAATGGGAGAAATTAGTGAGAAGTATATTAAATGAAGGGAATAACTTCATGACTTTCAACAGTTACGAATACAACATTAAATGTAAATTGGTGTTAAACCTGTTAGGATTCGCTATATATGCTTCAATGTGGTGATCAATCGATGTCAATTCATACAGTAATGCCAGAGCTGAAAATTAGATGGCAGATCGGCTAATTAAAAGATACTGTATGTGATGTTGATTTCACGTTTTTTTTTTGTTTGTTTTGTTTTTTGCAATTGATTAAAAAAACCTTTTAAAATAACAACACTCATGATTCTATGTACATTCAAACCTAATAATTAAGTCAAGAAATAGTAGACTGCAGTGGGTTAAGTCATAGATTTGGTTTTTATGTCAGAGGCAAGACAAATTTGCTTTATTATTGTATTGTAATTTACGTATAGTAAAACTATCCATTGTGTTTTATTTTGATATACAGTCACAAGCCTTTAACAAATAAATAACATATCGAATAACAAATTAAAGCCAATGTGAGGCATTTTCGCTATTAATGAAACAGGCTGAAACTCAAACTGATGCATCTTGGAGACCTCCAAAAACAAACAAGAACATCAGAATTATGATTGAGGGTTCCTATACAGCTGTTGTAATGTCTTAATCAGCTGCTGAAAGTAGGTGTCAATTGAATGGATGAACTGCATCCTGCCTCATCAGCCTTGTTTAAATATTTTGCACTGAAAAGATTGCTGAGAAGTAATTTTAATTAGCAAATTTTTAGCAGAGTGGAATTCAGTAAAGTGTTGTTTTTAACATTATTAAATAGATTAAATGGATTAAACACTAACAGATGGTGTTACCATCATTGGTTCAGGTAGTTAGCTAGCACTCTGTTACTGAGATTTCTGCTGCTAAGTTGATTTTTCTATGTTGGGGGTTGAACCACAGCCCTGTCCCTTAAGGGGACTATAGCTGCCAGCCTTGTGTCTGTTCACTGAGATAAGGAGACCAGAGCAAAGAAAATCACTCTGTCTGCTCAGGTCTTATGTAACAAATCACATGCTACATGAGTTAGCATCACAACATTAATATACATGAGCAAGAAAAAAATAGCTTCAATTCTGAATCATATTGTGGCATACTGTGTGAAAAGTAATGAAAAGCTTGTCTATCATGGGAGACCATTTTTTTGGGAACTATTAAACCAAATACTAGCTCTGGACCAGGTCTTCACTTGGGTAGATTCTCCTCTATGCTAGCCAGGAAAGGTGTGGAAAGAGGGGCACACTGGTGTGGAAAATGATCTGTTTGGATGGATACTGTGATGATGCATTTATCCAATATAAATATTGCGAAGTGTTACTATAGAATCAGCTCTTATACTTAACTGAGCACCTGATAAGAACCTGACTACGTGGGCACTTGGCCCACTATAAAAAGCTGTAGGAGAGATATTAAAGTCCTTTATTGTACTCTTTTTTTCTGTAAAAGTAAAGTCAAAATTTCTTTGTGACAACTGCTGATAAGCAGACTCTCTATGTTTATTTTACTCCCTTTTAAACATGTGACAACTAACCCCAAAATGACTGAGACATGTTGCCCCAAACTACCATGTTTGCTAATTCTAGCTCTAGCTAAAAGTTCGCTTTAAACAGAACAATGACTGAGGTATGACAGGATGCCTTAATCTCTCCTCTAACAAGTCCGCATGTATCACTGCTAGGATTTTTATCTCGAAGAAGCTTATTTTAAAATATATAAAGATTTATTTTTTTACTTTGGGTTGTGCAAAATGGTTAATTGGTGCTCATCTCAGCTCACAATGTGCTCTTCTCTTCTCAGACAGGACATGATCCCTGATCATGTAAAGGAAGAAAACTAGTATTCCACTTTTCAGTTGTGCCCTCTGGTGGCAAAGATAATTGCCATGTGACAACTTGCCCATGTGACAACAAGCCCTGGTCTCCCCTAATTCCACTTTTAAGGTATTTCACTGCAATATTTGGCACTTTTAGTGAGAACAATGTCATCAACTTGTGGTATGACTATTTTTAGACTTTTCTTGTCTCGGGCAAATGATCTGAATATTTTTTCCAACTACTTTGGGCGAGAATGGCTCTGATTCCATGCAGAGTTCATGCTGATTGACCAGTATATCAGAAATGGTTCAAAGATGCACTTGCAAGTTTTCTGCCACGATATTAAACTGGCAATAGTTTTGAGAGTGAAGCTCCCAGGCAATTTCCCTTCCCTGCCTGAAAGCTGTCTAATCATATCAGAGACTTCCCAGCTCACCTCTGGTCCTTCTCCATCTGTCTGCTGCCCTGACATGTGATTATAATTTACCATGTTGGGGAATAAGCTATATTAAGTCCTTTTAGCTGTGATACTGCCTGCCATGGTAGCTGTATCAAACTAAACATTGCTGCAGCTTGAATAAGCGTCCCTGAACACTGGCATGTTCAATAGTCCATTTGTCCTTCCTGTTTCTTCCTGTGCCTCTGTCTCATCAGCTGACCTCGGATCAGGATAATGGATCACACATCAACTGGATAATAAGGATCATGCAATGTCCCCCACTTCAAACATCACTTGACCGCAGGCTGTCGTCCCCTTGCTGTGAGGTTGGGCTAAAAACGATTATGTATGGAAGTAGACACTCTTCACTGTATGCTGTAAGGATGGCGTCAAGGTCATTTGAGGGTAACTAAGAAAACAACACACCGTCTCAGCAGGAGCTGTGTTAAAACCCATTAAAACACGCGTTTTCTCTTGTCCCGTTCAAAGAGGACGAACAGTTTACATCTTAATAAGCGCTGTGTTTAAAATGCATCAATAGACTTTCTAATCGATAAACTGCTGCAATCCAACAGTGATGCTGCTGCCACGAGTTTTTCCAAAACAGTAAAGAGTCCAAATAACTCAGCTCTTAGCTATGTGATCCGCTCTCCGGAATTACTGCACGTGTTGGCACCTCAGAATAACAATGTCAACAGCATCCCCCGCATACAACATCACTCTGAAGGGCAGGAAACCCAGTATAATTTAAAATCCTGAGGGAAACATTGAGAAACCCATTAAAACACAAAATTGTGCAAAAAAAAATGGAAATGTACAAAGTCGCAGCAGGTTTGTAGCTGCATGCACCAGGAAATGCAACAAGACAGCATGCGTTAAATGGTTCCTATAGCGGCAATTTGCAGTGAATTTCTGTGATCGCAGAGTATCTCACAAACTGAGGGTAACAGTTGTTGGGGCTCATGTAGCCTACAGCTCGGTCTGTGCCATCCTATACTGTCAGAGCAACGCGACGTGCATGAAGACATTGAAAGGACACTTTACCTGGTAGCTCAGTATGCTTTCGGGGTCGTTGACGGGCATGTTGGTGGCCTCTGGGTTAACCTAGGTTCAGTGTCCCCCGGGGTGCAAAGGTAAGACTTTCTCGGCAGCTGATCAGTCTCTGGGCGCTTTGGTAGGACGTGTTGTACTGGAGGTCACACGCTGGCAATAGCAGCTACGTCTGTTTCTGCAGACATGTTAAGTGTAAATATCTCTTCCTGATGAGGAAAACGGCGAAATTGATCATATACCCCCCCTGTGTTGTGATGATTTCCCGGCCGACGATCCTACCACCCTCCCTCCTGCTCTGTCGGTGGGAGCAGGATGCAGAGCATCACTACAGTGTCAGCCAATCAGAGCAGAGAGGCGCACAACGGGCTGCGACGCACTGCTGCTACCCTACACAATAAAGCCAACACTATTATAGGCGTATGAAACAACGCTACTCTGTGCGCTGTGAACTTTGGTAGCTTCTTATTCTACGGCTTCTAGAAGGTGTTGGACCACTGTTCACAACAATTAGCCTACCTCTGATTTTCTCTATTTTACTCACTCATTCTGCTTTGAGGACCTACCCATGTAATAAACAATAAGGAGACTTCAAGTAAATTTAGGGGAGAGTGGGGTAAGATGAGCCATTTTTCATATTTTGGATCTCTACATCAAGGCAATCATAGTTTTGTCTCTAACTAGTGTATCTGCATATATTTCAAGATGTTGTGCACCCCTGCAAACCAACAGACTAATAATAAGAAGAACTTCATTAATCCCAGAAGGGAAATTCAATTGTCTGTTGTCTCACATAATATGTCTCTAAAAGTTATCTACTATTTACACAAGAGGTATAAAGTCTGATGGCTGTTGGTACAAAAGATCTTCTGAATCTTTCTGTCCTGCAGCAAAGAGAGAGGAGCCGTCCACCACCATTGGCCCTTCAGTCCATCAAGGTGTTGTAAAGTGGGTGATCCATGTTCTTAAGAATAGTCTCCACCTTCCTCAGTGTAGATCTCTCCACCACATCCTCCACTGAATCCATCTTGAGTCCTACCACAGAGCCAGCCTTTTTCACCAGTTTGTTAAGACGTCTTGCATTTTTGTGTTTGATGCTTCCTCCCCAGCAGACTGCAGCATAGAACAGAACACTTGCCACCACAGACTGATAAAACATCTGCAGCATCTTACTACAGATGTCTATTGATCGGAGTCTTCTCAGGCAAAAGAGGCGGTTCTGCCCCTTTCTGTAGACGAAGTCTATATTCTTAGACCAGTCCAACTTATTATCCAGATGTACACCTAGGTATTTGTATGATGTCACCACTTCAATGTCCACTCCACAGGTGTTCACTGGCTGAAGAGGGGGTTTGGATCTTTGGAAGTCCATCTCCTTTGTCTTTGAGGTGTTGAGGAGGAGGCAGTTAAATAAGTGTAAACACAACTGCCTTGATAATAAAGAATGTCAAAAAAGTGTTCTCCTATGGTTAACTAACCCCGCGTATGGGGTAAGTTAACCATAGGAGTGGGGTAAGTTGAGCTGTATCCCTACTACCTACCCCCTAAATATTTGGTCATATGATCCATTTCTTTTACCATTTCCAAGCAACAGGGGGTGGCTCAACTTATCCTTTGGCTCAACTTACCCCACTCTCCCCTATATCTAACAAATCGTTTTGGTTAAAGGAAGAAGGCTATACTTCGAATAACTGCATACAGGAGTCAACATAAAAACCCAAAATAGGCTACAAGTCTTTGTAGTAAGTCGCTGTCAAGAAAAAAAACAAGAACAGTGTAATTGTGAAGCTAATTTGATCCTATGACACTCAGTGGAAGTGATCAAAAAGCCAAGGATGCCCCCTTGTGGTGATGGAAAGCACATCATCCAAACGAAGGACCACAAAACTCGGATAGTTTCTGTACCACTGTCAATGGTCGCCTATATTTAGGCTACACAGTGGTTGAAAAAATGCGAATAAAGATCAGATTTCTCGGAGTTTTCCAGATGCTCCTTTGTCATTTACTGGATTTAATCCAACAGTTTCTCAGTATATTGACGTCCTGCTGCAGGCGATCTTATGCACGTCACTTTTGCGGGCAAAAGTCAAGCTGCAAGTAAAAATGCGAGATAAGGGATCAACTTTCTTCGGCTCATGGCTAGGGCAGATGGACATTTCATCGACCTGCAGGGCGTCCTGGTGTCCCCAAGGTGATATTGCCATGGCAAATATAAACATTGTATGGAAGCATGCACGGTTGTCATGGTAACCGTCCGGGCAGGAAGCAGAAAAAAGCGACTCTGAACAGTGGTCTGGCCAGGTTTGTTTACCATTATTCAACGCGATCTCTCTCTTTATTCCTACGTTATGTTTTGAGTGAGTTGTTTTCATTCATCTGTAACACCTCTCATTGATTATTTATTGAGTTGTCACTTGTGTGACTGTAGTTTCTGTAGTTTTCTTTGAGCGCCTAGGTATCTAGGTACGCTTGTAGGGGAAACCGGGGCTTATTGTCACACATTTTATACTCTTGTTTGTTTCTTGCAATCAATACATCTAAACAAAATGTGTACCAGATGAAAGACCAAAGTCTCAGGTATATATTTCGTATTCATGTCATTTTCATATCATGTATCAGTGCAGAGTTATAAGCAATCAAATAGAGAGTGTGAACATGTGACATCTTGCCCCACCATCGGGTAAGTTGTCTCACTATATGGGGTAAGATGTCACAGTGGATTTTGCAGCACAAAATTATTGTTCTCATTTTTTTTTTTTACCTCAAAGTGAACATCAAAGTCAGGCACAGAAAATTTTTATCATTGAGCTAGAACAAAAGTAATTGAACATAGTTATTGAGCAAATGTTAACATAAAACATTATGCAACATGCTCTGGAGTTTGGAGAGCTGTCTGACTCTGTATTTCAGCTTGAAGTGAATGTTTTACAGTACCAAGCCAAGGTATGGTAGTTAACATTAAGGTCCTTTATTGTACTCCAGATTGATTTATTGGCTAGGATCACCTGCCTGACTGCCCTCAGCATCACGTCAGGAACTGCACTACCATGTTCTGTTTTTCTTTTGTAGTTCCTGACCATGTCTTCTTACTTTCTCCTCAACTACTCTTTTCTCCATAAAAATAGAGTCAAAATTTCTTTGTGACATCTGCTGATAAGCTGACTCTCTATATTAATTTTAATCCCTTTTAAACATGTGACAACTAACCCCAAAATGACTGAGACATGTTGCCCCAAACTATCATGTTTGCTAATTCTGGCTCTAGTGTAAAGTTCGCTTAAAACAGAACAATGACTGATGTATGACAGGATGCCTTAATCTCTCCTCTAACAAGTCCACATGTATCACTGCTAGGATTTTAATCTGGAAGAAGCTCATTTTAAAATAAATCAAGTTAAAATATTTTACTTTGAGTTTGGCAAAATGGTTAATTGGTGCTCATCTCAGCTCACGATGTGCTCCTATCTTCTCAGACAGGACATGACCCCTGACCATTTAAAGAAATAAAACTAGTATTCCACTGTTTAGTTGCGCCCTCTGGTGGCAAAGATAATTGCAATATGACAACTTACCATGTGACAACAAGCCCTGGTCTCCCTTGCTGTATGTATGTAGGTGTGTATACAAAATTACAGTCATTTTAATAATGTTGAATATATTAATTCTAACAGCACAAAACACTGTATGTTGATAAACTTATGAGAACCACATTGAAGAAGCCTGCAAAAAATGGAAGGTATGTGAATTTACATCTGCACACAAGTAGGCTACAACAAGTCTGATTTTTTTTTAAATAAACAATGAACCAAGGGAATTTGTCTCAGTATTACAATCCACAGTTGCTCCAGTAGAAGGGAAGGTACGTCGAAGTGTACCAAGCCTGCCAGCCATCATGCCAGACAGGCTAAAAACATCTAAAACTCTGGCAGAAAAAGCAGTAAAGGTAATTTATGTACAAGGCAGTCCACCCTACATGCCTTTGTCTTATGTGCTTTGAGTCCTGCTTGATCTTCCTTCTCTTTCTTTTACACTTTTTTTTAGTCAAGAAAAGTGTTTTCAGTGCAGGGACCTTATCCTGTGATCCGTGCTGCCTTATGGGCCAGAGGGTGGGTCGAGCGTCGTTTGCCCAATCTTGTAAAGAGAGTACCTCGTTGCCTTGGCGATGAAGAGGAGGATGGAGATGATGGTGATATTTTTGCAGATATTATTGCTACTGGCATTACAATCAATCTGGCATTTATGTGTCTTCTATATGGATTATCAAACCATAAACACAACTGAAACCTGAGCACAGTAAAAGCCTATGATAAGACAACAGAAATAGCTACATAAATGAAGGGAACAAAGCGCTTTTTGTTCTGTTGGCACAAAATATAGTTATAGTTATACACACCTTAAAAATCAAAAGCCTGTTCTTAATTAAATATAATTTTTTTTTTTTAATTTAGTGATTTATCTTCATCTGTAAAAGAAGTCAAAACTGTAAATTGCTGGAGGTCCTCTGTGCGTCATTGGAGCTCCTGTTTACATATAATTATTTACCAAGTAAATGATGAATTGTTTTGGGTATCAAATTACAACATCATTGTATATGTAATACCGGTGAGATAGGCAGACATGCAGCCAGAAGAGGTGCATTTTTATGTGTTTGTGCCATAGACTGTATATATAATGGACTTCGCCTGCCTCTTCGCTGCAGGGTGAAGCCTCCGTGAGAACAGCACCATCTAATGACGGGCTGTCGTATAGGTCATAAATCCCACCTTCTCCAGCAAACCTTATGGAGTTGTGGACAAACTTTAGAAATTATTTACATGAAATATAAAAATTTCTCCCCCCTGGTTGCGATGTTGACATGTAGTTACTGTCAGACTGGTTTGTGCTCAAGTCCTCTTTTTTCTGTACAGCTCTATTTTTAAAAGCTATTAGAGGTTCATGTTTTCTATGATTGACACTTGATACAGCCAATGGGGTACGAAGATTGTGGATCTCATCCAGGGGATACGCTGTTTGAGCAGAGTGACTCTCCTGCTGAATGCTTATGTTACTGCACAAGTGGTGGTTTCAGGAAGTGGAAAGAATCCCTGAAATCCTGAGAGCAATTTGGCTTCAAATTTGTTTAATAACAGAAGGCGGAGCCAGGTTGTCCATAGTATATATAGTCTATTTTTTGTGTACCTTACTTTTTGTAAGAAAAAGGGCTTGTGCCTTTTTTGGCTGTGACCCATTGTAATGATGACAGTTGACAAATTCTGCTGAATCTAAAGTATGGAAATGGCTCATTCAAATTACAAAACCCAATTCCATTGAAGTTAATACGTAAAACGTATACGTAAACGTTGAAACGTAAATAAAAACAGAATACAATGATTTGCAAATCCTTTTCAACCTATATTCAATTGAATACACTACAAAGACAAGATATTTAATGTTCAAATCCATAAACTCTATATTTTTTTTGGCAAATAATAATTAACTCAGAATTTCATGGCTGCAACACGTGCCAAAGTAGTTGGGACAGGGGCATGTTTACCACTGTGTTACATCACCTTTCCTTTTAACAACACTCAATAAACCTTTGGGAACTGAGGAGACTAATTGTTAAAGATTTGACGGTGGAATTCTTTCCCATTCTTGCTTGATGTACAGCTTCAGTTGTTCAACAGTCCGGGGTCTTCATTGTCGTATTTTACGCTTCATAATGCACCACACATTTTCAATGGGAGACAAGTCTGGACTGCAGGCAGGCCAGTCGAGTACCCGCACTCTTTTACTTTGGAGCCACGCTGTTGTAACACGTGCAGAATGTGGCTTGGCATTGTCTTGCTGAAATAAGCAGGGGCGTCCATTAAGTGGCGTCCAAAAGACATTGCTTGGATGGCAGCATATGTTGCTCCAAAACCTGTATGTACCTTTCAGCATTAATGTTGCCTTCACAGATATGTAAGTTACCCATGCCTTGGGCACTAATGAACCCCCATACCATCACAGATGCTGGCTTTTGAACTTTGAGTCGATAACAGTCCAGATGGCTCTTTTCCTCTTTGGCCCGGAGGACACAACGTCCAATATTTCCAAAAACAATTACAAATGTAGACTCGTCAGACCACAGAACACTTTTCCACTTAGCATCAGTCCATCTTAGATGAGCTCGGGCCCAGAAGAAGCCGGCGGCGTTTCTGGATGTTGTTGATAAATGGCTTTCACTTTGCATAGTAGAGTTTTAACTTGCACTTACAGATGTAGTGACAAACTGTATTTACTGAGGGTTAGAAGGTCACAGGCATTTAATGTACTTACGTACAGTGATTTCTCCAGATTCTCTGAACCTTCTGATGATATTATGGACCGTAGATGTTGAAATCCCTACATTCCTTGCAATTGTACTTTGAGAAACGTTGTTCTTAAACTGTTCGACCATTTGCTCACGCAGTTGTTCACAAAGTGGTGAACCTCACCCCATCCTTGTTTGTGAATGACTGAGAATTTTTGGGGAAGCTGCTTTTATACCCAATCCCAATAGCCAATCATGGCACCCACCTGTTGCCAATTAGCCTGCTCACCTGTGGGGTGTTCTAAATAGGTGTTTGATGAGCATTCCTCAAATTTCTCAGTATTTTTCGCCACCTTTCCCAACTTCTGTGGCAAGTGTTGCAGCCATGAAATTCTGAGTTAATTATTATTTGCAAAATAAAAATAAAGTTTATGAGTTTGAACATTAAATATCTTGTCTTTGTAGTGTATTCAATTGAATATAGGTTGAAATTAATTTGCAAATCGATATATTCTGTTTTTATTTACGTTTATCACAATTTCCCAACTGCAATGGCATTGGGTTTTGTATATGAGAGAACTATTAATTGTCATGTTTTGTTTTTCAACCACCATAAGTAACGAGTTTGCTTTAGATAAATATTTCAGTGTTTCTCAGTGTCATAAAAGTAGCTATTTCAGGAATTAGTTTACTCAAGAATTTGTAAATAAATCAAGCTTTTGTGGGTTTTAGCCCCTGCCCCTCTAAAATCCTCTGCAAGCCCCTGCCTATGAATTACATTGACCCCAACCCTTTTATGACATGCTTTTATGTGAGCCAGCCAACTTGTGCAAGTACCCCTTCTCTACTCAACTATTTACAGACAGAGAGGATGAAGGCAAGAAAGAAGAGAACCTGGATGACATGTACGACTTCATGGTAAGAAAAAGTTGCATTTTATGAGTTATTCTTGTTTTTATGGCTTCTTCAAAATAGTCTCACTTACTTACTGATGGTTCTCAAAGCTAAAATGACAGTGAATAATAGTCTCCTAAAAATGCCATAAAATAGAGAACCTATTAAGAGCCAAAAGAGAAATCACAAATATTAACTACTCTTTCGTATTTTTACAAAATGTAACTGTTTTTTTAGTGCAACTTTTATTTTTTTCTTACCTTCAAGGGTTACTTATATTAGTGTGTGTTACATCAGTAACTAGCGTATATCCACAGATTAACTCATAGCTTCATGCAAACTTCTCTGAACTGTATGGACTTAATCTCTCAGTTGTATAAAAACATCACTGAAATGATCAGTTTCAGCCATCTCCTCCTCTCCTTCTTATCGCATGGATGTCAGAAAAAAAACTCTTGATCATCTTCTTAGAGTCTGATCTGTTAAATATCTAATGCCTTAGAAATTACTTTAAAAAAAAGAAGTCAGGTAAAATCAAAAGTCATTTATTTAGGATCTCAGGGCATGAATATCCATATAAGAGTGACCTAATATTCATGTCATTATTGATGATAGCTACACACTTCGCTGTGTGTGTTAAAATATGTGACAAATAAACAGAAAGTTTGAATATTTCAAGAGGGCATCCACCAGCTGTGAAAGTTTATTCTGGGTGGATTTGAATGACTAAGACAGAGGTGGAAGCATCTTTGTTATAAAAGTGTTGCAGATGGAGATGTGCCAAAAAAAAACTGTCCTTCAAAGGATTTACTGGGCTTAATCCCTGGTTTCAGTTTTGAATCCCTAGTTTAGAGTCAATCAGAGACAAAAACTGCTCAAGGACTTTAATTTATTTGTTTACTGGCAGGTTGCTTAAGGGTCATGACCTGTCAAACAAGATAGAATTGAGTTGTCCGTCCCCTCTTCCAAACCTGTCCACTTTTTGCTTAAGGTGATATCATCAAAAAGGTACTTCACAAACTAGAGGGTTAAATAATGTCTGTGACATCTGCCTTAAGGATAAATTATAAAGATTAAACTGTTATAAAGATTTATTTTGGGGGACGGTCTCCACAAGGTGGCAGTCTTTCTTATCAACAGGACAAGAATAAAATGGTTTGAGGATGGTGAAAAACAGTGTCTGGTCTTTTAGGAGTGAATCTAAGTTATTTCAAGGCTGGTGGTTGAAAAAAGAAACATTGTTGAACACTGAATGTGAGCCTTGTCTTTGACTTGCCCTCTATCTGTTTATATATATGAGGGTTTATCTATGTTGGATTTCTTGTCAACTGCTATTTTAAAAACTGCAAGATACAAAGAGTTAAAACAAAATACTTGTTCAATTACACACAGTCTCAGAAAAAAAGAAAAACGGATTGATAGTACAACAATCAGCCAAGCAGATGATTTCTAATTATTTCTTTGGAGGGAGGTTATTAATCATTCATCTCACAGATCTTAAAAGTCTGTAGTCCCTTTAACCCTATTACCATGTCCAACTCCATCACGTTGAGTTCAACTCTGTTATTTAACAGGTTTTAAATAAATGTTTAGACATCTGTTCAAGATACACCTCATGGATGCACTGGGACGCATCATCAGTGATGTATCCTGGGGTCATCGGGTGTTTCGGGTCTCGCAACATCATACACACTCACCCAGGTGACCCAGCCGGGGGTGATCAAGCCCCGACTTGCGTCCCAGTAGCAGCCCACGGATCTGCCCTCTTCATCCAAAGCCACCTGGAGGCCTTCTCGGCAGCTTCGCTTGCAGACTTGATGGCCCTCTTCTTTGCCACTCCTATGATGCCCAGGTGACTGAGGACCTTGCACAGAGACCGCCCTGTAAATCCCCCGCAGCCTACCTCTATGGGCTCGTAGAACATCTTCCAGCCTCCCCCCTGCAATCCTCCACCAGTTCCTGGTACTTAGCCCTCTTCCTCTTATTGGCTTCCTCCATGTATTCTTCCCAGGGCACTTTCAACTCCAGTATGATCAGCTGTTTCGAAGACTGAGAGGCCATGATCATATCTGGGCGGAGGGTTGTTGTTGCGATGTGCTGGGGGAACCTCAGCTGCTTACCCAGGTCGATCTGCAGCTGCCAGTCAGATGCTGTGTGGAGTAGGCCTGTTGTTGCATGTTGGTTTGCTCTGGGTTTTTCTCCAGCTTTAACAAAGGAGATTGCCTTCTTTGGAGCATGACGGTTCTTGCTGGAGCTGATGGATGAGGCTACGCTCTCAGCGACTGCCTTAAGCACCTGGTCATGGCGCCAGCAATAGCGGCCATCTGCCAGAGTCTTCAGGCAGCCGCTGAGGAGGTGTTCTAAAGAGCCTCCACCAGAGCACAGTGGGCAGGAAGGTGTCTCACTTTTCCCCCACACATGGAGGTTCGCTGGGCTTGGCAGGGCATCGTAGACAATTTGCACCAGGAAGCGGACCCGCTGGAAATTTGGCTGCAAGATGTTTGTCCAGGTGATCCTGCGCTGTAGTGCGCTCTCCCACCTTGTCCATGCTCCCTGTTGCCGTAGTCCTACTGCCCTGCTCACCCGCTCTTCCTCCACACCCACTCTGACTTCCTCCTGGATCAGGTGGTGCCTTTCCTTCCCACGGGTCTGGCTGATGAGGATCCTTGGGAAGTAACCCAGGCTTGCTCTGCCTGTTGCCACAGTGCCTATCAGTGCCTTCTGTCTTAGGTGTGACTCTGCCAGCTCCACTGCTTCCCATGCCTTCCACTTCCTTCCTGTCCTCACCTCGATGCTGGCTGCTGACACTTTGCAGTCCTTTGAGTCCCTGTATTGTAGAGCTTCTCTGGTGCGTGCCACCATGAACTCTTCTGTGAGACCACTGAGAGGAAGCTGCAGGATGTTATTCGTTCCATACAGGGCAGCGCTGGTATGGCTGCGAGGAAGTCCTAGCCACTTTCAAAGAAAGCCGCTGATCTTCCTTTCTAGGGATTCAACTGCTGTCATTGGGACTGCATAAATCAACAGGGGTCACAGGATGCGGGGCAGGATTGAATGCTGGAAGATCCAGGCTTTAAACCTACCAGGCAGGCCAGACTTGTCTACCTGGTGAGCCAGGTTCCAAGCTCTAAGCTGGCCTTCTGGATGGTTACTGAGTCCTTCAGGGTGGAGTCGAAGAGTTTCCCCAAGCTCTTCACGAGTTGCTCTGTGATGGTTGGGATGACAGTTCCTGAGATGGAAAAGCGGAACTTGTCAATCACCGTCCCCTTCTTCAGCACCATGGATCATGATTTGAAGGGCTTAAAACTCATCCTTGCCCAGGTGATGAGCTTTTCGAGCCCTCGCAGGATCCACCTGCACCCTGGGACCAACGTGGTTGTTACGGTGAGGTCATCCATATAGGCTCTGATGGGGGGTTGTCGCACACCTGACTTGGTCAGGGGCACTCTGCACTCCGCCTCGACTGACTTGACTACCATGTTCATGGCTAGGGAAAAGAGGACAACAGAGATGGTGCAGCCTGTAATTATCCCTTTCCCAATGCGATGCCAGTCCGATGTCTCTGACCCAGAAGTAACTCTCATCCTAAAGTTATTGTGGTAATCCAGGATGAGGTCCTTGATCTTACTGGGAACATGGTGGAGGTGGAGAGCGAGCTCAGCAGGGTCGCCTTTGTTCTCATGGGCTTCTCTGATGAGTTGCGTGACGATCCCAGTGTGTTTCAAGCAGCCAGGAGCAGAGATCCCTCCCTTCTGTACTGATGGGTCAATATATCTGTTCTTGAGGAGGAACTCGGTCAGTCTTCGTGAGACGATGCTGAAAAACACCTTCCCTTCCACACTCAGCAGTGAGATGGATCGAAACTGACTAATGTCTTGTGAGTTCTCCTCTTTGGGGATCCAAACTCCCTCCACCTGCCTCCACTGGTCAGCCACTTTTCCCCTTCTCCAAATCACCTTCAGGATCCTCCACAGGTGCTGTAGAAGCTCCGGGCAGCGCTTGTAGACCAGATAAGGAATCCCACTGGGGCCTGGTGCTGACGCCGAGTGGGCTGCCTTGACGACCTCCTCAACCTCTTTGAGGCTTGGCTCCTTCAGGTTGAACTCCGTTGTTTGGGGGATCTGGGCTGATGAGAGCTTTGTTGGGCTCCAGTTCCAGGTCTCTCAAAGGATCGCTCACTGTGTCCTGGAGGAAGTGATTTACTTGCTCTATAGAGCACTCTAGCCGACCACTGCGCTTGTCCCCTAGCAGTTGTCACTGCTTGGCACTGTCAACTCCAGTTGACAGTTGATATATGAGGCAAATGTTTGTCGAATTGTTTTGTACAATTATCATTATAACTATAAAAAAACCACGAAGGTCTTGATCCAACCCCATTTTCGTGCAATATGCATGCAAATGCTAAATCAGTTTCTTCTAACCTGCTCAGGTGATCAACTTGTTAAACTTTCAGAAGAAAGGTTCCTTTAAGTGTAACTGTTACTTAAAGGGGAAAACACAAAATCAAGTTTTAGAGTTTATTTTTCATTTCAAACTTCAAACATTAGGTCCAAGTTTTTGCTGTTACAAGGTGGAACTCAAAACAGCTTTGGGTGAGAAAAAATTGTCTGGCTATGATCAGATATCAATGCCTGAGGTGGGAAAATGTATGATCTCAAAGTCCTCATTTGTCCACTTACAGATGCAGTGGTTAAAAAAAGAGAAATATAACTAATCACAGTTTTTCTCCACTGTTTTTTTTTTTTGGGGGGGGGGACCTAATACAGCTTATCTAACATTTTCTTTGTTTTTCTAGTCACGCCTTGTTCGAAACGAAACAACATATTTCTACTGGACAGTACGCCGGGATTACATAGACTGTCGCTTCCTACAGAGTGACCAAATGACTAACCACTATGCAAACTCTGGAGCATTTACAACCAAGGTCCTGTCTCTAAAGAAAATATTCATAAATGACATGAAGCTGTTCACTTTCTCCTGAGGTCAGATTGTGCTCCCTGTATATTTTTATCTCTTAGGTGGGACTGTGTGTGAACTTGCGTAACCTCAGGTGGTTTGATGCAGCAGATCCCGACACCTTCTTCCCAAGATGCTACAGGCTTGGGGCTGAGGATGAAAAGCATGCATTCAAAGGTCTGTGGTATTTCTTCATTAACATGTAGTCAAAGTTGTGCTCTATAATAAATGGGATCATGTAAAGGGGAAACTACATCTGAATAACAGATGACAGAAGTTATGAGTGTAAATGGGGGCCATGCATTATAAATAGACAGAAAGAAGTCAATGATAGGTAAAGATGTTTTCATCTAAAACTGAATTATATGGCCTGTGTTTCCTTTGGATTTGTTCCCTTTTGTTCTTCTTCTACATCATGAAGAGGATTTTAGGAGGACAGCATGCACCAGTCTGTTGCAGCACGTCGTTGAAACAAGTAAATGCAAGCAAGACGGGGTAAAAGGTGAGGAAAATACAAAACCATCACCTCTGATGGAAAAGTGAAACTCTCACAAACGTGCCTTTAAAAACAGGACTATTATTTGAAGTGTAACACTTTGTGTGACAATCCTTTTTTCTCCTCAGACTTGAATGATGGTCATCAACAATTTGTTGCTCCGAGAATTATCAACTTGGCCCTTCATGTTTGTGAGGAGTTTCTTGGTGTTTTGGAGCACAGTGACATTGATGTGACCGTAGGAACGCCTCCTTCAGTGGGGGAAGGGCGCTGGGAAGAGTTCCTGCAAGATTACTACAAGGTTGTGCAGTGAGTATGGTTCACCCTAGGGCTTCAGGGAGTGTCTTTCCTTGCTCTGATGAAATTAATCTGCTGTAATGATTTTATGTTAAGAGCCGGTAAATCGTCACATGTAACTGAGTGACACAAACTCATGTTAGGAGAGTTTGTGAAGTGAAGTTCATGTCAGGACACAGCTAAATCAGGAGTCAGTTATGTAGACAGCATGTTCCAGTTACACACTGCTGTGTAAACAAATACCAAGGATGATAACACATGCTAATATATTTAGTGCTCAACCTTGGTAGACATTAAACAGGAATGTGATACAGTGTATCAGTGTGCCATTTTTAGGTCAAACGTTGTGTAAGTTTATGTCCTTTACTAAAACTTTTAGAACATCACAATCTCAGTTACATTAAAACTAGCAAATCTACATTTTGTTGTTCTACTTGGTGAACTGTTTGTCTGAAAGTTCAGGATTTTTTAATTTTTTGCCCATAAGTGAGTGACTGGTCTTTTTTTACCTTTTCTTAATATAAAGTACAATATGCAAGTTAGGGTTAGGATTAGGGTTAGTGTTAGAGTCAGGGTTAGGGTTAGGGTTAGGATTAGAGTCGGGGTTAGGGTTAGGGTTAGGGTTAGGGTTAGGGGATAGGGGATAGGGTTAAGGTCATGGGTTAGAGTCAGGGTTAGGGTTAGGGTTAGGGTTAGGGTTAGGATTAGAGTCAGGGTTAGGGTTAGGGTTAGGGTCATGGGTTAGAGTCAGGGTTAGGGTTAGGGTCAACAAACATCTGCAGGTATTAACACAAAATTCTTTCATGCATATTTCTTTAAAATATGGACACATAAGAGTTTTTCCAGACCCATCACTGAGATTAATATCAAAGCATGATATTAAGATAAGGAAAATCTTTTGTTAAAGTTGGTCTGTGATACATGTGTTTGTATGCAGTGAAGGTGCTTTGATCAGGGGCAGCAGTGCATTTGTGGAGCGCTGCCAAGCAATGTTAATCAGGCTACAGGAAGTCTGCCCTCAGCTGGATACAGATGGACTCCACAACATCTGGATCATCAAACCAGGTGCTATGTCAAGAGGACGAGGTGTGTTTTATTTTTTTATTTTTTGTCAGATTTTTTTTTATTTTATTTTTTTTGTTTGAACAGTGGGAGTTGCATAATTCTCAATCATGTATATATATATATATATATATATATATATATATATATATATATATATTTTTTTTTTTTTTTTTTTTTTTTTTTCTTTGAACTGAGTTTTCTACAGTCCAAAGAGCCCTAAAAAACAGTCCTCTTTTTCTCATAGATTTTGTATTTTTTTCTGTATTTGATGTTGGGTGAAAGGTTTGCAATCACAATCTTTCCAAATTCTTTTTTCTAACTTCTAACTTTTTAGTCTTTTGGTTATGTTATTCTAGTTTTCTCCACTGTCAGACATGAGGTACAAAGTTGTTTTATTTTTTGAATATTATGCTTACAGATTATCCATGGTATGATGACATTGCGCTTCTTACTTAGTCACAAAGTTGTAATTTTGTAAGATCAAAATACCTGAAATTCTCTTGGCCGTAGAACAGTGAAAAATCTGTACCTAGTTTGTATAAAATGTTTTTACATATCAAAACCACCTCCCAGGTATAATGTGTATGAATCGCCTGGATGAGATTTTGGCCTTTGTGGAAAGTGACAGAGCCCCAAATAAAGAGAGTAAGTGGGTGATCCAAAAGTACCTGGAACGCCCCTTGTTGGTCCATGGCACCAAGTTTGACCTCCGTCAGTGGTTTCTTGTCACTGACTGGAACCCTCTGACTGTCTGGTTCTACATGGAGTGCTACCTGCGCTTCTCAACTCAGCCTTACTCAACAAAGTCCCTGGACAGGTCAGACCCAAAAACAAACATGGTCATAATAAACCTTTGCTGTATCTCGTGTCTACTATCCTTTGGAGGGTCTTTGGAAATACATGTTTTGATCATATTTTACACTAACCACCAAGTTTTGATTCTCAGCTCAGTCCACCTGTGCAACAACTCTGTTCAGAAGCACTTCCAGCCATCCTGTTACCGCCATCCAGAAATACCTGAGGACAACATGTGGTCCTGCTCTCAGTTCAAAGCTTTTCTGCAGAGACAAGGCCTAGGGGAAAAGTGGGAGGCAGTGGTTGTCCCAGGTATGCAGAAAGCAGTGGTCAGAGCCCTGCAGACAGCTCAGGATGTGGTCGAGCCCCGCAAGACAAGCTTTGAGCTCTATGGAGCGGACTTCATGTTAGGCAGGGATCTGAGGCCCTGGCTCCTGGAGATTAACTCTAGTCCCACTATGGCCTGTTCCACGACAGTGACTGCTCGTCTGTGCCCCGCTGTGCAGCTGGATACACTGAGGGTTGTGCTCGACCGAAGGACTGATCCCAGTGCTTACACAGGGGGCTTTCAGATGATCTACAAACAGGTCAGTATACCTGTACCCGGGTGGAGCTTTTGGATTGCTCAGTTGTTTTCGCAAGGTGCAAATTATTTTTGACACAACATTGTTGGTATTTTTTTTTTATCAACAATTCTGCCAAATGAAATTCTGCCATTTGAAAATAATGTTTTCAAATGTACAAGAAAGGGAAAATTACTGAAGTTAATTTCAGATTATTACCCTTACCTGATACTTTCCAGTTATCAGACTAATGTGACCATGTAAACACACTGTATAATGACAACGCTCACACACAGATCCTGCCTGCAACAGTTTACTTCTAGACCATGGATGTAAAGAGGCTTGTTTAAACAGGCCTCCTCTTCACCATCCTCCTCTTCCTCATGTTTGGCATTACAATCTCTGTGACTGGAATAAGCAATCTGTTAGAGTTGAGTTTAACTTAATCTAATATCCTCCTGTCTAATCATAAGCTAACGAGCTCATGAGCAAAAACTTTTTATAATTCACCAAAATAACATGACACTTTAACTCCTGAACTGTAATAAGGGCAACATATGTTGTTACAAACAAGGAGCAGACTTGGGCTAAGGTGACCCGTAAATAGAGTTTCAAGACAAGCAGCAAACGCCAATGGTCATTAATACCTACTGTATGTCACCTGATTTTCACTTTATCAATTCAAATACACTGATTTATTTAGATAAAACTCAGATCATTATCTGAATATGGTATAGTTTTGGTTTTATTAACTTTTTCAGAACAAAATCAAAACAAGTGGGTCACAGAGGGCTCAGACCCTGCTAGCCTGGGGCCTTTACTACCTTTACGGGCCTTTATTACCCTTATTTTACATTATCTTATTTTATTATCTATGTATTTATTTCTCTTCCTCTTTTATCTGTCCTCTATTCATCTTCTTCCTTTTCACCATCCTGATGAGATGCTATCAACCAACTGCCAGTCTTTAACTGTCCATTTTTAACTGTCAATTTTCATTTGTCTGTTTCTGCCTTTGTTTGCTTCCTCTATTAAAGCACTTTGTAAACATCTGTTTTTAAAGGTGCTATATAAATAAAGTTATTGTTGTTATTATTATTATTATTATTTACATGTTAATTATTAGTGGAATTCTGCTTAATAATGCTTTACCATCTCATTTCTTTCTGTTCTACTGCACTACACTTCTAGGCTGCAGTTGAAGTTCCTCAGTATAAGGGAGTATACCTGCTGGTAGAGGGGGCTTCGATGAGGCAATCCAGACCTCCACTTCACAGGAAAATTGTCACATCTAACCCACATCTCAAAATCCTGTCATCATCAGACACATCATCCGAAGGTGATGAAACGGCACATCATAAATCAGGTCAGAGGTCCTCCAAAGTCTCTTCTTCCCTCCGTTCAGGCAAGGAGAACCAAACTTCTGGAGAGAAAAAGAGGCAGCTGACACGGACATCTCCTAAAAGAGGAGGCAAAGTGAGAGCAGAAGGTCACATCGCCTCCAGCGTGCGCAGGTTCAGCTGCAGCTCAACATCTGAACAGCCTTTGTTGGTCCACATTGAACCTAAGAAGAAAACCATGTGTTTGGGTTTGAATCTCGGTGCCAAAGGAGAGACTCTTGTCCCGACGAGTCTTTCCTTTCCCCTGAGACCCCATCGCAGCACATTATCTTGTCGTTCTCAGCCCAATCCAGGTCAAAGAGTGCACATTCTCCGATCCAGTCTACCTCAGACAATGTGTAAACCACGATACTACACTTCTACTCGGGTTTTTCCTCCTCTTCAGGGTCCCCTTCCTATCCTGGAGGTTTTGAGCTTGAGACCAAATGTTGTCAACAAAACTACCTCACGTCTTTCTGAGAACTCCACCAAACCATGACTCTGCTCTGGAAAGCAAAACATGTCCAAAAATAAAAGTGCAGTCTCATTCGAACATTAACACTACAGGTGTTGTGTATTACTGAAACAGAGAGTAAGAGCTTTTGTCAGCTACAGCCTGAATGATGGCTACAGGGTGTGGGATTGTTTTGTGATTGTATGTTTGTCAAACTATTGTAATGACATCAGATTTCTTGGTTTAAAACGTGAGACAATCAGAGTGGAGATTTTGATTTTATTTGATTTTATTTGATGTTTTTTATTGGCCTAGCTTCATAAATGTTACTGTGACAAAAATAGTTTAAAACTAATTTATTTTTGGCCTTGCAGTGGAAGTGCCCCCCACATGTCATCCTCTTTGCAGTGGTCACTGGTTCTGTCTCTGACCATGTCTCTTTGCTGCATGTTTTCCCCCACACTCCAACTTGAAAAGAAAAACAAAACTAATCCATTTTTAAAGAAAAAACACAAGGGTTCAGTCTCAAGTTTGATAGATACTTTAGGATGACATGGCTCAAAACAAGATTTTAAAAAAGACTTTGTTTTTGTATTTTGTGGAAAATAATCCAGCAACATGTATTTCAAATCACCAGCAGATGGCAGTAAAGGCTCAGCGAGCCTGCTGCATGTTAACACGAAGGCGACATTCAATGCAAGAAGTGGGAGTATTTATAACTAGATAATGGTATTTCCCTGAAAACACTTGATTTATCGGGTAATTTAGACTTTTAATAACCACCAAGTCAGAATGTGAACTTCAGTAATGCAGTTTAAGTTTAAAGGAGAGAGGAGAAAGAACTAAAACACAGGATCTAATGAGGTAGTCCCCATGAACATGTACTTTTTAGATACAGTGTCTGAGATGAGAAACTTGCATGTGCCTAAATTCAGTTGTTTGTGTAACAAACTGCTAAAACAAGCAGAAAATTGTCTTCATATTGTGAAAAAATAACCTTTAATTAGACGGTTTGACAATAATAGTAACGGACAGGAAACAATGAGACAAGAAGGGGCTGCTGTGTCATGCTCCAGGGGTCAAAACGGTGATGTTGTGGTTGTATGGCACCCTGTGAAACCGCTAGGTCACAAAGTCCTGGTCTTTAAAAATAGCATCAACAGTTTTTTTTCCTCTCCAACATAAATTGTCAAATTGAGTTTAGAAGTGCTATCAGTCTGCAAATTTGAGTTCATGGCTGCTAAAAGAACTGAATACTCCTCTAAAAACCAAGCTTTGAAAAAGATTTTTAGGATAACGATTTCAGGAGAAAAACTATTAAATAAAACCACACATGGTAATCAAACACTTTCTTTGCCTTTAAAAAGAATTCAGTAGATTATAGTATGAGCGTAGGGACCAGGTGAGGTGAAGCACTGACATGCTGGTTCTAAGTTTAACTGCAAACATGTTGATATCTGTAGGGTGAGAAACAACTCCACAACACTATACAGACGAAGGCTTGTGAATCTTGCACGTGTGTGTTTTGATTTGCTGTAAATAGGAATGCTTTCTTTGGGCAATAGCATTTCATGTTGAACCAGTAGAAAACATGGTTCCCCATCAGAGATGCTGACAACATGCAGATGGCTCCTGATTGCTGCCTCATGTGATTAACTGAAACTGTTTACACTTGTGCAGCAGATCCACTTGTTGTTCTAATAGTGGACACAGACGTTAAAGCAGCAGGAGAGCCGGGCTTCAGATCTGTCATTACATAAGTGTTCCCTGTGACATGAATGTTGTGTGGCGCCGCAAGAACTAAAACTGAACAGATTGCATTTCATTGGTAGACATTTCACACACACACACACACACACACACACACACACACACACACACACACACACACACACACACACACACACACACACACGCTCAGTCTCTTCAACATACATAGTCAGAGCCATTTTCCACAGGAAAAAAAATACTTTATTACACTTATATAATGTATACCAACATTTATAGACAAAATATGTACATCAAACATCTTTCATGTAGGTCCCAAAATATAAAATCTCAAGTACCTCTTTCTATAGAAAACTAGTCTTCTGGTAAAACGTTATACATTCACTTCTCCCTACCTCGCTCCTTTGACTCCAGTATTCATACGTAGTACAGAGAATAAACATCTGAGATTTATCAGCTTTTTCACAAGTAAAAGGCAACAGCAAGAACAAACACCAGGTTTGACTTGAGCAGAAACAGATGCATGATGAGTATGCAGACCAGGTCCAGCACAGTGCTACAGTATGTACACAGTTTCTGAGTACAGAAGTATAACTGTCCACTTTCTATCTCTCTGGATGGACAGACTGCAACAACAGGTATCAAAAATAGAAATGTACAAGAAGTCTATGAACAATAATTACAGAAAATCCATCTTAACTGTCTGTTTTTTCAATAAAAAACAAGACTTCTCATTCAGTGTGGTCATGTTGGAGCCCATTCCTTCATCCGTGCATCGGGTGTACCCTTTACCTTAGCCTGTACACACTTGAGGAAACCCTTGAACTCTATGGTTACTGATTTGAAGGGTGTTTTCAGTGAAGACAATGGTGATCTACAGGACACAGGCGACAAACTGGGTGAAATATTAACACTAATATTTGGTGCAACACTTCTTCTAGAGTACAAAGATGGTGTGCCTTGTATCAGCTACAAGTGAGTGCATCAGTGTCATCGGCATATTCTTTAACAGCAGCATCTAAAAACTTTCTTTACATTCAACCAAGTGTATGTGTGTCTGTGTGTGTGTCTGTGTGTGTGTGTGTATGTGCGTATATTTGTTTGTTTGTGTGTGTGTGTTTGTGCAGGGCAGGTCCAGTCTGTATGATACATTTGCATTGGGTAATACCACTGAGCTTGAAACATTCACCCACATTCAAAGCTTTGCATCCTCTCTGCTCCACCTCGCCTCAATAATTTCTACAAGTCCTCTTGTTTTGTGAGGAACAGATGGCAGGAATGAGGAGGAATTATGGGAAGGCTCAGTCATGTTCTCCATCCTATTATTGTCTCTGCTCCTGGTTGCTAGAACAGGATCACCTCTTTACAATGTTTCTCAGTCTTTGGTTTCAAGGTTGAGGGGTGGTACCTGCTTTAATGCCTGTAGGAGGGCAGGGGAGTCCATGGGGGTCTGAGATATAGCTGGAGCTGGAGAGCCTCCCCTTGGAGACAACACCAACTGAGGTGGCCTTTCGCTGGGCATGGCTGATGCAGAGCCTCCCACACCTGGGTACAACATGGGCACTGCTCCAGGGTACCAGCACTTCTCTAGCATGGGCAGGTAGGCCGCAGCCGAGGGTGGAATGAGGTAGAAAGGCATGCAGAGTGGGTGTGGAGGAGGGGGAGGTGGATGGTTGGGAGATACACTCATGTAGCTTCCATAGCCGCTTGAGGAGGAGGATGATTCTCCGCCTGACAGATCATCCTCAGGCACCTCCACTCGGGGTCGTTTGTGGCGTGGTTCGTCATCCTCACGCTTGATGCCGGAGCTTTGCCTCTCACTTAGCGCTCGCTTCAGCTGGCTCTCCTGCCCATAGTAATCTTGATGACCCTGTTGAGCTCCAGAGTCGGTCTTCTCCAGCTCCCCTCCATAGCCGCTGTCTGTGTCTGTGTCACTGCCGCTTTGCTCACTGCTGGGTGGAGCATAGGCTCGCTGGATGACGGGCACGCAGTTCCTCCCGTAACCCTCGCTGGGTTTGGGTGGGAGGCTGGTGGGTGTCTCCTTGTGAGGTTGGCGCTGGTGGTAGGCAGGAGTCTCTTCGGGGTGAGGGCTGGGAGGAGTACGCGGTCTGACTGGGCCTTGCAGCACCTCTGCGGCTACCTTGTGGAGATGACTGATGACATGGGATGGCGAGAAGTCTCTATCAGACTCATGATTAGCCAGGTACTGGAGAATCTCCTTGGCACACATGTGAAAGCCAGAGCGAAACATCTCCTCGGACTTCTCCTGGCTGACTGAGGGCTGCTCTGTAAACACAAGAAGATACCAAACAGTGAGAAAATCTGTCTGAAAATATAGCACAATAGTTCTGTATATCTATGTCACTGTGGATAATTTGGTTGAACAAAACCCTCTAGTTCCACATGCATGTTCCTTACCAATTTGCATGCCATTCTGCACAGCCAGGATCTTCTGCTGCTGTTGCTCCAAAAGCGAGTTGAGGGCTTTCACATGCTTGAGTGTCAGCTCTAAAACCACGGCCTTCTCCAGATGGCCCAGAGTCTGTAGGAAACACACAGCGTCAGCACATCCTCATCTCTTACATAAGACATTAAGGCTGTGCCGTTTAACCTGTGTATACAGGATTTTGACTATCCAAAGACCCCAGAATACTACTGAGGCAGAACTGACTGTAAAAATACTCAAAACGTGAAATTTATATAGTTTAAGATAAAATCAATTCCATGATAATACATACTCCATAGATAATACATGTTATGACAACTGAGTTATATTAGAAGGGAAATTTGTTGTCTGTTAATAATTATGTTTCGTTAGTCTCCAGATAAAACAATGACACACGTCCTCTTAAAAATTAGATGTCAGTCATTGCTGACGCACACGGCACAGAGGACGCAATGACACAGACAACCACTAGATGGCGCGTGTCACTCAATCCAGTGAATCCCATTCCCTTTCTGCAACAGCGTGAACTCACCGTGAGTTTCAGGTGCTCTGGCAATAAATCTTTCAACTGAGCGATGCACTCGTTTATCCGGTCACGCCTTTTCTTCTCGATAAGTCTGTGAGGCAGTTTATAAGTTTCCTGCAAGAACAAACAAGAAAAGTACATGAAGGGTTAATTCAGCGGATCAGTGAGCTCACATACAGCCCTGTGTGATCAGAGGCAGTCCGATAGGGAGGACTCTAGGAGTTATGTCATAGCAGGAATTAGGTCACCCATTTATGGGACTACAGGACGACTGCCAGTATAATCCCCCCCACACTTTAAGTTCACACCCTTTCACGAAAGCGATGATTATTACTTCACGAAAAGAAAAGACAATAAACAAAAATATAACGAACCTTGCTCTCCTCTCCTCGCTTCATTCCCCGTCTGGGTTTATAAACATACATTGGGTAATCCATCCTGAACAAATGATAAGAAAAAAAGTACAATGAGATCTGAGGAAATTATTTAAAGAAGGAAAAACACAAAGAAATACAATAAGGAGAGCTCGTTCAGAGTTGTTTCAGCAAAACTTACCCCTGCACGTCAGACAGTTCAGCCTGGTGTTTGGACAGGGGAGGCGGTTGCGCGCTTGGAATTCGCTCCATGCTCTTGTACTCCAGTTACGCAGTAAAAAGTCAAAGAGGTACTTTTCCAATGCAGTCACAAATAGATTGGCATTTATTACGCGGCGAGGAAAAAATGTTGTAAATGCACTAAAATGTTTCAAAAAAGCGGAGAGAGTCGATGTTAATTTCTTCTTATTCTATGCTCATCTATCTAATATAAAGGATGTTTTCGAGAAAAGTTATTCCCTGCGATTTCCACCCAGTGATCACTCCGCTGAAGGAAGGCAACCCTCTTTGGTGGCGCGTTGGGAAAGTGGGGGAGGACAGAGCGACGAGTTAAATAAACCCTCTGACTCTCCGCTCAGCCTGACCTACCTCTGTCACATGAGGCTCACGTGTTAAACGGCGCTGTGTTCTCGCTGGAGAACCCACCCACTTTCTGCCGATAAGGAGGCTCAATGGGCGGACGGCCGCGGACGTCAGCGCAGGGGGCGGGGCGTGTCCGATCCCGTGTACCACCATGCTGAAGTGTATGGAAACAAGGCTGTGCTCGCCACGGCGCGGGGAACGTGCTGGCAGAAAACCAGTGCGGATGATCAACAGGACCGGGAGAGTGGATACAGTGGCCGACCGAGTGCGCATAAAGAACAGACAATAACACACTTTAGAACACACCGCGGTCGACACAGGGTTGCGTTTTATTCAGTGAGGTCGCCTTAATTCATAGAGAACTCAATGAGGTCTCTGACGGGCACACTGAGTGCTCATATTTAACTCAAAAGCCCAAATCTTGTGCTTTATTTTTTTTTTAATTGGAAGTTTGTGCAATGCCATAAAATGATTTCCTTGGTAGGCTATACTTATACTTTAAAGCATATATTTGTGATGTTTGTTTCGGCCCACAAAAATTGTCAAACAAAAATGAATAAATCGTATATTTACAACTACTTTTTAAAATTTCAAACACTATGAGCCTTCCACACAGCCTTCTTCACCGAGGTGCTTGATTTTGGATAACTCTATTGCGTTTTGGTTTCACTCGCAGTAGACAAATACAACCATTACTGACTCATTACCACTCGGAATAATAATGATGGCAGACAATCTATGGTAATGCAGCGTATATACATAACTACCTTTGTTATCGTAGTTTTATATTTTAATTTCAAACACTATAAGCCCTCCACAGCCTTCTACACCGAGGTGTTTGATTTTGGATAACTCTATTGCGTTTTGGTTTCACTCACAGCAGACAAATACAACCATAACTGACTCATAACCACTCGGAATAATAATGATAGCAGACAGTCTATGGTGATATGTATTTATCTAATTATCTGCAGTGAGCAGGTGAGCTCTGTATCGACAATGCTGTCCCAGCGTGTAAACCACGTGCACCCGTGCATGGATGAGTGTGTGGACTCCGTGTTTGTTGTTATGAGGCGGTGCAGGCTGTCACGTTGATCTCCTCATGGACCTGGGAGCCTGCTGAGCTTTCAGTGTACATCCAGCATCCCAGTACATTCAGAACATAGCGGCTGCACCTGCAGGCTATGAGCACGTACACATCATACCAGTGAAGGGTTGCAGATTTACTTTAAGATATTTTACTAAAGCAAATAAAAAGCGCATCTAAGGACAGGGAGGGCAAAGTTTATACATTATTTTGATTACTCCTTAAATATTCAAATTTGCTAGAAAGTGTGTCTGGGTCATGTCACAGGTTAAATAAGTACACAGAGACCTCCAAACCTCACTTGGCTTATTTATTTCCCACCACAAAAATGGGGTACTCTGACACTAAAAAACATGTTTCTAAAGTTAAAAATGATTAAAGATGAAAATCTTTAGAGGCAAGTAACATGATCAGAGAGGGAGGATGTACTCTTCAGATCATTTTAACATGTTAGGCTGCATTACACGAAAATGTACATTGTGTTCTTAGTAAATAGCAAAGAAACTGTCGCTGTCACAAGACATCACTATTTGTAGTTAAGAGAAGAATTCTCTGCCAGAGTAACTCGCAACTCCTCTAAATCTTCATGAAAGCTTCAAAAGACTCATATCCTATGACCACTTAAAGTAGTTAAACTGCATTCTTAGAGTGTGGTGAATCAAATGTAATTGGTTGGGCTGCAGGACCAATAATTGCAAAATAGCCACAACACAAGTCCTAGTGATGCAGATATAATCACACAAAGAACAATGGTGGAAACCCCCTGAAAAACAATCTGTGTAAGATTGCACTAAGAAAAACACAAACGTTGGTCCTTATTTAAAAATTCAGACTACTTGGCCTTGTAGATTTGATACTCTCTTTCAGATTATAGTATTTTGTTACACAAAAGAACTATTTTATTAAATCTAAGATGTATTTTGACAGACTTCACTGTGTTAAGAAGCAACCTTTAGCTGTACACACTATTAAGTCAGACCCCTAGACACAAGTCATAAAATGATAGTTTGGATAAAACAACTGTTCTGCTGATTTAATGGATGGTACATGCTTTGTGTAAATTCTGTTTATATTTCATTGGGTCAATTGATAATTTTACAGATTGCTGTAAAGTGTTCACATGGTCCCTCTGTGCTTAGAGAAACTCAAAAAAAGGTCGAATTACAACTAATAATGAGCAAATCCTGTTAATGCGTTACCGGCAAACATATTTCCCCATGCATGATGATGAGATAGGTGCACTTCCTCATTTGTGGAGGACAACATTTCAGAGTTCATCTATCTGCAACTCCTAAATTGACTTATCTATAAGGCCATTCATTCGGCTGACTGCAGAGTTTTAAAGGGATGGAACCAGTCAGATCATTGACAAAAAGGAGTTAGACAGATAATAAGATAAAGAAAAAATGCCTTAATTCCCCTGACCTTTCGTCTCACATGTTTTCAACACACATTCAACAATCATTTTACACACTTCTTTATTTAAATATAGTCCAGGAATGGAATGTACAGTTCAGACACAAACCATCTAATAATGTAAAAATTCTATTTGGTCAAGCAGCACTCCTAATATCATTTACTATAATCATTTATTATCCTCTTTTTATCACACACACTCAATCGCTCAGTCATTCATTTGTCTGTCCTTCATTAAGTGACCAAAACAAAACAACTATCTCTGTGCTAGGAAAAAAAAACATCAGTGCTTTGAGACTAAATGTATGAAAAGAAGATTAAATAATTCAGTGCAGAGTAAAAATATATATTATTCTCCCAAATCCTGGATCTACAGTACAAATCCTCTTTGACTTTGTGTCACTGTAATAATAAAGCACAACAAGCAGTCCTACATTTCTCCTGCTAATCATCATGTTTTTTTTTTATAACTTTATCATTCAAAACATAGCCACAGAAAAAGCTCTATAAGCCTGATAATTTAATCAGAATACCCTCTTGAACTTTTTTAACTTTTATTTAAAGTGTCTTGAAACAAAAGCAACCTTCATTTGAGATAGCAAAGAGTTATAAATGTAATAACAAACAGTTGCCCTCAGGTTAATAAAGAAACACTGTTACAGATTTATAACAGGATAAACGAGCTCCTTCAGAAGTACAGTGATTGTTCACAGGTGTAGATTTTGTCTTCACATTTTAAATAAAGATCATTTGAAATATAAAAGCAAGCAACCAGTTACAAAAAATAGTTCATCTTAATTAGACATTGCATCTCACTGAGCCTTCCTATTGCTAAAGGTACTAAATAAAGTGTTTTAGAGTTCAAACAAACCTTGAAATCTACATGTGACCTGAGTTCGCTGGTGCAACACAGAGGATTAGAAACCTCGATACACAAGGCCACTCGAGAGGAATTCTGCCTCAGTAACAATGAATGGCTGATCTTTGGCATGCTGTTGGTGTGGAATAACACAGAAGGCATTCTGGGTATTAAAGCTGAAATCAGTGGGGGTTTTTTCGTACAGGGCTGGCTTCTTAGGTCTTGAGGCACTTGGTGCACATTCCACCCACACAGACACGTCCTCACTTGAGGCTACAAGCTACACACTCAAATAACTTTTACTGTAGAGACACACTCAGAGGCACACATGTTGTAGGAGAGTCTGGTCTAGTGTACAGTCAGATATTGACCTAAATACAAACAGGAGATGGACACGTTTTGGCTTTCTCCCGACTAACATGTGTCACGCAGTCAGGGGCACTCAGGCACTGGTGAAACTTGACCCGCTGGGCCCTCAGGCGGGCTGCTGGGGATTGATGTTCATGTGAGGTGGGTGACCAAGAAGACCGATTCTTTGTTTCTGTTTCCTTTGCTCTGTCATCTGAATAGAGATATAGAAAAAAAGATTAGTTGTGAAATGTTCTGTTCGATGTACAGAGCCGACAGCCCATGTTTGGCTTAAGTGTGCAATGACATTTCCAGCTTTTCTAGCCAATCAGAGGTGAAGGAGGTGGGACTTTCCCCTACCATCCAACAAAAATATATATTGCTCCCTGAGTTAGGTGTTTTAGCTGCTAACCTAGTCTGTAGGATACAGCATAATAAAGTAGGACATGATGGTAAACTTTGAACAGACTTAGACCTGATAAAAAGAAACTATTTATTTATACAGAGCGCTCACCCGTGGTTAAAGAACAAAAATCTTGGAATAATATGAATGAAATGAACGCTTAATTAAACTCAGAAAAGAATGGTGACCTGTTGTCAGAATGCTGTTCTCTGCTGACTTAGCCAACAGGGACTCTCCAAACTCATCACCATCTTCTTTGGTTCTTTCATGATTTTGTAAGTTAGCCAATCCAGCTGCTTTGAGCTGCACCCCGTTGTGATATGCTACAGATGTACTTCCATTAGAGTGGGTGTGTGCTGTCAGATGTGACATAGTGGATCTGAAATGTTATATCTCACAATGAAATGCCCACAAACGAATATGTCTGTGTAGATCCTCGTTCATCCAGGTCATGGTTATCCTTCATTGAAAGGGCGACTGGACTTGTTGGAGGTTCTTGAAGACATTTTCGCCTTTCTTCCAAAAGGCGTCTTTAGTTCATATCATGCAAACGTGGCAACCCCCCCCCCCAAAGGGTGAAACCAGGTCAACCACTCTGCTAACGACTCTCACGTGACCCAGCTGCAAACGACTCTCAGGTGACCACCCAACCCTTTATGGCTGGATGACCAACAGAGGCTGTAAATTTTCAACTTTTGCCTCAGTCATTTAAGAACTGAAGAAGCATTTTGGAAAAGAGGCAAAACCACGTCAAGAACCTCAAACAAGTCCAGTTGCCCTTTCAATGTAGAATTGGATAAATGAATATTAGGAGTCCTTCTCCTACCTCTTCTTTTCCTGTCCCATGTCCAAATCTCCATAATGCTGAATAAGGCTCTCAAAAAATTGACCACAAACTGAAAGTGCTTTGCTTAAAAAGGAAGTGATTGCTGTCCTTGGTGGTTCTAGTGCTCATGTTAAGCTGAGATATCTGTTTGTTGGCAATAGCTTCATATTCAACAGTGCAGAAATGAGAGTAGCAAAGAAAAAAACAGGTTTATCCCAAACAAGGTTGAATAACCCTTTTCAACATAGAAGTATGCATTTTTAACTTATTAAAGGGGCATTAAAAAATCTCTGCTAAGGAAAGAAATACACTGAGATGTAAATAGCGCTCCAGATACTCTGAGTATAGAGTGATTAACTGAAAGCAACCAATTCCTGATATCTTATTCTTTAATACTGTTGTTGATGTAAAGTCAAGGCTTTCAGTAATTATGTTGAAAAAAAATCAGACTGTTAAGGAGGTAAAAAATATATCTTTTAATAAATTTGAAAAATCAATGAGTCTTGATCTCTGCTTATGTCATACCTGCTCCTTGAGTTCAGTCAGCTGTCCAGACAGGTTTGCCACCAGCCTCATGGTGGACTCCAGCTTCTCCTGCAGGTTCCTGATTTCATTTTGCTCGCCCTCTGCGTCACTGCTCACAAGTGACATCGCCCTCATCCGGGGGAACCAGTCCAGGTTGTGCTCCTGCAGTTCACAGAGAATTCCAACCATTAAACTGTTAATTTCAGAGATTATTATTCACTTCACTAAAAATTAAGGAGTTTCAAGGAGCATGCCAAAATAATCTGACGTGCACAGGAGGTTATCAAAGTTTGGTAGTGGAGTGTTAAAATGTAAACTCTTAATGACAATCTGTTTTCAAGGAGCGGGCCTGCATAGAAACCGTCATATGTTGTATGCCAATAAAAGTATGTAACTATAATAGTAAATAAACTGACCAGCAGTGAGTGTTTAACTGCAAATCATCACACTTCCTGTTTGTATAAAAGAGTCTAATTGTATCATTAAAAGTACATGACCACTATGTCTGTAAGGTGAGATAAGTAAAGAGGAACACATTACTTCCCTAATGTGTGAGTGTGTGTGTGTGTGTGTGCTGCAGGCCAATGCATGCTAACATGACCGACACAGTAGAGTAATCTGATAAACTCTGTTCAGTCACAACTGATCAACGAAACACAACTGTCACAGAGGCAATCAATTATTATACAGCTCATTCTGTCAGGATTGTTTCACAAGATCATTATCGATTAAATCAGCAACAGCATGCAAAAATTCTGCAGAATGACTTTGATCTGACAAACATGAAGGAAAGTACATCGGTAATTAAGAAAAGAGGAAAAGCAGAAAAAGACGTTTTCCATCATTTATTCATGTAAACACCAAGAACATTGCTGCTCCTGATCTCATTCAGCATGGGGATTAAAACTTAATCCAAATAAAGTACCAGCTTTACCTAAATGTAATCCATTCCCATGAAAAAAATCAGACCAAACAATATGCTGGGGAGGTGGATGTGTGTTTTCAGGGTGTGTTTGTGATTGTTTTATTTACCTTGATCATCTCAGCCACGTAGCTCTCAGGGCCGGTGTATTCGGTGGAGTCTTTCACTTTTACCAGCACTATGAAGAAGAGGTAGTGCCACATGTTGTGTTCCTCTTTGATGTGCTCCTCAAAAGTTACAGTCTTGTTGTCGAACTTGTCACGCTCCAGGCCTGCGGAGGAGAAATAACAGCCTCTTTCAATGCTTCAAAGAAATGGTAATTTTTAAGAGAAACACAGGTGTAAGCTTCAACTCCAGCAGTTCATTTTGTATTTTCAATCATGACTTGAAAAAGAGAATGTAGCTTCTCTCAGGAATAATGTTGTAAAAAGTGGGAAGGTTACAAAAGCATCTAGAATAAGTCATTCAAAAACATGATTTTAAAGTATCCTTTGGAAGAGCATCTGAGAAATAAATTACACATTCGATCTGTTTCTCAAACTCAGAGTCTGTAACTTTAGTTTCTTTTGCAATGGTAGCCTAAACCTGGGCTCTATCTTCATTTCTGCACTTTTAGAAACTTAAAAGCCAACCTGTTCTTCAATATCAATAAAATGAATCAATTTCTTTTTCAATCAATAATGGGTAAAAGAATAAATGGGAATTACATGTTACATTTTAAAATAACATTTAGCAATTTACTTTAGCAAAAAATAAAAAAAGCACGTGGTTGTTGTTGTTTTATTTTTAGATTGATTTGACAGGCAAATATATGAAAAATGCTTTCTACCTATGACAAGTCAAAAACTTTCCATACCACAGAACTGAGCGTATCAGTCTTAGTACCATAAGAGTTTCCAAAATTTCAACCCCTGTCATCTCCTGGGCTGATCGATGTGCATGCTCCTTTTAATATATACCTATAGATATTTTTGAACATGTGTTTGATCAAAGATCTTTCTTTTCAAAATATAAGGATACAGACAAGGATGAGACTGTAAAGAGCAAGATTCAAACAGATGAGTCATAATATGCCACCTTACATAATGCAGAGTTTGCAGAGCATTTTCCAATGATCTGTGCTGCTTTCTTTTTCTTTTTTTCTAAAATTCTGTATTTTGGGGATCTTGACAGCAGATCACATCACATAGAATAGAAAAGGCTATCAACTAAATTACATCTGCAATCTTTGATTTTTGGATAAAACTATAAACACGGTGGGAGAAAGAGTTAGTCAAAACAAACAAAAAAAAAATTTACTTTTTCACCACTTTCTCCTTTTTAACCCAATGACTTGAATGCTAATTTTGGCACCCCTGTAGACAATGCAGTATGTCAGACTAAATCCTTTATCTTATCCTGTATTTGTGTTAACATTGTTTTATTAAAAAATCCTGCAGTGTTTATCATGATTTTTTTTTTTTAAATCTGTTTAAAAGACTCTTTTTCCAGAGTCCTGGTAATTGCCTTGTCTGACACCTTCCCCTTACCAGAGGTTACAGGCATTAAGATAACTAAATAGAAACAGTAAATCTTGTTTTTGATGGTTTTGCCTACTTTTATTGCTCTTAAAGAGGCAATAGTACTGATTTTAACGTTTTATTACTCACAGCTGCTTTAGTGTAAATCTTGGACAAAGGCACTTTAATTTTGTAGCCCAGGGTTGAAAATTGTAACAAGTATTAATTCTATCTGTTAGGTGGGAAATGAAGGGGATGGATACCCTTTGTAAACATGTTAATACAATTCAACAAAATAAACCTGAAGACAAACATACAAGGGTTGTGTTTATTTTTAGTGTAAGTGTTGTGGCACACCAAAATAATAATGACTAAACAGTGATGTTGGGAGCAGCTCTCCTCAGTGTTTAATAATGTTTTGATAGTGATGTCTGATTCATACAGATGATGCTGTTACCAGGAACTTTTTATAGATTTTAGTTAGTTGTTGATAGTTGTTGAAAAGTAACCTTTCAACACTTTTCTTGAGGCTGATGCTTTTTGCTTCATCTACAGGTAATAATCAGCCAGTCTGCACTTGGCATAGCTCAATCTAAAACCCTAATACAAAACTGAGAGAGAGATTGATGGCTTATAAGATCGAGCTGGAGGATGAAGAGCCGCTTAAGCCCATGGAGGTCGGCTCCTAATCTCTGCATCTCCTGTTCCCTTGTGGTCCTTGTGGAAACCATGGAGACGGCAGCTCCCTCTGTGTCCTGGCCTTCTTTAACATGAGTGAGTCACGGCTGAAGGCTGTGTGGTGACATAATACTGTTCTCGTTCCATATGCTTACCACTTGTCCCCGCTGCCTGCCCTAACATGCACACCCATGCACATGTTCAGTGTGTTCTGCTGGGCTGTAACTGTGTAAACACACACATACACAGCGGCATGCTCGTGTTTAGGCCCTAACAAAAGCAATGATCATTCAGTTTGGGTCATAAGTAAGTTGCAAAAATCATATGGCATCACAATTAAGTTTATGTGTGAATGAGTGAGTGGGAGAAAATGTGTGTGCACGTAAGACAGACATGAATAATGGAGGCGAGCAGGGCAGGATGCTTGACATGACTCAGCCTTCTTTGGAACGCGAGTGACGTGAAATAGCGGGGAGGAGGAGGAGGAGGAGGGCAGGCAGGGGGAATGCTGAAAACTTTTCTCACACATTCACAGATGTTCATAGCAAAAACCACAAAGACAAGCAAGAAATCAAAGACTCTGACAGGCAAAACAAGGGAGTTAACCAAGTGACATGAGATGGAACTCGGAAGTGAGTGAATGACGCACAGCCTTAGAAACATGGTACCCTTCCAACAAGAGTGCAGCCCTGCTGAGCCGGCAGGGTGTCCTCATAATTAGAAAAGTAATCCTCTCGCGGGAAAGTCAGAGGTTTGATTCACAGGATGATTTCCATAGAAAACAACATCACGATGTGCTACTGAGAAATCTGTACCACACAAGTTTACTGAAAGACTGACAACCAGGAAACACAAATACCCGATTCAACTTGACTTTACAAAATAAGGTGGTCCTGCCCTGACTTGTGTGCTCCTCCACTCTGAGCATGAGAGTCCCTCGATCTGAATTCAACTGTTTTAAAAACCGCTCTGTGCCTACCTCAATCAAAATTTTTGGATTCATGTTTCTTGAGGCTGTATGGTCGTGCAATAGCGTCATGGTGTTCCTACTTCTACCTAGAATGTTGTGATGATCCAGGCGTCTTAGCGAACTAAAGCTCTATCTCTAATTCCTCTCAGTTGATTTAAAACAGACCTAGAGAAAGTGGCAAATAATCAGCTATCTGAATTGAGGACATCACTGATAGAAGTAACGGATGATCTACTTATTGCACTTATCTCTGAACATTTATGGTTTAAATCATATCCATCAGTTCCATTTCAGTTTGTACACATAATGAAAAGTCTTCTGTGCACACCACTGTTAGTTGTGGAGTTCTATTGGGTTCAGGGCCTGGACATTTTTTTCCTTTATAGATGCTTCCTCAAGTTATTATCATGCAGAAAAGCATGTACATTTCAATTGTTATGTCGATGACACACAGATATGCTTCTCAATGAAGCCAGATGAAACAAATCAAATACCTAAACTAGAAGCCTGTCTTTAAGACAAAAACCAGGGTGAGGAGAATTTTTCCAAAGCAACTTAGACAAGACTGAAGTTATTGTTCTTGGTCCTAGACATTTGATCATGTTCTAACTGTATTAGATAGCATAAGCATGGTATCCAGCACCACCGTTTGAAGTCTGGAAGTTCTACATGATCAGGATTTGTCCTTCAACTCCAACGTACAGCAAAATTCAAGGATGGCTTTTTTTTTTCCACTTTCACGACACTGCAAAAAAAAAAAAACACATCCTACCCTAATAAGTCCTTCAAGCTCAAGGATTGACTGGATCGTCTTGGGTATGGGAGAGCAGAGATTTTTGCCTCCCCAAAAATCAAGAACAGAATTTTAAACCTTCAGTCTGACCTACAAAACTCATAATGGTCGGACTACATGATATCTTTGATACTCCTCTGGAACACAACCCTTCCAACATGCTGGACTGCCCGTGGTACCCAAAGTCTCTAAAAGTTGTATAAATATCAATTGTCAAACTTCCCTTTTTTAAAAAGCTTATGGCTGACTGCTTTTGCCTGATTGTCCTTTCTTTTCTCTCCTTTATACTGTATATCTTAAATCTTCAGGTCCCATTAAAGTCACTAACCATGTTCCTTCTGGGAGTCCCTGAGATCTATTGGATTGTTCAAGTAGACAGCTTGCTATCTTACTTAACCATATCATTAACCATTTAACTACTATGAGTGTAACCATTACTATCATTGTTGTAATGCTAATTTCAAAATAATGTGACTGCAACCAGTTAAAAAAACAATATTAATCCTACCTCGATCATCATCATTGTAATTATTGTAAATGCTAATATCAAGTATTATTGTAAATGCTAATATCAAACCTGTTGACTTTAACTGCCATAAATATTAGGCCAGTCTAATATAATTAATTTGCTTTTATCAGCACTGTAAGTCTGTATGAGATGTTGTTGTTGTTGTCCGTCTCTCTCCATCACTCTCTGTCTGACTACTTTCCAGCCCAAACACAATCTCAGCAGATGTCTGTTCTACATATAAGTCTGGTTTTGCTCGAGGTTTCTGCTTTTACTCGTCACTGTATCTTGCTAATTGCTGCCAAGTGCCTTCCTCAAAGTGAATCAAAATAATATTGAGTCTCATCTTGTTGCTGGGACTTCGTAAATAAGTGAGTCACTGATTATTAAACAGCTGGCGCCTTAAGCTGTAGTCAATATATAAATCACCAGGGAGTCAACAACAATTCTTTTAACACATCGGCTGTCTCACCGCAGATGAAACAGGTCGTCTTCAGCACTTCTTCTTTCTTCTGTTTTTCACTCCTCAGGTCAGCAAAGGTGTCGATGATGACACCAAAGATGAGGTTAAGGACAATAATAATCACCATGAAGAAGAACAGCAAGTCGTAAATCACTCTGGCTGCAAAGAGCGGCTCCTGGGAAAGGAACAGAAAACAACATTTAATGTGAAGTAGGTTCAACTGTAAGACATAAACTGACACAGATTTAAGGAATTATAAATTTACTTCAGATTAAGTATCAAACATAGAAACTTTTATTAGATTAGATAGAACTTAAGTGAGTAGTACTCAACATTAATCAAAAAAGGCACATGTTGTTGAGTAACCCATTTAGCAGCGTGGCCTAAAGGGCAGCCCTTGTGATGAGGATGATGATGTTTTGAGTTTAAAACCAGGTTAACCTTCACCATCATGGATGTTAATGGTAACACTAGACCTCAAGTGTGACCTGACAGATGCTTCAGTAACAGAGACAGCAGGAAGACGGTCGAACAGTTGTTGCCTGTCCCTGTCTCTAGGTAGGACACAATTTGAATCAGTCCACAGCATCACAAAAAAAAAAAAGGGATTTTAGTTGGTCAAATCAGCCGCTAGAATCATGATTTAGGTCAAGTGGTTTTATTCACAAATAAGTCCTCTTTTTAAGGAAAATAAGCGAGATGTGCCTGGCAGTGTCTAAAAGGAGGGGAATACCCTGAAGTGAGCTGCAGCCTGACAGTCACACACCTGTACTTACACTTCAAATAAAAACAAAAACAAAACAGAAAAAAAAACTTGTTTTGCAGCATCAAACTCAGAGTTTTTTCCGCCCATGTGTGGTCTATACGGCTGCTTTACTTAAGAAATTTCATCACAGCGGCCTGAGCTTTTTTATGGGCATGTGCGACAGACATTCACATCCTCTTTCGACATCATTAGTGGTTGAAGCTGAGTTCTGAGGAAGCCTATTTTGGGTTTCATTCTCAAAAGAGGTGGGGTCAGTGCAGCTGGATGGAAACATTGTGAAACCTCTTTACTGTCAAAAAAAAACAAAACTCCAGCACATGACGGGCTCACAGCCAACTCTAATGACTCGTGCTGCAGCTGTTTGCACTAAATACTCTCAAACCATAGATATGCACACACATACAGAGAGAGAAATGCAGTCATGGTTCAGTCAAGGCCCGAATCAAAGCTATCGTACCTCTTTGGAGGGCTTTCGGAGAACATCCCCTACCCCCCCTCCGCTCCTCAGACCGTGACTCAGCACAGTGACAATGCACATAAGAAGAGAGTCACAGGTACGCTCCATATCGCTGTCCTCCTCGCTGTCATCCCCTGAGGCTGTGGGGTCAGAAGGGGAAGCTTTGGTCAAAGCATTAAGGGGTTAAAACCCAGAAGAAAAATGATCAGACTTTATCCGTTTATACACCTTAATATTGAACTCATAAATTCAGCATATTGAAGCACCAGACAGTGTCATTAACCATTTAAAGCTTTGAAAATATAGTAACCAGACCAATGGTAAAATAGGTTTCGCTTTAAGTCAGTGTGATAGTGAAAGCATCAAGCTGCTTTGAGCACGCATTGAACTAATCCTGATAAATCAGAGATTTCACAGTTCGATTCATGTGTAAAAATATGATGTATGACACTGTCAAGTCTCGAAAGATATTCAAGTCTGAATTTTACTGACTTGTGATAGATGACAAACAAGATATAAGAGATCACAACCCTGCTACTGTCAGAGGTTATCATTTGGCAGATTTTCTAAAAGTTGGATGAAAATAAAAAACTTGTGCTGTGACTGAAAAATAGATTCAATGTATTGGTTGTTTTTCTAAACATGTGTCTTACCACGAACCTTTATCTAAGGACAAACAAACCAAGAATGACTGAGTCAAAGATAACTGTATTTTCTGGTATAATCTTGAAGTCGCCACGCATCATGACTGGCTGGAACTCTTTAGGCATGGAAACCTTTTAGGACTTCACATGTTGATGTCACATGTGGGCTGGGGAGCCTGGATGTCAATTGTTTAGGTCAAAGGTCAGTGGCACTGTCTCACAGATGTAGCCAGTCAAGAAACTGAATCTCTTTGTTACTTTTGTCAGTCCCTACAGACTGTCCTTTCCTGCAGCCTTTATGTCTGACCTCACAACTTGAACAGATTGTAACCATTAATCCTTATCACTGCTTTAATATTGAAAAACATATTTTTTTACCACGGTTATTTGGTGTGTTTGTGTGTGTGTTTGTGATGTTCTGCTTTGTGTTAATGTCTTTTTTTAACTGCAGGCGCAGCTCAAAAAATTTTGAACGTCCCAAAAAGTTCATTTTTTCCCCATAATTAAAAAAAAAAGGGTAACTTACATATATTCTAGATAAATCTAACACAAAGCAAAATATTTCAAGACTTTTTTTCTTAAATATTAATGATTACAGCTCACAAAAATAAAAAATTCTACATTACAAAACAATCCAAATCAAGGATTTATATTAATGAAATGTGGACCATTCATTTATGCACCAAGGGTCCTCTTTCACACAAAAACTGTATCAATGCTACATGATGTTGAGGCAAGAAACTAGATTTTTCCACAGTATTTTAGTGTGTTTGAGATGGTGTATTCCGATTTTTGTGAGCTGGAAGCTGTAATCATCAAGATTTGATTAAAAGTAAAAGTCTTGAAAAATTCCACTTTGTGGCTGATGAATCTGTGATATCTGAAAGTTTTACTTTTTAGATTAAATAATGGGAAAAAATGAGATTTCTGGGACACATTCATTTATGGAGCAGCACCTGTTTGTTATTTTCCAATTGACATGTGCAAAGATACAGCAGCTATAAATGAGCTCAAAGCTAACTGGCACAACACATAAATGGTAACACTGAAGTTAAATATCCTACAAGGTGCATTTAAAAATAAAAATAAAAATAGATTAAATAATTAAATTATAATCTGAGCTTGTTTATCACTTTTAAAAGAAAAAATATCAACATTTAAATAACAATTGTTTTTCAACTTCCAAAAAAAGTTACTGAAACAGTCTTAATTCATGCAGATTGAATGCGATATGAAATTAATTACAGTGCATTTTACCTTCCTGTATGGTTCCTGTGGTGCAGTTCTCATCAGTCCCTCCCTGACACATACCTGAGGACAAAAACTCACTGGCCAGACTCGCTCCATTTTCTTTAAAGTACAAAAGAAGAGAGTGTATTCTTTATTCTACTTTTACATATAAGAACAACAACTACTGCATGCTATGTTCTCTGAGAAGAGAAGATTTAAGACAAGAGTTTATCCTCACTCAGAGTCGTGTTTGGGATACGATCAACCTCCAGGATGAAGTCGTCTTTGAAGAAAATGTAGCCGACGATAGAGAACAGGTAGACCAGGATGAGGGCGAGCACAGCGGTGAGCACAATAGAGCGCCCATTACGGGTCACGCTCTTGATCACATTAAGCAACGTTTCTTCTCGGTACACCAGGTCAAACAACTACAGGGTAAAAGCAAATACCACAGGACAAGCGAATGATGACATTAAATTTGTCCATTGTACAGCATCTTAAAGAGGGCATAACACAAGCTTTGTAAATTTGGGTTCTATTTCGGCCGTCTGTGTGACAGTAGCTTTTGAATATTTTTAAAGTTCCTGTCTGCCAATAATAACAAGTTTACAGCTCCCTGCTTTCCTGCATCTGTCAGGGCATTGCTCACAAGAAACAGTCTAAATACTGTAATATTCAGTCTGACACATTAAAAAGCAAACCTGAGGAACTGGAAACATGATACAGATGAACTTTGATGGAAAGAATCAGTGTGTGTGAATCTGTGTTTACAATCCTACAGCATACATTCTCTGCAAGTGTGTGTGTGTCTGTGTTTCCCTTACCAACAGACTGTAGAAAAAAACGTGGACAAACACCCCAAGACTGCAGATGATGAGGTACATGAGGTGGTAGAGGAACTCAAAGTCCAACACCATGGCTTTGTAGCCGCGCGTGAAGGTTCCTCGATTCCCCACGAAACTTATCAAGAAGATGATTTTATTGCACACCTGAAGAAAAAATAAAGGATTTCTCTATTTAATATGTTGAAAAGGATCATACTTTGTTGAAAGTAAATAAATCTAAAAGCTGTTTCTCAGGGCTCTGGGTCAGGAGGAGATTGCATGACAGTGGTATATCAGAACATGTTGCGATAAATAAAACATGAAGTCTATGTAAATGTTGTTTTTCTGTGGAAACATCATTTCTTAAACCCCATATGAACTAGAAACCAGGGACCAGGATCAACAAAAACCCGGTTAACACTGCAACCACAGATACCGTCCACATCTGATCTTACATATGGGTAACCGGGTTTCTTGCAGGGATTTTTTTCAGATAGTGACAGCTGTGGGATATGAGGAAGGGAGAATCATCAGGAGTGAATCTTTTCTTCCCTAATATAATGAAAACTGAACAGAAACAGTGCTTAATAATAACTGATTTAGTTTCTACCAGTAAAGACTGTTAAAGAAACACTAAATGATAGATTAGAAAATGTCAACAAATAAATGAGTGTGGCATGTGACATCTATGTGACCAGCTGTGTGTGAACTAGATAAATGACCAGGTTAATGCAAGCTTTAGAAATGTGTCTCCTGGTCTCCTGTTCTAGAATGACCTCCCACAATAACCGGGTTTCTTCTTTACATTCAACTTAGCTAATGAGGGGAAAGATGATCAAGCATGGCCCACACTGTGTTATTTTTGAGTGTGTATGTTTAGGGTCACATCTAGGAAATCTCTGGTGAGAGCAAGGATGGTGTTACACCCTCCCTAGGGTCTAGTGACGCACTTAACATCCAATAACACAGCTGGGCACTGCCGTGGGGGCGGGGCAACACCACAGGCAGACGGGGTATTGGTTTGCCAAGTGGGCATGAGTGTGGGTGAGAGAAGAAACTGGTAGCAAAGACTTGGGAAAACAAACAGTAGGATTTGTGACCGGTGAAAAAGAAGTTGTGCATTTTTTATTTTTGAGGTATATGGAAAACAATGACAATGAGAGACATTAAACATTAGAAAGATCAGATTTCTCATCAGTACAACAGTAAGAGAGTAAAGTGGCACGAATCTTTAACAATATCATCTGATAATGTGCAGTATCTCAAAGTGTTATACTTAGTCTTAATAAAAATCACAGCGTATACTACGGCAGATACAGGACAACAGCTGCTTCAGACACTGCCTCCTTATTACCTGCACATATTCATTGTGCTAAAAAGCAGTGTAGAAGTTGAGTCACAGGTGGCTCACACACAATTATCACAAATCCTCATAAAAAGTCTACATGCGGGCCAAGTGGGCCATGATGAAACTGACACTTTCAAACTTCCACTCACAGTTAAAATATTATCTGACTGATGTGATGTGTGGTGTCACTTGCTGGTTTTTATTTTAGTCTGAACCCTCCTATAGCATACAGAATGTACCCTCTATCCTTCACTTCATTCACAAGCAACAGGATTTTTGTGTCTTAAACTTTTTTTTCCAGTCTTCCTCTGTAAACTGTAAATACACACTGTTTGATGATTTAGACCTCAGGTCTCTTGCCTTTACCCCAGCTCAATGAAAAGTCTTCATCACATGATACAACCATTTCTAGTTAGCAGAGCTGAGAGCAGATGTTTCATTGAAAAATAGTCTGATAACACTTTATTTGACGCCTATCTCGATAACGCATTATAAATATATGCATTATGTGTTATAATCAGGTTATAGTACTGTAAAGCTATAGTTATTAACACTCATAAATGCTCATGATGCTTTATAGCAATAATCAGAACGCATTATAAAGCATTTTATTATGACTTAAAAGGTCAGATATTATAATGTGTTATAACTGTTAAAAACTCACTGACAATGACCACACAGATAATACAACTGTTATTAACACATTATAATAATATAATATATAACATAACATATAACACAATATGATGCGTTATAGAGATAGGCGTCAAATAAAGTGTTACCAAAATTCCACTCTGGTCACTCTTCTCAATTTCATTGTTTTACTTGCCAATTAACCTGCTTGTTTTATTTTAATTTACAATGACATGTAAAAAAAAAAACCCTACAAATTCCATAAGCTCTGGGCTGCTTTTTTAAATGACTCCCTACTACGCAAATTATGTACTTCTGCATGACTCAGCAGCACCATCATTTGGGTGAACTGACCCTTTTAAGGACCATACTCACATTGAAGGCACCAAGGAGGAAGAGGGTTGGCTCCAGGCCAACGGAGAAGATAAGACGGAGGATAGTGATGATGACCAAGGCACGGATGCCCAGAGGCTGGGGCATAATAATCACGATGATCATCGTTGCCATGACTCCCATCCAAAGCAGAGCAGATAGGTGGGGATCAAGTACAACTGCAGAAGAGAAACAAGAGGATACAGATGCTATTTATTAAAAAGTACAAAGAAAATGGCTAAAACTGCTGAATCAGACATCCGTATTACTCCTTTAACGTTAGTGTGAGACCATTTGTTCAGAGTTGGTGTTAGGAGGATAGATAAGATTGCAGTTTCCAGCTGAAACAAGACCTTGTCTGGATCAACAGATTTTTTAACCGGCTCCTTCTCTGCTCTGCCTCTCAGGCAGGCCTCAGGCCTTCATCAGGGAGACTTTGAACTCAAAAACAGCCGGTTACATAACACCCAAAAGTGTATGACATACTTTTTTTGTATGTGTGTGTGTGTGCTGGACTTAAGTGAGAGACTACCTGAAGCTCTCCTTGATCCAAGGCTAAATCCAGGATTAGTGTCCTAGTCAGGGGTTTCATGTTGCAACAAGCCACTCAGGCTAAAACCCTCGACCAGGTTTGACCAGCCTAAAAACAAGACCACACCTAACCAACCTGCTGATCAGTCACTAATCCCTCTTTGTTAAAACAGAGGCAAGTGCGTGTGGTTACGGCTCAAGCTTGAAGAGCATGTCAATGAGTAGAGAAACATTCAAAGGGTGGAGCTGATGTTAGAAAAGGAGAATAGAAATAAAAAAAGGAAAAAGAGGCAGAGCAGGGGAAACTAAAAAAACAGAGTTTCTGCAGATTAAAAAGCACAGAGAGAGAGAGAGCAATGCAGGAGAGGGAGCCCTCCTTACCTCCTTTTCCTCCCCTAGATTCCTCCCCCCTCCCAATCGGTGTGGAGATCACATGACAGGTGCCACTTACATAACAACCGGCTCTAAAAATACCTCAGATGAAAGATTTATGAGGAATGAGGAGGGAGCAGCACACCGCTCCAGTGATGTGGCAGACTGAAAGAGGGGCGCTTACGTGCACTCACAAACCCCTACACTTCCACCTCAGGCTTTAGCGTACAGGCAGACTATGGTGGGCAGGATAAAACGAACAGTTCAGAGGACTGCAAACATGTATGCTAGCATATGAACATGTTTTATGAGTTTATGACGCTGACTAATAATCTCCATCCGTAGGCAGGCAGTCATGCATGCAGGCAGAACACACTGACCTAGATCTCCTGCTCTTATAACCCTCTTTCTAGAGCCCCAAGCAGAAAAGGACAAGCAAACACAGTGTGAGTGTTTGAGTGAGTGAGCGAGTGAGGGAGAGAGAGAGAAAGAGGGGCCCAAAGCGATAAAGGTGCCTGGTTATGGCAGGCCAAAGGTATGCTAGAGGCTCACGTGAATGCATCGCACAGAAATTTAAAGTAACCTTAGAGAGGAGACGTACAGTCAGACCTGGGTGCTGTTGTGCCCTCTCTAGATTTATGAATGAGTTCAGTTTTCAGTTTAGTTGCTGGACTTATTTTAAATTCAAGTGTATGTTGCTGAATTATTCTGCCCTGCTTTTCAGAAACACTTTCCCCCAGATGATTCACAAAAATTGTGTTTTGAGTACAACATTATATTTAACCTATAATCATCGGTAAGTAAGGCAAGGCAAGTTTATTTGTATAGCACCATTCATACACAAAGCAATTCAAAATGCTTTAAAGATGCAAGGAAATACATAAAACTTTATAAAAAGAAGAGATTAAAACAATTTAAAATCAAAGAGACAACAATTTAAATTCAAAAAGATCTAAAATGTAATTTAAAATCGTTAAAACAGTTGAAATTTTTGGAACAGCAAAGCAGAAGTTTAAGGAATTTACGCTATAGGAAAGCTGCATTAAACGGTAAGGTTTTTCAGCCCTGATTTAGGGCCGAAGTAGGCTGTGTTATTCATCATAATGTAGTAAATCTTTTCATGAGTTCTGCTAATTGTTTTGACTTTTAAGCTTAAACTTTTTTGAAACAAGAAAAATGAGATTTTGAAAAGATGTATTTTTTTGTTTGTTTTTAACATAAATCTGTGGATATCCTCTCACCATGTTTACACGCTTGTCTGCTTTGTCATCTTTGATTACATAAAAATGGTGAAACGGCTTTGTCATTGGAGCAGAGCTAACTTCTTATCTAAATCAAAGACGCATGGAAAAGATTAGAATGGAAAACTTTACCGACCAAAATTAGAGAGTCAAAAATCAACAAAGAGAGTTTGGCAGCTGAACAGACAGTCTTGTTTTAGATGTAAAACATGACGCATGACTTCTCCTGGTCATCTGATATGTGTAGTTCGACTTTTTCCTACCTGTGTGATTTGTTTATGGAAGACTAAATGACAGTGGGCGCCCCTTACTGCGGTTTCCATGGCAATGAAAGACAAAATATGAGTTCAAAGCGTTGAAAACATAGGGTTGTGGTAAATCTATCTGCGAGTGTGTGTGTGTGTGTTTGTTTCAAACAAAGGCAGAGGGTTTCTAGGGTCCTGCTTTTAATCCAGGTCAGGTGATCAGGAGTCAGCAGATCCGATCTCTGCAGTTAAAGGAGATCAGTGGGTCAGTGCTGATGCCTCCAAGGATCAAGAATCAGATCTTCAAAGTCTGTATATGTGGGTGGCTGAACCACATGACCTGATTTTGACACAGGTTCTCTAATCACAGAGTGACGTAAATGTGGAGATCAAACTATATGCACTGAGTATACATATTTAATCGGATGACATAACAAGGCAGAGATTTCAGTTTTTTCTCTCCCTGCTAATCTCTTGCCTTCACTACTTGCTTTACACGATAGCTCCCCCCTTTTTAAACAAATCACCTCTGAATTGATATTTTCTTCACCTCTTGTCTGTGTCAGAGCAGGCTATAAAAGGTAACGGAACCAGAAAGTAGCAGACAAAACTACCAAATAGTCCCATCCTTCCTGTTTTGCGTCATTAGTGCATCACCTTTCTTTGTGCCCATTTCCAGAGAAGTCTGTAAATCACAGCCCACACAAGTTTACCTCTGAACAGCTGCACAAACCCGACATCAACATGCTTAAAAAAGACTCGATAAGAGCAGTGAATGTTAGGTATACATTGTGGAGTTTTATCTGAACTAAGCTTACGATTATTATTATACAAATCAAGATCATTTTAAAGAGACTCTGACAGCCAAATGATTAAAAAGGAAGCTACTGATGTGTGACTCACCTCCATCCACCCCCTCCAGAGGATAGAAGAAGCAAACAAGCAGGTTCATGAGCACAGCCAGATTGAAGGAAACGTTACTCCACACCGACATGTTTCTGGAGCACCAGTACAGCACAGGCTGGGCTGAGGAAGGAAAAAAATATGATATTAGATCATGTAAAATGATTTCATACAATGATTTAATGACTTTTCTTTTTATTAAGAAAACCTAAAATTCAGAAAGTGCCCCAGGTTTGTCCAATAAATAGTTCAGAAGACCAACACATTTAATCTAGGTGACATTAAACACAGAAAAGTGTCAGGAACTCATAACTAAGAGGCAGTGACCAGGAATAATGATTAAATGTCTTTACAATGCATGTGTGTAGAAAATTAAGAGAACTGATATGAAGGAAACAAGCATAAAATAAGACAGAGAGAAAGAGAGAGAAATTATACTTTTATTATAATCAATAAGTAATAAGGACATTAATATAACTGACACCAGAACAATTTAGAGAACAACAGCAAAAACAGCCACAATTGTTAAAAATGAACGGTGAAATATCAACCATTTCAACCTCAAAAGTAAAAACACACGAACATGTTTCTTTAGATGAAAAATCCGACTTCTGATTTGATATTTTCTGACTTCTGGTGGAGTAGACAACAGTAACAGATGCAGGGACTTTTCTCTGTCCATCCCCTATTCGAGGTGAGAGACAGAGTGTGTGTGTGTGTGTGTGTGTGTGTGGGTATGCAGACTTGTAAATGGATTAGAAGTGTGACTGAGTGTGGGTGCTGGTCTGCATGTGTGTGCGTGAGCGCGTGTGTGAGCAACAGAGCTCTCAGTTGTGATTCATAAGGTTACTGTACAAATGTTCACGGCTCAGAGAACGTTGGAAAGCCCCTGTCTGCTTTTAGACAGTGGAAACATACACGCACAACACAACACAACACAACACAACACAGGCTCTCTCTCTCACACACACACACACACACACACACACACACACACACACACACACACACACACACACACACACACACACACACACACACACGCAGAGTGACATAGTTAGAGCTGCTGTCAATTTGTAACACACACCCATCCTTCCATCCAACTTCCATTCAGCTTATCCTGATCAGGGACACAGGTCTACTCCCTGAAATGGGTTCGACATGGAAACATTGTCAGTCTAGGCTGGCAGTCTGCTGGCATAGGGAGTGACAAAACCACATCCTCCCCTGTGGTAGATATGAAGTTTCCACTCCACCTCACTGACAAGTCTTTGGATAAGATTCCTACTGCCTATTAAAGAGCACAAGCAACACCCTTACCAAAACACTCTCAAGATACTTAAACCAAAGTGTTACCAGACGACACAAAACCCTTAATACTAAAGAAATGCTCTGTTGTAATGTTGGTGCCTATGCAGTCTACAGTTCATGTTTGGCCTGGCTCTTGTCTGGTAGGTAACACCTGTAGATGAAAAAAATCAAAAAAAAAAAACAAAAAACAAAAAAAAACAAACATAAAAATGGGACAATTTCGATTCACATAAATATGAAAGAGGATTAGGGCTGCATGAAGAGAAAAAAAATTATCGCAGGAAGGAGATTAAATTTGGAATTTTGAGAAGAAAGTTGAAATTCCGAGATACAAAAATCGAAATTATGTCAATAAAGTTGAAATGTCCAGATTATAAATTAAAATTTTAAGATTAAAGTCTAAATTCCGAGATTACAAAATGTCACAAATAATGTCGAAATTTAGAGGTAAGAAAACGAAAATTTTGAGATCAAAGTCGAAATTTTGACATTTAAGTCAACATGAATAAAGTCAAAATTTCAACATTTAAGTCAACATGAATAAAGTCAAAATTTCAACATTCAAGTCAACATGAATAAAGTCAAAATTTTGAATGGAAATTAAAAAAATCTCCCTCCTGTAATTATTTTTTTCTCTCCTTGTGGCCCTAATCCTCTTTCGTTCATAAAAGACTTGATGGTGCATGGGCGATTTTACTGAAAAATCTGTTTAAAATAAAGCATTTTCTTAAATGTCATGGTATGATATGAAGCGCATTTTTGTGAGAGTGAGGTTTCACGACCGTGAGAAGTGCCAATGATCCACTAGTATACATCACGATAAAAAAGCATGAAGTTTTTCTGGGAAACAAACAAGACACTGAAGTTGTGCATAAAATCAGCTGATCAGCATGAGGGAGCTTCTGAAGGAAAAAGTCACATGAACTGAAGCAAAAGATGTTTTCTTGATGACTCATCATGCTCACTAATTCATGTCACAATTCCTGGTTGGACTGCACTTGTCTTTACTGCATGGGTGTGATCAAATTTTGCAAACACCTTCTTTTGTATTTTCTAACTGAGGTAGCTGTCATGAGTGTTTGAGCCCACAAAAGTTACATCCTGCTCCTACCTCTGAGCTTCTTCTGCCAGTTCATCTCATTGAAGAGGTCCTCTGCTCGCAGGAAGAAGTCGTTGATCTTGCTACCCTGCTCATCCCTCTCTGTGGTGTAGTACACTCGTAGCTTGGACTCAGAGGTAAGGAACTCGCAGATGTTGGGCACAGGGAACACTATCTCCTCCATGGTGCGGTCCTGACGCACAATCTGGACACAAAGACACACTGTCACATCCTAAGGCCAAAACACCTTGGCTCCTAATTTGACTTTTTCTTCCCATATCTACAATAAACAAAGGCGTGTTTTCAGACCTCTATCTGAGCTGTGTGTTTAGCGTAGAACTCAAGAGCCTCATCCCCCTCTCCATTGGCCCCTCCAGGCCTTAACATTATGGACAGCTCCTTATTGTGACGAGCCAACTGTACAAAATGAGCACAATCAACATTTAAGCTGAACTTTCTTTCTGTGTTGGGATTCATCTCAAACATGATGCAGGAAGGAGCAGCAGACCTGGTGAGCTAAAATGTAAATGTTGTGTCCGACATTTCGGGGTGAAGCAGCGTCATGCTCCTCCTCTTCCCCATTTTCCTCCTCTTCTTTTGTGTCCTCAAACTCCACCTCTCCCTGTAGATAGGCTTTCTTTATCACCTCCACCTGTGAACACACAAACACTTTTCAGTTTTCACAGATTCTTATATGATACTTAAACCTTAAGACACATTTTTGTGTGTTTTCTCACAAGCTCTTTTGGTCTCATGTTGTACAGGATCCTCTCTGCGTTCTCGCTGTCATGGCGGCTCTCCATGATGGCCAGAAGCAGCTTGGATGCATTGTTCTAAAAAAGAAAAGAGAGAAAGCCTCATAAAGTTCAGTTCAGGCTTCTTCCAAGTGAAACAGACAGAAACCCTGGTGTTTAGAAAAATGCTCTCTGCGGCTGTTTGTCTTGGCATGCTAGCTTGTTGACCTCAGATGCATGAATATCCCGCTCTCATGCTTGCAACCTGGTTGTGATATTCCATCTTTCTGTAGAGGAATCTGCAGGGTTTTTTTTACATTAACAGACCGAGATCCGAACTAAGACTTCACCTGATCCCAAATTTCAAACAAAAAAGTAGAATTTAACCTTAGAAGACTCACCTTCAGCTCTAACACCAAGTCCATACGCTTTTTTCCAAGTGGGTTGATGTCATTAAGGATCAGGGCGATTATAATATCTATTCCATTGGACTCATGGGTGGCAATGCAGTTCTAGAGGGAAAAACAGGGTTTAGAAAACGTCAAACAGCACTTCAGTACAGTTCAGCCTTAGCATGACCTCTTTATTAGGGGTGGGAGAAAAAAAACAATACAGCACAGTATCGCGATATTTTGTCTGGTGATATATCATATCGCCTCATCTGCCAAATAACGATTTTCTCAAATTAATTGTTAATATGAGGTCAGATCTATGATGATGGAAAAATAAAATCAACTGTTTGTCCGGTGAAGTTGGCAGAGGTGACATCATAGAGCAGGAGAAAGTTAGTACAACAAATGTGAATATAAGGTTTGCATAATGTGCTACATGAAAATAAAATACAGCGTAAATAAGACAAACATAAAGGAAAGACAAATGCTAAATTAACTAAACAGTTGGAAAAATTGTATGAATCGCAATATATTGTATCTAGGCTGACCATACGTCCTCTTTTACCCGGACCTGTCCTCTTTTTTGGGGGCTGTCCAGCCTTCTCTGGCTTTGTCCAGGGTAGTTTATAAAATCCTTCAAATGTCCAGGGTTTTGTATGGAAGTTTTGAGTTTGTGTCGTGTGGACTAACTGAGTTAGAAGCGCATAAAAAACACCTGATCCGACCCGAAAACCCCCAAAATTAACTATGCGTGACTTCCTGACTTTCTGACTTCCCGACTCCGCCCACGTGTAGTCGTGTCCTCTTTTTGGGGATTCAGAATATGGTCACCCTATTTGTATCGCAATACTCACTGTATCACCAAATGGTAAAAATTGCAATAATATCGTATCGTGGCCCAAGTACCGTGATAATATCGTATCTAAGGGGCCACTAGTGATTCCCACCCCTACTCTTTATGTACCTGGTTTTCATGGCAGGGGCCCTGGCAGTACTCTGTGAGGCTCTCCAGAGTTTGGTTGATAAGAGCTACGTTCTTCTCATTGATGTAGAGGCCCAGCAGGCCAAGACCTCCTGTGGTGCTGCCGCAGATACAGTCCAAGAACTGCAGAGTTTCACACACCAGGTTGTAGTTGTTTTTGTTGTTTTGACAGCGGAGAAAGTTCTGAGAAAAAAAAAGAAAAGAAAAAAGTTAGTCTGTGTTGACTAAAATGGGCTTTTTACCAGTATTAGTCTGGTGATGGCCAAACAGAAAAACAACTCAATTAAAACAATGGTGTGGCTCTTATGAAATAATGGCATCTGTGCCACGCTAAGAGGTTTACGAAGACAAAAGACGGACAAAGTGAGCAACCATATTTCTATTTTAAACTTGACCATCCCATGAGAAGCATGTAAATCTGCAGTCACAACGCCACAAACAGATCCCAACAGGCCAGTTTGAAGTAAATCTTTTGTTTTGCAGAGCATTCCTTTGAGCTTTGTTCACCAACATGAACACAACTTTAACCTCCCATACAGAGCAATGTTGGTACTGAAGAAAGGTAGATGTAAGAGGGTGGAACTTTTGACCCACATTATGACTAGATAAAACAGAAAAAAGAGGCTAACTTGTGGTTGGCTGTTCTGTCTCCTCAGGAACAAATCTCTATCACAAAAAAGAAAAGGGTTAAGTGAATTACTTTTCTTTTCTTTATGAGGAGTAATGTATTTCAACATTTACAACCAGCATCTAAGAAGAGGTTTTGCCACCATGATTTATTCTAATGGAGCCCAAAGGTCAAGAGAAACTCTGTAAACACGAGGACTCTATTCTCAGCTTAATAAAAGACCAAACAGTATCACAACATTTTATTATAACCATTCATAATAACTCGATCAGTTTGCCTTGCAGTGATCCTGTTTCTGTCAGAGCTTTTCACACCAAAAGACATCTAAGAACCAGCAGAGTCTCAAGCTCAGGCTGCCCACCTGCAGGTCTCGGTTATGATTCTCACAGAGAAGCTGGAGGAAGCGAAGGATGGGCTGCATTATGACGATGACAAAACTCATTTCTCCCTCATCTTGGTTCTTGTCTCCAGTGCTGGGCTGGCCGTCTGCTGAGTTGAAGTGCTCCTCAGGATCTGCTTCACGTCGGTATGAGTTAAAGGCTTTCTTGGTTGCAGATGAGGCCTCTAATAGTTGCTCTCGCACATCATCCGTCATGACAATAGCTGATTCTCTCGCTAAACAGACACATTTTACATTAGAAACCACATGAATCTTCTTTCTCATTTAAATTTGATTAGGAAACTTAATGATTTGAATTCAATTATTTGAACAATTAGTCAAATTAAAATAGATTAAAGTTCAAAGTTCTTGTAAGTGACCTCTGACCTTTCTTGCGGACAGGGACGTCTTTGTCCTGGCTGTCATCGTCTCTCTTCCTGTTTCCCAGGTCACTGGTGTTAACTGTCACCGTGGCTTTAATCTCCAGCTGGGCCAGTTTCATACGGTCGTAAAAGACTCGGAAGAACTTTTCAGATTTCTTGTCGTCCGTCAGACGGCAAAAGAAGGAACGCTGGAAACAAAAAGAGAGAGAAAAACAGAGATCGTATGAGTTGTCTGTCATTCCCTGAGCAAATCATCTAAGTTACTCAGATTGTCACATCTGTAATTTATATAAAACCCAGTTCCATTGAAGTTGGGAAATTTTGATGAATGTAAATAAAAAAAGAATACAATGATTTGCAAATCCATTTCAACCTATATTCAATTGAATACACTACAAAGACAAGATATTTAATGTTCAGACAAATAAACTTTTTTTTTTTTTGCAAATAATAATTAACTTTAGGATTTCATGACTGCAACAAGTGCCAAAGTAGTTGGGAAAGGTGGCAAAAATACTGAGAGATTTGAGGAATGCTCATCAAACACCTGTTTGGAACATCCCACAGGTGAGCAGGTTAATTGAGAACAGATGGGTGCCATGATTGGGTATAAAAGCAGCTTCCCCCAAAAATTTTCAGTCTTTCACAAGCAAGGATGGGGCGAGGTTCACCACTTTGTTAACAACTGCGTGAGCAAATGGTCGAACAGTCTAAGAACAACGTTTCTCAAAGAACAATTGCAAGAAATTTAGGGATTTCAACATCAACGGTCCATAATATCGTCAAAAGGTTCAGAGAATCTGGGGAAATCACTGCAAGTAAGCGGCACGGCCGGAAACCAACACTTCAGAAAACCACTGTCAGTAAATACAGTTCGTCACTACATCTGTAAGTGCAAGTTAAAACTCTACTATGCAAAGTGAAAGCCATTTATCAACAACATCCAGAAACACCGATGGCTTCTCTGGGCCCGAGCTCATCTAAGATGGACTGATGCAAAGTGGAAAAGTGTTCTGTGGTCTGACGAGTCCACATTTGTAATTGTTTTTGGAAATAATGGACGTCATGTCCTCCGGGCCAAAGAGGAAAAGAACCATCCAGACTGTTATCCACACAAAGTTCAAAAGTCAGCATCTGTGATGGTATGGGGGTGCAATAGTGCCCAAGGCATGCGTAACTTACATATCTGTGAAGGCAACATTAATGCTGAAAGGTACATACAGGTTTTGGAGCAACATATGCTGCCATCCAAGCAACGTCTTTTTCATGGAAGCCCCTGCTTTTTTCAGCAAGACAATGCCAAGCCACATTCTGCACGTGTTACAACAGCGTGGCTTCGTAGTAAAAGAGTGCGGGTACTCGACTGGCATGCCTGCAGTCCAGACCTGTCTCCCACTGAAAATGTGTGGTGCATTATGAAGCGTAAAATATGACAACAGAGACCCCGGACTGTTGAACAACTGAAGCTGTACATCAATCAAGAATGAGAAAGAATTCCACCATCAAAGCTTCAACAATTAGTCTCCTCAGTTCCCAAACGTTTATTGAGTGTTGTTAAAAGGAAAGGTGATGTAACACAGTGGTAAACATGCCCCTGTCCCAACTACTTTGGCACGTGTTGCAGCCATGAAATTCTGAGTTATTATTTCTGAGTAATTATTTGAAAAAAAAAAAAAAAAGTTTGAACATTAAATATCTTGTCTTTGTAGTGTATTCAATTGAATATGGGTTGAAAAGGATTTGCAAATCATTGTATTCTGTTTTTATTTACGTTTGTCACAATTTCCCAACTTCAATGGAATTGGGTTTTGTACTTTTCTATTTCAAAAATTAATCTGAAATATAATAATTAGCTTGCAATTATTAATGCAAGTTGTTTGAAGATATTTATGAGAATTTGTTGGCATTTTTACCAGCAGTTTTCAGTATTTTAAACTTTTTTAAGACAAATCTAAAAAGCTATATGTCATCCTCAGAAAGTTGAAGCACCATGCATCTGCAAAAAAGATCAAATGATCATGAAACTGAAACTGTAAATCGGTTATGTTGCAAAATTTTACACTCCATTTTTAAAAAAAATTCTTTAAAACTGTTCATCCTTTTTATTCTTTCAAAAAATTTAATCCCTCCATTCAAACAACATGGTCTTAACTTGACCCCCATAATCCACAGAGCAGAGAGTTGGGATTTACTGCCATGCAAAGGCTTAAACGCTGCAGTTATTACTGTGGAATGGGGTCACGCAGAATTAGAACAGTTTGCAGCCCGCGAGCACACCGTGTCCCAACCCACAGGGCTGTTGTTTTGATTATGTAAGAGCTGTTATCTGCTGCTGCCGCTGCCTATGGAAAGGCTTCAACATGCAGAAGCCTCACCACACTTGCAGGGTGAAAAAAGACACGAGACGGTGAAGCCTGGCCCACTTACACAGACAGAGAACCAGGAAGATGTTGAAGAGAGGGGAGTAGAAATGCCAGAGGCCAGAGACACCAAAGAAGGAATTAGGGAGTACAAAGTGGAAAAGAAAAAAAACAGGTGAATTGGAAAGGGGAAACAAGAGTAAGAGGTAGGGAGGGAGGGAGTGTTATCAGGTGGTATCTAGGCCAGTTCTCAAATCTGTTACATAACCACCAGTCTTTCCAGGTTAGATGTAAAACTGGGCTAGTGGAGGAAACAAATATATGATAGTCACAAGGATAACATTAGGCAAAACAGACAAAACATCCCTTGTTCTCCCTGCTTCAAGGTCTCAGCCTCAGGGTGTTTTTGTTAACATGATTATATGCACTGGATTTTTATCTTAAACGGCCTCATCTGAATTTAACTGCCAAAGTGTCCAAACAAGTGAGTGTGTGCAGCTTATCATTACAACACAGAGAAGGGTTAACCCAGATATTTGGCCAAATTTCTTCAAAAAAAAAACAATTACATAACCCTGCGCTTGTGCCTCAAAGCAAATTCCACAGCCTTATTGTGCCCCACCCTGGCCGGCACTCCTGCACTGTCGAGCAGTAGCCCTTCTGCACGTACACACTCTGCCAACGCTCAGGGACGAAGAGATTGCATAGCGGCGAGGGGAGGGGGAGGCGGGAAGAAGGGGGGCTGCCATGCAAGGCCGTCATGCAATCAACAACTTGATGACAGGGAAGAGGCTGCAGAGGAGGAATTAGCTGCACCGCCGGCAACCCTCTTCAGCCCACAGTGTAGACAGAGGACAGAGATGAGTGAGGAGAGTGATGGTCAGCCTCTGTGCTCACATAACTCTGCCCCCCCCAGCAGCAAGGGTGTGAGGGAGACATCAGGCAAAGCTCCAGTATAACACACATTGATTCTAGCAGAGCAAACAGAGGGAAAAGCATTCACCGTCACCCCTACTCCCCCTCCCTTCACCATTACATAACAAGCGCGCGCACACACAAATACACACACATACAGTACGAGCACACCCAAGCTTAAGAGTGCATAAGCTAATCCACCCACTGACTATCACACTTGAAAACTGGGTCAGCTGTCTCCAACATAGGCACATGCCAATTTTGAGAGGACACACCCACATATCACACATGCTCCGCAATACAGTATTCTCCCGCAAACTCAAACACTGCCAACTTTGTCCTTATGTAATCGCATTCATTTTGCACTGCCTCATTTTTATTAAACGTTGCGAGGATGTGGCGTGTTGGAGAAGCTGCGTACAGTGAGAGTGTGCAGAATGAGCGCCGAGCCAGCAGGCCTGTTTCATATTATGCGTGCAGGCTAGCTCGACTATTGAATTTCACTGCGTTAGTGGCAAGTTTGTTTGATTAATGCTGGCGAGGTGGGGAGTGTATCGGTCATGTAAGAGTTATTAATTGTTTCATTCCAGCAGTGGAAGTTTTTCGCCTGCGGCAGCTCAATGAAAGATCCTTTCTTTAAAGGGCCTGTTTCTAAGAATTGAGCTGAGTTCAGCGGATGGTGTGAGTCAGTGAAACAAAGCCTCTACTTTGAAAAGGAACAACCATAGGAAAGGAAAAACATCACAGCAAACTTTGGTGTCAGGGTTTCTTGAGAAATGATGTGATGTGTATAAATCAAAAGAAGAAACCTGAGCTGTCATGTCAAACCAGTTGTGGCTTCTGTCATGTTTTTTATTACTTGTCTTCTCACTCTCTGACATGAATCTGTGCTGCCTTACCAAGACGCCATCTGTGTTTTTATAGCACTTGAAAATCAAAGACAAGAGTGGTATGATGGAGGGATGATGTAATGTGTGGTGGCCGAAGAGAGACTAAATTGATAGTAACAGAGAGGGATGGAGGAGAGGAAGAAAGGAGATGAGAAGGCTAGATGATCATCTCAGGGGCCTCCTGTAGTTTGGGTAAACACAGAGCATGTCTGTATCCATGGCGACAAACCCTGAGTGAAATGAGACAGAGAGGAGCGGGGCGAGTTGGGGGCGGACAACACTGAAAAACAAGGTCAGAGCGCTTTCCCTTCTCTCCTTCCGTTCTGCCACTTGGCATCAACAAAGGGATGTTATGTAACAGCTATTTATACTCGCGCTCTCTTTCCTCCTCGCCCTCCCTCTCGTGTCAGGCAGCACCGCATGCAAACCCAAGAGGAACTGAAAATGTGCTCTCCTACAAACCCTTTCCCCTCTTTCCTTTAATTCTTCCTTGTTTCAACACATTAACCTTACTTCTCCTTGTTTTTTTTCACCCCCAAAGAGAGTTTCTGCAGACCTTTGTTTGCCTCTTATCAATCACTGTCAAAAACTGCAAGTCATGGTGGAACGAGCCATGTGGCTGAAAAGTTGAATGTCAAAACTCACATGTCACAACATTATTTAAAGCTGACAGAGCTCTGTTTTAGCAGGAATGAGATAGGAATAACAAGAGCGGTGAGGGGTTGAAATCTCTAGAAGGTGCTGACAGCTAAAAATTAAAGTTCTCGGGACATCTAGCTTTACATAACAGCAGAAAGAAGGAAAGGGTGTGTGTGTGTAACAGCATGCAATGCAGAGATGTTTTTTGTGGTATATTTGCGTGTGCTTTGTAGGTCACGAGTAAATAGTTAACTGTGTTACGTGAGAACAAGATATTCAGGAACCAACAGGTGCTCAGCTCAGCATGTCAAAGTCAAAGGCACTGACAACAGCTGTCGAGTATTTCATTTGTGGGCCTTCTTAAAGAGAGCACAGAGAGTTAGACGTAAATTCAACTTTTTTTTTTTTTTTTTTTTTGCAAAGGCATGCTTGATTATTGAACCCGCGCTATCAGCAGGATGTCACACTTTTGACTGTAATTAAAAACAAACAGTGAATCGAATTAGTAGATGTCTGCTTTAATTAAAGGGTTCAGTTAAACTCAGATAATAAGGGAAAAATCCGATATCTCAAAGAACTTCAGTATTTTGTAGTATATGGCACATTTCAAGAGCAGTCATTTTGCTCAGAGAAATCGGCCTTTGAAAAGAAAAAAATCTTGGGTAAGAGGAGCACCGGCTTCTCTTCAATCTCCTCGATGTTCGCCCCCCTCCCCCCCACGCCCTCTCTCCCCACTGCCCCAGTTCCGGAGGCCCAGCATGACCCAGTTTGGGCCGGCAGGAGAGAGCGCGAGGGAGAGAGGCTGGAATGTTTTGAAGGCTGAGACATTCCTCATTGTTCATTCACACAGGCCTTATGTAACACAGACAGATCACGTGACGTAGCTCTGCAGCAGCCGTGGGAAGCCAAAGCATTATCTCTGCCACAGCGGCTTCCTCGCTCTAACCTGATTATGCAAGCTCCGCTCTTACACAACAGCATGCAGACAGACCAACGCACGAACGGACGTACGGATGGATGGATGGAAAAGAGGAGGAAATCAGACGGAGAAACAGACATGGAAAGTAAAAGAAAGAGAGGTAGAAAGTGACAAATAGAAGGAGAGGAGTTGCTTTTCTTAAAAGCAAATAGAAAGAAAATGACCATGGCCTCCAGCTAAAAGCTAAAGCTAATATGAGAGAAATCCAAACTGATCAAAACTAAAGATAATGAACCGAACACGATCAACAAACTCCTGTCTTTATAAGCAGCTGCTACGGCCTTAAAACGAGCAGATTTAGTTCTGGATATGAAGTGGAAGAGAGCTGCCTTAGTAATGTATATGAGCAGATATGGTGGCACACTGACCTAAATACTGCAGATCCTTTAGTAATGAAAACCATCATCCATGACACACTATTGTGTTCATTTCCCCAATCTGATTGTAGCAGATCCTTTACAGATGCATTGTAAGATAAAGCGGACTTAAGTGCGAATGCTAACCCAGGTCGGTTACAGTTTGTAGTGAGGTCAGTAGGTGAGTGTGTGATTTTTTTTCCGTTAAAGATTCAGGCAGGTCAGATATTCCTTTAGCTGCTTAGGCATGACTTAGATTGTTGGTTCACTGACCTGGATGGTAGTATTTCCACCCTCCAGTAGTGCAATCGCCAGTAGGATGCTTTCTTGGAAGACACGGTCACTGGTGGTGTTCATGATGAGGTCGATGACCAGGTCAGAGGCTCCTTCTTTGTCCAAGTGACACTGAACCTCAGCTAGGCTCATTTCCCCACGACTCAGCCCCCCTGAAACCCCCAACACTGTATGACACACGAAGACGGACAGATTAGAGTCTCCATTATGAGGAATATGGTCCATGAAAATAATAATTTCTAAGGTCATCAATGTTACAATGTCATTGCACAGACGCTTTTATCTAAAGTCACGAACACACAAGAGCAAGAACAAGAACAACACAAGAAAAGATCTAGACAAGAGGAAACAAGATCGGTAAGAGCAACGAGTGCTTCAAGTCTATCTGGACACAGGTACTGCCAAGCAGTGCCCTTGTGTAACGCTGAGGCTAAAATCAGCCACTAGGGACAAAATTTAGCCACTAATTTCCACGTAATTTTTTTTTTTACAGCAGCAAATAGGATGATTTTTTGTGCAGATGCTTATATTGATGGACACTTTGAGAATATAACTTAAAATTTTCACCAGTCCAAAAATACCCGCTGGGCAAATTTTCATCTGTTGTTAACGCTCAGTGGCTAAAAACAGCCACTAACTTTGACTGCTGTAAAAACATATCGGGTTAATATTTTTTTTCCCTTTTTTTCATATATCTCTTAAATAACTTCTGCTTTGATCAAAACTAGTCCATTCAAAACATAGTGTCACTGATATGGTAGAAAATAAATCTAATAAAAATCAGTCATTTTCCTCCCATTTCTTTCCCAATATTAGTGACTTTATGTTTTAAATGGGTCCTTAAAGGGTTAAAATTTGGATTCTTAATGAAACATTTACTAGTTTTGAATAGAGCAGAAATTAATTAAGAGATATATAAAAAAAAAAATCTGGAAAAATATGAATCCAATATGTTTTTACAGCAGTCAATGGTAGTGTCTGTTTTTAGCCACTGAGCGTTAAGGAAGTATGTAAATCTAAGGGTAACACAAGTGAAAACACAACGGTAATTAATATTTTTTTAAATTATTTTTTTATTTTAATATAATGTTATTTTTTTAAATAAGGAACTTTAACACTAAAGCAATCAATCAATTTAAAACCTTTTGTCATCACCATCAAATAACTTGTCTTCACCACAAAATTATAAAGATACCGAGTGCTGGGTCACTCAGATACTGAACATAAATTCCCAGAGTAGAGCAGGACTGTAGCTAGGAGGCTCATTTAACCACTGTGGACAACAGTGGAGACTAGTCTAGCTGAGTGCATTGTGTTCTCTAAAGAGCTGGGTCTTTTGAAAGTAGACAAGGACTCTGGATAAAGGATCTGTTTGCAGGAGCTTAAGATTTAACTGTCTGGCAACAAATGAAGACAGTTTTAAGTATTTTAAAACGTCAGAAAGTCTTAACAAAATGCATGTCCATGCTATGACTGATTCATTTATTTTCATCAAAATATTTCTTCATCAACTTCTTCTTTTTCTCTTGGCTATGGCTAAAAAGCACTGAAATTACAGCAACACATCCTCTTATCTTAGGGGCGACTGTGGTTAAATGGGAGTGGCTGAGTCTGTTGTTTCCAAACCAGAAGGCTGAGGGGTTCAATCCCAGGTCACAGTCCACATTTGACCCCATTGGTGCGCCCAGTGGTATGTGAATGGGATTAGTCAAAAACTGATGGGCTCTATACATAGCAGCCTCTGGCATCAGTGTGAATGTGGTGTGAAAGGGGGAATGTGACATGTAATGTAAAGGCAATTTAAGTGGTCATAGGACTAAAGAAAGCATTATATATAAAACAGTCCACTTACCATTTACCATTCACCATTTTTTTAAAAAGCACACCACTACTATTATTTATCTATTCTTATCTATGGAAAAACAGAAAACCAGTCCAGCAATAATATTCGCTGCATTCAAAATGGATCCTAAATATTAAACAAAGAATCGTGGAAAACAGGGAGGACAAAAGGCCTGAAACTCAGACCTGTGCATGCAAAATTCATCAACAAGTTTTTACTGACCTCGCCCTTGAAAGTTTGTAAAATCTGTATAAAATATTCATTACAACCACAATATACTTCATCAGAAATGCAAATTGAATCTACTTGTGGTGCCTTTTTCCGTTTTTGAAAATTTAAAGTTGAATGTTTAAAGACAAGTTTTTACAAACTCTGTTTTTTTAACTACTGTGAAGCTAAGCCTGTAGACGCTGCCAGCTGTACATTGTGTATGAATCTGCGGCATGTTTCCCCTCCTGAGGCCTGAGCTAAAGATTCATGTGGAGTTCATAGCCTAGCTATTGAATCTGCAACAGCTGTTTTCACAGGAAGTAGCACCCTGTCTCCTAGCAACATTTAAAATATAAACATGCAATATGCATAACATGCATGCATGATAGTTTCACAGTCATTTCTCACTATATGTGAAAATGTTATTAAATGTGCAGCCATTCTGAATTTATATGACACTCAGAGACCCCCCACACACATACCACCGATAAGTCCATCTAATCTGCATGCAGATAAAATGCTCTGCATTTCAAAACGCATAATTCAAATAAAGGCAGAGACTTTACACAGATCTGCCGTGTTTCAGTGTTTTGACTGCAGATAGTAACACAATGACCATGCTATCATGTAAAGATAAGAGTATTGTGCTGTGCGTGCTCAAAGGGCAGCTCACAGGATAGCTCTGAAGCTGATAAGAGACTCGGGGCCAGACACACTCCTATCCTTATGTAACATTACTGACAGAGCCTGGCTTTACTATAACTACAGGGGCAGAAAACAGTTTGGCTGACCGAAACGAAAAAGACTTTTCTGAACTTTGCTCCCTGACAGTCATTACTGATGGCAAAGTCATGTCTCTCTCTCTAACGGGAATCTTTGGTTAATGTTTCACAAAGAGATCAGTCCAGAAGTTGGAGAAGTTGACATCTGTTTTCATGGCCCGGTATGCAACAGCTAAAATGCACGTATCACTTCCTGCTGCGAAAGAATTAATAACAAACTTCAATATGACGGTGTATAAAAAAACAACAACAGTTTCACCTGATTGGTTCTTGCCAGGTCCCACTGGACTGAGGGGACCATTGCTAAATGACGTCAGGCTTTCCCTCCGCCCACCACTTCGATGAAAGTTGCCATAGTAACGGTTCACCAGAATCTGTCTGAGTGCCTCGCCCTACGGGAGGAAAAAAAGGAAAAGATGTAATAGCATGATGTCAGCAACGGGGAGAGGAGCTCTTGTATAACAGGGAAAACACACATCATCAGTTATTCATTGTGCAATCTTGATGCGTTCAAAGACCCCAAAACACCCACAGACTTCAGTGAGTGAAAGCCTGCCACACTCTGGAAACTATACTTATGAGCAACCACGTATCATTAAATGTGTACGATAGATTTCAAGGACACCCTCGATGTCAATACTCGTCAAAGAACACCAGCAGACATATGAAAAATTAGCCTCATTATCATTGATCCGGTCCTCATTATTAGCTCTGAGCGACCCTGTAGTGACAGGGTGGGCGCCTAGTTTTCCCTTAGACAAACCTGAGCCCAGCCCTCCCACACTGTGACTCATCCACTGCTCAGCAGCTATCAGCACGACTTTACGGTCGTCATAGCAACCAAGGCCCAGAGCTACCTGACAGACCTCCCATGGGATGAAGTGAAGGAAATGAAAGAGAGAGTGTGTTTTTTTGTGTGTTTGTGGATGATTATGTGCAAATCATTGTCAGCTGTGGGTGGTCCTTGACAGACGACAGCAGGATTATATAAGCTGTGCCGCCATCGCTACGCTCTGGAGGTCTTATTAGTCTATGTAGGAGGCGTGAAGAACACTATTCTCATATTCCTCTGGAGGGAATTTAATCAACTGTATGTGGCATGTGTAAAATGACGTGTCAAATGACGATGATGAAAATGAGATTCTATTGTCTCACTGGGAAATACTGCCCTTTGCATGAGTGTTGAATCATTCGCCCAATACTCATGGTGTCTGAGTATCATCTAAACCAGTTTATTAAAACTTGACCCCAATAACTCCACAGTCAGGGCCAGTACTGGTGTTAAAGATAACAAATTATTCCACAGCTGATTATGATATCAATGTTTTTGTTATCAATTCTTTGTCATTCTTGCAGCCTGTTTTTCAAATGAGCAACGAGATCAAAAATTCCCCACTGAAGGTCACCAGAACATGTCACTGAAACTACATGCCCAATATCTCCCTCAGACGATGTGTGATGTTTTGACTCGGCTGACATTTTCAGTCACATGTTATTGTAAAAACATATCAGGTGACTTCTGCCTGAATCAAAAACGTCCTCCAAATTAGCAGTTCAGTGCATTAAAGGTGGGGTAGGCAGGATTCTGTTAAAAAAGCATATTCTTTGTGGTGTATCTACAAAAAAGCTTTTAATATCAGTCAATAGCTATTAGTTATTGATGACATTTGGTAATATCACGCTATCGCTGGATTCTGTTATGTCTGTGTAGTCAAAATTTTAAAGTTATTAAGTGGCCCGCTTTTTCTGAACGTAAACAATGCCATTCTCCGCCTCCCCCTACCTGATTGGTTGTGGGGCGGACACTGCTCCCTCATGTTGAAAAGCACACTCCACATTCTTGAATAATGTGCGTGAGCCCACACAAAGTTAGCGTGCTACAATATCAGACAGTAGAAACCAATCAGAAAGTACAGAAAACTGTCTGAATCCTCCTTTGGCCACGACTGCCAAAACAAGCAAGAAAACGAAGTAAATACCGGAGACTCTGGCGGAATAAGGGGCGCTTAAAAAGGAGGTAGACTGGAAAAGAGCTAAAAAGCCGGGTCAACATTAATAAGGCATAAACATGGGGGCCGCTTCAGGATCTTACAGACCCTGTATCCTTTCTGCTGGACAGGTAAACCACATTAACAAAGTAAGCTTATTGTCTGAAACAGAAGTGTTTCTTGTCACAAGGGACCTGCTGCATGTTGTAGCGCTGCTTAACTGTTTACCTTGGGTCCTGGACTATGTCACTTAATGCTAGTTTTAGAAGTCCTGCTAACATTGTGTTTGCTGGTAGTCTGTTGGCATCTACAGTAGCACCAATGCGTTTTACTTTCACGTTGACTGGGCCCCATTTGTAATTATCTGAAGTATTTATCTGCATTATATCTGAATTTAATTGAAACAATACGAGCGAGCGCAAGCGTCTGTTTGTGGGCGGGGCTTGTTGGAGCAGAGAAGGAGGGGAGAGGAGGAGCTGAGGGGAAAACTGGTTGGGAGGGGTAGAGTTTACATTCAAGATTTCTCCCAAAAACTGGCACTTCCTCAGATTCTGCCTACCCCACCTTTAAGCTGATACAAAATGACAGACATTGGCTGCTGATGTCTGTGAACAGGGCAATTAACACTTTGCTGCACCTCGCCTATGAAGCAGTCATAGCAACTGTACCTGTGATAATACCAAACAATGTCCATCTTTCACTCTTCTCTCCCTCCTTTAGTGAATCATGTAGTTGGAAATAAGTGGTCAGGTGTTGCTTTTAGTGTTAAAAGGAAGTGATGACACAAAGGTGTGTTACCTCTGTTCATATAAAATTTGCTTCTCTTAATGAATGAATGAATCAATCTTAATTTATATTGCGCCAAATCGAAACAGTTGTTATTCCAAGACGCGTTCCAAAAGAGCAGGTCTAAACCAAACTCATTGTTTGATGTACAAAGATCCAACCTTGAGATGGGACAGATTAATGAATCTGGACAGTGCTGGTTTGTGAGTTGTGCTGCCATACTTCAGAGAGTACCTACCCTCTTCTGGTCCTCTAACAGCTTCTCAGGCTGGTTCTCATCCAGCTGCTGGGTGCAGTGAGGAGTGTGAGCAAAGTGATCAAACAAATAGACACACAGTGTTAGTATCCATGCAGCACAGAATAAGAGAAATGTCAGGTTAATGGCGTTAATCATGTACCCATTTAGCTGTTTTCAGTGGCCATGCAAAGATCTGCTGAGTGTTAGCAACCATGCACTTACTACTGTGTTTGAAACCAGGGGAAAATAGCAGCTGAGAAAAGGTTACACTGTGGCTGCTTATAAATGTGACATACCCAGCGTAATCTATCCTCATTTATTTTATTCCTGTCCTCTAAAATATCTAGGAGCTTTTGGTTCTTTGTAGCATTCTTGTTAAATAAAACTTCTAATGTAGCTCCTTTTTTTAGCTTGGTTTCAAGTTGCAGATTTAAAGGAGTACTCCAACTTTTGGGTTCATAAACTTATTTGGTTTTTGTCCTCTACAAAGTCATCTGTGAAGATCGAGATAGCTATCAAATAAAGCTAAAAACTTCAGCTTAATGAATTGTAGTCAATGTTAGGCCTGGCAACTAAGCTTAAATTACAGCAATGGGGTTTGTTCAGGAAGCTAACATAGCTAAAAAAAAATAATCTTTAAAGCTTACTTCATGACACAACAATGTCAATTTGTTTGTCCCCACTAGCTGTGAGGTGGAGGAAAAAGGAATATATTTGGCTTTGAGTGGGTATGTGTTAGCTAGGTGCACTTCCTGGTGTCTCAGCTAGTCACAGTGATGGTGAGTACATTTTCCAAAATGTCAAACTATTCTTTTTAATACGTAAGTGAAAACTGAGTAAAAGCCGAACATCACACCACAGCAGTCATTTAAGTCAGGGATGAGTGAACACAAGGAGTGAGATTCTCACTCTGAGTCAAATCCTGAGCTAGAAAAAGCACAGAGTAATCAGCTGTAGACCACTCAGATTCCTTGTGTTTTTCTTTCCAAACTTCTTCAATGGTTAAAACAAACAACAGTTCTTCCCTGAGACACCTCTGCCTACAGTCTGAGATCTCTGAGGGAGTAGGAAGCTGGTAAAAAGCAATGCTCCATATAAACTGTTATGTAAAAACACACACTTGGAGGGGCGGGCGATGGGAGAGGAGACACGAGGGGGCGATGGGGTTAGAGTTACATAATCACTCCAAAAGGAACCAGGCCACTGAACCAGTGACATGGAGCTGCTTACAGTGGCCATCTGTCACTGAAAACAGCCAGAGGAAGAGTGAGTGCTGGACGCACACACACACACACATAGACAGAGAGAGAGAGAGAGAGAGAGAGAGAGAGAGAGAGAGAGAATGAGAGGATAACAAACACATTAAGTTTGTCAGGTAAACTCGTCCCTATCTTTCAGTTGAGGTCAGGGCCGCTATGTACCACAGTATGTATCCAAGGTGAGGGGCCCCATCTGACATAATTTCTACCTGTGTCTCAACAAAACCCAGTTCCTCCCAAAGACATTCCCTCAACTGGTGTTTTGATACTGTTTGTGAGAAGTGCTCAGTCATACGTTGTAATATCATCTGCAGGTGTTTAAATTTCCATAAAAAAACATAATTCATTCTTTCCTGGGCTGAATGGGAGCAACCGCTTAGTTTCTCCACTCTTTCATTCAGTTTTCCACCCAATACATACCTATTATGTATGTCATCAAAGGATGCAAAAATATTCAAAAATAAGACAAAAAATTTCACTTACTAACTTGAAAAGGTGGGAGAGCGACTATAATGTTTTCTCGATCAGGGTTATTACTGTACACAGCAACATAAAAATATTTATCACAGAACTAAGTCTTAAAAGTTCACTACCGTTAAGAAGAAGAAGAATGGTGTGAAGAACCTTCGGGTTGTGTTGATTTTGACATGTATGTGTGTGTGTGTGTGTGTGTGTGTGTGTTTTAATTACTTTTAATTTAATCGAGTTTTTAAAATTGTATGATGTTACCACCTTCACAATACTTCTCTGGTACTTTCCTATCCTATTTTACAAAAAATAAATAATAATAATGATAACATTCAAAAAATGTGAAAGCATTGAAATTGATCAAAACTTTTATTTAAAGTTTGATAAGTTTAATTGAAAATTGGAAACAAAAAATCAAAATGAAACAGAAACCTATAAAAAATACAAAACTTAAATCACATGCCTTGGATCCATAAATCAATCTAAGTTAACGGTTGTTAAACACATGCAGCAAATTAGGTTTTTTAAAGGATAAGCTCTGGTTTCAGTGGTTATCATCCCTTAACTTAATCAGTCCGCTGATGAACATAAAATCTCTTTTCAATGTTTAGGGTAATAACTTATACATTCGCGATGTGGGTTGTGTATTGATGGAATTTTAGTGAAAATAAATCCCTCACTTCACTTCGAAAACCACTGCCAGAGAACAGTACCCTCTGGACCTGACTTAAAAAGTCCAGGGAAAAGCCTTTAATATTTATAATGCAGAGCTGGCCTGATAGAAAACATCTGTGCAGATGTCCTGTGCTTTACAGCGCCTTATATGACACACTATATATAAAGTTTTGTTTCTAAAAGCTTTGAAAAACTTCTAAAAAAATACCTTTTAAAAACCTGAATGAATGAATATTATTTAATTTTGTCATACCTATAAAGAAAAGCAAAAATCTACAGTTTGAGTGAATACTAAACTGAATGAAAAAACAAAAACCACACAGTTGTTCATGTGACACACTTTGAATAGTAAAATCTCCCTTTTCACATGAACAGCTACAGACTTCCTCCCAGCTGAACACAAAGTATACTGGGGCAGAGTTCACCTGAGAGTCAGGGGGCCACACACATACGCACACACACACACACTGGTGCAGCTTGAGCTTTCTTTTACTGTCACCACATCAAACCATAAAGTGATATGCTGATAGGAGGAGATACATCCACTTATATCGTCCCTAGTCCGACCATAGAAACCACAGCGTAACCCCCACACAGCTGCCACATCCTCCCTCACTCTGTGCAGTCGTGCACACTGGAAACTCCCCGGGGATAATCCCTGATTGGTCTCACACCTTTCAGATCATTAATACAGAAAACACGCACAAAACACAAAACACACAAACAAGCACACTAAGAGTTAATTCCACGGTATTGTGTGGGTGTGTTTTTTTGGGTGTGTGTAAATAGCCTTACAAGCTTACTCATTTAAAAACCACTTGGCTACTTCATATACGCACACAGAAATGTAGACTAAATCAAGAGACATGTAGTCTGCTATTTTCCTGTAACTGACCTACTTCCACGGCAGGGCTGTAAAATTACTTTAACACTCCTGACCAGAGTGGGTAATACCACTGTGAGCGTAGAAGGAAAATGTGCTAAGGGGACTTAAAAACGAGCCGGAGTTTGTCTTAAAGAGGTTTGACTTCCACACACGTTCACGGATGAGTGAAATAACGAAAGGTGAGGAAGCAGGGTTAGAAACAGAGACGTGGAAGCGATGAAACATGACTTATTCCAACATGGAGTTCTTATATAACTCCTCTGACTAGACCACACACACACACACACACACAAGAGGCCAGGTGAAGAGGGGAGCTTGCGAGTAAAAAGCCCAACACTGTGTATCCTGCACTCCTCTGGCTCTTACATAAGTCTGACAGCCAAAGACCGATGGATTTAGCTGATAATCACCTCACTGACATTTAGCAATGCAGTGCTGTGCACACATCGGGGAGGTCAGGAATACACCTCATGCTATCTGGATTCTGTAATATTCCTATTTACAGATTTGATTTAGACGCTAACTTTTACTTCAAATGCAGCTTTCAGGTTTGTCATAACAAATGACATCAAGGATCCCCGAAATTATTCTTAACACCAAAGTATGCCGTGCTACTAGCTCTCGGTGCAGAATACCACTTGTGACCCACATAAGTCACCATTCCGCTCAACAAGCTCACACCCTGTTGCTGTTAGGTGATATAATATGCTATTAATGTTTCACTCAAAGGTCAAAAGAGGAAACAGGAGCCAAAGGAGCACTTTTATATCGCACCTACACATCATCAGACACCTTCATTAAGCGAACAGCGAGTGGGTGTGTGTTTGCATCCACTGACGAGTAGAAGTGGAGATAATGCGGGGTAATAAAGAACTTGTTAGAGCATTGGGGGTGAGAGGAGCAGGTTTCAACACATCTGTCACTCTTACATCAGAACTGCATTTTGTGTGCGGATAGACAGACAGCCAGACAGACAGAGAGAAAGAGAGGCAGACAGTACTTAACAGGTGTGTGTGCACGGATCATCTCTTGCTATTTCTCACGCGCTCACGCAAACAGCCCTTCGTGTACAAACTTGCATTAATACACACAGGTGTGCACACACGCACACACACTGGCAGTGTGGGTAAACAGCTCCTCCACACTTTTATTGGCAATTACTGCTGAAGGTCACACATCAGCGGAGGGGCTGAGTTCCAGGAAAAAAAAAGCTGGGTTCTTATGTAACCTCGGCCCAGAGTTGGCAGGGGCCCAGGAATCGTGCAGCTCTCAGGCAAAGAAAACTAGGACACAGCCTCAATGACTGCCACAGCCCGGCACATTCATTAATACGCACACATAGGCGGCACACACGCACAGTCAGAGTGCCCCCTTTTGGCACCTGACAGAGATGCAGGGGAAACACCCTGTAGAAAGCTGACCATTGACGCAGACAGTAAAAGCAGTGCATGACCAAAAAGGGAGGCGAGGAACTGACATAACTTTTGTGGCTTTCCTGTGATCAAGTCAGTCATTTAAACCTTAGCAACTACAAATCTGGAGCCAAGCTTTATATTATTGTGAGGGAGTTATCGTTCTTAACCTTAAAGGGAAAGTTTCATTTGTGATATGCATCTTGAATTTCTTGCTTTAACTTCTTAAAATCAAGTTTTGCTTTCAGATCACTAACCACTGATTGACACATTTCGTGCCTTATTCTGTCTTTATTCCAACATTTTTCATCTCTTATCAATCTCTCACCCAATGACCTCTCTGATTGCATCATACTGATTATATAAGAAGGAAATAAATCGTTTACATTTTTACAAAAAGGTGAAAATGACATGTTTTCAAGCACATATATCCCAATTTTGACTTTCTCCCCATCAGTTGACATGTTTGTGAGGCTTGTATTGGGAAGAAGTAGAGCATGTTTGATATCCTCAATGAGGAAAATGTGCAGATCTAAATGCAGAACGGGAGATAATGTCAAAAAGTACAGAATAAATGTCCCAAGTTACTTTCCGTACATGCCATGCTTATGTTAGCAGGAAGTAGAGCGTGTTAAATGTTCAACGTAAGGACACTGTGCAAAAGCAAATGCAGCACTGGCGGCTTGCCAGGCCCACGAGTGACTAACCTTGGAGCTGGGAATAATGACGAGTCTGTTGAGTAACACACAGTCAAGCCACTGCATTCACCTCTATCTCTATCTCTCAGGTAAATCTACTACTGGGTCTACCAGCCTCTACGAACTACAACACACAGCCACAGGAGCTGCTGCAGTACAGTTACAAAACAAACTACTGCACGAAAACAGACAGCAGCTCAGGGAATCAAGGACACGGGTAGAAGAAAAAGAAGAAACAACCTTAGGCATATCCATCTCATCATCAAAGGCCCTGAGCTGAAAGAGAGCACAGGTTTGACGAGGTTAGATAACATGACAGAGAAGAAGAAGAAGAAGCTAAGGAAGAGGGTTAATGACACAGCATTACATGTTAGTTCTCTGTGTGATCTTCAGCAAGACATAGAAACGAGAGTTTACGGACAAATGTTACCCAGAGTGAACAGTTAGTACACTCTCGTACAGGGGGGAGAGTGGCTGTGAGTGTTTCTTATACATGCAGAAGTGAGTGTGACTGAAGGAGTGTGCAGTGTCTCCAAAATGAGTTTGAGTTTGTTTGTGGTTGAGTAAATCTGGTGGTTTGAAATTACATAGAACTACACACGCCTTGAGACATGTAACTAAATCATATTTTGTTTTGCTTTAGTTTTTTCTCTGCGACAAATTTTCTGATCAGTTTTGTGTTTCTATTTCACGTCAAAAAAGGAAATTCTTCGCAAAAAGGCAGAAAAGTGACTTATTTAAAGTTTTTTCTAAATTTCTGTTTTTCTCTTTTCTGTATAAATATTGCATATTCCCACTTCAGCATTAAGGTACATTTAAGGAAACTAAATAAAGTATAAATTAAAACTACAATACAGAACATCCGCACAGTAATACATGGCTGCCCCACCATCTCTCGTACTCAGCAGCTCCTCCTACCTTCTGTCCATATCCTCGGTCTTTTGTCATCATCTCTCGCAGCGTCTGCAGGACCTTAATGCAGAGCCTCTCTTCGTTCTCCTCCAGCAGCTGTTTGGTATGTTTGATCAACCTGTAGAAACCATGTTTCTTAATAAAACTTTTACAATAAAGATTGTGTATTCAAAAACAAGTCAGAGGGAGATGTTTACTGTACTTACTTGCATATGAAGCCTCCGCTTTCACACTTCTTACGGGAGTCTGTGTTTTCAGGAAAGAGCAGCTCAGGCCGATGCAGCACATCAACTAGAACTGACAACTCAGCCTGGACCAAGGGACGCAAGCGGTCCTCCAGAGCAGAGACAATGTCCTTAAGTCCAGAAAAAGACGTGTCAGTACATCTCAAAGTACTGCAGCTAGCACATATATGCAAGTTGAGCATATCCACCTGCAGCCTCTCGATGATGTTCCTGTAATCCCGTGAGGCGGTCACCACAGAGTCTCTGCGGATGGCGTTGCGAGCAGAAAGTCTCCAGCTCATGGCCGTCTTCTGGACAATGTTGTTGGATTTTACAAACAGGTTGTTCACCTGGTTGTCCAGGTCCACGGGAATGGCTATAGCTCTGCCTTTGGCTGAAAGGTAAAGAAATGCAACCAGATCGTGACATGATACAAAGCTGCTGCTTCAGCATTTGATATAGTGATTTAAACTGATCTAAATTTACTGGATTATAGGGAAGAATCGACATCTTACCAACATCAGAGAGCACTTTGATACAGCTCTCAACAGAGCCTTTCTGGACAGGGATCAACCAGTTACAGTGATAAGCCCTAAAGACGGCCTGCAGTAGCTGAACAAAGACCGGCTGTCTGGTCTAGAAGGAAGAAACAGGAACAGAAGAAAAGACGTTTCAGGGTATTTTAATAATCTAAATTCTTTCATCTTCTAAAGCACGTACAAGAAGATGTCACAAAAGTTACCCATGTCATCTACAGCACCAACAACCTGGACCTTTGCTTTCCATTTACAGACCACAGTGATACTGCTCAGAAAGATGTGCTGACCCAGTGACTGCTTGTTACCTCCCACAGAAAAACCTTAAATCCCTGAGCAGACATATGCCCAAACATAGCCCAGTTTCTCCTTAAAATAGTGCAAAAGAATCCCTTTAATTCCAACACCAAACTCTGTGTTTCCCCATGGTGAATTGAAATACAAAAAATACCTGAAATATTTTTCCCAACAGAGAGGCCTGCAGCAGAGGATACAAGCAGTAAAGACATGAAACATGCAAGGAAAACAACAAAGAAACATCACACACCCGAACATCTGAATACACAACTCAATATTTTAGGTCAACGTCTAAAATCCGCCTAAAAATACACAGAATCTAGAATTAGATTCTTAAATTAGATCTAACAAAAAAAAACTAAACGTCTAATAGCTGTCTACTGCTCAGTGGGATCCATACTGACAAAAAAGTACAAAAGACATGAAGGAAAATCGAAACATCTTACAATACATCAAATCATTTTATTCCTATGGCACAGTATCTATTTGTAGAGTTAGGACATTTTTAAGGCCTTTCAAAACTGGATTTAAGACATTTTATGAAATTTTAATAGAATTTTCGACATTTTAAGACTTTTTCAGACCCCACGGATACTTTGTTACATGTACTGTTATTTTGAAATGAACAAGAGTCTGGACTCAAAGTTGCTCACAGTACACTTTGTAAACAATTCATGATAAATGTCTGAGTTGTATTTGTGTACTGTAACTCTGAAGGAAGTGACTGATTGGGAAAAAGGGGGGAATTTGGTGTCATAATCACGAAAACTAGGTTTTAGGTCATAACTGAAGTGTCTGATCAGCTCGACAGTCCTATGACTAACTGAACCAGGATTAACACACACACACAACGGGGAAGGGTTATGACGCTTAACAGGAAAAACAATTCTCAGAAGTTACTCTCAGAAACTGATTTCAACACTTCAGGAGAAGCACAGCAGGGGGTTGTTTAGTATGTTCAATTTGTTTGGGTTTCGGACAAGGAGTTTCTTGGGATCGTCTAACTATAAGGTTGCATTGATGTGGTAGAGCCAATACATACTCTATACTCACATTCTTTCTGATGGCCACCTGGAGTACAGCACAAACTGAACATTACTAGGCTGAAGGTTTTACGACAGTCACATGAGGATTTTGAGAGATTAGCAGATCACATTACACTGAATGTCGAATGTAAACCCAACATCTGGTCTTGATTAAACCTACTTCGGTTAAATCATAATCTGCCCTTTTCCTCATGTTTTTTTTTTTCTTTTTGATTGGCAATGGTTTAATTTCTACACTGCGTCATGGCGTCATGCATCTTTAAGCTTCTATGTTTGCTTTCAAACAAGATGACCTTGTTGTTTACAAACCTGCAGGCTGGTGCTCTGGTCAGAGAACGGTGAGCTGAAGAAAGTCGTTACAATGCTCATGACCGTCTCTGTTACGTATCGCTCCAGGATGGTGTCTGCATGCTTACGGTCACTAGTGTTGTTACACACCTGTTAACACAAAAACATTACAAAATGTGCATTTATTATGACAATCCTCATTCCTTGAGTGAAGTTAGTTAATGTCTGGTTTTACTTACTCTGCAAATGTCGACCAGAAAGTTCTCAAAGAGCTTCCACATGTGGTTGGAGGTGTAGATCTCCTTCATTTCCACCTCGGTGTCCACATAGCAGTGGTTTAGAAAGTTGATATAGGCGATCTTCACCTGAACGGCAAAGACTACATATTAGCATATTATTTTGACAAATTTCTATACTTTCATATTGTTAGCTTATATATATATATATATATATATATATATATATATATATATATAATATTTAGGCTTAATTGCATACGATATATAATATTAGTATATATATAACATTTCCATTCATTCGAGTTATTTAGATTTGAACATGAACAGGCCAATAAACTTTATGTGCTGCATATTTGACAGTCAAATGTAAATGAAATGATGAAGAATCAGATATATGTAATTATACCTATAAACCCAACATGTTGAGAATAAATAATGACAAATTTATGTAGTCATCATTAAAAAATCCAAATTGTTTCTGTCTCATACATTTTAGCTAAATGAATCTTGGTTGATCCACAGCTTGCCATATATAAACTATATTCATACTCTTTAACTGATTAAATTGAATTATTTTTACAATGAATAGACTTATACTAATTTTAAGAAATGTGAATAAATAAATTCTAAAAACTATAGTAATTTTAATAAAATCAAATAGATGTTAATACTTAAAACTGAAGTATGCCATGATTTATTTTTCTCAGTGTATGATTTTATTCATCAAATGCATATCGTATGTACTGCATATAGGGGAGACCGGGGCTTGTTGTCACTTGGCTAAGTTGTCACATTGCAATTATCTTTGCAACCAGAGTGCGAAAGTAAAAAGTGGAATACTAGTTTTCTGCCTTTACATGGTCAGGGGTCGTGTCCTGTCTGAGAAGAGAAGAGCACATTGTGAGCTGAGCGCCATTTAACCATTTTGCACAACCCAAAGTAAAAATTTTAACTATACGTATTCTAAAATAAGCTTCTCCCAGATAAAAATCCTAGTAGTGATACATCTGGACTTGTTAGAGGAGAGATTAAGGCATCCTGTCATACCTCAGTCATTGTTCTGTTTTAAACTAACTTTAAGCTGGAGCTTTAATTAGCAGGCATGGTAATTCGGGGCAACATGTCTCAGTCATTTTGGAGTTAGTTGTCACATGTTTAAAAGGGATTAAAATTAACAGAGATAGTCTGCTTATCAGTATTTGTCGTATTGGAATTTTGACCTTATTTTTACAGAAAAAAAAAAGAGTGGTTTAAAGGAGAGAGCAAGAAGACATGGTCAGGAATTTCAAAAGAAAAACAGTTGCATAATATTTTAATTAACGTTTGTTCAATGGCTATGTTAAATGACTTTTTCCAGCTCATTGATAAACATTTTCTGTGCCTGACTTTGATGTTCACTTTCAAGTAAAAAAATGAGAACAACAATAATTTTGTCCTTGTTTTATTAGCTGCAAAGTTCACTCTGACATCTTACCCCATATAGTTAGACAACTTACCCGATGGTGGGGCAAGATGTTACGTGTTCACACTCTCTATTTAATTGCTTATAACTCTGCACTGAGAAAAGATATGAAAATGACATGAATACGAAATATATACCTGAGACTTTGGTCTTTCATCTGGTACACATTTTGTTTACATATGATGTATTGATTTCAAGAAATATATGAGTGTAAAAAGTGAAACAAAAAGCCCCGGTCTCCCCTACATTTATATATGATATTGATACTTTGTAAGCCTTTACATTTACAAAATGTTGACTAAGTTTGCTCCATAATTGATGTATTGTGTCGTAAAAGCTGTCAAACCATCACAGCGGTTCTGTCAGTCTCACCTCAGGGATACAGTCCTCATGGGTCACCACCCTCACAATATCATCCAGCGGTAACAGAGAGTTACACTTGATCTCAGTGTAGACGTTCTTGCCCTCAGTGCACACAGCCAGGAGCTCCACCAGGTGTATGTGGTACATCAGAGGACTGTTCTCATCCATGCGGTCACGCTCTGATCTCATCATCTGCACCAGCGTCTGGAAGGACGCACGGTCGTTGTAAAAGATCAAAACATCCTCCCCAGCATTCACCAGCTGTGGAGAGAGACAAATGCATGATCATATCAGCGCATGATGAAGCTGGAGCATGGCTCACAGAGGGTAAGAGTAGTAATGAGGTGTGACCTCTGCCATGACGATGTCCTGACACTTTTTGATGAACTTGTTCTCTGCTTTGACAATCGTCTGAAGGAATTTCAGGTACTGGACGTTTCTGCCATGCGTTTCTATGCAGTGGACGAAGTGCTGGACTACTCGCTCGTTGATCTCACTGCACAGCTGGAAGTTGTTCATGAAGATGTGCTGCATGGTGATGGCCTCTAAAATCTGTGGGAAGAAAGAAAAATCAGTGCGAGGGAAAGATGGGATCTGACATCAGCCGTCAGAAGATGAGAGTGTTTGGTCTGCCAAAATGTTATTTCTAAGATCATTTACTGTTATTCTGTTTTATTAGCTTACAGCTCTCTGAGGGGACATGATGTGGAGTTAAATTTAGTGATAGAGACTGGATAGAGATCTGTGATGGAAATGTGATGTTAAAATATGTAAAGATGTTAAAACTATACATTGATTACTGACGATGGTTAATTTATGTTCTAATAATTTAACTGGGGATGATGTTAATTTTAGGTTTGTGTAATATTGATGCTGATTTTCATATTTTGCTAATGTGGACCAGAGGTGACAATGTGGATCACCTGCCGGCCTGCAGCCACACCACATTTAAGATGCCCATTCTTAGAAATTGCTTGCCTGATGAAGGTCTGAGGACAAAACGTTGCCACCAATAAACATTTGTACTTGCAAGTTGGACTGTGTGCCGGATTTCTTATTATTTTAACGTCTATTCCTTTTCCTACACACCTGCCCCTGCCTTGTTTAAATGGTTACACTGTGTGTGTTTGGTATTTCATGGTGTAAAAGGCCTGCTCACCCCAGGATTGAGAAACAGATTGATGTGTTTGTGCAGCAGCGCCTGGTTCTGCTGGTTCCCTGCACAGAAGTTCTGTAGAAACTGGTGGGCCAGCTTCATGATGTCCTGCATACGCAAATCTTCCCCCTAAGACAAAAAACAATAAAAGGTTTATCCACTCTCTCACACACAAAGATTAGGTCATTAGACAATGTCTTGCTGTTGATACCTTCTCATAAGGGATCTGGAGAAGCTCAAGCACCACAGCATGAGCTCCCATGTTCCTCAGCAGCCTCTGCTGTTGTTTCTTGCTCTTCCTACCTGACAGACCCTCTTGGACACAGAGCCGACTGAGCCGCAGCAGGATCTGAGAGAGTTCAGAGAAATGAAAGAAAATTTAAGGGGATGGGATGTACTGTGAAGTTTTTGGAAGTTTGCACTGAAAATAGAATAAGAAGTGAGATGGTTACCTCCTTCACCACTCTGTAGTTGTAGCTGCTGGTACTTTCAGCTTTTTTTGGTTTATCTGTGCCCCCTGAATCCCCCTAAAGAGAGTACCATAATAAAAAAAGGACTTAGTGCAACAACAGTGGCTTACTCTGTTTGCATGCACTTCATTGATGTTCCGTGTACCACACCTTTTTATGCTCCGACTCAGCAGAAAGCCCCTCTCCTGCATCCATACTCTCATCTGGCCCCTGCCTTTTGTACACCCAAAGCTCAGACTTCTCTACAATAGAGCGCAGCTGGTCCAGGTCAGACTTTATTTGCTTGTAGTTTTCGACATCTTGGCTGGTGACAAGCAGCTGGACCTGTAAACAGATGTAAGTGACAGATAATGGAATACTAAAAGTAAGCGCAAATGCTCAGCAGCATTAAAAACAATAATACGGACATCAAATTTTATGACTTTATTTTGATTTGTATAGCTTGAGTAGTTTGGATACCTGCTTAAAAGCTTGTAGGACCTCCTGTCTTTGGCTGAAGTGCCTGAAGAGCAGGTGAAGTGCTCTGGACACTAGCGGAGGATAGTCATGCATAGTGAGGTGGAGGAGGACTCTGAGGAAGGTACGGCCACCATGGTCATCCAGGTCCAGCGGGGTGTTCTCTTCACTAAACAGACATGCTTTCAGATTAAAACACACATATCATTTCTAGCTTTTCTAGACTCTTTCTAAACTGGAGCAGGGATTACCTTCCACCAAATATTCCCTCTGCTTGCTCCTCTATGTGCTCAAAATCAAGAGCCCCTGGAAGAAAGAGAAAGATTTTCAGATACAAAAGAACTTGGATTCATTTTGCTCAAAACTTGCATAAAAAGAAACCTGACCTGGCATATTGTTTGGTCCTTCAACTGCTCCAGTTAGAGATAAATCTGTCTGAGAGTTACTCTCATCAAACTCCCTCTTGAATATTGAGAGTAGACAGGAGATCCTATAGTCCAGGCGGACGTTCAAGATGAACTACAGGTTGAGACAGGAAATGACAAGAACAGGGTAATGTGTGACAAACTGCGTTTACTGTTTCTCTGAAGCATTCACATTATTGTGAATGAATACATGCACTGAAATACAAGACTTCTTCTTCTTCTTCACCTGCAGGATCTCAATAATCTTCAGCTTGGTGTCCATCACCAGTATGTCCTGTTTCTCCGGCTCAGTCTGGGTCTTGGTTGTTTCTCCGGTGGAGCTGTTGTTTAAAGTGGTAGGAAGAAAGCCCCCTCCTCTCAGAACCACTTGGGACATAAGCTCCCCAACACCATGGATCGATCTCATCACATTACTGCCTGTAAACAAGCACACACAGATAAAACTAAATGTCTGTAACCTACTTGCTTCTCTACTGGAAGTCCGAGGTGCTCATACCTTTACTCTCGTCCTCTTTGACCAGCTTGTTGAAAGGGAAAATGGCGCTCACATGGACGCAGTCTAGAATCGCCAGAAGGATCTTTGTCAACCTCAGCAGGTCACTGAAGGTGTAAAAGCCGAAATAAATAAGGTTCCTGGCCAGATTCACCACCTGCATATGGAAGATGAAAAAGAGTCATCAAATCTTAATCAGCAGGTATAAACTTAACCTCAGTGTGATCATACAGTAGGCTACACGAGAAATAAGCCGAACTGACTTCAAAGGTGAGCTTGTTCTTCTCCTTATCTGCAAAAGGGAAGCTCTGACACACCACATCTCTCAGGTAGTTCTCAACAAACTCCATGGTCTGAGAGAATCGCTCCTTTATTTCATCCTTCGATGTTCCATCATTGTCGTAACTGCATGTAGAAAAAGACAAAAGCAATCACCAAAACAATCAAACCTCTTTTTTAACTAAATAAAAGTTTCCATTAGACAAGAAAACTTTCATCCTCAAAAGCTGGAGTTATAACAGCAATTTTTTAAAAAGTTTGACAAAAAAAAGGAATTGAATCAATAATTTGTACCGATGAGTTTTGTTTTATATTGGATAACGCAGATATTTATTTTTAAATACAATTTTAGAATACTTTTCTCTAAAAAGAAAAACATAACAAACACATTTAACCTTCTGTCTCCCCGCTCACACTCTGTTTGACACACTGACAGCTTTGCTCTAGTCTTTGTTTGGCATCTAAAAGGTGAACCTGAAGGGCATTTTTGCTCTATATTTACCTTTTTTACTTGATCAGTTTAGGGTAAAAAAATAATAGCTAATAATAGTAACGTTAACTCACTCGTCAATGGCGATCTCTGAGGGGATCTCAGACCAGAGTCGAGCATATTTGACAGGCGTGACCTGCTCCTGAGGGTCACGGTCCACGTGCATGTGCAGCATCATGCGGCAGAATGAGGCCCGCAGATCATATGGCAGGTCTTCATCTGACATGCAGCGTAAGATCAGGTCCACATCCAGCTGGCCGGAGATCTTGTTGATCGCCAGGTACTGACGGTCCAAACACATCCTGGCAAACAGGTTCAGCTGGTACCTAAAGTAGCACACACACACAAGCCAGGTCATGGTAACGTTCCACCCCAGGATCTGTTATTTGTATAAACCTCATACCGTCATCAGCCTCATGAAATGACTGTGCTCTGATTTGAATCAGACAACATATCTTCTGAGTCTATGACATAAACAAAGGAAATTAAGTTCATTATCTACCTGTAATAGCTGATCACCTCCTGGTCCTCTTTCTGGCCCTCTTTTGCATCCTGAGCCAGCTCTCTGATGCTTTTACTTCGAATCTCTTTATTACTGTCTTTCCAGAACAACCACACCTCTTCCTCGTCTTCCTCTGACTCCACAGAGTTTTCTCCGAGTGGTGCTCCCTCAATCTCAAATCTTGACAACACTAATCTGTAAAAGAGACACATGTTTTTTTTTGTTTTTTTTTAGATATTTGAACAGCAATAGAAAAAACTGGTGATAAATGTAATAGGATGAGAGTATAAACAAAAGCAAGACATATAAAAAACCACAGTGATACCACAAATGACAGGAAGCAGTTTATTTATTCACTATTTAATCAGACTAACCACAGCCTTTTAGAGATGTAGTCTTAAAGTCCCACTCCGATTGTTGTTTTTTTTGTTTGTTTGTTTTTTTTCTACTTTAAGTGTTCTCAGTAGTCTTTAATTTGTGGTTTATGAAGTTTTTACCAAGAATCATGTTACCTGTGTCATTTTCAAGGGCTTTTCTTCTGCAGAGCTCCAGTACATCATTAGCAATTCGCCTCTGAGTCGAGGGCGGAAGTAGTAATAGTAGTAGAAGGAACAGGTAACGGGAGCTTTTCAGCTCTCGGACATTTATGTCTTTAGGGACACGATGAAAGCTAATATCATAAATAGCTTTCTTACGAGCATTACAATCTGCTAACACACACGCTTGTTCTGCGATTGTCCTCTGCATTTCTCCTCTATATGCAGTGTGACCTGCATAGCGGGGCTGAAGGGGCGGAGCTTGGATTGGTTACGTATGAAATCTCACTGTTTCTGAACCTGCCGTTTGGATCTGCCAGAGATACACAGAGATTTGAATGAAGAAAAACTCAAAAAGGCAATTTTGCATTTAGTTTTCTCATGATATGACCTGTAGCATTAAAAAAAATGCCATATGAACATATAAAAAACAAGAAAAACATGATTTCCATCGGAGTGGGACTTTAAAAGAGGAACTTTTTTTTTATGAGTTAGTGTTGTTTAGATATTCATTTCCTCACATAATGTGCAGATGTTTTATGGCACACATTCACATAAAGAAAAGCAACAGAAGAGCATGGAGTGTAAGGGATGGAGGGCGGCATTACTCACTTGGTTTCTATGAGGATGTCCGCATTAGCTGGATCCAGCACTGCGTTACAGATGAGCTCCTGAGTCACAGGGATGGATTTATTCATTGACACACACAAGTCTGACAGGTAATCCAGGAACCTGCTCAGTCACATATGTAGATACATGCATGCGAGAGATGCAAAATTAAATCAAAGCCAATGATCCATGAAAGCATTCAAGCATCAGATATATACAGTATGTCATCCTGCAAAAGTTACACAACCTCGCCACGCCTCATAACAACACATTATAGCAGACTATAATGTGGTGTCTTTGAAGCACATTTTAATTATGTCATGTTACATAATCCAGAGTATAATAGATTATAATTACAATAATAAAAACAATGTTGTAAATCTGCTGTAACTATTTCATGCTTATAAGTACAGAGGACATAAAGCACATCAATCTTTTACACTATCACACATTTGATTTGCCTTTAACCCAGATCACTGAGCTCATGGTGCACAAACACACAGACAGGTGGACTGACGCAAACCTGGGCTCACGATTCTTGCGAACCAGGCTAACAAAGGTGTCGATCTCAGCAGCAGTGATGTGTTTCTCCAACAGCTTACGGTTGTTATGGAGCAAAGCTGTGATTGTGTCCTCAGCCAAGACATCGTAGCCAATCTGTTTCTGCATGAAGCGAAACTGTTTGGCGATGTACTCCTACAAGACAAGCAGATAAACAGTCGGAGTGAAGACATGCCACAACAGAAGAGCACAGATACACCATGACAAATGCCTTAATAACACATCTACTATCTCAATCTCTGACCTGGTCATGACTTCATCTGGTATTTCGATCAACTAATTGAGGACATTTCGGCTCTTTTGTCATTTTGGTGCAGAAAACAGAGTGTGTTCATAAGGGTTAGACTGCTTCCTTGTTTAAATGTATTTACTGTCCCATTTACCAATTACACCCTAACAAGTTTATAAGAAATTGGCTCTTCTCAGAAAATGGAAATGCTGTTCTCTACACTGACAAACATTTGCTCTAGACTGAGCTTGTTTCATGCCTTGTGTTAACAGGAAATTAAATAAAGGGTGAGTGACCCTTGAGAAAAGCAGGAAGCATTCAGCAACACGTTTGGATTCTGTGCATTTGTTGTTCTGATAATGATGTTAGAGTCGTGAAAGAGCAAAGGCCACTTTAACTCATTAGACTTAATGAGTAAAAGTGGAATGTACCCTTTCACCAGTGCATATGTTCATAAAGCAGACTTCAAGACCTGACAATCTGTACCTGATTCTTACGGTAGTCCTGCTGGGAGTGACGCAAAACACGATAACACAGGCGGCAAATGTGTCTGAAGGGGGCGTGGCGCTGGTCAGCCAGCTCCTCCAGCCGCAGCATGGGCCCATCCCCACTGTCTGTGAACGGGGCCTGGAGCAGCTTGAAGATCTGGAAACAGGGATCAGGTTTTGAAAACAATTACTTAATTAAAGTTTAAGCTCGAGAAGTGTGATGATACAGATACAGAGCTTTTTGAGAACTGATGATGGGTGAAGGTTGGGAAGTATGGTTAAAATAAGTTGAGTGAAGGGGAAATATGGCAGAAAATTATTCAACAAATTTATTTGCCCTTTATATTCCTCAGACACACTGTGGTTCAATTTAAAATAGTCCACCGTCTTCACGGGACCAAAGACAGATTGTCTAGGATTAAGACGAGTATTGACCCTACATGTGATCGATGCAGACAAGCTCATGCCACATTACTGCACATGTTTTGGTCGTGCCCTATGCTATACAGTTTTTGGTATTTCATCTTTGGGGCATTCTCCAGAATATGTGGGAAAACAGTGCACCCATCTCCTAGGTATGATGGCCTTCTGCTCTTTGCTGGCCGGGAGATTTATCCTGTTTAAATGGACGGATGCTTTCCCCCCAACATATAGCCAGTGGATTAGAGAGGTCCTGTCCATTTAGAAAAAAATTAGATATACTGTAAGAGGCAACACCAGGAAATTCTACATCATTTGCCAGCTATTTATTTTGTTTGTTGAAGGCATGGCAGCTATTAACATATTTATGTAACTCAAATGTATACATGTATCTGTTTTTCCCTTTTTTTATTATTTTTTTTTTTTTAGTTAATTTGTTTGTTTTTTCCTTTTTTTCTTTCTCTGTTAAGGTTTTCTTTTTTATCTGTATGTGTCGATGTCTGGATGTATTGAAAATTTCCTGGATTCCAGTCCATGTTGGTGGGAGAGCTTGTTTGAATGTTAAGGAACTAGACTTGATAGTTTCATGTGTCGATTGTATTTCCTTTGATTGTTATATTCAAAAATAAAAAAGACCTTGATCGGGAAAAAAAGGTGGGTTAAAACTCCAATAAGAAAATAACCAGAGTGAAAGCTCTACCTGCTTGAGGATGTTTTGTTCTCTCATGAGTTTCTGTCGTTCCCTGTTGGGTTTGTTGACCATGATCTCCAGAACATCCTGTCCATTGTTGGGAATATCCACCACAAAAAACACCAGATCCTCCAGAAGCTTGGTAACTGCTCTGAATAGGTATAAAGTTAAAAAAAATTGTAAATGTCAGACTATCATGTCATCTAGGAGAATTTTACAATTTGGCAGCACTTTGAGTTATTTTTACCTCCTCTCATTTTGTGTGATGGTGCCTTTTTCCAGCTTGCCAGCAATGGAGGCCAGCACTTTACTGGCATCGTTGGCAAAGTCTAGGTCTCTCACTTCAGCAGGGGAGACAGGCACAATAGCAAACGCCTCTTTGTCTTCTTTCAGAGCTGAGGTGCCAATCTTGAATCAGTAAAGAAAAGCAAATCTGTCAACTGCAGAAGTAATCAAAATATTCAAAGTATTAACCTGTTACAGTACTCATAGAAGAATTCGGGAGGGAAATGTTAAAATGAAACTTTAAATAAATCGTGAAAGAAAGTATTCATTCACAGGTCCCCATTGTGGTAAACTTTACAATGATTAACTGTTGCATAAACTGTCACTTACACGCAGCATTACAGGTTTTTCCTCCTCCTTGTCGATTGGTTGGTTGGTGCTGTGGACCCATGTGTTCGTACAGAGATGTCGGAGGCGCACATAAGAGTTCCTGGAACACAAATAGACGTTTTGACTGAAATGCAAGACAGCACAAACTAGAAACTTGAAAGAAACAAATTAAATTAAGTGCTGCCAACAACTGCAAATGGAAATATTTGTTTTTTCAGAGTCATAAACAAACGAAACTTTCCCTCACTGGTAGTCTTATGTTGAAAACCATGCCACATACAGTTAGGGCCCTCTTGATGTTGTTTTGGGGGGGTGTATAAAAAGTACAAAGTATTACAATGCCTCTGAGTGTGAGAAATGGGCTTGAGCATTTTCAAGGGTGCTCATCTTGTGGAGTAAACAAGGGCTCTGTTCGGTAACCTGAGAATGTGGGGTGGGTGCTTTTACCCCTCAGACAACTCGAGTCCCTTTGGTGTCTACACTTGACCATGTTACAAATCAGAGACAAAAGACACAAATAGATCTGGTTCAAACATGTTTTACATCAATGGAGTGTATTTCTTGCTGGAAAAGGACCTTGCGAGTAGTGGATAAAAACAAACCAAGTTGTCATATAAAGAACTGGGGGGGTGTTTATATAATGTACATGAACATATTTTTCACATATTAATCCTTAATGCAGTAGATAAATTAACTCTTAGAAAACAGTCCCTATAACCCCAACTCTATCTCCAGAGTTAAACTTAAACTTTCTGAGGAATAAAATCAACTTTTATTCTAGAAAAATGAGTTTTAGCAAAGTGAAAAACACCTCAAGTGTATATTTAGCTAACCCGTGAATCACCTCACACATCACGTACGTAGATGAACAAGAAGCACAACAACTTCAACAACTAGTTCTAACAAGACTGAAGGGTTTGTTCCAATGAATACATCAACCGTGTAACATCTTCCTCTTCGTGTGAAATTCACGGCACCTCTGGGGAAATGATGTGAGTCAAACAAACACACACACATGCACGCACGCATGCGCACACACACACACACACACACCGACTGTTGTTTGTTTCGATACAGGTGGAGCAGAACTGTAACGTCACTTAACATACATGTCATGCCAGAATCATCATGTTCGCTGCAGGTTTATTGGTGAAAAACTTTTTATCTGTAAACGCACTGTTCTGGTTTCACCTATGAAACCAGAACAGCACATTTTCTCCTGGTAAACTGCTATATGCTCATTCATAAGATGAGTTCATATTCAGTGGAATTTCCCAACATGATGCGTCTGTTTTGATTTCAGTGTAAGTGTGACACAGGGATTAGACCGCGCTGTAATCAGTGTCACAGATCCAAAATAAGATTCCCCACTCCTTAAAATTGCGGCCTTCCTACCTGGGTACCAGCGAGTCTCCCCCTCGTAATGTTGTAGGGTCAAGCTCAAATATGGAAGATATATCATTTCCGTCAGGCACGGACACAAGTGTGTACATAACTTTGTCCTGAACATTTCTCAAACGTGCTCGTATGGCTTCCTGCTCCGAGTCCAGCTGTTGGGGAAAAGTCAGAACAGAGTGTGATGAAAAAAATCAGCCAGCATAAAAAGTAAAAAAAAAAAAAAAAACATCTTGAAACACGTGTCTTTGTCTGCCAAGTTTGTGTCAAGATCAATAAAGTCAGTGAAAGGTTAAATGATACAACGGAAAGATTTCTAGGAATTGACCCAAGATTGTAAAACTGACATGCAAGAGAAAATGCAATCACTGTTCAAAGTCTCTATTCCTGAAAAGAGCAGAATTTAATTACCTTGCCTGAGTGGCTCATGTTTGGGTAATATCACACAGTCTTTCTTTAGCAGGGCAACTTTAGAAAATACTCAATATGATTAAATCCTAAGTTATACGTTAAGTTATTCATTTGTTCTTTAGCTGGTCCTGTTTAAAAAGCTTTTTCAGGATAACTTAGAGGGCACTTTTGTTTTACTTTTGAATGTTGCCAGACTTCAGCTCTTCTTAGTATTGTTCTGAAATTTTATAATTTGTGTTTTAACTCTAAAAGCAAGGCAATAACCTCAGAAGCAGATAAAGAGTGAGCTGCTTCACCTCCTGGTCAACAGATTTTAACAGCCTCATGCTTTCAGAAGTCAGTAAAATGCGTCTGGGAGCTGAGGTCTCAGTACAGATAGGAGGATTTAAAGTGAAAGGCTGCCATCTACTGATGAAAGAACAGTAACACCCTTTTAATCTGCAGTAAATATTCTTAATTCAACCAAAGACGCCTCTTACTACAATCAGCAAATTTGGCAACTGATTTTGTTTTTTGTTTTTTTTAGCAGGCATTTACAAACACCTGAGTATGTGGTGTTATCTATGTAATCTTGAGCTCCTGCCAACTGTTTTTAAGTAAGGCTCTGTAAACCATCAGAAAATAAATGGCAAAACTTAGAGCACTTAAGGACATTTAAATGTTTTCCACTACTAACACATCTGTAAACTTGGCTCACTTACTGAGGAGCGAGACTCCAGACACTCCTCTTCATAATCTGGATTCACCTGCAATGTAACATTGTGGTTCACCACTAGGAATAAAGTCCATTTTTTGGCTGGCACAAAGTTTTCTCTTATCATTAGAGCCTAAAACAAGTTTTTATTTACATCTTTAGGTTGCTTTATAGTCAACTTGCACATGCTTATGTTTGATGTAAAGACTGCAAAGGTTATTCTGATATGCAGTAAACTATAATAGAGGCATGGACTACACTGTGTACTGACCTCTGCAGCAAGGTAGTGTCCTGTTGCCAGGTGTTTAAACCTGAACAGACTGTTCCAGTAGCCAGCCCCCCCACGACATGGATCATGCTGCACAACCTGAAACCAGAGCAGACAGACAAATATCTTTCACCAAATGCACACACAGTTGTTCAACTGGGGATGTGGACTGCATCACCTGTTCTCTTAAAACACAGTAAACATTTTAAAATCTCCACAAGCAAGCAGAGGAGACTGATCTAAATTCTTGTTCCTGCTCACCTCTATCTCCCATAAGGCTTTGCTGCTGGTTGCCGAGGTAGCTGACTGCCGTCCAGTAGTGCGGAGAAAAACATACTGTTTTTTTCTGTGATCGTCACATGTGAGGAATTTCTCCTGCTCAGCATGAAACAACCGGACCACGTCACCCTGGAGGAAAGAGAGATATGTGTTAGTTTAAGTTTTTTTACATGAAAAGGTGTAAGGAAACATAATCTGTAGCTTCAGCCTACACCTTTTTCATTTGCTTTAGTTTTTTTCTCTCTCTTTTATGATTTGAATAGTGTTTGTTAAATGAAATCATATAAATGAAACCAACCCAAACCATAAAATATTTGAAAAAGACCATCAAGCCCCTGTAGACCTCATGTTTGGACTGACAAAATTTCCCTGGGTAATATCTTCTGCCCTTTAATATTTTCTCTCCATATATATAATCACAGCAAAATATTTTGTCAAAATTTTGGCCAAACCAAACTTTAGTCATCACGATTCCTAAAGGGATATTCTGGCATAAATTTAATTTAGGGTCAAACACACTGTAACACAGAGTCAGACACCCCCTCAAGAGATGAATGTTGCCAACTGCTTGCTTCTCTAGTTTTACCAACTTTAGCAACGACTGCAGATAGCAAAACACAGTGGTATAAGGAGCCACACACAAACCTCAACCAAAACGCTACTCTATAGCCACAAATAATGCTCAGAACAGCACCGGGGTGACACAGCTCAAGGAAGAAAATTTGTGATCATTTTACTAAAGTTGGTATAACCAGAGAAGCAAGCGGTCAGCAAAATTCATCTTTCAAGGGGGTGTCTAACTCGGTGTTATGGTGTGTTTGACCCTAAAGTAAGTTTTACGCTGGAATATCCCTTCAATAACTACCATAAAAACAACTCTATTTGTAAGCATGTATTATAGACTGATGACACTAAATCATATAAAACAGAGCCAGCTGCCTACTAAGGTGTGACCAGGGATATAACACTAATGAAAAATAAATTGTGTAAACCTTTAATCAGATCTTTCCAGGTTGTGTTAAACCATCTATTCTTAAAGATCATTCATTTCTGATTGCTGTCAGTATGTTGTCTTTGTACTTTTATATCTACCTTCTGCTGGAAACACAAGGTGTGTGTTTAGCACCCTAATCCCTCTGTAAACATGTTGTAAAAACAGCTTGTCTGGTTACAGTTGTGAGACAAACCCCTTTAAGGATGATCTCCTGATTGTCGCTCCACTTCATGAACAAGACAATCTTCCAGCTAGTGTTACAGTTGACAGAGTTCACCTGGAAAACAAACAATCAGAGTTTGACGTGACTGTAGGTACTTTCTCCTGGCATCAGTCCAGACACAGAGGGAGCACACAACCGCTCTGCCAAGGTTAAAGGGATAGTCTAATGTTAGTGGAGTTTAAGCGTTCTCTCATTACGCAGAGTAAGACAAAGGAAGTTCCAACATTTAAAAATAGAATAAAAAACACCTTCAAATATGTCCAAAGGAAATCCGATTATTTTTATATTTACTTCCTCTACAACTGTGCTGCAGTACTGTCAACAGAAACATTTGTGTAGTTACGAAAACATGCACTAGTTCATCAGAAAAAATCTTTGAAGTGCTTTGAGAGACAAAAATGGAGTATAAATACACCTTTGTTTGATTCTTACCAACAGCAGGAATTTCATAGTTGCCCTTATAACTGACCAAACTCTTACAATGTGCTTCATGTTACGTTAGACAGTTGTTAAACACCATAATAGATTAACAGATAATACATATTATCTCAGATTGTGCTACTATTATGGGGGATATACAATCTTTCAAAAGCAGGATTAGTTGCAGCCTGCATGTGGAGCAAAGTAAAACAATCATGTAGTGTTTGACATCAAGCAGCTAATAACCAGGAGGCACTTCTAAGAAAAAAGCTATAATAAGGTTCTGCGCAGCCACACAGACACTCCCACACAAACATGTGAGGAGTGAGGATGAGTTGCAGTATCTCAGCCAAACCTCATTGCAGCCTGGATTATCCACAAGCTGGTGTGTGCTGGCGTGGAGAGGCTGACCGGCGTTCACTGGGTTCAAGACTACTTTGTCTCCGATCACCACCTGCAATCAGACAACAAGACACAAGAACAGGAGACATGGGGTCAGATGTTTAGATTTTTTTGTCCTTACACAGACAGAGCTGCCAAAGAGGGAGTGTGGGGCCAGGATTAATGAAGAGATTTAAGAGTAAGGGGTGTGTATTAGGGCTGTTGCACTATCAATAACAGTAAGAAAAAAAAGAAAGAAACAAAGAAACATAGAAAGAAACAAAGACAGAAACAAAGAAACATAGACAGAAACAGAGAAAAAAGTAACAAAAAAGAAACAAAGAAACAAAAAAGAAAAACAAACAAAAGAAACAAACAAACGATGTAACGGAGAAAGAAACAATGAAAAATAAAAAAGAAATAAACAAACCAAGTAACAAAGAAAGAAACAATAAAAAAGACACAAAAATCAAAGGTAACAAAGTACCAAAAACAATGTAACGAAGAAAGTAACAAACAAAGTAACAAAGAAAGAAACAATGAAAAAGTAACAAAGAAAGAAACATCGAAAAAAGTAACAAAGTAAAAAACAAACCAAGTAACAAAAAAACAAACAGTGAAAAAAACAAACAAACAAACCAAGTAACAAAGAAAGAGACAATGGAAAAAGAAACAAAGTAACAATGAAAGAAACAATGAAAAAAGAAACAAAGAAACTAACAAAAACGTCTAAGTTGTTTTTACCGCAGCTGCCTATATGCTGCCCACTATTTGCAACCATGTGTTCAAACAGTAAAGGTGATTGAAGGACTCTCAGCCCAGAAAGCTACTCCAGTCATGCTAGCAAAATTTCAGCAACAAATACTTTCTAATCACTCACCCATTAAGTAATTTGGAATCAAAATGACAAATCAAAACACAGAATTAAGGAACATGTTCAAAAATGACGTTGTCCTCAGTACTCCTTATTGTCTGTGTCTGGAGAAGCTAAAAACCAAACTGTCTGCCACCTATGTTATCTTAGCTTCTGTTTATACACTCCTATGTTTTGGTTCCTTCAGTACTAAACCAAGCCATATCGTTTTGAAACGTGTCACTATAAATCGAACAGGGTTAGCAGTAGTTTTACAGTTCATGACACACTCAGTATTGACTAATATCCAGGTCTAAGGAAGAGAATCAATACAAAGAGGAAAAATGATAATGGGCCACCTCCTAGACCAATTAGGGACATTATGCAAATAAGTAGAGTTTGACTTAGTGACATTTATGTCACCAGCCTTTACTCACTCACATGTAGGCAGGAACAGGCCTGAAAGTATCAGTACTAATTTGCATTCATCGTCCTCTTTTCCTCTCAGCATTTCTGAGGTGACTCCAGTTATCTTTTTGTTTAAGTCCTGCTGCTTACACCATGTGCCATGCCTAATCTGAGAGGAGCTCAGCAGGGAAGCCCTTTTCCCTGCCCAGGTTTATTTAGTCCTTTGGCACCATCACAGATCTTCCTGCTGCAGGGAGGACAGGCTGGTGCCAACAAGAGCTTTGTGATCAGGAAAAGACCAATTGGGCGCTGGCACAGGTCCATTAAGGGATAGATGTAATCAGATAGATGCCTGACACTGAGGCTAAGGACGGTACAGAAGGTCTGTGTTGTCAAAATCTACACCTTTTTCTGCTGTCTTAACCATATAATACTGATTCACAACTGTACTATTTAAATGGATTCTACGATTAGGATAAACATCTGCCAACTGTATTTTCATGAGTACACAACTTAAATGTTAAACACACATCAACCCCGGCACGATTCAGTCCTTTGCTTTGCCTGATGTTGAGTGACAAAGACCATTGTTCCCACAACACATCATGCCCACAGACATAGATATGATGACTCACACTGTCCCCAATGGAGCGAAGCTTGTAGAAAGGCTGGATATAAAACCAGGAGCCCTCGTTCCCTGCAGTGTCCAACATCACCCTCATGGCATTTTTTTCTAACAGAGCTGGGAGACGCTTGTTCACGGTTAGATATTTGTTGCTCTTCAGGTGAAGGAGCTGGAGAGAAAAAGAGAATGTCGATACCCATGGTGAGGAGCAATTTATATATAATTCCATTATTTTTTGAACACTGTATTCTGATAAATATGGCTGCAACAGCTAGTGACATGGGTTTTTGCTATGCTATGGGTTTTTGATTAAATCAGAAAAAATAAAACCACTCGATAAAGATGGACTTTTGAGAACATGTCTGATATTTACCGTATTTATTTTTTATTTTTTTTGAACATATGCATGCAACACCAGAAAGTAAACTGAAAACAAACAAAACTAATGAGAATATTCAAAACAACAATAAAAATAAAAATAAAAAATACTAATAAAAATAATAATGTGAACCCAACATATCCGAAAAGGAGTAGGATAAAGCATTATGCTTTTTTTTAAACCTACCCCTTCTCTGCTACTCAATAAACAGTCAGTCTCCAACATATTTACATTACATTATATTAACAAAAAATAGAACATAAAGAGAGTAAATAAGTACATCATTCATTCATGGTATGTAAGAAGCAATGCCAAACTACATTTTTCTACATTAAATAACAAAAAACATTTTAGATTTGATTTGTTGTCATGAGGGGCAAAAAATATGTGTCATCATCCAGAGACGGCAGTGGCAACTGAGGACATTTAGGTTAATATTTCTAGCAGTGTGCATTGGAGTTATTGTAAAGGCAGGGAACTTTCAAAACTTTCATTTTCACTGCCTTCTCAAAACTGTCCTGAAGCACACTTTATATGTTTGTTTATATTTGTAAACAGACTCAGTTAGCTAATAGCCAATTTTTTAAAAAAGATAAGTCTGCTTATGTTATTTCAAGTGACTGGAAGCCACACTGACGAGGCTGTCTGCAGACATTACTTTGTTTGTTTGTTTTTAAAAGGCGTCCTGAACACTGGCACCAGATAATACTGAGTATTTCAAAATGCCCTCTGCAGCCTTGATCAGTCAGCCAAGCAGTTATTGGCTGTCTGTCTCTAAATTTGTACAGATGCTATGGCTCATAATAAGCTAGCCAGTGTGTTACAATTTAAACATGTTTTCTGTTGTTCAACAGAAGTTGAACAACAGAAGACATGTTTAAATTGTAACACACTGGCACTAGCTCATAATAAGCTAGTACCTACAGCACTGTGTGTTTGGATTTCATGTGTGGTTTTATCCTCCATGGAACTTCACCAAAATTCACAATATTGTACAGAGGCAATATACGGTTGAGGAATCAAACGATGTACAGTTTTTCAGCTTTTACTGATATTGCACAAAGTGTGCTGAAGGCTTATTTTTAATTTAAGATAAAGGTGTTACAACTTTAAGGAGATTAAATCCCCTTCAAGGTCATGCCAGAGTAATTCAAGTTAGAGAAAAAGCTTGTTGCAGGTCAAAAAAAGTTTATATGACTTGATATCCAACAAAAAATAAGAGGCAAACCTGTATGACATTCCCGTACTGAATCACTGTCCCAAGGAGTTTTTTGTTTTCAGAGTCGTTTTGCTTCTTCTCCAGGTCAGCTGCACTCTGAAAGTAAATACAAGATAAGAACCAGATGCCGAGTTGTTCATGACACCCACTAAAACTGTGAATTTAATTGGTTAAGCTGTTAAATGGAGTATGGCTGTACCAAAGTTTTTTGCCAAAACTCTTCAACAGTAGCAGGGTTTTGCCAAAAATTCTGGCTCATATCTCCATGGAAACTCAACAGAGACTGCAATCACCCATTTTACGGTCAGATAGCAGATTGCTTTAAATGGTATCATATCCAAGCAGAAAGAGAGAAAAAAGAGGGCAGAAAGGTTAGACAGTAGGAGTAAAAGCCTTCAATAATGCCTATAAAAGGACTTTCAAATTCTACCCCAGAAGATATACATATGAACTCGACTTGGCTATAAATTGTTCTTAATCTGTGGGGTGGTATGCACAGCAGTAATATCTCAGTGCATTCACTCAGTGGCCATTCATGCAGTTTAAAATGAAGACTTAAGGAAACTTAACAAAAGTAACCATGCTCTCAATCCTGTGAGGCCGAGGACAGGCCTGTGTGTACTGTGCTGCTCTGCTGTGGCTGCAGACCGATGAACATTTTGTCACTTCACTCACATGGAGCTTGTTAAGCAGCACCGTGTCTGTGTTCCCTCCGGGCTTTGCTGCTTTCCAGAACTGCTTCTGGGCTGAGTAGCGGTTCATAGGACACAGCCTAAACAGACAGTCTGGAAAAAAAAAGACAGAGATAATAAATAAAGAGAAAAGAGATTGAAAGAGGCAGTGGTAAACTTTGGTTGACTCACTATTGGCTCTTGATCCAAAACAAAAGCGGCTAATCTCTAACATTTACAGCCTCATTAATTCTGCTATTGACACCCAAGCTTCCGGTCCCAAGTGTTCCTGGAAGCAAGAGCTTGAGCAATTATTGGCAACAAGTTTTACTACTTACTCCTTTTCAATCTGTGTGAGGCACGGCCTCCTACAGTGTAAAGTTGTACACAAAGTTCATTCAACCAGTTTGAGGCTATCTCGGATTTACCCCAATGTAACTGATTTATGTAATAGGTGCAAACAATCTCCAGCCGACCATTCCCATATGTTTTGGTTTTGTCCCAAGCTTGCCACATTTTGGTCAGAATGATCATAAATGTTCTTCCTTGAGCTGCGTCACCCCGCTGTAGTCTGTAATGGACTGGTCAAGGTCTCGCTACAAACAAGCGGCTGCTGGAAGAGAGTACGTGAGTTGTGTTTAGTCTCTTTGCTATAGAAATTAGGCAAAGTTCAAAAGATGTTTGGTGGCTAGTGCTGTGGCTGGGACCCTATATGTACTGTTGATGAAGTAAGGTGCTGTTCTGAGCATTATTTGTGGCTATAGAGTGGCGTTTTTGTTAACGTTCGTTGATGGCTCCTCAGACCGCTGTGTATTGCTATCTGTGGTCATTACAAAAAAGTTGGTATAATGAGAAAAGCAAACGGTCGGCAACATTTATCTCTCAAGGGGGTGTCTTACTCGGTGTAATTGTGTGTTTGACCCTAAATTAATTGTACGCTGGAATATCCCTTTAAATCCTATTGAATCTTTGACATCTCTGCCTGATTGTGACAACGGGAAAATGATAGAATGGAAGTCTTCTCTGTCACGTTGTACTGACATGTTGCTGTTTGTGGAATTGCTTCCAATAAAGAAAGTTAAAAAAAAGAAAGAGCCAGTGGTGCTTGCAGAGAGGCATTGAAAACAACGTCATGGACAGAAATACAGATTTTTATTGTCAGGTTGCTTAAGGTAACCGCTGTGTTTGCAGCTAAGAATGATACATGGCTTTGAAGAAAGGAAAAGGGCGAAAAGTAAATGAAGACAGAATAGTGTTGATGTACTGTGGTGAAGCGTGGAGAGGTCAGTGCTTCAGTGTGGGAGAAGGGTTACTGCAACAGCTTAGCAAAATACCTACACACACGGAAGAGCTGAGCTGTTCAAACAGAAGATAATGCAAGGTGTTCAACGAATATATCATCCAAAAAAAACTAGAAAGAAATTTAACATCTGAGAGATCTCTCTGAAAAGTCAAAGGAGGCATGAAAATGTAATACCAGAGAATAGAAACCAGCACACTCCTCTGTGCTTGTTTGGGTGTGTGCGTGTGTGTCCACTTGAAACAGATATTCACGATTCTCCTTTATGTCGATCAAAGGGCTTTGTGTGCTTCAGGGAGCAGAGACGAGGGGCAGGCATGCGTGTGTATGTGTATGTGTGTGTATGTGTGTGTGTGTGTGTGTGCTCTGTTAGAGTTTGTGTCTGCAGCAGTGATGAGATGCTGCAAACGTCAGCAGACTCTGGTTGTGTTGCTCATTTTCATAGATACAGCAGAAACTGGCTGGAGGGGGTGTGGGGGGGTTGAAGCGGTCCTTTAATTTGCATGTGGACACAGTTCCAGCATAACGCAGTTCCTCTTCTCTCCCAGCTGACTTAGCCCTCTGTTACTAACTGCACAGTCTGGCACACAAAGGTCTATAAAAACCTGCTAAAAGTTCAGGACAGCAGCTCTCAGTTTACCACAAAAAAGACAACTCTCCCTGAACTCCGGCTACTCAGCGACTCAGCCGTCTGAGCCCTGGTTTTCCTCTGACTTCACCTCATCAGATCAAACTTCTCCGTTCTGAAAGGGTGAAAGAAGAGAAAAAAAAGAAAAATCTGTCCATCTTCCCCCCCATTCTTTCTCTCACTCTCTCTTGCTATCGTCGCAGTAACATGACCAAATAAGGCCAACCAAGAGAAGGGGAGTGGGATGGGAGAGGGTGAGGGAAAAAGAGGGTGGGGACTCCCCTATCTTCCCCCCTTGATGCTCTTCTATCCCTCCTTCTCCCTCCTGAATTCCTCAAGCCATTTCATACATTGCTCCCTCCTACTCTCTCCCAGTTAACACTCTATCTTGCAGATTTTCCTACCCCCTCCAGCCCCCCTCTCTCTCTCAGCCCCCTCATCAGATAATGTTTACTCTAGTTTGACCCAAAATACAGCCAGAACAACACAGAAAAGGAAGTGAAAGAGAAATGAGGAAGACGGGCAAGTGTAAGAATGTGAAACAGAGAGAGGGAAAGAGAAATAGGGCAGAGACGGAAGAAGTGGTCCTGTTTAATGCTGAGTGAAATGCCCTTTCATTTGACACAGACACACAATCACAGCTGCTTTATGAGTGACAGATGATCAGCCCCCACTTGAGATTTGTCTTTAATCATAAACAGCTTGAATGTCAACACAGTGTTTCTGAAACCTGCGGTGAGGATTCCTTCTGGGGTCACTTAGCAAGGGAAGTTGTTGGACAAGTCCAGAGGGCAGAAAACCCACAAAGATTCATTAACATTCCTGCAACTCATGACCTTTAACTTATAATCTTACAGCCACAAAACTAACCAAGTAACAATTAATTATCGAGAATTCAATATATCTTCTTATAGACACACCCATGCTGTTTTATTTCTGAGAAATGACAGCTTATATGATGATTTACTGCTTTAGGGACTATGCCCACTAACAGCTTGTTTTGTTGTTGTGCTGGCAGTGCCTCATTTAGATTTGAAAAGAAAACGCGGTCCAGTGTTTCCACTTTTTTATTAAATAAAAGTATATAAGCAAAGAACAGAGCATTTAGAAAACTATTTATTGGTGGATAAGGGTATCAACTTTAAGTCCCACTCTGGTCGTGTTTTTACAACTTAAAGTGTTCTCAGTGGTCTTTAAATTGTGATTATTACCTTTTTACCAAAAATCGTGTTACCTGTGTCATTTTCAAAGGCTTTTCGTCTGCAGAGCTCCAGTAGATCATTAGCAATTTGCCTTTGAGTCGTGGGTGGAGACAGCGCTGCTCTGCACACTCGTCTTGCAGCCTAACATTGCCGGTACAGCAGAAGTAACAGGTAACATAGGAGGTATTCAGCTCTCGGACACTAATGTCTTTAGGAACATGATGAAAGCTAATATCATAGTTAGCTTTCTTGCGAGCATTGCAATTCGCTAACACACATGCTTGTTCAGGGCTCCGGGGACGGAGCTTGGATTGGTTATGTATGAAATCTCACAGTTTCTGAACCTGCATTTGGGTCTGTCAAAGATTCACAGCGATTTGAATGAAGAAATACTCAGAAAAGCAATTTCACATTTAGGGCCTGATCTACTACAGGTTTGCGTGTGCAAAAACACGTGCAAACCTTATCTACTAACCGGGTGCACTGAGGATTGCGTCTGTTAAATGAGCAAAACAGCGCACGCAATCGATTTAGCGTGTTTGCCTTCACGAATATGCAGAATGTGTGTAGATCATCAGAATGCGCAAAATTTTGGGAGGAGCAGGTGCAAATGGAATCATTTGGCACCCGCAGTGTGATCTATCAAACTCGGAAAACGATTGCGGTCTCTGTTTTGCTTCTCCCCATATATTTAGCACCTTTGAAAGGCACGTGCAAACTGACACAGCATTATGCACGCCCATAGTGGGGAGAAGGAGGCAGAAGTGCCATGATACACGCCTTGATCCTTGTCTTAAAGCTTGTGATTTATTTCGTTTTTCTAGTAAATGATGATTTTCAAAAATAATAAGGTCAAAGACGGAACAGACGAAAAAAATTATCTGTTTGTCTTCTTGATTTTAAATCGTTTTAATCCCTTACTTGATTTCTAGTATATCTTCTTGTATCTTTTTAGCACTTTGTGAATTGTCTTGTTTTATGAATTGTGCTATACAAATAAACTTCCCTTGCCTTTTATGCTGTTCCCCAAAACGATATGTGCAACTTCATGGCTTCAAACACTCTGCTCTTACAAATTCTCCATGGTGACGGCCGATAGCGCACACAAAATCCTACTTTAAAGAGGGCGGTCCACACCACTTTTGCACCCGTTGTCAATTTCACACGCAATGATAGTAGATCACCCACAACACGCCCACTAATGGCACGTGCAATTTTTTAGTTTTTACACGAAATTGCAAACTAAAAAATTATTTGGGATCTTAGTAGATTAGTCCCTTAGTTTTCTCATGATATGTCCTGCAGCGTCAGAAAAATGCCATATATAAAAAACAAGAACAACATGATCTTATCAGAGTGGGTCTTTAACAACAGAAAACACTGGTGACAAGCAACTTGAAATTGTGGTTATTGATGCCGCCAGGGCAACAGGTGTACACAGGCCCTCCTGTATTTAAAAAACTTTTTACTGAAAATGTTACTGTGTATATGACATCAAAGTTCAGTCTCATTGAGTTGAAATATCAGGAGAAAAACCTTCATAACTTTAACATCAATTTTTAAGACTCTGTTGCTGTGGCAGACCACATTTTGATTGACATCCAAACACTTAATTAAATGAGGTTTGTCACAATCAGTGTAACATTACCCTGAATGTTGAACTGATCTGTTACAGATTCAGAGGACAAAGCAGTAAATTATTGCTAATAGACTGTTCACGCATGGCAGGCTATGTCGTACTTGACATGACTTAATTCCATGGACGGTGCAGTGTGAAGATAAAATACACAAATCAAAACTCAAATACGTGCAGAACATTAAAATGCAAATTTAAAATCTGCATTTTCATCATGATAGGATGAATTCAGTCATAAAAAGACAGAGTACAGTAGGAATCACCCTTGTTCAATCAGCTCCTCACGCCTGCTCTCTTTCTCTCACACTGTTGAGTACAGAAAAACTGACTGTGGGTAAAATGGTGTCAGATGGTGACTCAGCCTTTTAGCAGTAGCTGTGAATTACTGAAAACTACAGTAGCTGAGTGCTAATGACATGCATGGTAAGTGCAAAGTAACACAACACTCTCTATAATATATGTGTACCTGGGATGGAAACACACAGTAACACATGCAAACATAAATATTTGACTGTCTATTTGAAAATGGTCCTGGTTTCAAAGCATGTAAGAGCAGAGACAAATAACTAAAAATGATTAAATAAATAAAAATAAATTAAATCAGTTCACATCAACTCATAAAATTTAGATAAATCAAGTGACTAGTCAATGAAAGCTTTGCTGGAGTTTTTTCCATGTTTCAAGGCTTCTCTTTCGATTTTAATTCATATAGCATTTTAAATAAAATTGAACTTTAAAAGATTTACACACAATATTTACTACCCTGTTTTCTGCCCCAACTCCGTTCATTGCCTTGTCTTTTACTTAACTATTTTATATTTTTATTTTGGTCCTAATGGTCTCATTTTATGTTGCATAGTTCTTGTATTGTCTGGATTTCTTATGACATATAAAAAATGGCCTTCAATTTCATTTTAACTGAGCTTTTTGTTTTTATTTGTCTTTATTTCTGACTATTTGTCAAAGCACTTTGTAAACTTCTGTTTTTAAAAGTGCTATAAAATAAAGTTATTATTATTGTTATTATTATTATTATTATTATTATTATTATTATTATTATTATCATTACTATTGTCATTATTATCATTATTGTCATTATTATCATTATTATTATTATATGCCATGATTTCCATGTGTGCTGCTTTTAAACTTTTGAATCATATTTACGTGACACTGGGGGTTAAGTTTTCCAACTGAGAAGAAATAGCAGGTGCAGTTTTAGGGAAATTAACTTAGTAACTGAACTTCAGTTATCTGAGACAATAAATGAATCTGCAGACAATAGCTTCACCTGAATGTTTCCAGCAGGACCTCTCCTCTCTGAAGACAGGAAAGCAATAGATGTGGTTTTAGAGAAATTTATCTCAGTAACTGAACCTTTGGCTGAAACAAATGTAAAAAAAAAAAAACTCAACACCCAGAGCAGAGAACATTTATGAGCTTCCAAACATGGCATCTTGCATCACTGCTTTGAGTGGTCTTTCACAAGGGGCCACAGATGAGTCAGAGATCACTTAGGCATGTAGAGTGCAAGAAAAAAAGGTCATAAAAATCCTACAGTTGCTGGTGAACTTCACAACAGTCAAGTGAATCAAGAGATAGAAACTTGTAGCCGTGGCAACTTTTAAAAACACTGAGGGATGATGAAACAACATAGATCATAAAACGGGCAGATCCACGGGGTGGCCAGGGGTGGCCATTACCTTTATTGAATTATGATTAGTGTTCCGAAAACTATCACTCATGATTGGTCGTCTGCCTTAATTATTGGAGGTGAGTTTTTATGTGGGACTTGTGATTTGGGTCATCGACGACCACTAGCAGGTCTCTTCCTTTTCAGTGTTGCTCATTTTTCTCTTCTTAAAGCTTTAAACTTTGACTTTTCACAAACATCTCCTTTCTACGTTAAAGGGATATTCCAGCGTAAAATCAATTTTGGGTCAAACAAACCTTAACCATAACTCAAACCGAGAGTTAGACACCTCCTCGAGAGATGAATGTTGCCGACCGCTTGCTTCTCTAGTTATACCAACTTTAGTAACGACCGCACAATAGCAATACACAGTGGTCTGGGGGACCATAAATAAACCTCAACCAAAATACCACTCTATAGCCACAAATAATGCTCAGAACAACACCCAACTTCATCAACAGAACATATAGGGTCCTAGCCACAGCACTAGCCACCAAAAATCTTTTTAACTTTGCCTAATTTATTTAGCAAAGAGACTAAACACAACTCACCCACTCTCTTCCAGCAGCCGCTTGTTTGTAGCAAGACCTCGGGCCAGTCCATTACATTTATGACCATTTCTCTATCATTTCCTTGAAGTAATAATCACTACATTAATCATTTTGCACTGCAGACGTGGTAGTTCTTCTGCCTCAGTGTCTCGGTCTGATTTCATTTTCATGAAGAAATGATCATAAATATTCTTCCTTGAGCTGTGTCTCATATTGGTCAACTATGCAATGATCATGGTTTCACCCTGAATTTCAACCTCCCTATTGAACTGACTGCTATCCAGCAATGACAGTAAATGAATCTCACTAATCCTGGGAGCATCAAGGTTAAACCTCTGTGGCAGACCCGAGCTTCATGTTCCTGCAATAATTGTACCACATCACCCTGGAAAAGGGCCCAGAGAGACAGATTGCACAATACAGCTTCTTTTCTGTGCTAAATCAACAACATTCTGGATGAGCTGCCTTGTATAAACTGCAGCGCAGGCCAAGGTTCTTATCCTGTTGGAGATGTTATAGAGGAAGCGACCAAACACTTGTAGTGCATCAGAGACAATAAATGACTGTAGACAACAGCTTCACCCGAATGTTTCCTGCAAGACCTCTCCTCTCTGAAGACAGGAAAGCAATATATGTGGTTATTAGGAGAGGAAGGGACTAAAGGCAGAAGTGCTTCTGGTGTTTTTCTCAGATGAACCACCCAACTAGACTGCAGTGTGTCTGACAGCAACAAAGGTTTGGACTGACAACAGATAGTTAGAGGCAAAAATCTAGCTCTTTAAAACCTGATCATAGTTTAAGGTTTAGTGTTTCAGTGTAGAAGCTGCAGAACCAGATACAAAGCTCATCTTGATCAATGGCTTAGGGCAAACTAGAAGTGTGACGTTTTCAGCTTGTTTCCTGTTTGTTTGTTTTTTTCATTTGTATGTTATGCTCTTCAGGATTACTGCCTATTTTACCTGACAGGGCACCGTGGATATGAAGTCTGTCAAGACGATATCTTTTATTTTTGAACTGTTGTTTGATAATCCAATCCACTTCATATATTACACAAAAACATTTCAGTTAAGCACCAGGCTGTATAATAACTAAAAAGCAGAAATAAAATCAAAGTAAAATACAAATACATCAGGGCTCGACAGCGTTACCGTTTTACTTGCATTTGCGACTAAAAATAGATTTGTGCGAATTGTAAAATGTATTTAGGGGCACATCAGCCACGGCAATAGATGATTTTTCATGGAAATACCGCTGTGAAGTTAGTTTTAGGTTGGATAATCGACGGACATTCATTGCGGATCTACAGGTGTCTTCTCACTCTCCAAAACCTGCAACAGCAGCACGTTAAATCTACTCGGCAACCTCGCTGTCAATGTCGGGTGTTGAATAGGGGACCGTTAATAAATTACTGGTTGATGTTCTCAGAAAAGGCTGTTTTCCTTCAATAGCTTCCATGTCATGAGACCAACTGACCTAAAATTAATTTCAATTAATAGTACTGAGAACGGAAAATAAGACAAACCTCTTTTTTTCTCAAACTTGTCCTGCAAAATCTTTTGGGTTAAATCAAAGACCAAATTTTGAACATTTTCTTCAATAGCTTCCACGTCATGTGACCAAAAGACCTAAAATTGATTTCGAATAATAGTGCTACTGTCAACCAATAAGACACATTATTTGATCAATTTTCATTGTGCCCCTAAAGTTCTTTGTGCGCTCCTTACGTTTTCAACTTAGAAGCACATGTGCTCCTTGTAAAAAAAAGTTAGTGTCAAGCCCTGCACATATACACTACAGGCCAAAAGTTTGGAAGCAAGATCAGATTTACAAAAAAAAGATCATAGTTTCATATATATATACTTTGCAACACAATAAACATGACTATTGTGTAAAGAGTAACTTATCAGAAGACATTTTGACTATAATTATTAGGTATTTGAGTTATTGTTGCTTAGACTTTGCTTTCTTTAAGGTAACCTCCTCTGGCTTTAACAACAGCTTGGCATATACCAGGCATTCGATCCACAAGTTTTTTAAGGTATGTTCAAGGGATTGCATTCCAAGCTTTCTTAAGTTCATTAAGAGAAGACTGATGATTCATGGGACGCGTTTTTCTGACCAATCTATCCAATTCATCCCGCACAAGCTCAATTGGAGAAAGGTCTGGAGACTGAGGGGGCCAAACCATCTTTTGAAGAACACCTTCCTCTTTTTTTTGTCTAGGTTACTCTGACAGAGCTTGGCAGAGTGCTTAGGGTCATTGTCTTGCTGCAAAACAAACTTGTGACCCACAAGTCTGAGTCCAGATGGAACAGCATGGTGCTGGAGGATGGAGTGGTACTGTTCCTTCTTCATGATACTCTTTACTTCAAACAAATCTCCTACTCCATCACCTGCAAAACATCCCCATACCATGGAACTACCACCTCCATGCTGAATTGTGGGTGTAACACATGGTGCTTTCAGACGTTCACCAGATTGTCTGCGGACATAGACTCTGCGTTTTGAACCAAACAGTGCAAACTTGTTTCTAGTCATCATAAGTCCAATTTTTGTGAGCTTTTGCCCACTCATATCTCTTTTTCTTGTTCTGTGGACAAAGTCGTGGTTTTTTTTTTTTTGTTTGTTTGTTTTTTGCAGATAAATAACCCTTCAGACCAGCCTTTCTGAAACGTCATTTCACGGTTGTCAGAGATATGGGTTTTGACCTTGTCATGTTGATTTCCTTCCTTATTTTTGGTGCTGTCTTTCGCCGATTTCTCTTACTGGTGACAATGCAATAGGGGGGGGATCATCCCGCAGTTTGGGGGCCACTGATGAGGTCATTCCTGATTTTAAGCCCGGTCTTCAGTTTGACAAAAAGTAGCTGACCTCTGAGACCTCAAGGGGGTGTAATACTCATAAGAGGTCAGACATTTACTAAGGTGCTACTCCATTAAAAGATCTGAAAACAAAGAATTAAATCATAAAATAAATCCTAATTAAAACACAAAGCTAGTGGAAGGAGGCCAGGTTGGGTGTAATGTGCTCTGGCTTATGAGTTCTGGGCAGCATCTATGCATTAACTGTAGGTAACATCAACATAAAGAACATTATAGTAGTCCCAACCGGTGGAGACGAATGCTGTATAACTTGCTTAAAATACCTGAAACATAAAATGGGTTAAATCATGAATAAGAGATTCAGGTGGTAAAAACAAGGTTTGACAACAGGATTGATCTAAAAATCATTTTCCAAGATTAGTGATCATAGGTGTATCATAGTTGAAGAATAATATTTAATCAAACATTTGTTTAATGGCTTTAAATGGAAACACATGATCATGCGTGTCCTCTGCTAACAAACCATTTTGAACTCCAGAGTGATCTGGAACTTTGTTTGCAGAAAATTATAATAATTGCAACTTCCTTGTGTAACATCAAACTGAAAAAGCAACAAACTACTTTTACAGAGGAAGCTATCCAAATTGACAATGCAACATGTAACACTCAAATTTTGAATGTGTGGGCAGCCCACTGTTGGAGGAGGTGAAACCAAGGGTGAGGTATGACTCATCAAAATGTGTTGTCTTTGTTTTAGAAGTCACCAATCTTACAGTAGATGCATCATTAGTCTTGTGTTTACATATCAGTTCTTTTACAAAACTGGCAACGCTTTGCTAGCAGTGCAGAACAGTGTGCATTGCTTTATCAAGGCTTGTAGGGACACCCTAGTCAGAACTCCCGGCACTACTAAAAGGTCCCACCCTCCTGTTTTAACATAACCCTTGTCCATAAGAGAGGCATGAAAGGCACCACTATGTTCAAACACAATGACATTTGTTCCTTTTTTATTGAAACGTAGAAAACTGGACCAACCAGACTTTGATGTCCTTATACCAGCTTAGTATTACTATTAGGGCACTTTTGTAATATCTGTTCAGGGACAAATAACATCTGATGTCAACATAAAAGGTAATAAATAGATGCCATGTTTTTTTTTTTTTTATCAATCTTATGAGGACAGGGTACAGAGGAAAAAGAATCAGCCCAAGAATTGAACCTTGAGGGACTCCACATGGCAGTGGGTTCACCAACTTTAACTAGGAGTTGCTTCCCAGGCATAAGACCTAAACTATTTTAGCAGCTCTATCTAAACAATCTAAAAGGAATAACAGCAGCAAATGGGCAAAGTGAATGAGAGCATGTCTGACTACATTTGGCTCATTGTGTATCATCCAATCTGGGCACTAAGTGCAGGGCAAGGCCAAGAGAGGTTGGATTCAGTCCCTTGACTATTCAAGGTGTGCTTTGGGTGTAACAAACATTAAACCAATTAGTGTGTGCTTTCATTCACTTAAAGAGTCAGGTGCACTTACAAGCAGACACACCACTCATTACATTGTTGATCTCAGCCTTTCTACTTAAACAGACTGGGTCATAGAAGTATTTAAACAGCACTCAGCATAGTCAGAATATAATAATATTTAAAAAGTGCCTTCATATGCTGCGTTTCAGTGGTACTCTGAAGTTGGGTTTCCGACTCATAAAGTCTGACGATCCTTGCCAACCCGGACTTGACGACAACGTCATAATTCAAGATGGCAGCACAGTGCATCAACAGCACAGAGTAACATTAAAAGCTCTCATAATGTATTATTTATTGGCACTTCTGTTTCGTTTTTGAGAAATTAAAAAAGTGATATATGTTTTGCTGCCCAACATCTAACTGTGAACACGGCGCAATGGTATTTGTAGAGTAAAATACTGTGTTGTGCGTTGTTTACAACTGGTATAGCTAACAACAACTAACAACCGCTGACAACAGCTGACAACTGCTAACAGCAACCAACAATGGCCAATGACAACTGACAATTGTAAACAACAGCTAACAACGCGTAACTCTAGGCGTCCATCTTGGTTTTCCAACTTGTTAACTGAGTCGCGGTCAACTCAGGTGTAGCGTCATTCCCAGCTCTGACATCCGATTTCCAAGGAAAGCAGCAATATTCTGACTTTTGTTTCAGGTTTCTGAGCCTTCATCACATCCATGAAGCTTCAATGCTACCTTTAAAATATTCTTTAGTTCTTCAAGGAAGTGGTTTTCAATATTTCAATATTAAACTGCTTTTTACAGTAATTACTATTTTGACGTCTTTTGTAGCAGCATTAAAAGTGGTCTCTTGAACAATGGCTTCAACAACCTCATTACAAGGCAAAAACAGCTGTCATCGTGGAAACTATGTCAGACAACAGTTTCAGCACCTAAACAACTCTGTGTAACACTGAAATCACCAAAGAATCCAGGGATGAACTATTTTATGTACACACAGTATTGTTACAGTGCATTCTTGGCTGACTGCTGCAGAGTATATTCTGCTGAACTCAGTACACTATCTGAGTGTGTAGGTGTGTGTGTATATATATTTCAAATGAAGATCAGTCGTGATACAAAGCTCCTGCCTCTTGTCGTCTCAGACTATGCACTCAGGAGAGATGAGTGAGAATGTGACTGTGTGGAGGATGCTCATGTTTACATGAGGTTGGAAATGTTGAGCATACCTCAGCAGTGACAGCACACGGTCCTTACTGTGGACATGGCTAGTCTGGCTCTGGAGTCCACTATGAAGAATTATCTTTAAACATTTGTGGCCCTCTCAGGCCACTGGTGGACTCAAAATAATGAGGAGGACCTGATGAGTGTTAGCTTAGGGATGTGTGGAGAACTCAAACCAGAAGTTAAAAAAGAAATTTGAAGAAGAAATAAAAACATGCATCAATCTGTGTTTAAAGATATTCAAAGACGAAATGACCTGTTTTTTGTTTGTTTGTTTTGGGTACAACAGTCTGCAAGGTTGTAAGGCTACAGAAAGTTACTGAGTAATAAAGCTACAGAATACAGGGTGATGCTATCCATTTGAAGGCTGGAGAGTGCTTTGATATGGAAATTTGAATTAAGGTTGTATATGTAGGTTGTGTCTAGTTACACTGGTAGAGAACCGCTTGACTGGAGCAATGTGTAACCTGCGAAGAAGACTGAAGTTTGGAGGTGCTAGCTCTGCTAACCTTAGCCACAATTTTGATCGTTTTCTTCACATTTTCTCACCACTAAACCAGTCAGCTGATGCAGATTTAAAATTCTATTTAAAATAGGGTGACCATATTCTGACTTGCCACAAAGAGGACACAACTACACGGGGGCGGAGTCACAGAGTTGCACAAAGTTAATTTTGAGTTTTCCGGGTCGGATCGAGTGTTTTTTACGCACTCCTGACTCAGTAAGTCCACATGACACAAATTCGAAACTCTTGTACAAAATCACAGACATTTGAAGGATTTTATAAACTTCCCCACACGAAGCCGGACAAGCCTGGACAGCCCCCTCTTTGCCATTATTTCCATTTTTACCACCATGTGATTAATTTGTACCAGCCCATGCATGAGGCTGTGGTCGGTTTGACGTTTCCCTACAGAGACCAGCACACTGCAGTGATTAAGACTCCTCTTCTTTCTCTTCTTTTTTTCACAGAACCTGACCATCTACCTGACAAACTAATGCTAGCCATCTAACTGGCTAAGTCACTGTGGCCAAATGTAAGTATTCTATTAAGTCTTTGCTTTTAGTCCCCGGATGGGGTTAACACTAGAGTCAACATTTCCAATAAAGCTACCACAAATATGTTTTCATCAGACCCTCCCTGCCTTTATGAGGCCACATATCTTCACACATCTACACTTGGTGTTGTACACTGTCTTCTCTAAGTTTCCTAAGTCCCCTAGTCCAAGATAAAATCCTGACAGGATTTTCCAGGATCATTTTGTCAGACTTGATAAAGGTTCATCAGAGACACAAGCTGCACATGCCAAGTGGCACTCCCTATCATGAGTACAGAGCTTATTACTAGATATGAACATGTACAAAAGTAATGGCCGCGAGTTTTTACCTCTAAAGGCTGTGCATCATTTGAAACCAAAGAAACTCACTTTTAATTCATTTATTAATTTAATCAGCGATCAGTAAAGTAAAATGCCCACAGAGGTAACTGGCAAAATGCTGAATACCATTAACAGTAATAATAGTTCTCGACCCCTGCTATTATGCAGCCACACGCTTTAATCACTTCAACCTCTTATACCACTCCTTTTCTATGCGATCATGCAGTGCCTTTATTCATATCCTTCTGCCTTCTGGTAGGTCAAGAGGCCTCCCACAGTGACATGAAGGCCTTTTTCAGTCATGACCAGCTGACATGGTTAAGGAGTTACCAAAGCCATTTAAACAGCACTCACAGTGAAGAATCATGCATCCTTTTAAAGACTAATGTAAAATTACTACAAAAAAAAAAAGGTTTTGAAGAAACAGCTTAACCACAGTTTTTCTTCACACAGATATCTTAAACAAAACTGAAAGCATCCAATAGTTATTTCATATCAGGCGTGGAAATGTCCTCAGTCAGATTTAGAACAAGGCTTTTCCTCTCACTGCCCTGATCTTGTGATGAGTTTTATAAGTGCGTCAAGGAAAAAAAACAAAGTGTGGGAGGACTGAAGATAAAATAAGGCCAAGTGATTAGCAGTAGTCTTCTTGTATAAGTGAGCTGATAGGCAGATTTAAACTACAATGACATAATTAAAATAAAATTTGGAAAAAGTAAAACAGCAGACTCAAAACAGATTAAAAAAAGAGCAGCACGTTTTAATCTCAGTCAACACAGAGATTTCTCTCATGATCAGTGGATTCACACAAATGCTACTGTACCAGTTGATACAGCAAATCATAGCCTGTTTCACAGACAGTCAAACACTATGATGTTTATCCTTGGATGACTAGTCATTATGGTTGGTTGGATGGTCATTTATGTTGGTAACTGAATCCAAGATCTCTTACCAGATCCATGACATTAAGAGGAAAGTTGTCGAAACATAAAACGCAACAAACACACAACTGTGAAACTCATACTTAATGTTGCTGCAGCTAAAGACTCATCCATCTGCAAGGGGGGAGGGGTCTGTTGTTGAACACCAGAGACTCGCTGAAGAGACCCGCTGCATAAGCGCCGCTCAGATCAAAGATTTCTACTTGCTAAATATGGAGCAACCTTTTTGTACACTTGAGACAGCAGATAGCACCCTGGGGTGAGCATTAGTGTGGAATGATAAACTACAAGCTGAAAATGAGGTTTAAATTTACTTTCTTACAATTGCAGAGGCCAACTGGTTAGAGAGCTCGAGAGCCATAAAATACTATAAAAATTGCCAACTCAGAACTGCAGGCATGATTTACCAACTAAGAGACCAATAATCAATCGATCTTATTTCTAGTCACATCAAAAGTTATCCCATCTCACTCCACTTCAGGAGCAGGTAGAGATAGTGCTCTTTGCTGAAGCTTATTTAGATAGAACCAGAAATAATTCACATAACTTTATTTTAACAAGCAAACCCCTCAAGTAGGACCGGACTCACTGATGTACAGTCACCTGTTGCAACCTGCTAAGGTGAGACACCATGGAAGAGAGAAACAGAGGAGGCAACACAGACAGAAACAGATCAACATCTAAACAGACATCCAGTGATTTCTCAGTCAACTTCCTCTTCAGTAGTGACCAAGAAATATAATGCTTTGTGTATCATCGTGTTCTGCACAGCAACCTGTATAAAATCAACTTCCCAAGACTTCACTACACTCATGTTTTCTGTACAGCGTTGGCCCAGGCTTCTTCTCCCGAGAGATATATACGCCCAGCCTGAGAACCGAGGGTCACACTTCCTGTATGGGAGCCAAAAATAGCTGGTTCATCCAAAGACACAACTCAAGACAACCTCTTTTTCTCCTAAGAAGTACTTCAAGTGTTATTTTCTCCAGCAATCCACACCATGGCTCACCCCTTCCTCTCTCATATGCCTCTACCTCCACAGACAAGCAAGTGCATAGATCTATCAACACATGCATGCAGGTACACACACACACACACACACACACACACACACACACACACACACACACACACACACACACACACACACTTCCCCGTTAACACTGTCCAAAGCAGCCCCTCTTTGAAGTCATGTGGGTAGAGATATTGTGGTTGTCACCAAAGAAACAGCATAACACTCTCAGCAGAGCCCCTCTAAGCGTAAACAGACAGCATTTAGAGTGATGATGTCAGGCCTCAGGAGTCCACTCTCTGTGTATCTTACCTCTGAACTTTTTTGGAGGGTTGTTGAGGTCCCCTGCATCAGGCTGGACCACACAGCGATCATCCACCAATCTATGAAAACACACACACAAAAACATCATTACCTGCAGTAACAAGTCGACCTGTGCTTTATGTTTTCTTTTTGTTTGTTGCACTGTTTAAACTTTTGCAAGTACATTATTTATGATCACTGATGGTGCAGGCAGCTGACATGTTTTTTTTTTAATGAGGCAGGGCTGGAGTATGCAAAGATATTTTTCCTATTTGTTCAGGAGCTGACACAGTCAGTGAAAGTCAATGACAGTATCCACATAAAGATGAATAGAATAAAGTGATAGAAAAATCTTTTTTAAAGATAAGGGCTCGACAGTGCGACCATTTCACTGGCATTTGAAAAAAAAAATCCAAAAATAGATGTGTGCAAATTGTAAAATGTATTTAGGGGCACTTGCACATAAAAAAAAAGTTAGCCGAGGCAATGAATGTATTTTCATGTAAATATTGGATATCTGACGGACATTCACTGCAGATCAGCTGTGTCTTCTCTCAAAAGGCTCTTTTTTTCAATAGCTTCCATGTCATGTGACCAAAAGACCTAAAATTGATTTCAAATAATAGTACTTATGTCGACCAGTAAGACACACATTATTTGATCACTTTTTATTGTGCCCCTAAAGTTCTTTGTGTGCTCCTTGCTTTTTCAACTTCAGAGCACATGTGCTCCTTGTGAAAAAAGTTAGTGTCAAGCCCTGAAGATGTTCTCAGATAGTCTTCTATTCAATTACTTCAGGTTTTGAATGTGAATACATGATTTTTGAGTCTTAAAGTCTTAAAGTTTTTCCCTGTTAGGAGTCATTAAAAAAGTACTTAAAGATGTCACCTTTGACTCTGTAGGCTATTTAATTTTAAAATGTACCGTGTCTCATATTAGGACCAAAACATAAGGTCCAAATACTTTACTTACAATTACTTTACTTACATAAACCCTTCTTGATAAATAACCTGTCAGATCAAGTGATGACCAAAACTGGGGTTGTTTAATGGAGATGTATTGTTTTTGGAAGGAGTTTGTATGTAAACTTGTTTGTATAAGACTGAAATAGCAGTGGCCAAAAATAAACGAGTGTGACCAGAAAAGCTGTTGCCTATTTGCATGGAGAGCTCTCACATTTTGGTCTCCTACTCTGCACAGTAATGAAATCATTCTGGGTTACATGATGTGTAGGCAGACTGGACTTTCTGGTGACATTTTTAGCTTTTACTTGCTTAGAATAACACTTGTCTGGACTTGGGCCAGATCCCACATTCATTTCAGTCCTTTTCCTGGGGAATGTGTACAGTTGTCCAAACATACCAGTCTGCTCATTCAGTACATACACCTCGAGGACAAAAAGGCTGCGGACTTAAAATGAAAGAAAAAAACATCTGCAGCATAAAATAGAAATTGAGTTGCCGACGTGTGCAGTTATCTGCATTTGCATGTGCTGTCCCTGCTGGAATGGTCAGTCATTAACATAAGTTTAGAAGTTAAACATTTGGTCAAACAGGACAGGTCTTGCTGAATTGTAGGGAGCAGCATTTTTGACATTTTTAACAGCTGACTCGCTAATGGACTCCTCTATCCTTTTGGCATCAAACTAGCCGGGAATGTGGCTCGGTCTGAGCCGTTACAACAATAAAAGAGTTTCTCCCTCTGTTCAGTATTCTCATTACGGTTTCTTCCTCCAGAAGGGATCTGGGGAAGGGTGCTGAGTTGGTGGTTGTGCGTGGAGATTATGGCGACCAGCCAAAACTGTCATGACAGTTTAGTGAATATGTGCCCTTGTATCCTTGTATGTGTGTGTGTGTGTGTGTGTGTGTGTGTGTGTGTGTGTGTGTGTGTGTGTGTGTGTGTGTGTGTGTGTGTGTGTGTGTGTGTGTGTGTGAAAGAGACTGTGTGTGTTTTTAGGTCGAAAGCAATGGAACTCGAGAAAAGGCCACAATATCTCTACAGTGACTCAGTCTTTGCTGCAGGTCATTCCATTTTTCATGAGCAGAGGGGGAGGTCCGGTGATAGTACTAACAGTATTACTGCTGTAGAGTATGCTGCACTTTCTTTGAAATATCTACTAACAAAGCATTGGTGCAATTTCTTACAGCCATGTTTACGTATATATTGTGCATGTCTCCCCTCATTCTCTCCTGCAACACTCTCACAAACATACACACACGTTATCATTATCTTGCAGTCTACCCCCTCTACATTTCCTTTTTTCTGAGTACTATCAGCGGTCGGGTCAACCATGGCCACAAAGGGGCCACTTCAAAGGGCCTCCAACAGTTCCCACAGCTCTGTTCTAAGAGATAGACTGCTGAGGGTAACATCTATTTGTCTCTAGTTCTTGACATAGTCCAAATTTTGTCACCAGTGACACATAATAGATTTAAGAAAAAGGAAATTCTCCATCATGGCACAAAAATCAGTTTCTCTAAAACAAAACTTTCTAAAGAGGGTTAAACACTGTTGCCTAGACTAGTGTGACTTCCTCCTTTCGAAACCCCTCAAGACTTGCATTAGAGCAGAGAAAAGTGTGAGGCAGGCCAACAGACTCAATGTAAGATGGGTGGGCATACCCCAGGGTGCTGATGAAACCGTTGGTGGATCCCTCTGCATACAGGGAACAGATGTCCCCAATGTGCAGGAAGCTGGACATCTTGTCTGACATGTTTGACACACACAGGGAACACCTACAACAGAGGAAAGGGTCACAAATAGGTCACTTGCACAAGACAGACTGATTTGATTTTCCAAATGACATTTTATATCAACATAAAGATTGACAGCAGAGGCATCTTCATTTTGAATTCAGTATAGGGGAGAGTGGGGTAAGATGAGCCATTTTTCATATTTCAGATCACTACATCAAGGCAATCCTAGTTTTGTCTCTAACTAGTGTATCTGCATATATTTCAAGATGTTGTGCATCCCTGCAAAACAACAGAATGAGTGTAAACAGAACTGTCTTGATAATATAGCATGACAAAAAAAGTGGTCTCCTATGGTCAACTTACCCCGTGTATGGGGTAAGTTGACTATAGGAGCGGGGTAAGTTGAGCAATATCCCTACCACCCCCTCTCTCTCCACCCCAGCCCTCCCTCACCTTCTCTCTCCCTAAATAACAGTCACTTCCTCACATTTATGTGTTTTTTAATCTATTATATGCTATTTAACTGATACAATAATTCTTCCTGTTATTATTGCATATAACTGTTAAAAAGCTGTTTTGTAAAAAGTCATTTTAACATGAGAATGTCTTTAAGTGATTCAGAACATTCACAGCTGTATTTTTGAAAAAAAAAAAAGTAAAACATTTCAACAATCTGAACTGAAACTCTGATCCTCTCATCAGACTCCTTTACTTTCTTGGCTCAACTTACCCCAGAACTACTATTGTGACTTTATTAGTCCTCTAAGCTAAAATGGTGGACTTTTATGCTTGGTTTTTGACCTCATGTTGTAGCTCATAGATATCACAATTGATGCATAAAACAAATTTCAGATGATCTTTTTTGGTCTGAATACAATTCTAATAAAACTTATGACAGACTAAATTCACTTTCAAGAGTGAAAAATGTTTTTTTGTTTGTTTGTATGTTTTTTTGGAAATAAATGTCTAACCCCTTCACCCATGTGCTTCTAACCTTCACAGACTCCATGAATTGATGCCCATCTCCTAAATATTTGGTCACATGATCAATTTTTTATTACCATTTCCAAGCAACAGGGGGTGGATTAACTTACCCTTTGGCTCAACTTAGCCCACTCTCCCCTAATCAAATAATTTCAACATATAATATCAATTAAGCTTCAACTATGTAGAAGTTTAAAAAAAGGATTTAATCGTTTTAGGATTCATCTGACACTTTATATCTAATTCTTGCAGCTACAGAGTGTACTACAGCTACTTCTGAAACAATAGGCTTCCTCCCCATGAGGCTGAGACTACACAGATACCACAGCCTGCTTACTGTCTTAGATTTGCATAAAAAGCAGCGGGGAATCATTTTGTTTGACGTAACAGTAACCTGTTTGTATTGTAACTTCCAAATAGTGGGTTAATGATTCAGCTACGAGGAAGGTTTGTGCACCTGCAACAGGTCATGTCTGTTGAGGCTGAAACTAAAAGCTAGCACTTTTACTTTGTCAGGGTTATCTGCCTGTTTGTGATGCACTGCCTCTCTCATTGAGCTCGCTTTAGCATGAAAACTAACTCAGAGCCATGGCAGCGTTTTAAATAATGACTTAAACGTGATTAATTATTTTGGTATTTCCACACTAAAATGTGCATAGCTTCCTATCTGAACACAAAACTCATGAAACTTGAGTAAACGAGTCCAGGCTGTCATGACAGTCGGCATCCGCAATCACACTGTTGCACAGCTAATCGAAATAGTCACCATGCTCGCTGTACTCTCTGTTTTAGGGTCTTAAGGCATCCTGAACTCTGTTCGTGAGCTTTGAGAATCAGATTAAATGGGGGTAAAAACGCGGTTATCCCTCTGAGAGAAGACAGAGAAAGGAAGAGAGGATAGTGAAGTGAACAAGTTGTGCGCACAACTTTACCTCGGTTGTGATGAACGCCGGCGGTTTGAAGCTCTGCCTGCACCGACTATGACAGCATGACTGCGGCTTGACTTCTTCCTCCGAGCCGAAGAAGAGATTCAACCGTCAACGACCCCAATAATCCAGTTTTATTCCTCTGAATTTTGACAGCTGTATTACCTTTCTGCGCCTGAGGGTGCTCTGGGGCTGCGTTCACAGAGGCAGGCAGGCAGGCGGCACACTGGCTGGCTGAGCTGGCTGGCTCACTGCCACTTCTTCTCCTTATTCTTCGTCTTCCTCTGCTTCTTCTCCTCCGGCGGCTGTAGAGATGATAGGGAAATTATGTCCATATAGTCACATGCCTTTAAAATAAGGAAAATCGAAATCGTAGTGCTCCCCTGGCTAGATTTGTCAGAAAAATCTTTGTTGGATAGAAACTGACAAACAGCACCCCCTTATTCTTTTAACCAAAATACCAGAATATTTTTAGAGAGAATTATTTAACACATTTGATAAATTTTAAAAAATTTAAAAAGGCAATTTTGTAATTTCATTTATTTTAGATAACTCATTATTACTTAAAATAAAATACATTTAAATTAAATAAATCAGTTTTTGGGCACGAAGGGGTTACAACTTGTTGCAGTGCACCCAGCTGACTGACCACGTGACTTTACGGAAGCGAGTGTCAACAACATGAACGGTTACTGACTTGTGGGGATGCGAGGATGGTGCATAATTTGGTGTTTCTTTTGGTCTTCGGTTGTCTTTGTTTTTCAAGAACCGCATCCCAGCAGACAACAGCGGACTGCGGCTGTGACAAGCTAAAGAGAGCCGCAGCTGTGGAGAGGACCGAGTCTGCAGCTGAGAAATACTCCAGAGGCGCCAATGAGGAGAAAACTGAGGCTCAGAGAGAGGAGGAGAAAACTGACAGTGAGGTATGTTACCACCAGCGATTTGCCTCAATTACACTGATCACATTGTGCCCCAACAGAATGAGCTGGAAATTAAATGACTTCGAAAAGATGGAGGCAGTAAAACTGACATTCTGGCTCCATACAAAGTTCCCACAACATTTTAAAACCCCAACTAGAATTCAGAAGATGTGTCTGACACCTTATTTATCACACCTAATAGTTTGATGAGAGATTTGAAATGGGACATGATATGTAGGGCACACATAGTACTTGAAATACACTTAACATCTTTTAATATAATATATTGTAGGGGAGAGTGGGGTAAGTTGAGCCAACCCCTGTTGCTTGGTGATGGTAAAAGAAATTGATCATGTGACAAAATATTTAGGAGATGGGCATCAATTCATGGAGTCTGTGAAGGTTAGAAGCACATGGGTGAAGGGGTTAGACATTTATTTCTAAAAAAAAGACATTTTTCTCTCTTGAAAGTTAATTTAGTCTGTCATAAGTTTTATAAAAGTTGTGTTCAGACCAAAAAAAGATCATTTTAGATTTTAAATGCTCAACTTACCCCATACACTGGGTTAGTTGACCATAGGAGGCCGCTTTTTTGGCATGCTATACTATCAAGATAGTTATGTTTTCACTAATTCTGCTGGTTTGCTTGATGTAGTGATCCGAAATATGAAACCCACTCTCCCCTACTGTAGTTAGATTACTGCACCATTAAGAATAATAAGCCTACACTTCGAGAAAAAGATTGTGGCCTTTTGTTGGTACTCTTATTTGTAGACCCGTGTTTTTATTCCATTTTTGATGGCTGTTATTTATTGCAAACTAATTTACATCATACTCTTGTATGTCCCTCAACCACCTTTAGTTTGTTAGGGTTTGCAAAGGGTAAACTTCACAGATGGGTATTTCCCTGTCAGACAAGTGCCCTAGCACTAAGAATGACAGTACGTTGCGCCTTATACCTCATCTTCCACTGTGATGATTGAGAAAGTATTACTTGTGAAGGTTAATGATGTGATATCCTACATTGAGTGTCCTCTTTATAATTTGATATGTTTGATTCGTATAGTTTTTTAGGAATAATGAGGACATAGTTAGTACAAATCAGAACATGATAAGGAATAACTAAGTGCCTCTTGATTTCTTCAGGCCTTGGTTGTGATTGTGAAGTTACTCAAAAGAAGCTCTGCACTGGGTTATATTTCTAATTTTTTTAAAGACTCAAATCTTTTGACTCTATAACCTCTCCAAAACTTGATCATTTCTCTGGGCTATAAAAACATTCGTCACTTGGGTACAGATGGTGTTCATCCCTGGAGGAGAGTTCCTGATGGGGACAGACAACCCAGGCATCCCTGCTGATGGTGAGGGCCCTCAGAGACTGGTACACGTGGACTCTTTCTACATGGATGTCCATGAGGTCACAAACAGAGAGTTTCAGAGCTTTGTTGCGGCGACAGGCTACATTACTCAGGTATGTAGAGTTGTTAAATCTCCACATTAATTATTATTGTCCATGAATAAAGAAATTGTTGACCCGTTATATTTGCTCTTGAAGAATATTCTTCAGATTAAGACTCTGTGCTTCAGATATTGTCTGTTAGGAGTTGGGTTGAATGGATAAAAAGGTTTAGAATTACCCCTTGTATATCTAAATTAACGCACCTTATCCAGTTGTGCTTGTAAGGTTTAAATTTGATTGAGTTGATCAGATCAAAACTGAATGTATAATTTAAGCAATTGTGATTCACATGTTACCTGGTTTTAAATGTTGTCACTATGCTCCTGTTTTTCTTCTTTGCAGGCAGAGAGATTTGGAGACTCATTTGTATTTGAGGGACTTTTGAGTGAGACTGTCAAAAACCAAATAACTCAAGCCGTAAGTTGGATTGTTCAGGGTTTGTTTTTGGTCTGATTGTACCTTATTTCAAAAAAGGTAGAATAATGGATGGAGTAGTGAACTGAGGGAAGAAAGTTGGGAATGATAAACAACAAAGAGGCAGAGTGGAACCAGTGCAAACGCATTGTGAGCTATAGCCGCTGCCAAGCCAAACAGGCACCTGTTGCAATACTAACTAATACTGTACAAATTTCTCTAATACCACCCTGTATGTAGCATGGGTTATGCCACACCTAATCAAACAACATAGAATAAATGTCAAGGAAAGGGAGGAGTTAACTCCTGTTTTTCCAAAGCTCTAACAGTGCTAAATTGAAAAACAATTATATCAAATGCTGAGGTTGTTTCATCAGATATGTCACACTGATTTTCAAGTATCAGCACTGCGAAACCTGTTAGCTTTGTGAGATTTGCTCTGCTGCTCCAAAAAAGGACAAAAAAGCACTCAGTTTTACCACAAGGATAAAGACTGTCAGACTATTATAAATTAACTGAATTAGTTACATTACTTAGGTAAAGAGCTCAATAATTCATCTGTCACTCAGAAAACATGTAAATATTGCAGCGTTTTTCGGAAACAAGAGGAAAGACAATGATTTTTTATTCATTGAGAGTATAATGTAAAAAAATTAAATTAAAGTGTCCAGTGTTAGAGTTTTTTTCGTATGTCTTAATACTGTGATACTTGAACATCTCTTGAGCAGTGTATGTGCATGAAACCATAGCCTGGTAAGCCTTCAGTACCAGCCACTGGTTGCACTTATTTTGGCTTCAAACTCTTGTTATTTAAAAGCCTTGAGAAAGTTCACAGATTGCTCATAAGAGGCCTCGGCACAGCAGGCCTCCCATAGACGAAAGCCAGACAGCGGGGAGTTTGCTGCTTCATCTCAGCTGTCATGTGCAACCTGATCACACGGCTGAGAAGGAGCTTTGTAGTCATTAGTACTGCAACACCAGAGAACATCTGTACCTGCTCAGTTCTCTTCAAAATTATTCAGTTGTGTTGTACACCTGTAAGCCGTGCAACAAAATGAGCAAGACAGGTATTATATCAGTCAGAAACCATCATTTTCAACTCTCTCCTTTTAGGTAGCTGCTGCCCCCTGGTGGCTACCAGTCAAAGGGGCCGACTGGAGGCACCCAGAAGGCCCAGACTCAACATCAGCAGACAGGTAATGATCCTTTGACTGATCTGTGATGTTTTTAGAAATTTTCACAATTATATAACATCTAATTTTTAAAAGACTGTCTTCAAATATGGCTTTCATTTCTGTATGTACATTCAAACTGCTGCTATCATATATTTTTGACCATTAACACAACCAAACTGGTAGTAAAATTGGAATTAAATCCACATTGCTTGTCCTCAGTATGAAACTATATAAACTTGAGGCAAGTATGACTCTTTCTCCCTACCTATAGTATCTATCAGGGTAGAATGGGATCTAGACCTGAAACCAAGAGAAAACAACAACAGAAGGGATGAAAAACATGTTTAGGACAATCTTACAAACCATATAAACCTCAAACTAACTTCTTAAGGGAAATTTTTATTTGCCTTCTTCTGTTTGTGGCTTAGCAGCCTAAATTGATCGAAAAATGGTTGCTCAGCATGTACTTCAAACCCATTATTTGTAGGTTGGACCATCCTGTTCTCCACGTGTCCTGGGAAGATGCTGTCGCGTACTGCTCCTGGGCCAACAAAAGGCTTCCCACAGAGGCTGAGTGGGAGTATGCCTGCAGGGGAGGCCTTAAAGACCGGTTAGAGATGTGGACAATGTGTGCCCATTAAGAGTCCCAATGTGCTTGTGCTCATCATATATTTCATGATAATCTCTCTCTACATGTAGACTATACCCCTGGGGAAACAAGTTAAACCCCAAAGGAGAGCACTACGCCAACCTCTGGCAGGGAGATTTCCCCATCCATAACTCGGAGGAGGATGGCTACATCAAAACCTCACCGGTAAGACTTAGACTGACAGCTGCAGAACAGCTTCATTCATCAGTGTTAAAAACCCATCATATCCCCATTCAAGAGGAGGGGGAGGATTTGTGCTCATGAGCCATTAATATAAACCTGAAAAATGAAGTGTAATTTATCCCCTGCCTATAGAAACTCCAGGAAATGAAATGAGCCTGAGATAAGAGCTCATCTGGGAAGTTGATAAAGTCACAGCCACAGCTTTCAGATATCAGATGAATAATAATTAGATAATATTAATCCCATCTCCTCCCTACAGTGGGAGATTTAAAGACCTTATTTAGAGTTGTCAATCATGAATGCATGCATGAATTTATTTTAAAGGCATGAAGAGCTGAAGGAAATTAGATTATAGACCCCACCAGCAAAAAAAGCACTATACTTCTACATATCTCCCATGCCCCCAGAAGAAACATGAATATCTGATAAGAAACAGTCTCAGTATGACAGTATTCTCTCTCGCAGGTTATGTCCTTTCCTGCTAATGCCTTTGGTTTGTATGACATGGTGGGTAATGCTTGGGAGTGGACAGCAGACTGGTGGAGTGTGATTCACACCACAGATCGTCAACAAAACCCCGTAAGGACACTTAAACCACCAAGTATTTCATTTATCAGGTTTAGTTTTTGCTCCATGTGTCATACCTTTGTCTTTATTTTAGACGGGTCCTCCTTCTGCTACAGACAAGGTGAAAAAAGGAGGGTCATATATGTGCCACAAGGTAAAAAAGACCGCTACTACAACACTTTCATTTTCTCTGTACTGTATAGATTTAATCATAAGATCCTTTGCACAAATATGTAACACTGTCTTCTTTCAGTTAAGATAAGATGTGTTTTGAGATGATTTATTTAGATTTTTTGATAATACACCGAGTCAAAAACAGGTCTATATGGGGCCATTATTTAGGAACAAAAAGGGGCCAAAGCAAAATCGAAACAAAGATTACAGAAAAAATAGACATCCAGAGAATTTTCCAGTCTTTAGAAATATCAGTATCCTCTTCAAACATGTCTGGTCTTCATCAGGACCATTATAAACACAGATTTAGGCATTAAATTAAACGTTTTTGTCATTGTTGATACCAAAATATTTTAGCATTTTAATGTGTAGGATTTTAATATTTTGAAAGCATTGGAGTCTTTTGTGTTGAAGCAGTAAAAAGTGTTCTTAGTAGACAATAAAAATGTAACATGTAGACCACAACAGTTTTTAAAAAAGCATTTCTAAAAAAGGTAACCAAGCTTGCTTACAGTGTTTGATCTAAAAAGGGGGGAAATGCTGCCCTGTTCTTGTTCTTTCCTCCTGCTGTGTGACTCTAACCTCAGTGCATTTTTTCATCTGCAACACAGTTTGAGCCACCCACTAGTGGCCATTTCAGTTTGCTCGCCACCAGCATTGGTTGCCATGGGAATGTGACTAATTGCATGCTAAATAAGTCCTGAGCACAGAGGTCTGCTTGTTTCATATGGTTAAACTACATGAGGCAGGAGAGAATGTTCAACGATTTTGGACAAAGAAGCAAAAAGAAACCCTCAGGACTCCTCCTAATGCTTACTGTGTTATCATATCCAGGTTTTTTTATGCACCCACAAAGACGTCAAGACCTTTGATTTACTGATAGTAAGTTTCCCTTTCTTCCTCTGTCTCCTCCAGTCCTACTGTTACAGATACAGATGTGCAGCCCGAAGCCAGAACACCCCAGACAGCTCTGCCTCCAACCTCGGTTTTCGTTGTCTCTCAGGTACAAAAGTGATCTGAGCTGCTTGCCTGAAACACTGTGTCCCTTATTCAGACTTATTTATAAACCTAAAATCGAAGTACACACATTTCAGACAATTAAAGCAGCTGTCTCAGTGCTATCACATTAAAGGTACTGTGAGGAGTTTTTAACTGAGTTTGAAGCAGTAAAGCTCTTTTACTGACACGTCTGCATGACCTACAAAGACAAATAAAACGATCAGTACCAAGGTTGGTTGTTAAACTTCTTTGTGTTCAGGGTGGATTTTCAGTTAAAGCTCCCATGAGGAAATTTGATTTGTGTTGATTTTGGCGCCCCCTATAGAAAAAGTGGTACCTCTTATCGCATTTGTAATGAATGTTTCCTGACATAAAAACACAATGTATAACTTATCAGACAACTCTCCTGTAGGCAATGTAAATGATAAGGTTGTTTATCTGTTACTTCACATGACCCCTACCCTCCAGCTCAGTTTCAGACATCAACAATAACTATAAAAAAACAACAATGTGTGGCTATAAAGAAATCCACTGAGGGTTTAATTTGTTTTTATTAGGCCATAATGAGGCATCGATTTTCATTTGAGTGCGTTTCATGGTCAGTTAAAAACTTCTCACAGGAGCTTGATATTTGGCTCTCACTCAGAAATAACTTTCAGCGGAGTGATGATTTTCTTTTTACACAGTGTATTGTACTCATGGCTGATACTTGAGCAGAATTAGAACAAATGAGTATGTTGTTGGTTGAGAATGTTGTTATAAATATTGTAAATCTACAACTAGGGCTAGAAAATGAAGCAAAATGGCTTTGGATTTGATGTTTTTGTCAGACAAGTAAATATTCAACAGCTCTTAAAAAAAGAGTACATATGTACGTTACTTTGACATTGATTGTGGCTGTAATGGGTAATGTAAAACCATTTTGTCTGGTCACCTTTTGTAACTTATAACAGTCAGAGGAGTTTTCAGAGTTTTGCCATTAAAGTTAATAATTGTAGCAACAAACCAGTACATTAACTCGTAACTTAGGGTCCAGTAAAAAGTTGTCTTGAACAAAGATTAGTAGTATCAAAAAGATCTGTATTCAATTCATTGCACACCTTGGCAGAAAAAGTTCCTTACAGTGCCTTTAAAATGTTTTACAAGATTATAAAGAAAGGATGCTGTCTTCAACGAAGTCTTACTTTAAAGTTTTAATAATTAATATGTTTCTTATTTTAATAACTGTTTTGGGATACAAAATAATCCCTTTTGTCTCCACCAGCATGTATATAGTCCATGTGCCTGTAAGGATTGTAATATTCCTTTCACTCCAAGGTTGCTTTTTCTGTAGTCTCAAAATAACTATATTTGAAAATAAAAAAGCCATTTTTTTTCAAGACTGTGACTTGGCATTTGAATTACAAATTCTAATCAACATGCTTGACCTCAATATGACACTTTGTTTTCACTCTTCTGCAATAACCATGATCAAATTTAGGACATCCAGCAGGGGGCAGCACATGCTCATTATCTATCTATCTATCTATCTATCTATCTATCTATCTATCTATCTATCTATCTATCTATCTATCTATCTATCTATCTGTCTGTCTGTCTGTCTGTCTGTCTGTCTGTCTGTCTGTCTGTCTGTCTGTCTGTCTGAAACAGTCAGTCAAATGCACAAACTTCTCTCTGAGATGTTAAGCTGACACAGTATAAGCTCTGTCCATGACGGCCAGCCTGAGAAGTGACAGTGAAAAGCTGATTCAGACAGTTTTGGATTGAGCAGAGCTTAAGTTCTTCTTCGACACAAGATTTAGGATCCAAATGAAACCAGCAGCTTGTTTCCCCAGGGAGTGAGTGTGCCTGTCAAAAATGGAAGGCTCTTAATACCTCTAAGACGAGAACAGTATGAAACAAAAAAAAAGGACTGTTTTTGAAAAAAGGCCAAAAAATTATTTATTTTATCTTCTTCAGTAGGCTTTACATATTGCATGTGAAATTATAAACTAAGAAATCAGCCAACAAAAGTCTAGCAAAATAAGCAAGTAATCGGGGAAAGGGTCAAAGGGATTCTAGTGCACTGTAGTTTAAAAAAAATCAAACTCAAAACTTTTAAAACATTTGTATTTCTAGCATTTATATCACAGTAAAAGCAAAGTAAACTCCTATAGTGTTGCAAATCAATTGAAATTTCAAAGGTATAGTTGATACAACATTACTGCACAATGCTAACATTCAGTTGACAGTTTAACAAGTCTAAACCCTGCTGTCAGCTTTAAATTGAAGTTCAGACAAATTCCGTTACCTATCAGTGCACAACAGATTACCTGTTTTACAAAACAGTCAAAGAAACACTGATTTCTACTAATGCTGCCAGAGGACCATCAGTCCCCGCTGCTGTATAAACAACTCAGAAGAAAGTGAGTCAAAAATGCACCACATAAACAAAAGCTTAGCAACTAAAACAACCTGCAGGCTAAATACAGCTGCCATCTCGGAGAGTCCGAAACAATGAAAGAGATAGAAAGAATCAAACAAAGGCGATACGCTATACTAATAAAAATCATGTTCTTGATCACTCTGCCTCAGAATAGCAAAGCTGAGAATACAAAAAAACATTTGCAACTTTATTAAACTTTTGCATCAAAATAGCAAAAGTGTGTCTTTTTGTGCTGCTGGAGAGGCAGCCAGGCCTCCTTCCTCAACCCTCACCACATGTAGTAACTACGTGTGGTGTCAACAGGGGAGGGTTTCCCCTCTGTGCCGCCATCTTTGTCCTTCTCACCCTCAGCCTCCCACAGGTTGATGAGTGGAGGATACAGCTCATTCAGGGGGATGGAGGAAGTCTTCAGCATGTACTTCTTCAGAGAGTGGTGGTAGTTTTTTCTCTTCCACCTGCGGGCCATATAGACGCCCACAGTGCCCAGACTGAGAAAAGCAAGCATGGTTGCCATGACAGCCAGCACAGCTGCACTTGGATGCTGGTCTGAGAGGTCCAAGGCAAAGGTAGCACGAGTTGTGACATTGACACAAGATTTGTGTGTCTGCAGGTGGACATTGGAGACTGTGAGGCACACCTCGTACTCAGTGGCAGGTTGAAGATGTGTCAGGTTGTACTCGTGAACATCCACGGGCACTCGAGCCGTGTAGGTGATGTGCGGGTTGTCAATTTTCATGGTGGCAGAGGCCCACTTCAGGTCAGAGGACATAACGTTGGAATTGACTTTCCAGGAGACAAGGATGGAATGTGACTCAGTCTGCTTGACGAAGATCTTCATCACCTGAGCGCTGTCCAGAAGAGTTCCATTTATGCGGATGGTGGCGACCCGTGTATCGGCCCCCTCCGTGTTCTGAGCCACACAGGTGTAACGACCAGAATCCTCCACCTGCACATGAGTCAGCCGCAGGGTCCCTTCACTGCTCAGATGATGCCGCTCTGACACAGTGTCAACTGTGATTTTGGACCCGAGAGGAGTCACCCAGTAGATCTCAGGCTCTGGCTCAGACATGGCCCTGCAGTCCAGACTGACACTCATGCCCAGCTCGAGGTTCAAGTGGCTGGGGAAGGTGTTATGAGAAATGAGGGGCAGGCATTGCTCAGGGGAATCCAGCAGCCTCATCTCTCGAACTCGCTGGCCTCTGAGCTCTGGTGGTGAGCTGCAAAGCATGGCCAGAGGCTCCATGAAGCGCACTGTGGTTTTGTTGGAACTCATCCACTGAATGACACAGTCACAGCGCAGTGGATTGCTATGCAGACTGATCTCACGCAGGTTCGGCAGCACCTCCACCGTGTGCTGGTACAGGGCAGTGAGGGCGTTATTGTTGAGCATCAAGCTCTCTAAGGATGGCATGTCCCTGAAGGCTAACCTATGCACATACGACAACTTGGGGTTGTTAGTGGCCTCCAGCTTTGTCAGCTCTGGTAGGTTGTCCATGGCATAGCGGTCAATTGACACTAACTCCATCATGTTGTTGATTCCCAGCTCCTTCAGACGCAGCATGTTCCGAAAATCCCCTTCCTGTATTTTGTGAACTGGGTTTTTGTTTAAATCCAAGAATTTCAGATTGGGAACTTTCTGGAGAGCCAGTTGAGGGATTCTGACAAGCTTGTTGTCATAGAAAGAAATACTCTCCAGGGTATCCAAACCAACAAATGCATTTGCAGGGACATCAGTGAGGTCCATGCCAGCCAGAACAAGACTCCTCAAGTTTACTAGAGGCTTAAAGTTCATGTCCAGGAGGCCGATCACTGGGTTCTCCCCAATCATTAGGATCTCCAGGTTAGGTGTTTCTTCAAACCAGCGGCTGTCTATAACATGGAGCTTGTTTGAGTTAAGATGAAGGCGTAGCAGGCTACGTAAGCCTGCAAATGCCTGAGGGGAGATGAGATTAATCTGGTTGTGGTTGATGTAGAGCTCCTGGAGATTGGAAAGGTTTCCCAGGCAGTGGTCTGGCAGCTGGCTGATCTGGTTCTCCTCTAGGTGCAAGGTGGTCAGGTGCTTCATGCCTGTGAGACCCACAGCTTCCACTGTGCTAAAGTTGTTCTGCGATAAGTCCAGCTCTGTCAAGTTGAACAACGCCTCTAGCTCTCCACTGGTGTGAGAGATGGCGTTACTTTGGAGCAGTAACACCTGCGTATCCATCGACAGATTGGTGGGGATGTGTGTTAGCCTCAAGTCGTTGCAGTCCACTGTTGTTGCTTCCTTGTAGGTGGACTGGGGGGTAAACCAAGGACGGATCTCACAGACGCACAAATGGGGACATTCTTTGCCATGTATAGGCGACAGAGAGAAAAGAAGTAATCCCATGCACTGCCAGAGCAGAGGAGACCAGGGCAGTGAAGTGAGCACCATGTTGTTTGCTCTCTCTGCTCACACAAGACTTGGATGAGAGGCCGGGTTCAAGGCAAAGGCTTGCAGCGAAGGCTCATGAGCATTAGTCTTTTTTACTGCCTGCTAGCTGCTGAAGGCACTTTCCAAAGTGTTGATTTCTTATCCAGGCGAAAGTTATTTGCTGAAGCTTGGGCAGAGGATCATCTGGTCCAAGCTTGACCTCCCGTGAATGTTTTCTCTCTTCCGTTTAAGCCTAAAAAAGCAGAAATAAGGGAAATGTTAAAGCCTGCAGCATGAAGACACATTTTTTTGATAATCTGTTTGCTTAAAGTTAGTCAAGCTGAAGACACAGGAAAGGAGCTAAGCTGAAAAAACAACAGGCGATAGTAAGGGAGTCATATCTGGTTTCCATGTGGAGGGTATTAAAAGAGGCAAGTGGCAGCTTTCTGCAGTACCACCCTGCATATATTAAAGGGACCGAGTTGATGCGTTTAACAAGGACTGAATCAGAACAGAGAGAGGCTCTTAAATCATTCTTACTTTTCTCCACACCATCGGACAGTAACCTTTGATTTCCACAGCAGCCTTATTAGGGTGCTGCAAAATTTTAGTGGAGTATGCGCTGGAGCCGTCAATATCGTAGATGAAAAGGCTGATCTAAAACTCTGCCTCCCTGATGTCTCACATATCTGTCTCTTCAGAGATTACATGTTTTCCTCCCTGTGCCGGGTAGATTATCTGCATACCAGCTTGGTATCAGTGATCCTCTTGACTGACTCAGTCAGTGAGTGTGGGGTGGGCCCAGCCAGCAGCTCTGGCTGTGAGCCCATTACACAACAGGCTTAATAAACAGGGAGTACGCACTCTTCACTGTTAATCACTCCCTACTTATGATACAGGCCCATGGGATGCAGTCGTACGCATTTTTTAAGTGCGGCGCTGTGGCTGTCCTACGCTGCGAGAAATCCATGATTGATCCAAGATGAGCCGAGACTTTATTTTTTAATGATTTTGTGAAAAATTGCACTTCCTAACTTTTCTCTATCTGCTCTGATTCATTATTTCGTCTGCGTGCGAGCATTTGTTTGTGTTGATAAGTGATTGTTTGTGTGTGATGAGGGATTTGCCGAAAGTGGCAATCATTTAACAACCAAACAAAATAACCAGCTTCAGTAACAGTTTAAATCATCAAGAGGGACAGTAAGAGCAACTCTTGGCTTTTTCACTCAATAATAGTAAGCAGCACAGTGTTGGCTGCTGGTGTGACTCATAGTCATAAAAATTCACATTTATCCTCATAAATAAACTCAGCCTGGGCATGTGGTTTATGAGTGTGTGTGTGTGCGCAGCAGGAAGGGATTATTTTGTTTTACATCAAAACTGACAAGTTTTTCCAATATTAGCATAAACCAGATACAGATTGTTTTCTCTCTCCTTTCATGTGCTGTCAGTTCATGCCCTGCACTGTTTTGACACTATTTTACAGTTTGTCCTCCAATTTGCATAAATGAAACGCTGAGTATAAATAGCAGCTCTACAACACCAAAAGGGACAGCAAAAACAAGATGATGAGATTTTTCTAAAAATATAAACCTGTCTGAAGAGTGTCTCTTCTTGGTCAGAACAGATATTGTTCACAGAAAAAAAAGGAAATAAAAACAGAAAAAGACAAAAACTACCCATCACGTCTCGTCTCGTCTATATGTTTTCAAAGTAAGATCACATTAGATGTCCTGTGTCTGATGGTCTGTTTCCCCACTGACCTGGTCACATTCACTGTGATCTAAATGTCTCCCACAGTTTTCCCACAATGTGGCAACAGGGTCCTGCAAGTAAATTTTATTCACAGCTGCTTTGTTAAGATAACATGTAGCACCTCCATCTCTTTTAACCATTCAACATTCAGTGTTTTAATACTAAAAGAAACAGATCAAATCTCATTTGAGTTAAGCCTCTTGCCTGTTGGTACACCCTGCTTTGGTGGACAGAGATGCACTTGGTAATATTCTCCTGTCTGTGTCTTTCTCCAGTCTTGGCTTTGAACTAACTGGAAAAGGCAGGCAGAGTAATTGCTAATTTCATGCTGAGGCCATAAAACTCAGACACCTGGCACCAGGTTTCTGGCAGACTGGCATCGCCGTTGGGGTCTGCATCCGCTCCCACCTATCTCAAACTGTGTGGACGTGATGGCCTCTCTGACCCAAAGAAGCTCTGCTGAGCACATATGCTCTCTCTCTTTCTCAACAATGGTCTGCTTCATTATCACTGTGGTGCAGAAATCAATATTTACAGGCACAAGTACAACCACAGATGAGCATTTTTGGGCACAGACCAGCTGAACTGATGGTTGGAGTTGAACATTATGCTCTCGGAAATCTTAATGTCAGGATATGTTGTAGTAAAGTTAGGGTTGCAAAGGGGCGGAAAATTTCCGGTAAATTTCCAGAAACTGTCCATGGGAAGTTAAGCTCGGTAATCTTGGAAATATTCCAACTTGGAAACTTACCATGGGAATTATGGGAATCATTGGGAATTAACTGTAAATTGTTGGTAATTTAAACGAACTGTATCATATCCAAACATAAATGTAAATATTTTTATTTTGTCATAAGCAGACATCCATGCAAAATAATACAATTAAAAAACATGACACACATCAGATGGTGAACATTTCTGTAGAATAAAAAAAATAACAAAAAAGCTTGTAAAAAAAAAAAAAAAAGCAGTGCAATGGCATGAACAAAAATATAGTTGGCTAAACAACTGGAATGGTCTTCAAAATATTTGACAATTGATGTAATAATTATTGTATGGTTATAGAAAACCGTCTTGCAGGAGTCTGAAGAAACAGCATCACATTTGAGGTAGCTACCACCACCATACTAAACTAGCCCCTTAAATGGGTAATGAAATGAAAAATAGGTTACATTTAGCACCTATTTTTATTTGATTTTTGCAAGTTGAATATTAGTACTATTATAGGTCAAATATATTTACCCCATAATATAATCAAAACTTACTTGGCTTTATATAATCTGTGGGCTCAAATGTCTTGTGCTTTGGGCTCAAAAGTGTGGCCTTCAGGGTTGAAGAAATCATCTGTGCATGTGATGGAGGAATGCACAGTGCGTGTAGGGGTAAGCAGTGTGCATGTGATTGAGTTGTGTACTTGCATGAAATCTGGTTGTTTGGCCAAGATTATGCTACAATATATTTTCCCCAACTATATTTAAATTCCCTGTTGAGGGCCAACCTTCAATTTAGTAAATTTCAGATTTATTCCCAATAATTCCCATTAATTCCCATATATTCCTGTTAATTCCCATGGAAAGTTTCCAACTTCGAAAATTCCCACAGTTTCGCAACCCTAAGTAGAGTCCTGTAAACAACTGTGGGGTCAGGTTTATCTTTCCCCACCCTCTCAAAGTTGAGTTGATCTCAATGATTGCCGGGGAAGCTAGATGAGTGTTCCCAGAAATACTAATGCTCTGTTGATTTTAAGACAAAGATGATGTGTCCTTGGCTCATCTGCCAGTTTATCAGTTCAGATGAGATCCACTCATGTAAAGCACACACTTGAGAGATGCATAAGTGTTATACACATTTACAACACACATCTATTATGTTCACGCACACACTCAGCTGCATAAAAGTGAGTGAGAGGAGAGCCTGGCTCCTCCAGTGACTTTGGTCTAGACTCTGTGTATCGACTGTACTAATTTCTGTACCTGTACAATGAAGACGCCGTGGCTGCTCTTCAGATCTCATCCTGTCTCCTGTGCATTGATTTGCTGCATACTATACATATTTTCCACAACATTGCTGCCTAGATACCTTACTGACTTTCCCCATTTCAACAACATCAAGCTTACCCAGCTCTGCTAGTCTTAAATTCAACATTATACTGGCTCCCTGTGCATTTTAGGATTGGTTTAAAGATTTTACTGATCACTTATAAAGCTTGTCTGGGTCTTGTCCCAAATTATATTAAAGAAATGCTGACACCATTTGAGTGGTCCCATAGTCTGCGATCCACAGAGATCAAGCTTTTTCCATCAGAGCCTCTCGACTCTAGAACAACCTCCCTGAAGGGATGAGACTTGCAGAATCAGTGACATCTTTTAATTCACTTCTGAAAAACTCACTTTTACAGAATTTACTTTTTAATTACTTTTCAACTACAACGTGTTTACTTCCTTTTACTGAAAAAGTCGTATTTTAATTCTTTAGTTTGAGCCATTTGCTTGTGAGTCCTCATTTGATCCTCTACTGTACTGTCTTTGATTACATTTATCTATTTGTTAATTTACTGATTGGCTTATTTGTACCTCACTGCTCCCCATCTTTTAATCTGTTTTTATTCTGATGTGATGTTGTCTTCTTTTTTACCTTTCTTTTTCTTTTCCTTTTGCTCATTATTCATTTTTTCCCTCTTCAGGGAATCTTGATTGCCAACTGAGTGACATATGATTGATTTCTCCTGTGCTGTCATAATTGTTATTTACTCTTCCTTGTCTGTCAAAGCACTATGTAATCTTCTGTTATCAAAGGTGCTATATAAATGAAGTTATTATCATTATTTTTAATATTATTTTCTAATGTTAGAATATTCATCATAACTGCTTGTGTGTGCAGTTTCAAAAAGCCTATCAAGTAATTCCCAACCTGCTACATCCTGCTATATATATATTTTTTTCAAAGAACTCAGATGAGATGTACATCTTAAGCCAAAAAAGGTTGAGTCTTCATGTTGTTTTCCTTTTTCTAAGCCTTTGCTCTTTTCTGCGAAAGCAAAGAAGGAAAAAAAATCTAATTTTACCAAGTGTATTGATCTTATCTAATGTCCAGATAGTTCAATACACTTAATTTAAGACATAGTGAAATGTTTTATCCAGAAAGAATGAGTTTTAAGTGGCAATTGTTGTTAGCAAGCACCTGGATCTCAAAAGTCTATAACTAATCTTTTGGCTAACGCTGCAGAGAGCAATTACACTGAAGGGATCATAATTAAATTCATGCATACAGATGCATCTGCAATGCATCTATCTCCTAACTGCAACAAAACACACAGTCTGTTTTACCACTGTTATAGGACATGCATGCATACTGAGAGCACCGGAAGAAAAGATGCAAAAAATCCCTCAACAGCTCGGCATTATCCTGCTGACTGTCTGAGCTGACGCCTCCAGCAGGAGGGATTTACTGTCTTTGCTCACCCAATCCTTATGAGGTTTTAATCTGAGTTCACATTAAACACACAAACAACCATACATGTATAGGACGTGTTATTTTAACTCAGTCTGCGTACATCCTGTGAGCATCACAGACCCAGAGGATCAAAGCGGTGCAGCGAGATGTGATTGCGGGAGATAATGAGCTCTGTCTGCTTCACGCTTCAGCCTCATAAATGCATTTATGAGACAGGATCTCTGGACAACACCAGACGCAATGAAAGTAATCAGGATAGATGAAGAAACACAGACCTGCAGTAGGATGCAGAAAGCATTTCTCTTTAAACCTGTGAACTGTTGGCCCTTGTGCACAGGCAGCACTGTTTGTTTGTTTTAGTTGGTTTTTTTTAGCTGAAGGAGAAAAAAAGACTCTTTGTTTTGTAAGACATAAAATTAAGTTCAGCTCAGGTAGGTTTTGAGAAATGCGCTTTCTTCTTCGATTACAGATGTGTCGTGGCTAATGAACACCTCACCATGCGCCAGCAGTGTAGCCAGGAGGAACCTCACTTGAGAGCACACTGCATGATTTTTCATAGGGCTCTGGGCTATGCCCCCCCTTTATTCCTCGGGCCCTTTTTCACTTGGTGCAAAATGTAAGCAGTGTTCCTGAACCAACAGCTGCACAACAGGCTCACAGACATGCCATCACTATGGCAACGGCTATGCCACTGGCATGTCTGTTTCATAACCAAATGAGAAGACAGCTATCGGTGGCATCGGAAGCTAAAGGAAGTGTTACTGTTAGGTGAAGGTGATAACAGTGCACAGCACCTTCTGAATTGGATCTTTCCATTTTTTACAAGAAAGCTGCAAGTTTTTTTTTTTTTTTAATACAGTAACTCAAATTTTGAATCCAGAGCTTGAAAACACAATACTTCTGCCTGATGTTTTCTCCATGGTCTGACTACATCGGTCTGCCTGAGAGATTTCCTGTTCTTGCTCCATTAGTATGCAAGTGTTTCACTCCACATCACACAGAGCTTTGGTGCAGCTGCTGATGGCTGAGGTGTGGAGCCGAGGAGAAGGATGCCTGTCCACCCAGTCAAGGAGAAGAGAGAAAGTGAAGAGGGAGACGATTGGGAGCACTGCTTCTATTAGAAGGCCTCCAGAGGAAACTACTATGTTTAAAATGCATCAAGGCTGAAGTTACTATGAGACAACCTGAACACAACCTGTGAAATCAAGCTGCTGCTTTGTATCCCGGGCTCAGTATTTTCAGGCTTTCATTTTTTTTTTCCTTTTTTGACCTTATCTTCCCCTTCATCTCTCCTCACTGTTGCAATGCTTGTGAAAAGCCAATTTGTTGTCACTGGAGAATCAATCAATCACACTGACAGGGCCAAGGTCTCTAATCTCAGGGGAATCCCTGTTTTTGTAACAACGCACAAGCCAGGGAAGAGAAAGTTGCGCAGTAAAGAAATTGACCTCTAAGCCAAAACAGGTCACATTAGTACACACTTATCCTGCATTTTCTCCCATTTAGAATTCATGTAAGTACAACAAGATCATCTAAAAATGGCTTGAAATTGTTTTCTTAAAGTGATGAGTTATGAATGACTCAAAAGCGTCAAAATCATTTACATCCCATCTATCTAGAACACACTTCACTGCTAATAAAAACAGGGGGTGAAAACAGCTGACTCAGTGATCTTGGCGAAGCCATCCAAAACCCCCTGTGTTTCCCTGTTCCCCTTCAGATCACAGACACAAAGGCTGAAGGTCAAGCTTTTGCACCCTCGTCTTGGCTGCTGTGGGAACCCCGGGACCGACACATGCTCAAAAGTTGGGCCCTGTGACACACAAAGGCTCTTACCCAAACACACAGGGACGTGTCTTTGTCTGAGGAGGTTCTCACACTCGTCACGACCAGCTGAGGACATACGTCACAGTGTATTGAGAGGATTGGGGGAAGGAGCTGTGGCCCTTTAAACTCTCTTATTGGGGGACATATGTATCAATTGTCTGCTTCTACCCCTCAAACAAAGAAAGCTGTTATTTGGTCGCAGATGCTAGAAAACAAGAACTTAATGGAATGCGTCATGTCTAATCTTTACCTCATCAAACCTATGTGATAAAACTTCCTAAAGTGAGCTCTTTGTGATGGTATGATCCCAGTAACAGGTGCCGCTGTACTGCAGCAGCTGAAACAACAGTGCCCACTTGACAAAGGTGACCCCAACAATACCTCTGTACCCCCTCCTGCTGTCTCAGACTTTGAGCAGAAACACTGATTCGCCCTCTTCTTTCTCTTCCATGCCTTCACCCCAGACATCTGCCAATTCTCTAACCCTTAGCCATGCAAATAGGCTGAATGGAGAAGGTGGGTCCATACTGCTGTTTCAGCTGCTCTCTACACTGTGAGTGATGCTGCAGTTTGTGTCAGTGTTTCACTACACTGTTGGCTAAACCTTGTCACAGTGCAGAGAAATGGCAGGGTTGCAGGTTTAATGATGAGCTCATAGAGACTCGCAAATCTCAAATATTTGGCTTTTAAGCCAAAAGTATTTAAACTGAGTATAGAAACTTAGGTTTAAGACTTTTTCTTTGTTTTACTTGGTCTGAGCTGTGGTCATTTTGGGTCTGTCCAAAGCTGAGATAGTTCAAATGCAACGCAATGTATCCAGTGCAACAACGATTGATAAGTCTGACTCGACGCGCGCATCGCAGATAAATGACAATGAGACACTAATAAATAAGTGCAACTTTCAGTAATCAATATCAGCCCAATCAAATCTCTATTAGAGATTTTTCTGTACAAACGCTAAATGTCCTCTCTGTGGGAGAAACGCGCTGCACGAGGCCACGAGAGAGATCGCGTTATTGTTTCATGTTTGTTGATCGGTGCATTTCCCCAAAAAGAAAGAAAGAAAACAAGAATGATGACTTCATTTCTGTGAGTTTATCCATCAAGATCGGACTAAAATGTTCAACCTTTTCCACTAAGCAGGAATTTAAGGAACCACTCAAAAGAAGGAAATAAATGCTATCCAGTAAAATCTCAGCACATGCATGAAATAAACAGATTGCTCTCACCTCTAGAGCGCCGTATCCTCCGTCCGCCAGGCTGCTGCAGGCTTCTGTATTTGACCCATGCGGTATCCGCATCTCCAGGATGATGTGCGGGGGCTGTAGGTTATGTTTAAGAAATCAAATAATCAGAGGATGCTCGGGAATGAACAAAACCTATGGATAGAAAGAAAACCCCTGCTCTGGTCCCCGGTGCTGCTGCTGGAGGAGGCTGCACGCTGGTACTAGAGCAGTGGAAACGCTGCAGCGGCGCACTGTGACGAGCAGCTGCCTGGCGCAGGTCAGCTGGACTGAAACAGCTCTGACTCTGACAAACCAGGCAACCCTCACCATCTGTTTTGTGATCAACATGCACCATGGGAACCAGAGTCCCACCCTGCCGGCCACGAGCTGAGAAGTACGAGTGTTATGGTGAATGTGATGGACGAGCCAACGAAAAGACTGTACAAGGGGGGATCTCATTGTTCGAGTGTTTGTGGTGTCTTGGTGACTTTAGAAACGAGCTTTTGGACTCAATTAAGTTTACAGCCGACATGTTCAGGTGGAGGAAACGTTTGTGTTTTATAAATGCGCCAAAAGTGATTCTACGGTGGCTGAGAACCGCCACTGCTGCAAATAAAAAAAGAATACAAAAGAAAAAAAGCAGCCACAACAAAGTTATCGATGAAAAAAAAAGAAAGTGCAGATTTAAAGGGGAAAAAAGCCACAAGGAAGTTAACAATGCAAAAAAAGTGGCAATGCAAAAAATAAAAGGATGCAAATTTTAAAAAAGCCACAATGGAAGGGAGCTGCTGGGGACCAATAATAAAAAATAGCGAGGGGTCTGTGTACTTGTTTCTATGAGTAAAGCAACCAAACCGTACAGCTACCACACTTGATTCTCCTCTCGTGGGTGGTCTTTCGCAGCGTAGTGGGTTTCCCATGTTAACTAAAGCTAACCCACCAAACAACGGACGTCAAAGAGAGGTGCAGATCAAGTCAGTATTGGGTCCGTCTGGCAAAGACCGCATCTAGACCTCAGTGGCACGTGCAAAATAGGTTAGAAATTTCTACGTCCAAATTGGACCTTTTTTAGACGTCGCTCTGATGTTTAGAATTTGGACGTCATCTGAAGACCAAATCTAGACGTTGGCACAACGTGCAAAATGGATCCAAGATTTAGACGTCATTATTGGGCTTCTTTTAGATGTTGAAATGACGTCCACATTTGTACCTTATCGTCAAAAAAAATATATTAAATAGATGTCATTTCGACATCGCATTGCGCAGTGGGAAAGACGCAGCATGGCCTAACTAAATGACACATTGAAAGCACACAAAGCAAAATTAATCAGTAACCTTTCCACTTACTTCTTCTCGCTGTTGTCTTCTGTGGCTGGATCGTAAAACACCGGTGCATCATCATTATTGGTCCCCGACAGCTCACTCCCATTGTGGCTTTTTTTATTTGCATCTTTTTATTTTTGCAGTAAGTAACTGTTTTTTTGCGTCGTTAACTTCCGTTGTAGATTTTTTAAAAATTTAATCTGCTCTGATTCTTTTTTTATTTGAGGTGGGCTTCGGTTTTGTTTTTGTTTTTTGCGCTGTTAACTTCTGTTGTGGCTTCCTTTTTTTTGCACTCTTTCTTATTTGCAACAGAGGCGGTTCTTGGCCACCATTGATTACAGTCAATGACATTCCAATAGATAATTCATGGTATGTTTTAAATTCAATGGACCTTTAAAGTAGATCTTATGAGCCCCCCCTTTCTTGCTCTCTCTCTCTCTTTCTCTCTCTCTCTCTCTCTCTCTTACTCTGATATCCTGCAAGCACACGCGCACACAGGACTCCATGTTGAAACGCAATCACTCTCCTCTCAAACCTGTCATTTGTTCAGACCCCCTCCTTTCCCTCTCCTCTCCAAGGGGAGCAGTGAAAATGACAACGTTTCATCACTGTTTGAGGGGCTGCTCTGGGAGCTGTCTGACTGTTTCTTCAACCAGCTGTAAAAGTCAGAAGGATTGAGACTGTCTCAGTGCTAGGACAAGAAAGCATGTCAAGTAGATGTCACCTGCAGGTTAGACAAGAATTAGGCAGAATATATTTATATTCCTGACATGACATAAACATAATCATTTTTATTTCAGCGTAACACTGAGAGGTTTTGGCAGGTTCAATTTCCACCATTCTTGTTGAAAAAACATTTATTGGACCTCTGCATGGACACAGATTAGACCGCCTATGTTTTTAGGCCAGAAAAGAACACAGAGAAGCATGTTTGAAACATCTATGCCTTATTAGTGAAATCTATGTATAGAAAATGCAGTGAGATGCATTTACGTCAAGCTTTAATGAGGCACTGGGTCACAAAACAAAGTGTTTACTGCTGGCCTAGGTCATCTTTGATGGATGGAGGGTTTGGGAAATGACATTCAGGTCCCGTCTTGGCTTCTTACAGCATCCAGATTCTCTGTAATGCAACCTGCATCTGACCAAAATTGTAAACTCTGAAAGCTCGTACAAAAATAACCCAACACTTACCATCAAAGTTTAGGTACTGTAAGTGCTGGCTCGTAAACTAGAGCCAAACTGATGTCAAGCTTGTGCTTTATCTTTAAAATGGTTGATGAAATTTGCTTTTCTGTATGATACGTATATTTATTGAATTTCCACATCTGTAATGTAACATAAACTTATAAAACTACAACACGTTGACCCTGAGAGGATGATCTAACACAGGGTTGGCTGAGCATTAGTTACATTACAAGCAAAGTCTACTCCATATTTGTCTGTAGAGTATAATTTGTAGGATATTTCACTCTTTTTAAACTGAAGACTAAATGCTATGTGACACAAAAATGTGGTTGCCATTTTTTAAAGCCCCTATAAGGAAATTTTGGCTGATTTCAAAACAGACTGGACAAAGTCAGCAAAGAGACAAATGCTTCACTTTGTCCTCAAGGTGCACCTAACCCTGACCCTATAACAGAAATTCCCTACAAGAGCTGTTGACTATGCACATAAACAAATCTACAACATTAACTTTTTTTTTTTTTAAATATCCAAAAGTAGCAAGTTTGCTAAATACTTTGATATTTTTCACACAACAGCTCTGTATAATTTCTTTATACAGTCCTGTAGGTTAGGATTTAGAAATTCACAAAAACGTATATCAGAACCTTGTGAAGTCGCATTGTCTTTGTTAATGAAATTGTTAAAACAGATGAGCAGGACAACGTGTTCGAAAAGCTGATAATAAGGCAGGGTCAGATCCAATCACCATCCTGTTATAAAATTTGGGATAGATTATATTTGTGTTGTTTTTTAGGATAAATTTAAAGCTTTTAGTCTGGTTTTAATTGAGTGGCAAAGCTTAAGTTAAATGAAAAAGCAGAAAATTTGGGGAGAGAATGGGGAATGATATCAAACAAATCCTACTGGGACTTGAAATTGATCCCATGACTAGTGTTGAGGACTGCAGCCTCTGTGCATTGGGCACCTGCTTTATTAACTGAGCTCCACTATTGACCCCAATTACCAGTGTCAAGTGTTTATATTATTAACATAGATAGAATAATAATCATCTGAAAGATAAAACATTGGTGCTGTTGAATACCCATGGAAGACTTGAACAGTGGATTACTTGGACAAAGTAAGAGACTTTGTCTGTTGAGGATGGATTTCTCTTTTCCTATTGCAATGTAAGAGTCCATGTTGTGTGCTATAATTATTTTTGTTGTAGAGTGCAGAAAATCTGCTGCATTTTCCAGTAATAATACTTCTTCACTTTTTGACGAGACTGGTGCATGTCTTGACAGTCAGAAGCAAAGGCTAATTCTTCATACCTGACCTTTTTTAGTCTTTGAGCACAAAATTTGTCAGATCTCCTTTAAAACAGTTGTTAAATAGACTATGGACGAGACCAAAACAAACCCGGGCTCTGTGCTAAATGTATTTTTCTTACTGCTGGCTCCTGACATAGAAGTAGAACAGATTTTGTCATTTAACTCATTACAATAAACTACATAAGTCTGTGCAATTTTCACAAAAAGACCTCTAACCTCTCAACAAACCATCCCTGCTGTTACAATGACTCATACTACAGTACTACTCTGCTCCAAATGTTATGGCAGCCTTCAGCCCACAGTGATCTGAAACTTTTACATAAGCTAGTAGGCTAAGCCAACGGTTCTGTAACTTCAGGTCATCTTAAAAATAGGAAAACAGTTGGAAAGATGTCCATTTGTGGTTATTTTGTCCGTTTTACCATCATCTAAAAAGTATTTTTACATAAAAATGTTAAACTACTTCTAGAGAAGGTTTCACTGCAGACTGAGTAGACGGCAAATACGGTGTGAAATCTTTGTAAATACAATTGCATGAGTGAATTTTAATCCATTTCGCTGAGGGGCCAACTGGAACTCGTTCAAAGACTCTTGTGGTGTCCAAAAACTGCACTGTGGGCGCTGCTTGTATCTCTCTGCCTCCACAGAAAGCCTCAAAAAGGATTCAGCAGTCACACTGTGTGTTACTTGCAATCGGCAAATCACAATTTCCCACCATTAACCTGCAGCGCTTGTGGTATGGTTGCTATGGTAACAGCTCCCTCCCAGGCAAGGCGCTGCAGCATATCCACCGGTTTATTAGATCTCTGATCACACAGCTCCCTCCACATGGCCATCTGGGAAAAGCAGTCGCACAGAAACGTATGCCCCCGGTTTTACCTCACCTAAGTCTGCTCATCATTTTGCCGCATTAAACTCTGCTGAGGAGGAGACAGGGTGTCAACTTTCCTGTCAGGGTTCAGTTTCAGTTGAAGATGGGTGGCATATTAAATGAGAAGTGTTGAAGAGATGAGTGTTAGAAGAAAAAAAAACATGCTTGGAAGTAGTCGAAGGCAGCCGCTCTGAGGGAACTGTCTCCATCTCAATAAAAAGCTTCATTCTGAGTTCAACAACTCTTTATTTTGTTTGCTCGTCCATACCTGGTAAAAATTTACAGGAAAGATAGTGATTTGGCCGAGTTGTTTATTCAGCAGCCTATTTGAACTGCGTTTTCTCGGTTGAAGCTGTTTTTTAATTGGCATCGGTATGAACAGCTTGATGTTGTCATCAGCTGTGTCAGGACCAGATGCAACACTTAGCACATCTCCTACCTTGTGAAATTATTTTACTGTAACACCATTCCTGCCACCATCACCACCTTCAGCAAGACGTTACAAACACTGCTGATGAACAGCAGATGTTGTTTCAATCCCTGACACGCACAGACACACACAAACAAATGTACACAAACACTGTCGATCTGTCTGTCCTCCTTTACCTGCAGAATGAGACAGTACAGCTTCTGCAAGGCCATGTGGACACACAAATGCCTTACAACAGGCAGTCTAACACAACAATAACACAAATTGCTGCTTCAGAAAATCCCCTCTGAGTTGTATCAGCAGCTCTGAATCTCTGGACAAATTGAACATTATGAGCGTCTCTGAAGTGAAATTTATTGTTGTGCTGTTCTGTTTTATTGCATCAGAGAGTACAGGTGGGGCTGTATTGTTCCTCGTGTGGCTTTATGTGGTTGATCCTTTTTTTATAAAACATATCACACTTTCTCTCTGTGGATCATGTCTTTGGAAGAATATGTTGGCATTCTCTGGTGATGGTGACGTCTTGTAAGTTCCTGGTTGTTCATCTGAACAATAAACTGGACTGGACTGGACTCAGCCTCTTGAGCAGACTCTATCTGCTCAAGAGGCTGAGGTCTTTTAGGGTGCAGGGGGGGCACTCCTGAAGACCTTCTATGACTCTGTAATGGCCTCTGTCATTTTTTATTGAGTGGTCTGCTGGGGGAGCAGCATCACAGCAGCTGACAGGAAGAGGCTGGACAAACTTATAAAGAAGGCCAGCTTTGTCCTGGGGTGCCCTCTGGAACTCGTGGAGGAGGTGGGGAAGAGGAGGACCACAGCCAAGCTGTCCTCCATGCTGGACAGAGACTCTCACCCCCTCATACACACACTCACTGAACTGAGGAGCTCCTTAAGGGACAGGATGCTCCACCCGAAGTGTGTGACGGAGAGGAATCACAGGTCATTCACAACAGAAACCTCAGTGTGCAGTAAATCATATTTATATGTATACTCTGTACACACATATGCTTATGCTGTGTATATAGTCATACATATAAATATCTCAAAATTTCCAACTGTAATATATCAAACATGTACATAAAATAACTTTAAAATAACACTCATGTATAAACCTTTTTTACTATTTTTAACTCCTTTCTTCATGCTTTAATTTCTCACTGCTGTAAATTTGGAATTTTCCCTTCTGAGACAAACAAAGGAATATCTTATCTTATATTCCAGGTGATACACTTGGTAGCTTTTCATGCACAGAGATAAGGAGATAAAAATCACTGCCTTTCAGCTTACTTTGAAGTTAGATATGGGGAAACTATCAGCTGAGTTTTGCATTATTAAGACGCATTATGGGCCAAAAGGTAACAAAATTTCACTGGACTATTCCAAGCTCACTTGTGGACATGTTAATTCTCAAATGTTTCACTGCAGGTTGTGTTTTTTGTAGGAGTTTGATGGGTAACCAGAAGCATCTGCAGGAAGTTTCTATGTCATACAAAGGTAAAAAATTGGCACATATCCTTCTAAATGAGGACAGACAGTTGGTTTTGCTCATAAATTCTTTCACAGATTAAACCTATCCTCCTTCACTTTCGAGTTTTGAGCACTGGTAGACTCTCTTTTTTAGCCTTTGAATAGAGCCAGGCTGTTGTCCTTCACTTCCAGTTATTGAGCTAAAATAAGTAGTGCTCACCGTTGAATTGCTTCAGCTTTATAAACATACATAAAAGACGCATCAATCTTCTCATCTTACCCTAGCTGAAAAATACTGAAGACATGTCTGAGAATTCATCTCATTAAACACAGTGAAAACAAAAACTTCAACTTAGCATCAGACAATTGGATACGAACACTTAGAAACGGAAAAACTAAATGACAACAAAGGAAAAATGAGGAAAGAGGAAAATACGGTGACAGCTTTGGATCAGTTTCCAAGATGGTTTGGAAAAGTTAATTAAGTCCCTTATTATGTCAATCCTGACAAATGATTTTTCTAGGATGTTATGTTAATTTTTTTAACCTGTAACTATTATCTATCCTGTCAAAAAATGCAGGTCAGTGCTTTTGGCACGAAGTGTTTACATCCATCTGAACTGCCAAGGCTGAAGGTGAGTGTAAAATGTCTCATCTGCATTGCTGCTAATAGCCACAGAGGTGATGAGGTTTTGACTCCTGTTACACGTGTCACTTCGCATTAGTGTCAACATTAGAGCCTGCCACTCTACAGCCAATCAGAGCCACTTAACAACAAAATCAACAGATCCCTTTATAATTGCTCCTGAGCAAAGCAATTGAAGGAGGCTCCTGGGGATTGACTTTCATTTGGGTTTGTCAGACAGGCCTAGCTTTTTGTTTATTTATTTATTCATGTTGGCCCACTTGAAGATTATAATAGTTTTAAAGCTTGTATGTGTCTGACTTTGTGAGGTCATTGTTTAAATTTGAATACACTTGTTTTGCATTGTGCAAAATAAATCATTAAACTTGATTGTCATTGGGATACATCCATGTAACAGGATAAAAAGATTTTTTTTTTAAATGTATTAATCCTCACATTTCTTCACAGATAAACAAGCTTTGTCTTTTCAGTTCATCAAAATAAAATAACAACTTTTAAATCACATTTTAGACAAAGCTGATAACCCTTATGTGAGGAGAATGCTATCGATTGTAAGTCTTCTTGAATGCATTATTTTGGTGTAACACATCATTAAGAAAAAAAAGCTTTGTCTTAACTGTGTCCTGCTGGTGTGACTCTACATGCATACATGCAGTGTTATTTCTATCAATGAAAACAATGACAGCATGTTTTTTGTCGATGGACTATTTTTTTACAACTAAACAAAGACAATGGCATAAGGAGGCAAACATGCTTTGACAGATAATTACAAAAAAAGGTAGTTGGTTCGATTCGGCTGACAATTACAAATATTTGCTGTTTTTTTTTCTTTTCTCTAAAACCAATAACTTATCCACAACAACTAAAACAAATCTTTACTGATCCTACTCATCTCCTTCATTTTCATTGGATGACTTTCCACCAGGTATATGTCGGTAACAAGTCTGTTTACAAATAGGAAGCCAAAAGTAGCTAGCTATCACTGACTCTGAAGCCTAAAAAAACTCGTGCTAGCAGCTGTTACCACAACAAATCTGTGCCTCATTACAACCTGCAGCCAGTACAGCAAGGAAGGATGGAAGAAAATAGATTAGATATTGACACCTTTTTTAAAAAAGGCAAGACCGAATATAGCGGCCTGGTTAGTATCATGCTGATATAAGATTGGAGGAAAAAAACCTGTCAGACCACCCTTCAGTGTCTGCCCAGGTAATAACAAGGATGTGTGATGATTGAGCGACACACATACCCAATTAGCAAAATTTTTAGATTTAATCACAAAATTAAGGTTTCTTTGTGGGATTGGGTCTCTACCTTCTGGTTTGCGCTATGGCAGCATTCCCTGACTAAGTAGCGAAACTCAACAGAACACCTGATGGCGATTAGCATAGTGCAAGTTAACCAATCATTACCTTTAACAGAGCCAAGCTGGCTACTTAACAGTGTTTGTCTACCTCCTCTAGCCCAAGTGCTCTGCATATGGATACATTGCAGGTAGTAGACAAAACCTCAACAGATAAAGAGAGGAAGCAAAAGAGTTGGAGCTTTACAAATAGTAAAGAGCCGTAAAAGTAGCGTACCATTAGCCTCTTGCTTAAGAGTTTTGCTGGTGTTTTGGATACGTAGCATATCAACCAGGAAATGACCAGATAGTAACAAGCTGGAAACTGAAACCAACCCAGTTAAACAACATTTTTCATTTTGCAGTCACCTGTAACATGAAACTAGACGATTCCTTCACAAACATCAAAATGACAGTGTGTTATCCCATCCAGAGGGATTGAATGTTTCTTCCTTAAAACTGAATACAGAAATTCTCAGTTTTGGTTCTATCTAGAAACTAAGGGAAAGACTCACCAAATTTATTCTCTTCAGCCTCTTTAAGTCTGCAAAAGTGTAGTCAGTAATATCTCCCAAGTTATTCTGGTGACGTGGCTCCATTCAGCTGCATCAGGCTTTGGTAAAAGCTTTTTGAAGTGGTTGGATATAAAAATAGACTTAAATGGATATTTATGCTTCTTTCTACATGACGTACAAAAGCCAATGAGATCACCAGTACAAAATGTTACTATTTCTGTGAGGTTATTTTCATTTTAGAAACTGCTGCTCATAGATGGATGAATGAATGAATGAATGGATAAATCTTCAACTACTCTGTAATCCAAACCTATTTTGTCTGCACTTTTGTTATGCAAAGGGTTTTTTTGTCATTGAGGGGACCAAAAACTCTTGACCCAGCAAATGCTTTTGGCAATATAGAATAGAATAGAATAGAATATTCCTTTATTGATCCCCCATGGGGGGAATTTTTTTGTCACAGCAGCATCACAGACAAGACAGAAAGTGCAAAATGCAGTTATAACAATAAGGGTCCTAATATTAAGAACTTAATAAATGTAATAATTAAGAAAAAAAAAAATTGAAAAGAGAAAAGGGAGAAGAAAAAATAAAGCTTTCTGCAATATACACAATTTAAATGCCATAAAAAAAGTGGTGGTGTAAATCCAGTTTTGTTACTGTTCATTGTAAAGTCTTATTGCAGAGGGGAGGAATGATCTGCGGTAGCGCTCCGTCCTGCAGGGTGGGAGTCTCAGTCTGCTGCTGAAGGAGCTGCCTAAAGCCCCCACAGTCTGGTGCAGTGGGTGAGAGGGATTGTCCATGATGGATATAAGCTTTGTTAACATCCTCCTCTCACCCACCTCCTCCAGGGAGTCCAAAGAGCAGTCCAGGACAGAACCGGCCCTCCTGACCAGTCTATAATATTTGTGCTCGAGCAAATTTTTGGTAACAAAAAGGAGCAAAAAGGTGTCAATGCTTAAGGCTGCCATGAAATTCAGCATTTTTGAATCATTAAAAAAGGCTTCAGAATCCAGGAGGGACAGGAAACATAGGCGTGCACAGAGGTGTTCAAGGACATGTAACTCAGGAGTCTTGTTGTAAATGGGTAGAACTGTGTGTGTATGATGAAGATAAGAGAGGCAATTTTTGCTCGTCTGCTCTTTTGTGTTAAAATAGAAAAAAGGGAGCTCAGTGTCTCTCCCCATCCTCCATCCTTATCCCTCCTTGTTCCCCCTCCCTCTTCTGCACCATCTGAACAAAGACAACTGCTCTTTGTTAGCTACATGCTCTGTGTAGGATTTGGAGTCAGATTGTGTCTCTTTTTTTTTGCTGATGCTGGCGGCAGATATAGTTAACCTGCTGTTTGTGTGAGTCTGAGAGCAGCAGAGATGGAGGAGGAAATAATCCTGAAGATAATGTTAGGCCTTGTGTCCACCGGGTTTCTGTTTCGAGCACCAGCACCTTTTTCAGGCACCTTCAATAGACACAGAGTGAAGAGCTGTGTCTGTAAAAACGCTATAACCAGCACCTTTTCTTGTTCAAACCACTCCACCTTTTTGTTTTGCTGCTCTGGGTGCTTCAGAGTGAAAACAACTCAGATTTTCAAAAGACAGCGCTGCAATTTTTTCGTGTCGGGAGGATGAGATGTTGTCAAAGAGACCTACACAGACACGCACTTTTCTTTTTCCCTCACCCTACTAAACACTTTACTTATGGCCTGCCAGTGCTTTTCTATTTTAAATAATCCCAGCGAGCATAAGGCTTTAGGTTAATGACAGGGTGGGTTGACAGGCAAGGTGAATAAATATATATTTTGTGATAAATACTGGAGGAAAGAGGATTTGCATTCGGCGGAGAGAGGAAAAGAGTGATGGAATTTTCATCTTTCTGCCCCACCCTTTTTTCCCCATATAAGGCAGTGCCAATTTGCTGGGGGCTGCTGACGTGGTTTACCAGTCTGTTCTCTGAGGGTATTTAGGTTAGGGTGTAGAAGGGGGTTGGGTGGCCTCCTTTACTAGTCTAGACTACACAGTTTTTCTTTGGAAATGTTCTTTGTCTGTGTTTTCCAATTCTACACCTCATCTCAAGGGTGCTGACTGCCTTTCTCTGATGGTTTGCATTACACCATGCTATCGTGTTGAAAGAAAAAAAAAACCTGCTTGGTGATGAATTATTTCTTGAATATTATGATATTGAATTCATAATTTAGCTGCAATGTGCTAAAGCAGATGCCAGTGGGTTCGGTTGTGTATATGCACCGCATGAGCGTTACAATGTAAGACCGGGTAAATCACAGCGACTGTTAAGGTCACTTGGTGAATGAGACAATTTAGCTCCATTACCTGGATGGCTGATATCAATAGATGAGGAGTTAGAGAGCATGAAGAGAGTGGGCAGCTATTAGCCCCTATAAATCATACAGATTTTAGAGGAAGAGAGCGCCCAAAGAGAGGAGGTAGCAGGTGGGAGTGAAGGTTGTGAAGGGTGGAATAACTACTGCGAATCTAGCTGAAGGAGTATTTTTGAGTCCAACCGAATGGCTGGTTTTCTCACATATAAAGTGGTCTTTTATTGGAGACACAAGACAGGCAGTTAGATCAATATTAGGCTGCCCTTGGCCCCCCTTGACTCCCATCAAACATAATGAAGCACAATCACCTGCAGTTTTCAGCTGTTGCAGCAGGTTTCAGCAAAAAGAAGACATACGGCGTCACAAAGAAACAAGAAATGAATGGACTGTGTTTATGTAGCGCTTTCTCTGGTCTGCGGAGCTCTCAAATGGCTTTTACTTTACATGTCACAGTCACACAATGATGGCAGAGGATACTGTGTGAGGCATCGGTATTACCTAATCCCATTCACAGCCAGTGGGGCAGTTTGGGGTCAAGTGTTTTGCCAAAAGACACTTTTGTATGTAGACAGTGGGACTTGGGATTGAACCCCGCACATTCCCATTGTGAGATGACCGGCTCACTGAGCAGCTGCCCCAAAGAGACTGAATTTTCTTTTGTGTCATTTTGGTAAATATATGTAGAAACACATACAGGTGATCCCTGTGCAGCCCCCCTAAGCACCCCAACAGCTGCAGGATTCCTTGAAGTGGTTATCTTCAATACCCACTCCGATGAAAATCATGTTTTTCTCGTTTTTTACATTTTCATATGGCATTTTTCTGATGCTACAGGGCATATCATGAGAAAACTAAAGGCGAATTGCTGTGAATCTCTGGCAGACCCAAACGACAGGCTCAGACACAGTGAGATTTCATACGTAACCAATCCAAGCTCCACCCCCGGAGCCACACTCTGCATACAGAGGAGAAATGCAGAGAACGATCGCGGGACAAGAGTGTGCGTTAGCGGATTGCAATGCTCATAAGAAAGCTAATGATGATATAAGCGTTCATTGTGTCCCTAAAGACATTCGTGTCCGAGACTTGAATAGCACCTATGTTACCTGCCACTTCTACTACACCAGCAATGTAAGGCTGCAAGCTAACTCAAGGCGAAGTGTGCAGAGCAGCGCTGTCTCCGCCCACAACTCAGAGGTGAATTGTTAATGATCTACTGGAGCTCTGCAGGAGAAAAATCCTTGAAAATGACACAAGTAACACAATTTTCGGTAAAAACTTTGTAATCACAATTTAAAGACCACTTAGATCACTTTAAGAAGTAAAAGAAAATGATCGAAGTGGAACTTTAAATAAAGCTTGTCCAGATCAAATCAATTAAATTTACTATCCTCACTCTCTTTTTTAAGTTACTTTTTGGAGCATTTTTGCCCTTATCGGGTGGAACAGCTGTTAGCAGACCGGATGTGGGCAGCGGAAACAAAAGAGATGTGCAGCAAATAGTCAAGACCTCTGAGACAAGGACCGTAGCATCTATGGTCCTCTCATCTCTGAGACAACGGCACCCTCATACCTTGGTTTTTATTTGAGACTTTACTTTTTGCTTTCTTCCTGACTTCTTATAAAGGTAAACACCTGTCCACATGTAGCCATTATCTATTTGGTGGGGGTTTTTTTTGTCCTCCTAGGTCTTTAACTGTGTTGTCAATCACTGACTAGATTGCCGTTGTGTATTTTCCCGCCACAGTCTTTGTTGTGACACTCAAAACTCACGTCAGCTCCAGTGGAACTGATTCTCTATGTCAATGCTGTCACAAGAAGTTTATGCATTGTCAGTTATCGTCTCACACCAGTGATTGTGTGATTCAAATGATTCATAATTCACAGATGTAACGGTGCTTGTGTGCTTGCAAACACTGGCACAAATAACAAATACAGTACAATAACAAAGTTGTTTATATTGCTCAGGAGTATGTCAAACTGTCAAGTTTTTGTCACGACAAACCAGCAGGTAACCTACGACTCAGAAAAAATGTGGAGGTGTAAAAATGTGTATGTTCATGAGTAGCGAGGCTAGCTAAAAAACCCATACAATTCTCAAATTTATAATGAAAATGAACACGTCCCAGGTTTGTTTCAGTGACCTTGTGACTTCTCCCCATCCTCCCTGACTCAGCTCTGATACCCTTCTCTCTTTCCATCCCAGAGCTGTGGTTCTTGTCGCTCGTCAGAACATGGAATTTAAATATTAACCACCTCTCAGACAAGAAATGACATCCTCTCTGGGATGGTGCAGATGTTGGTAATGGTAGGTTGAAAGGATTCAGTGAAAGTAGACCAGCACATCTACACTGGTCATTCTTCAGCCTCTAATTACACTTTTTTGTGTGTTCAAATCACGTGCCATGAATGAGCCTAATCAGGGCCTGAAAAACTACCCCTCCAGAAAGAGAAGAATATCATTTTAGTGTAGAAAACTGGTGGACCCGGCCTACTTATTGAACTGAAAAATTCATGGCTTTTCAATTCCAAAGTGCTGTAGTTGTCAGAGGGAATTGTTGAAGCGCTAGAGTTAAGTATACGAAGGTTGCTACCAGCTTTAGACCAATTAATGTTAGAAACCAGATCCTGACACCGAATGAAGAGAATGTAGGTATAACAGACAAATTTCTGTGTTGACATGGGAATGCTGAGCTCACATTAGGTTCATAGTATTTTTGAGTTACAGGCTTATCTCAACCCCAGGCTACGTTCAGAGACATGTCTGTTTATTTGACCCAAAGGGAATGCAGAAATGTCAATGGTACCTTTACCACTACTGCATAATACGATGACCCCACAATCATACTGTCTTCCAGCGGCATCTCGCTTCTTTCATGGAAATGAGGAAGTGTGTTCAAGCATGCCTGTTGTTCCCCAGTGGAGAATATGGTTCCATTTGGTATTTAAATGGGTCAAACTGTGGTGATTTATTCATGCTCTGAGTCTTTAGTGCCACTCAGCCTGACAGGAAAGCTCCAGGCTCATAGCCTCTGATCGTAAACTCTGCATATGCATATCTACTGTAAGGTAAATATGAAAACCATGTAGCGTAATAAATGGGTTTATGGTACTTTTTGATTTGTTTCTGCGTCTGATGTTGTGGAGTATCCCTTCATCAGCAAACTGTACAACTAATTGGCCAAAGTGTATCTTCTATAGCAAAGCACTGTGATGTGACATCAAAAATCCTGTGATATTAACATAATAAATCTATGGATAAATATGGTAAATAAGCCACAGAGTCTTACAGACTTCAAAAAACTCCCACTGAGCTTTTTTTGGTCTTAAAGAGGTCTAATAGACATCTAAATGTAGCCTAGACGGCTGGTCTAAAATCAGGCTACCACAGGTCTAAAAATGAAAGTTTTTTAGACGTCTTAATTCCATCTAAAATTATACAGAATCTAGATGGTTGAAATTAGGTCTGAAGAAAACTAGATATCTAATAGCTGTCTATTGCTCAGTGGGCTGAGAAAAGAAATTTAAATAAAAGATAATTTGTGCACTAATGTACAATATTGTTTCTTCCAAGCTTTGCTACTTGCTGGTTTTCTTTGTTGTCAATGAAAATGAATGAAAATGAAATGAAATGAAAATGAAATGAAAATGAAATGAAAATGAAAATGAAAATGAATTTGCCCTTGATTTGTGTTTCAAAAAAGACAAGATGTCACCTCTATCTCTACTGTCCTATCCTACTGTAATTAGAGAAACAGATGTGCTGTAGAGACATAAAAAGTAGTTTAATATGAAAAAAACTTAATTCTCCGTTAGGCAGATTAAATTATGTTGATAATACTGGTTGGAGTCCTATTGAGCTAAAAACCTTAGATGCTCTATCCTGAACAAAAGACAGCAAAAGGTGTGTCCCTGCACCCTTTCTGAGGCCACCCTGTCTGTCTCATTAACAAGCTTCAGATGATGCTGTCAGACGTAAGAGCTGTCCTGACCCTCTCAATCTCTCTTTGAAATCTGCGGGGGAGTGCTTTCGTTGACTCCGGGTCACCTGTATCAGAGAGCAATAGAAAAGAATGAGAGCATTGTCCACTGCACACAAACCTGAAGAAATACTCCAGAGGCAAACATATACCCTGAAAGCCACTGACACGCAACCACGCATAGTGTTTTTACACTCTTGGGAGGTGTATATGATGGAAAGGGAGCAGAAGGACAGCAAGAGGTCGACCGGTGACTCGCCTCCGGTGAGAGTCCTCACAAAGACTTCTGGTCTAATGAACAGGATGAGATTCTTATCAAGGTCAGCAGACAGCTGGGCATGCATCCATTTGTTACACATCCATCGCCCATAGAAAGGTCATTTCTCTATGAATACCATCACACTCTAATTATATTGTAACATAACCTCAGTACATTCAAACCTTTTAGATGAGCTTACAGGCTTGTTTTGGTCTCTTATGGCCAATGCTTCTTAAGATTGAGCAGATTTTGGTCCTCCCATTTTAACATACCTGATACTGTTGAATGCCAACCAGGTCAAAAACAGTTTAAAAGATAAGGAATTAAATACCAGGAGAAAGATGAGAGATGACAATCTACAAAAGTCCTCAATGATCTGGCATCAGGGGGATGAAAGTGACTTAAACTAAGATTTACACATGCAGAAGACTGAATCAGCAGAAGCCCAAGAACAAGTAAAACTAGAGGCTGTAGGAATAAATAAAGTCATAGGCTGTTTTCAAACTGGCCTACTGCTTACCCCTGCCGACCGCAGAATGCAGTAGGTCTTATTTCCCTCGTCCTGATAGTTTGACAACTACAGTAAAAACCTTGTAATACAAACTCCTGTTTCCTGTCAATTTATTTCAAATACCGTCTTGGCTGCTACCTGAGTGCTTCACTGTTTACTCCCCTTTCTGCATTAAAGCTTTAGACCCCCTCTAAAGCCAGCTGCCTGTCCAGCTGTGTGATGTGTGATATGACACACACTGTGAGTGGTAAACGTCACATGTACCGTACAGTATAAAGGATGAGGAGAAGCAGGAAAACTTGAGGAAAATTTGAGCCGATGGAAATAGAGGATAAAAATTGTGCGCTACGGTAACAAAACATTGCATTCTTGTCAGTGGTTTGCACACATCATGCTGAAGGAAGGAGGATAAGATAGGCTGTCAGAAGGAGAAAACTTTTGGCTGTCCTCTTAGAAAATGAATGCTCAGGTGAAAAGTTTTCGCCGCTCTCCGCTGTTCCGCCATTCCGCCGTCTGCCCCGGCGCTTTGCATTGTGGGTAACAGTAGACGAAGCAGACTGGTCCGATGCGCACTGTGAAATTTTCCAGAATCAGTACGTCATCCGGTCATTTTTGGCATTCTGCAAATTTCGCATTTGTTCACCTACTGCATACTGCATACTACAGTTTGGGCAAATCAGTACATACTGCTAGGATAGTAGTCAATCCTAAGTGTTCCATTCATTAAGGTTTGGACATTTTTGATGCAGTGGAGGCATGTATGTATCCACCTGCAGATGGTGGGTGCAAAGGGGATCTTGCGAGCATTTAGCCTGTTGTTTTCTTCTTGGCCTAGGGGACCCTCAGTAATTACACTAATACACCACCCTCTCAGCAGACTCATTTGTAGAGCTTCCAAAAAAGCCAACCAGATGGTCCCCCGAGCCTCACAGACGTCCATATTCATGAGACACAGTTTGACCCCACCACCTCTGAAACGCTGACCTTTAACCTGAACCCTTTAGGACATCAATAGAATATGGAGGAGGGCAGAGGGAGAGGCACAGCACCAGGCACAGCAGACTCCACCCACAGTCTCATGGGTGAGCCCCCCACCCCACCCACCCTTCAGACTGAAGGAATTGGATATGTGTGATTGCAAGACTGAGGGTGAGCAAGGCGAGCCTTTTCATGAGTTCCCAGGCTTTGTGAAAGTGAACATCTGCCCCGTCAACACAGAGTCCGACACACTGAGGAATTGTCAGGGTTTGGAGTGCAAAGACAATGCAAGGGAATCCAACTAATGATGGCAGACCATGTCAACTTTGTTCAAGAGCTTGGCAGTGACCTCTGACCTCCCTGCAGGATGATTTCATGAGCTAACCAAACCTCTAGGACCACTGAGTGGGCTTATCCGGTGTCACAGTTTTCTGAGATGCTACTACTTCCCTCTTTTGTTTACACAGGACTTCCTCCTCTTGTGCTATTTTTAGATGGGTAATTGCAACCCAGTTTTTACCCTGCAGGAGAGAAGAGTATCAAGAATCACTAAATGGCAAAATAAGCAGTGTTTACTCATGAAAGTACAATACAAAAAAAGTGTAAAATCATGGTCATTACACTTTCCTAAAACCAAGATTTATCATTTGAAAAGTCTTGTATAGCATAAATTAATCTGTAATATACAGTGACTGAAATCATATTTTGTTATGAAATTGGTCTCTTTACGGTAGCACTGACTGACGTAAAAGGTACCAAATCAAATTGAACTAAAATGGTCTGGGAAATTAAGAGAAGGTCTACTAATGGAATATGTAAGTGGTAAATACATGAAGTTTCTGCTAATAAAAGAAAATATGTGGAAGCTGTGACATGAGTAAAGCCAAAACCAACCCACACAGACATACTGTCAGCAGAGCTTGTGCTGTGGAGGCAGTGATCTGTTGACATAAATGTAAAAGAAACACATTCAGCTTCTGTTATTCACTGCGAAAGCACAGCCTGAAGCCACTGTTAATGACTAAGCCTGTTTACTGGCGGCTGCTCCGCTGTTACTCACTCACCAGACATCATTAGTATTTTCTTTAAGAGTCTCAGAGACAATCACCTTACCATTACATACCAACCAGAAAAAATAACAACCCTGGAATTTAATTACCTGAGTAAACCAAATCTTATCCTAAAGATGTTTTCATTAGTTTCCTGATGTAGATTTATTCCTTCAGCTGAAGCATAATGCCGTCTGATTTGTCAAGTCTTGGAAAATAACCCTGACAATAACATGATTACATCAGGGCTGTGTCATATGGTGAGTTTAG